TGACCATTTTGATACCGAAATAAAAAGTGATCGGGTACATATAAGACCCGCTCTACTTAATTGGAGCCCTACATGATTCCATGAAGTGAAACCGACAGATTTGAGCTCCAGTAACAACTACATATGATATAGAATTACCGTTTCTCAAATTACAGAGAGTTACAAGAACTTACGATCAACATCTTCCATGATGAAACACCAAAATGTCATCTCATTAAACCTGATGGATTGATGGAATTACTAATAATATTGCAATTACTCCTCGAAAACGGCGAATTTTACGCGTAACGACAATGACTTCGGTCCTCGGCGAGCAGCAGGTCTAACGAAATAGTAGTGGGGCAACTTGCATTCAATTACTGACGAAGAAACACATACATTGTATATACGTATGTATCTACGTTATCAAGTAGTGGACTAAGGGGAGCATCGCAGCTGCTTCCTCGGAGGAAATCATGGGAGACTAATTCATCAAGATCACATACAAGATCAAATCTCAGGATACCATTTCATTTCCAATATGAGAAAATGGATTCGCTAATTGTATTTCTTGTAATCCGCCATGATTGAATAGTACTTGCTGTACCATCGAGAATTCTGTCTTGGCAAGTGCCAGATACATTCATGTTGTTCATCATTTATTTCAGAACTGGAACAATTTCTCAAAGACAACACGTGCGCCAATTTTCAACAAAGTTACGGACGAAATGATATCTACAACAATCCAGGACTAACTATTATGCACATACGATTGGATTTCTGATCTTTCTTTCTTCTTCTGTTATGATCATCTAAGCAAGAAGGGACAAAATATATATTCAGTGGAAAATACTCAAGCTTGGGAAGAAGTGAAAAGTGGATAGACAGGGAAAGAATAATTTCGAGGGTAAAGTCATTTGAACGTGAAAGTAGATAATTGAGGAGATAACACGCGCAGGCAGGAGAACTATCCCAGAAGAAGACCAATGTCTTGATTGCTAGAATCTACTAGAATTTTATACGGTTTCTTATTATATCTATCTGGGAACAAAGAATAGGAAGGCTGCACCGTCATTGATTGATTCAAGTCGTGCAAGCAGGTGAGGTAGTCTAAACTCCCAAAATATCAAGAGCACGAGTGGGAGGAAAACCGTTGGAATGCCGTCTAAGAAATTATTTATTTGATACTCCTCATGCAACGAATATAAGAATAAGTATATACATAAATTTACAGTAAGATAACCATTTAGCGTATTCATGTGCTAAAACTTTGACTCCCCTTCCTCACTGTTGTATAAGAACTTTGAAAGTAATCTTATCCACTACAGCTCATAAAGTTTTCCACAGCAAAAACTTTCTCGGGCCCGCAGTCAATGTTTTAATCATGGAAATGTCTGGTCTAGTGAGCGTCGTGGAAATAATTATTGTGAGTTTATAATACAATAATACTTTTGTCAGGTGGGTTGCTCCAATTAATTCGTGAGCATGACCCTGCTGAAATTCATAAACGTTCACTCCAATTCAGTTCAAGGTATTCCATAAAAGTCAATGCGCAAAATTCATGTTCATTTAATTAGAGCGCTTTAAATAACAAATTTAGAGTGATTTGCAAGGACAGGAATTATTGCTGCGAAAAGAGCCTCCACATTCGCAAGTAGACCTGCTTTCACGCTACTAGACTACGAATGGAATGTTTCGTTCTTGGTTGGCTTCCTATTCCGGCCATATAAAAGACGATTTCGACCACGAAATTTAGCTGAACTCGCTACCAAGTGCGTCAGCCATGTCCATAATGTTCAGCCGCTATATTGGTCTCCATTTCCACTTAACCTCGACCATCGTCTAGTACAATGAGGTGCAATGCAATGTAACAATGTCCAGCCAACAACATGCCCACCACCCACGCGTCCCGCAATTACTGTCATTTACATTATTTAGCGTCAAACATAAACTTTCTCTCCTTCATGCTGACGTTACATCCATTCATATTGAACATATCGTTTCTGAGATGTTCACTTTTTATGGTTACATGGTATGTATATATACACTTGCTATCCTTTGTTCATACCAGCAAATCGAGTGCAGTTAGCTTGGATTCATTGAATTCGAATGACAACTTGTAAATAGTGTGCATACAAAACTGACTGGAGTGCAGACTAGGTACACATGTATGTAGGTCTCAGAACAATTCCTTATTGACACACCGCGCGGCTAGCTCCCTCACAAATATTTAACAAACAAGAATACTGTGACTCGGGATAAATATCATCTTAATGCTGAGGGTTTAATCTCATGCCCTTTAAATGATGACTTGGTTATTCGGGGGCACTAGGCGGGAAACAATTAGCCTCAGTTTAATACTAAGTTACCTTCCCATTAAACCCAGTCTACACTTTTACACGAAATGGCATTAATGTAAATAAACAGTGGCAATCTATTTAACTTGTTGTCTCCGGTTACTCAAATAAACGCACGTGGGACTGAATAATCGGAGGTGGACGTAGAATTCGTACACTAATACAGACGCTTATCAGCTTTCTTAACACACAATCCACTGTCACAGGGGAAGAGCCATTTGTGTAAATTTGCTTGTAATTATAGTGCTTATCGTTATGTTTGGAAAACCACTGAAATTGTATCGGATAAATAAATAGATGAATCAGTAAAAAAAATCTTTGTATCCAATTAGTCTTCCATGAATACATACGTCAAAGTACTGCATGTACTGCAATGTGTGAACTAATACATACAGTCGTCAATCCGGCTTAATGTTGGTCACCTCTCTTTGTCACTTAATCTATTCGATGTCATCCCAAGACAAAAAGCCTCCTTGAAAGAAGATGTTTACTTATCTTTGTCAGTATAACTTTCTTTTACAACCTATAAACAACACCATTTCTTACATAACTTTCATCGGTTCAGCAATATCACGAATACATAATATGCATTACATGTTATACATTTCAGTAGTAGTGCGGAGAAAGTTACTTATAATTACGTCCAAGGTCAACTTGACCTACCAAACGACAGAACAAGTTTTCCTTGTGACTGAGTAACATGTACACATATGTGCATAGAGATATGAACTGACAGCTAACAGTACGATATCTATGTTTATATTATATTTATAAGTATATAAATATGTGCATGGAAGAAAGAAGAATAGAAAGATGTATTACTTACCAAATATCAGAGTGGCCATATCTGAAATTTTACAACATAATATAAGTTTTAGAAACATTAAAATGTAGAGCTAAAATAAGTGATAATAATTTACCTGAAATTGCTAAATTGAACAAGTAGTAATTAGTAGATGTCCGCATGTAGTGTGCTTTGTAAATGACGATGCAAGTTGAGAAGTTGCCCACCAATCCGCAAATGAAGATGAGTCCATAGACGATTGAGATTGGTATCAAACTTTGATAAGGGAGGTGCTTTGGTCCTAAATATTGGACCAGGTATTGTTCTCGATAAGTTTCATTCCATTCCAACTCCCCAAGCCCGGACATTTTCAATCAGTCTAATTAAAAATCTTTCTAGGCATTAAACAATATTTGGTCCTTGTGAACTGTTATGACCATTGGAGAAAGGACTGCAATATCTTTCGCACACGACGCGAATGCATGAGGCTTATTCTAGACGAGCAAAAGTAGGGAAGAAAAGCACGAATCTCATTCTGCCCCCTCCAGCACCGTTATTTCCTTATCCTGAGAACTTCAATTACTTTCACTACTGCTCTCACCAACCTGCAACCTCCTGTTTACTCGCATCTAATTCACTCCTGTAATTAGTGAGGCTGTTCAATGTCTAGGACTGCGCTGTTGATTACTCACATCCGGTAGTGTAATGGATTGTACCATTCGCTGAATTCAGTTCAGTATTCAGTTTATTGATCTAGCTTTAACAACACGAACCTTTCACCAATAATTTATTGCAATCAATGTAGCATAATGAACAGACCTATCCACACAATAATAATTAAGAAAAAAATGTCCGAAACCGTCTAGTTTTATGTGTAACACTCCGGCACTTTCATCTCGATTAAAGGTGAATAAGTAATCAAGTGTTTGCATGTGGACAGGAGTATTGCCAACGAGGGAAGTAAAGTTTTCTTAGATTTTGGTAGTGTGTCGAATGTGATATATTTATCTCACTTTCGTGCCCTCGTACAGTAACACATTTTCGGGTATGTTAAATAAACACAAAGGCTGTGCTAATAACAAATGTTTCGAGTACAGATACACCTGAAGATTATGTAAGAAATATGAATTGCTATATTTTTTTACACGATACACGTTTAGTATAATGCTTAAGGTAATGATGATTAGACTAGAGCCGTTAGTCACATTGTTCACACGTGAGATTGAGACGAGTGTGTAATTTTCAGCGAGAGATACGAAGGAGAAATGAGAGACTCGGAGTCCTGGTCGCAATGTTTGCTCATGAAACGGGAGAGTTTCAGAGCTTGACATTCTTGGCTCCGCTGTTAGTTAGATAGTGATGCGGGTTGCGCAAAAACGGGACCCATAATAATATTCAACCCGGGTTTCGGTGTTGGGCACTTTTTTGAATGAATGCACCTGCTGTAATCACTTCAATTCTGCCTCTATGCTCTTCCAACAACAAAGGATCATCATTTTCCCGACCAGTCGTGGTGCCCATTAAAATTCTTTCCCAACCCACGCCAGCTAGCCCTGTGTAGCCACAAAAAAACTTGGAAATATACCCTTGCTTATCTTATGCACGTTCAATATGGCGACAAAATCCACAATTCAATTAATTCTGTATGCAGACGTACGAGAGGTGATAACATCCAATCTTCATAAAGGCCCATTTCAGAATTCAGACTACTAAAGAAGACCATTTTCCTGGGCCGTTGGAAGAATATCAAGTGTTGGTGATGCAATCACTTTAGGTGCTCTAGATTTAAAATGAAAACATCGGAAATGGGTTCAACAAATGAATACTCATCTACTTATTGTTTGTGAAAATAGTGACAATATAGTTGAATATAGGCCATGTATATAGCGTCGGGAGGTTTATTACATAAGGCTGATTAAGATTATATAATACAAATAGAAATATAAAATTATCTTAAAAACATGTCACTCTTTTCTCATGGACAGCATTGTATTTACGTCCCAAATTATTTGTCGACTTTGATCTATCGTCTCCTTGAGATGACGATTTCGAACCATAACTTGCTACAAATCAAATTAATTAGTATATATATATATAATATATTATATTTATTCGAATCGATTTTCGTCTTTCTTAATCAAATACCTCGACAATTTCTCGATATTCCTCTATAGCTAACTTGTATGCTTCTGAATTCTTTTTGTCATCTGGGGTTGATACTGGAGAATCGAGTTCCGATTTTTGGAGAATTTCAGCCTAGGGACAATATTGCAAATGTTCAAATATAGTTTAAATTAGAACATAGCTGAGATATGACATTCTTAAACGGTTCTTACTTCAAAGTTGACAAATTTTTCACTTGGAAAAGCTTCTTCTAATTTTTCATAAATCAGTCTCAGTCTTTTAAGTATTGCTTTAATACCTCTCAAAGTTTCTTGAAATTTAGGTTTTCTGTCTATCCCCGTTGGACTGTGAGTATATTTTCCGTCTGGAGGCTAAAAACACACGCCAAAATATCAATTAGCTTACCTGTGTATAGAAACCTTACACAATATTAATTACCTGAGCAGTTTTTAAGGTTTGGAAAAGTTCTTGCATCCTGCTGATAACTTCTTGAACGGTTTCTTGACCAAGTCTGCAAAGGGTAATGGCATTAATTTCCTTTGCTTGTTGTTGTGCTTGCTGGGTAGGAGTGGTCACGGCGATGGTTCCAGTTTGATTTTGTTGAAAATTCGTCTGGTTCAGAGGGACCATCCCACCAACAACAGAGTTCGGATCTACTGGGGTTTGCCCTTGACTTTGTTGATAAGGGTTAATATTGGAAATGTTTGAGGACATCATTCTTGCTCAATATAAGGTCGGCTTTTGTGCTAAAAAGATGATATATGATAAAATGAAGTGCTAATAGAGCAACGAAATACACTTTCAACTTTTGTTACTACTGACTCAGAATTACTTTACCAAAAATTTGATTCCCGCTTCATATCCCTACCATACTAATAGCATGGGAAGGATACCAGCGCGGGATGGAAAAGAAAAACTGAGTTGATATTATTAAACACAATCTTACCATCAACAAGTAGCAAATCTTTAGTCGATGTACAAAGCACGATAAACCAATCAATTTGTTTTTCGCTATCGATTTCACAAATTGTAAATTACAATTAACGTTGGTTATTCGTGTTGACACATGCTGCTAACTTTTTGTTGACGGTAAACTGAAAACGGGATTCTCACCGCTCACTTTCTCCGGCGCGAATGCCATCAGCAATTCGGGGAAAGCTGCTTTGCACTTTGTCACATGCAAACTATTCGCAATTTGTGGAGAAAGTTTGTCATCCTTTCGTTGCTGTTTTTGATAACAAGGTGAGTTTTTTTCTGCTTAATGTTAAATATTGAACATTACTTGCTGTTTGTTCCAAAAGAGATTTATTGGGAACGTAGTTTTATCATTTCTCAAAAAGAATGACAAATGTAATCAGGATAATAGAAAATAGAAACAAAATAAATAATGTAAAGATATTATAGACTGCTATACATCGTAAATTTAAACAAGTTTATACATAATTCCGACATTTACCAGCTACTTAATTGGTTCATTGTATTTGTATTGTTTACTTTATTCGTCTACGGTTTAAGTGACTGCTGAGGTGATTGAGCATTTGACCTGCTAATGAACTTTGATAAATGGAAATCGATTTCCAATTTTTGGTCTGATTCCTGCCATCCCATCCGCTTTGGGATCTCCTCCCAGAAAAGCATTCATGTCCAGCCAATAGTAGAGTCCATTGGGGGGAGGAGGCGTGGGTTGATGATGGGTTCCAAAGTAGTTCAGCAGTTGGTTAGACTCTGAAGGTATTGAGGATTGCTCAATAGGAGACTTGGGCAAGGAAGGATTACTGTTGGGAAATATGCTATTCGTGTTGCTATTCTTCCCAATATTCCCAAATATGGAAGCTAGTGAAAATTCGGGGTTTCCTGGTGGGTTTTTCTGAGGAATGGTACCAACGCCGCCTCCACCAAAGATTGAGGCTAGCGAAAATTCGGCCGGAGAGGGTGTTGATCTTGGAGGGTTGACCTTGCTGAGGCCACCACCTCCAAGGCTTAGCAGTTGAGAGAGGAGGTCAATGGAGTTCAGGGTGGATGTGGCCAGCGAAGGAGGTGAGGGTTTTGGCGTTGTTGGTGGCGGGACGGTCGCTGTGGGTTTCGCCAAAGTTTGGAGGAAAGTTGGAGCTGAGCTGGGTATGCTTTGGAACGGTTTTAGTTGATTGGTGAAGAGGTCAAGCATGCTTTGAAGGGCAGGATGCAAGGTTGTCGTGATGGTAGACGTGGGAGGAGGAGAAGTCGAGGTAGGTGGGGGAGTGCTAGTAGTTGTCGTCGTCGTCGTGGTTGTTGCAGATTGCGTAGGTGGACCTTTATAAAGAATACAAGGACAATTTTATTTACTCTTATAAGATGAAACATTCGATTATTATTTTAACTATAAGAGCCATGAAAGTGATGAGAAACATCTTACTTGATAAATTTGTTTGGCTGTCTAATAACGCAAAAATCGACTTTAGATCCGCATCACTCAGTCCAGTTTCCGCTTTCAGATTGGAAGACAACTGTAATTTTGTTGTTGTAGCAGTTGTGGGGGGAGAAGGAGGACTATTACTTTTGGTGCTTGTCGAAGGCTTTGTCGTTGACGAGGACTGAAGTAGACTTTCCAAATTGAGCAAATTTGTAGCAAAGTCGGGCTGATTTGGCTTTTGCGGTTTTGTCAACGAAGACAAGATTAAGTTTTGCAAGAGAGAATTGATCTGTGCATCATTCTGATTATTATTATTATTGGCATTTTGATTAGAGTTGCTTACGCCGAGTAGCAGTGGATTTTTTTGATCGCTAGAATTTGGTTTTCCTGCTTGATTGTTATTTTGAAGCTGTATCAAACTGCTGAATAGTTGCAAGATTTGTTCTCCGGAATCGGATTGTTCATTTGCGCCACCTCCTCCTACAGTTGTTTTATGACCATTGTGACTCTTTCCAGGACCTGATATCCCCAGTAGTTGTTCGACGAATAATTGTTCCGCTGAGGACACTTCCGCAGAATTTGTCCCTCCATCACCGCCATTGTTGTTACTGTGGACAGACTTTACATTGGGGTCTGTGGCAGTTGTTGGGGCTTTCTCCTCCACCGGAAACATAATTACGGGAGGGTGTTGAAATGCTTCGTTCAACTGATCTCGATCTGTTCCAGACGCACTGCTGCTGTTGGGTGCTGTTGCTTCTGACGAACTTCCGGTTGTGACTTCCGTTATGTTAAGAATCCCCAATATGTGATCAATGTCAAATGGTGGTGGTATCCCCATGGTGGATGTCGTTGTTCTTAACGTGGTAGAATGTGGTTTAGTAGTTGTGATGGTTGTCAGTTTTGTTGTACTTATTATTGGCGTTGTACTAAACCGTGCTGGTGTAGAGCTACTGGTAGTAAATTTCGTCGTTGATTGACTGGTCGTTTTAGTTGTCGTTGGTTGACTGGTCGTTTTAGTTGTCGTTGGTTGACTGGTCGTTTTAGTTGTCGTTGGTTGACTGGTCGTTTTAGTTGTCGTTGGTTGACTGGTGGTTGTTTTTTCCGTTGTAGTTGTGGTCGTTGGCGTGCGCCTTGTCGAGGGAATCCTTTTGGTAGTTATTCTGGTTCTGGGTACCTTTGTCGTTGTGGAAGTTGTTGCCTGAGAGGGCTTTGTTGTAGTTTCTGAGGATTCCGAAAGTGGGTCAGAGGCAGTGATAGAAAATATGGTAGTATCCAAAGTTGGTGTCGTAGTAGTGGTTCCGATGGTAGTTGGGTTAACTTGGGTGGGCTGTACATCATAATTGGTACGGATTCCCGTTTTTGACGCCCCAGTTCCACCTTCTCCCGAAAGAATGGAGTCTTGATTGAGTAGAAGGGGATGTTTCTTTTTTAAGTGGGTGGGTATGAACCCTAGATCATGAGAGACTGGGGTTTGTGCCACGCTTTCACTAAGGGTATGAATTAGAGCAACGGTTTTGTTCTCTGGGTGTTGAGGACTATCTTCCGACAGCACGGCTGCATCAGAATTCAGGAGAGGGTGCAAGAATTGTAGTGTAAATTGTAGTGAATTTTGCAGTTCGTTTGAAATGGGAGTGGACGAGGAGTTGAAGAAAGGGTGGTTGTTGATGCTTTCATCATAATTCAAGTCACGATCCTTGCTATTATTGTGGAGCAAGCTTGAGTCGTTGTGGTGGCGAAAAAGATGTTCAGATGATTCTCTTTTATCCAGGATTGAGTGCTTTAGATCAGAATCTCGTAGCATGACTCCGTCATCATCATCATGCAAGTTAAAGTTCTGCACTTTCCACACTTCCGGAACTTTGTGGGCGTGACTTTTCTTTTTGTAACGGCGTTTTGGAGCTGCTTCATATATCGGGACAGAGGATATCGGTTCCGCACTTGAAGGCATCAGTGTTACGGCGATCACCGTTGGACTGGGCGTTGTCGTAATGGATGGTAATGATGGCACTTTCTTTCTCCTCCGTCGAACCACACGTTTATTCCCTTTCCCACCATTCTGTCTGTCTTGCACACCCAGTGGAGAAATTATAGTAAATTCAGAGGAACCTCTTGAAGAACCTCTATCGTCATCCTCAAATAATTGTTCGAATTTGTCTAGTTGAAGTTGGGGCCACGCTCCCACCACCGAGTCCCGTTTTACGTGTCGTCTTTGACCCTGCACACCACCACTTGCACTAATCGGGGATATATGGAGGATAACCACCCCTATGAAAAGCAAAAGTGCCCTGTTTCTCCATAAAGCATAGAAAAGTGGTTGTGGGTTCCATTTTCCCCCCTTTGGACCCATTCTGCTTGGCTACTCGTAGTATCTACTACTAAAAGGTCACAAAGGACTGTGCAAATGGCACATTAGATTCTTCATGCTCTTGTATTTGATCCGCACTTTTTCTTACGTGCACAATTTCCACAACTTCCTAAGCCCATTATTATACCGATTAGTCGTATATCGTACCACCGAGAGAGGTTGACGACAGACGAAACGACCAACAGGGCAGTAGTTGCCTTAAGAGCTTCACCTTCAGACTGACAACTGATGATTACGAATGAAATTTGCATTTGCAACGTATGTACGTACGCTTGCAGTGGAAACAAGGAGCGGAAGGTGGATATGGTGATATCAATTTGAAAACTGGTATATCCACAAAACAAAGCCATGCAATTGCGAATTTTTGTGCGTTTGAATCGCATTCATTCATCACCAACCAACATATATCCCCTGAGGTATATTTACTTAATACCTCACTCGCTCGCTCATCATTGTTCACTTTCTCTTTTAAACAGAATTTCTTCATTACTGTTGGACACTCAACAACCTAGCCTAACTTAGCACTAACCAAGCCTTTGTTAGTGGTTCGCCAATTGGTGTACTGGTAAATTAAGTGGTGGTAAGGTAAGGTGAGATTAAAATAAGATGGAATAAATCAGGTTTTAGGGTTAGTACTGCTACTACATACATGCATGCATGCCTGCATACGTACACATTATGTGCATACGTATCGTGTATTTACTATAGTAAGTATGCAAGTCAAATAAGTTCACTCAAGAGAAAAACTTGGTTTTCTACAGTATATCATGTAAAAGTAGTGGCAGGGAGATCATACTACATCACAAAATACTGTTGGTTTTTAACCAAATACGCATGTATTGACATATAAGCACGAGTATCAGTGTGCAGAAATATTAAGGTTAGCTTGCTGCTTATAATTTGTTCGCACATTTATATGATTCTATCTGTCGTGCAGGCCAACAAGTGCATGAAAAACTAAAGTAATATCATTTAGACGCGATAATTGATGTGGCCAGGCAAACCAAACCGACTTGTCCGTTTTAATAAACTTGTTAAAGAAAAGATGACAGCAATTATATACTTAAATATTACATGTACATACATCCATAAATTGGAGGAAAGAAGTCCGAAACCTTATTGCGGGCCTTCCTTTTGTGAATCACGTCTTGCTTAGCTGGGCTGCAATTAATTTTTGACCGGTAGCAAGTACATATTTAGATTACAGTGATTTGCTATTAAATTATTGACTGATTGTTGTTGTACACAGTGTTTGCAAAGTCAACGATCCTTGACTAGTTGCACTGTGGTTTGCAATTAAATATTATTAAATCCTATTCGGATTGTTATATTTTCCATCACTCTTACTTTACTTATGCTCACAATTAGCGATTGCAATTGATTTTACTATGTACATGCTCATGGTTCTGATTGCACATAAAGATTATTCATCAGTTTATACATATCTGTTAAGGAACAAAAAAATGGCAAACAGTGCATACAATTATTATTGAGACTATTTAAACATACTCAAGTACTGTATTGTTTCTTTAGTGTATTGTGTACGGAAATGAATTAATTTATATACTTTGATATTTCCTTAAAGCGTTTTTCATTCTGGTTCAATGAATTCCCCTCAATTGCTCTTGTAAGAATTTTTATCTCCGACTCAAATATCCTTTTTGGTCCATAATTGTCAATTATAATATGGCGTGCCCAATGGGTACTACCCATATGACAAATAAGTGAAGGAAATGATCTGGTTTAGTGTTCAAGACAAAATTTAAAATCTCAATCACTTACATTCACTCAGATAAAATATTTTTCGTATCATCTTTAGTGAAATCATTGTTCTCCATTGTGTGATGCATAAATTGAAGATGACGAACAACCACATAGACAAATTTATTCTCTTTGTCTTTAATCTCGTGTTGAAATTCTCCACTGTGAAAATCTCTTCTAAACTTCCTGTAGCTAAAAAGCGTGTACAATTATCTCTTGATCTCACTCTTTTTGATAATCCAACGATGACACGGAGAGAGGTTGTGTCCAAGTTATGGCATTTTTTAAACTTTTTTCCTTGATAATAAGAGCACAAAATTATTCACTGCTTGTCAGTGCTTGTACAGTTACGATTGCCATCGCTCATAATGAAAATATTGTATGCATTTTATGTTTATGCATCGAAGATTTATGCGCTTTCGCGTTTGAAATGAGGACTCGTCACTCGTGGCACAGTAGCAACATCAGTCAGTGGGGTATATTTTGTATTATTATGATAACCCTGGCTTAGCGGTTATCACTACCTGCATCACATCTAGATAAATTTTTATGCTAATCTTCTTCAGTCGAGAAAGATTTTATTTAGGAAAACAAAACAGTTATATTTTTTTAATGTGTGCATACACAGTATGGTATAAAAGTGGTGCATGCTGGAGAGTTCGTACTGGAATAGCTCTAAATAGAACACAAATGTTAAAGATGATATAAAAAAAGGTGATGATATTTATGTATATACATATTTTTGTATTAATCAGGTACGCTGTAAGATGGACTCTTTAGAACCCTCTGCCAAGCAGCAAGAACTTCAGTCATTGTCTGCTCTAGACACTTTGACGAGTGCCATGAAAAGTAACATCATTCCAAACCAAGAGTATTTACTGCAGGGGTCAATTTTTGACAATTCGGTTGATGTTCTTCTCCATAGACTTAGAGGGCTGTGTGATAATGTGGATTCGGGTCCAGAAACCTTTCATGGTCAGTTTGTTTAATGATGATGTATTTAGACTTTTTTAAATGTTTTCTCATTATTTTATAATTACGATTTTTGTAGACCATGAAGCATGTTTCGTGCTGTATGGAAACCCTGGTACAGGACAACAGCCGCCCCCATTAACATTGAGAGTTCGTAGGGCATTGGACGATACATCCGCCCCTTGGCATTTGAGATATGTAATAATTTAGTTATACATATATACGCTTCAAAGTATTGTAAAGTCTGCCAAATAAAAAGATTAACTATCATGCATATGTATGTACCATAATATGTATCATTGAAATTGCATTAGATGGGACAAGCAGAGATCGGTGATAAAAATCGTCCAACTATGATCAGGAGTACATTGGACGTAGCCGTTGGATCTGATATCTTGGAATTTTTAAAGGAGTTAGGATGTCGACGGGAATTTGATTTCATAACTAAAGGGTTCCTCTTTCGAAAAGGAAGATTGAAGATTATTGTTGGTAAAGTCTACCGCTATGAATCAGGAAAATCGTCACAAGAGTTAGAACCCGTCACTCAATCGCATTATGTGGAGATGAGTGTTGTAGCACCCACAGGTACACATCTCCATTCAATTTCAATTATGCCGTGATTACTCCTTCCTAGATAATAAAACTATACTTAATATAGGACAAGACACTGTTGGAGACGATATGAAGACTCTTGCGGAACAACTGAAGCCCTTGATTTTTCTCAAAAAAGAAAAGTAGAATCCCGTTATCCAACACATTTATTATGATTATGATCGTATAGTATGGTATCTTATTCTATGATTATGATAATACGCATATCATGATTTAAAAAGTCTATCATATGTATATAAAAACGTACGATTGAGTTTATTTCTTCTCTACGAATAATGTTTTCGTAATTTTGTAGTTTACATAATAAAAACCATTTATGGCGTTCCTATCATATTAGATATTTTAAAATCTTAAAGCATTTTTTCTCATTAATGTGTTCTTGCTCTGTTTAATAGCCCAGCGCAGACACACTGTAGGTATTAGTTCATAAATTATTAGTCATAGTCTTATAAGCCAAACCCGATTTATGCGAGGCAAAGGAACTAAGTACTACAATAATTGCGTAAATACAAATAATAGGCTGGAAATGGAAAACGATTATCACAATAATATTGTAATATCAAGCAAATATATATACGTTATATTTGTGCCTATAAACTACGATCGAATAGGTCAGTCCACAGATTTCCAAGTGCTTCTTGAACTTGGGGCCATTTTCTTGAAAGCATGAATACCCCCAAACCAACCAAAAGTGACGTAAAGAGGCGGACTCTTGACCCTAGAAATGGAGCTAATGCGGATGCCACCGTTGCGACCAATAATAAACATAATTGCAACATTGTCAACCCAACATTGACTAATTTAACAGCCAAGTCTCGAGCTGCAGAGTTTTCAATCCCTTCAATAGTGACCAATTGCTGTTGTTGCTGTTCCAATCTTGATATCTACAAAAAAAAACATAATAATATACAATAAGTATACTATATAGCATTGATAATACAAAGGGAAAATGCTTTATTTAAAAAAAGAAGAAGACAAACCTTTGTTTGACACGCTTCCAACATCTCTGCCAAATCGCGTAATCTTTCTTCGCTTTGATAACTAAGTTTTTCTTCTGCATCGGCAAGTGCTTGTTTCAAATTCCCAGTTTCTGCTTGATGTAGTTCCGTCAAATCGTTCACTTGTTCCTATATAATAAGGTACAGTAATAATTAAAAAAGTGCGATTGCTGATTTTGATCAAATCCAGATTATGCAAAATAAAGTAAGACCTCTAAACGTTCAGCACGAAATCTTTCCTCTTGAAGACCCTGGCAAATGAAGCTGCTGTCTGCTGTGACTTGGTTCTGCAGACACATAAGAGGTACTTAAATGTTAAAACCTAACATCAATTATACCTTAATTAAATACATTATTAATTATACTGACTTTAAACGTATCAAAGTCTTCCCTAAAACTGCTAAAGTCATCACGAATTTCTTGTAGTTGCTGAACAATAATTTTCATATCTGCATGGCTATGACTAATTTTGTGATCCTGACCAATACTACTGCTTTGTGCCGATTCGGAACATTCTGATGCTTGCTGTTCATCATCAGCAGCAGCATGAATTTGCCGACCTTGCAGGGTCCCACTCCCTTTGCTGAAATGAGCAATTTCAACTCGATGTTACATGAGCGAATTTTACAACATATCACAATTAGTAATTATTAAGCAACCTTATTTCTGCAGTTGCGGGTATGTTAGCAGATCCATGATAAACTCCAGCAGAATGGGTCCCATCAGGCTCCCGAGTAATAACATGAGGAATATTATCCGCAGATCCAAACTTTTGCTTCATTAAATACGACGCAATTTCTTTTGGCTTTGAGATAACGGTTCTACAATACAAAATTGCTATTAGAAGAGATGAAGATGATATTCTAACCATATTTGAACTAAATCTTAATAGCAAAGCATACATTTTCATGAAAATAATTGAAACACTACAACCGGTTGTAAAACCTCGCAGTACAGCTTTTCATATCCCGAACAATTATGCAAGTTAAATTAAGAAACGATGTACTCTATTTTCCGGCGACCAAATTTATAAAATCAAATTCGAAAATCAACGAAATCAGTAGTCATTGATAACACTATTGTTTCTGTTGCATATTAGAGCCAGAGAGGTTTTCGTCCTTAATCGGGTATGAAGTTGTACTGGAGGTTTTGATTGATGTAAGAAGTCAACCGAATGATAAGGCACTTAAACACACTACGAAACAAATCAAAGATGAAGATCATGAGGAAGGTTTACCAACCCTGAAATCCCAGTGATTCCATCCTTCAGATTTTCACTGACAGACCTTAATTCACAAAAGAATAGCATTTTTTGACACAGCATAAACCGGGTCGGGTCAAGGTACAAAATATTCTGATACTCATCATATTCAAATCATGTTTTCGAATTTAATTTTTAGGAAAAAGAATAAGCCATGTCAGCAGATAGATAGAATTGATAGAAAGCGTACTTTTAAGTTTTTTGTACAAACTTTGTAACCCACAATCTAACCACTCGCTTTATTCAACGCACTTACTTGATGCCATGACTAACGTGTTGCAGTCGTCCTTTCGATGCCCTATGCGATGAGGCTGTGGAAGAACCAGATGCTTCACTTCCGAATCGATGATCGTGAATATTTTTAGGAGTAATTCCTACTTCTCCACGGACTGGACTTACATCTTTGGACCTTTTTTCTAACTCCTGTAAGCGTACAGTATAATAGTAATATATGTAGTTACGCATGCATCTAATAAATCTACTAGTTGGATTTGAACTATGAAACAAACCTGTACGTCCTGCTGGTAACGTTCCAACTTCCGTTGTAATGCCGCAATTCTTTGAACCCCACAAATAATTATTAATTGTATTTATTAACCGCATTAACCCTTATTCCTATTATTCTTATAACTCATTCATACTAACTACTACTTTCATGTCTGTTTGTAGCAAATAAGTTGGGCTAATAATTATTATTATATCCAAGACGAACGGAATATGTTTTTATAATACAAATATAATTGGCGCATACCGAGTGGCCGCCTTCGTATTTCTTTTTTCAAAGACCGCTTTCACTTGAGGCAATTGGGTTCGCTGCGCTACAGCGGCCATCTTTAGATATTCTTCCACATTCTCGTCTCGCGTTTTCTGCTCCTCCAAAATTCGCTTCTTGGCTCTGTTAATCTTTTGTTGTAATGTCTGGATCGTGGGAGTAGCGGATGAATTTATGGCAGTGGTTTCGAGATCAGAGTTATAATATTGCAGGCTGTCATTCATATTCATCCTAGTAGTGGTAATCTCTTTATCAGTTTCCATCTCAAAAACGTAGTCTTGATACTTAAATGATAAGTATATATTTTATATCACCATTCCAAATCGTAACAGTCCAACGACAGACACGTGGTTTAAAATAGGAATGTGTAATACTGTTACTGGTTTCTCTCCTTTTGACTCTGAGTAATGGTTTTGTTTGTAATACCCTGACTGACCCTCCCCAACCTCTGAATGCAGCACTGTTATAAATGTTAAACGTGGACACCTTGTGTCTCTAAATTGTTCTCAGCTTCTTGTTGACGTGCAAGTGCAGTTAATTTCGCTTGGAGGCTTCCGGCAAAGCTGCGTACGTATCGTGGACTGATGGATTGCAAGAGAGCGTATACAGTTTCGAATGGTACAGCACCTTGTTCTTCCAATTGGTTATCGTCAAACAAATCCCTTCCAACTATTGCATAACCAGACGTATTTAATTTGATTGTAAATTTGGAACCTTCCTATAACAAGTAATCAACATAGTAAAGCAAACATTTTCTCGTACAACTGTACAAGTAAGGGGTAGTAATATGTAAATGTGTTTCTTAAATGTTAACCGCAATTGAAGCTAAATAGGTCATTACTTACCAAGGTTTCTAAATTTAGGTACACGCCTTGTCCTTCGTTTGCTTGGAGCCTGTCACTGAAGAACAGACACGTTACGTTGGCAGAAATATCTCTTATGACTCCGGCCGCTTCTACCTTCCAGTCTATCTTATCTTCTTCACTCATCGTTTCCATATCCTGAATTCCACCCGGACATTAGTGATCCGGTTTTAGAATGGAGCACCTGCAAAATAATCGAAATTGAATCCAAAATAATCAATGTAATCCTCCATAATTCACAAATCAAATCAATTATAAAACAAACAAAATTTAAACCTTACCTTTCCTTTTATTATTGCTGCAAGTCAAAAATATCATAAATTGACTACTTGGTTGTCTGATTCCTTATGTTCTATAATAGAACTTCTATTGGTCTTTTACGTAACAAAAGTGGCAAGTGGGCTTATTTTATGGAGGAATAGCCTTAACTAACAGCAGCAAACAGGTAAATTGAGTTTAACCACTGTTCTGTTAAACCAATAATAGATAGTCTTAAGAGATTAAAGTTTTATATAAATAAATAAATAATTTGTGATGTGATGTGATTGGGGATGACACACAACATAATTCATTTATTTATCCTTATCGCCATTTGAATCCCCCGGCTGAGTGAGATCTCAACATTTCAAGTTCATTCAGCATATTACTGTTCCTTTGAGAAATGAAATTTTCTAATCCAAAATTACTGGAAAGCTGGATAATAGTTGAAGATTGAGATTATTATTGTCGAGAGAAAAATTGATTTCCAATTACATTTACAATTATTCATCATCTGCAAGTTTCTAGTTGCGTTTTATTTTGGATTTATTGTATCCCAACTGACGGCTGACTCATGACTGACTTTATCACAATCAGGCGTACAAAAAAACTCCTACGAAATGCCTAAAGTAACAAAGTAAATAAATGCTAGGCATTATTGATATTATTAGCTAAGCTATACAGCTTTTTTCAGCGATTGAAGGGATTGTATGATAGTCCAGTATTGAGGCGAAATTTGCGTTCTTTCTTCCTCCCTTGTTCAATCATTTTCTTGACATCTTCCCGATATGCTGGAGGTAATAGTTCATCATGTAGAGTACAATCCTTGGTTTCTATTGGTCTGAAATACATAATTTGAAATGCGTCAAGTGATAAGGTGACAACAGCTCTATCATGCTTACTTTTCTCGAACAAACCCAGCGACAAGGATGTCAGTGTCTCGTTCATATTCGTCATATAGCAATTCGACAGATGAAGCCGGCAGATCCAATCTCATCAAGAAATGACTGCAGGTTTAGATGAACCAAACAATTTATTAAGAAACTATCTGAATTTAGTTACTAGATATAGTAAGTGGATTGAATGCAAGTTAAAATCGACCAACTCACCTCCCCTCTGTGTAGCGTTTCCCGAAAGACGCTATTTTATGTGGGAGTGTTCTTGTGCCCAAATTTTCAATTCCAAACAAGACACCCTTATTTTTGAAAATGTTAAGAGCTGCTCTCTTCAAAACATTAGCTGTCTCTGGCTGTCCCAGCTTCCGCATCAAGATGGACAGCTCGTAAGAAGGCATCCTTCTCTTCAAATTATGTTGTCAAACTGCTACACTCACCAACCACTCCCACTGAAGCCGGCTAGAATTGAATTCGTGTGAAGAGAGGCGACTAAAGCTAAATCAAAACATTTAGCTTTTATGAATGAGAAGGAATAGCCACCGGTTCGCAGGGGCACCGCAAGACAAGCTTAAACTTGGCTCTTTGCAGTCGTATGATTTTCAGGTGTAGTTCAGCGCAAGGATCGGTCGGTCTCTCGCTCACTCGATTGAACGGCTGAGGTTTGATTCCGAAAATTTCAATCTTGTGGTAAATTCCATTTTTCTACGAGTTTCATGTTTCATATACTTGACAGGTAACTTTGCAATTATTCTGTCGATTCCTAAATTATACTTTGTAATTATAGGTTTGACTAATATCTCGAAAAAATGGCTCAACAGCTACCTCGAATCTTTGTAAGTTTTTCGAATCTGAATTGCAATTTAAAATTGCAATTTTCCAAAAAAAAATTCCGTACAATTTCATTCAGAAATAAAATTAATTGGGAATATATTTTTTAAAGACCCGAAGCTTTTCAGCATCCTCTGCTTCTCATCAGATGGTAAAGGTAAGTATTAAAAGCTGAAAATAATAAGATCAACATCAGAGTACCTTATATTTTATTCATGACATTATACATTATGGCACGGTTAATCGTTAATTAACTGGTGTCCACAGTGTAATGAACTATAGTAATACTATTTATAGCCTCCGGTTCAAATATTTGGAATTGAGGGACGCTATGCCACAGCTCTGTACTCTGCCGGTCACAAGGAGAAGCAGTTGGAGGCAGTAGAGAAGGACTTGAAGGACATTCAAGCTGGTATCAAAACCAAGGGGAAGCTTGCGGACTACGTATTGAACCCTTCCATCAAAAGAGGAGAAAAGCGCGACTTCATTGTGGCTGCAATGGGTGGGACGAAAGCCTCCAAGTTAACCACAAACTTGCTGGGTAAATTTCCCAAAGTTATCCACAAATTATAACTTTTAGCCCGAGTCAGGACACTTAATGGGTTCTCATGAAAGAATAAAAAGTTAAAAATCAGCAAAGTCTAACCAGAGTGACCCTAAAGGTTGGCTCACACCGGTTTTTAAAACTTGTTATTTTCAGCTGAAATTTGATACGGAAGGTAAAAATGACTTCTGCGTAACAAAGAAAACTTTGGAAGTTCAAGATTGAAAAGAAGCAAACTGCACTAATGTAGACGATGGGGAGAATTTGTAAATACTTTAAAAATTTGGTGCCAATTATAATTAATAAGAAATCTTAGAAAACATTCCCCACCACGGGGAGTGGTAATATTAGTAGTTTGGTCAATTTGAACAAAAATTTAGAAGCGGGCTGGGCACTCTTCCTGACTTGGGCTAGGGTTTTCGTTCATGTAGTAGTGAATAAGACAATAACTAATTTAATGACAGGGCTGTTGGCGGAAAATGGTCGACTTAACAAATTGAACGGCATTGCAACTGCTTTCGCAACGTTAATGAGTGCTCATCGTGGAGAAATTGAATGTGGCGTGACAACTGCCAAAGTAAGACGTCTTGTGCATTCGGTTTTCATAATTCAATGCACAAATAAATAAATTAATTAAAACGTAATCAACGATTTAATGTTTGTGCAATAGCCTCTTGATGCTGCTCTCCGACAAGAATTGGAAGCTGCGCTGAAAATGTTTGTGAAATCTGGGCAATCCATCCAAATTAAAACCAGCGTAGACCCCACTATTTTAGGAGGAATGATTGTATCAATCGGGGATAAGTATGTGGACATGAGCACGGCTGCTAAGATCAAGAGGTATTCTAACCTCATTCAAAGCTCAGTGTAGGAGACGTATAATTGGTTCGAATTGTAGTCCTACGTAATAGTCTAAACACCAGTCGCGAGCACTATATATAAATATATCAATTGAAATGCTTAAAAAATAAATTCTAGATGCTTGTGTAAGGAACCTTTGATCATTGTTGTAATCATTAAATTATCTCTAAATCTTGTAGATAAATAACTTGCCTTCTTTCTTTATTATCATTAAAAATTAAAATTCCAAACATTAAGTTATACAGCTCTCTGAAGTAAGTAGTTAATAAGCAACACAATTAAGACCTACACACGTAAGGATACTGCAGATCATATATTTTGTCTAAATAGACAAATATAATATTATATTTATCAAGAATCAATGAAACATAAAATCTCGGTATCTCTTACACTCAATAGACCATTAAAATTTTTAGCAATTATGTATGTATACTATAAACAGTTCTTGCAAATAGATAATATGGTAGATGGAATTTAGACAAGGGACAACAGAAGCCAAGTCTAGCTGGTGTATAGTGACATGCAAATATCTCCATCATACATGAATTTAAAGATATTATTTAAGATATTTAACGATAACATAATCCTAGAGTACTGCTCTTCAATCAATATCCAATTTTGGGCGCTTTGAAGGCTCTTCACTTAGACCTTCTTCGACCTTCCGTTTTACGGATGGCGTTGTCAACTGTACAATTATCGCAGTCATATTATCGCAGCCTGTTCCATCGCCACATGTATCCTCAGACAGACAGGTTTCGAACAACTAGAGCAAACGTACACACATAAAGAAAAACGTTTCAGGATTTTTAATATTGATTATATTTATCATAAATTTAGTTGCTTTTAGGTCCTTACCTCTTCACATATATTGGACAAAGAAGGTGCTGTTGTAATTCGCTGTTTTATAAAGTCGACAACTTGTTGTGATGTCATTGAATTCCATACCCCGTCGCAGGCAAGAACCACGAATTCATCCTCCTCCTGTGGATTGAGTTCCAAGTGTTTAACTGTGGGTAAAGGTGAGATCATTTGTTCCTCAGGGGGCAGCGTCTGATTTTGTTTGTAAGTGTGGTCCCCTAAGGCTCGGCTTAGGTTGAGTCCCCCATTTACTCTTCCATCATCTGTAACTTTGCCTCCTGCCTTCACTATTCGAAGAGTTTCCTCTTCTGATTCGGGTTTATGGTCGTATGACATATCTATCGCTGCTCCACCTCTACTCACGACACACCTACATATAATGTCACAATAATTATCAAACGTTAAGCGCAACATTAAAATCAAACACAGAATGTTACTATTGGGACTATATTATGAGACTATACCGAGAATCTCCTGCATTGGCAACCCATAGGTGCAATTTATCATTTTCCCATCGGAGGAATGATACAACTGCAGTAGTACCAGAGTCAAAGCCAGGTTCCTGCATACTCTTTACAATTGGGTGGATACATTTATTAATTAACGTCAAGCATGGAGATATTTAATTGTACCAGAGATTATGAATAATAATACAAATTTTAATTAAGGAATATACTCACATTTAAGAAATTGTCATCTTCCTCGTCTTCACTATCATCATCTTCATCACCTGAATCATCGTTGCCTTCTTCATCATCAGAATCTTCGTCATCATCATCCATTTCATCTGAATCAGCAACGTCATTCTCCGGCGCGTCAGAATCACTGGAGTCAAAGTCAGATGAATCATCTTCATTTCTAAAGGCCATTAGGCCAGCCAGCGTTGCCTTTCTCGATGGGGTTCGTTTTGTTGGAGATTTGTCGGTAATTTCTGTCATAACAATTGGTACAGGGTGCACCTTTCCCTTCCTCTTTGTTGGGGACACTACCCCTTCCGTTTCAACTGAGCTTTTCTTGGCTTCGCTAGAAACAATTTCAACTTCTTTTTTGGAATCAACACCATTGCCATTACAACAAATTGTTTCCGCAGCACCAGCGGAAATTCCGTCATCTTGAGCTGTTATCTCATGCTTGTTGCTTTCAGGTCCCTTGTTCACTTTCTCCAGGATTTCCTTAGCAGAGGAGTCATCCTCATCCTTTTTGCATTCTTCAAGTGAAGAACTGGCAACGATGACTCCATTTCCATTTGTTATTCCATTACTTTCTGTGGTACTCTGAACCTTGGTAGTTGGCGCAGAGTTTGAGGGAGGTTCCTCCGTTGCTTGTTGTGGTACGCACGAAGAAGACGATGATGACGAACCGCCAGCATTTCCAGCGGCAGAAGCACGGCTGCTACTAGAACTACCACTGCCGCCCGCAGTAATTTTAGAAGAACTGCATGGCTTCTCCTCAGTAGACTCCTCTTTTGACACCTCATCATCACCGGTAGTAGCGCTATTAGCCCCAGCAAGATTCTGATATTTCGCAACCAATTTAGCTAATGGCATTGTAGCTTCTTTATACCTAAAAAATAAAAAATATTAAGTTTCATATTTTATTTGAAATATATATTAAAAAGGAAAAAGTTGGATTGTTTTATACAATTCTGACACATTCTCCTCGTCTTCATCAACACCTGCTTCGCCAGGTTCCTCTCCATCGGCAAGTTTTGCCAAACGCTGAATTTCTTTCAGTACTTCAGGTTCCTTTATGCTTGCATCTATTTTTAAATACGCTTCAATAAAGGCCTTTTCAATATCTCCATTCAAAAATGCTTCAGTGTTTTTTAAAACGTCTGGAAAGTGTTTGGCGACATAAATAGCAACCTCGGCACCCTGTTAATAATTAATTACAGATATTTAATTTATATATTGTATATAAACACCAACATGACCCCGCAGTTACTAAATTACTCCTACATTTATCAAGTCACAAGTTACAAACAACTTACACCATGTCCATCGTATACTCCATAAAGTGAAGACTTGTCATCAAATTGTGCTACACAGTTGTGTGCGTCCTAAACATATTAGATCTTCAATATTTTGAATTTGCTTGCCTTCATATTTCCAAATGCATTCACACCAAGCTATAGTGAATTAAATAAGTTGAAAGCAAAATAGTTCACCTCCTGCGATGCCCTCCATCCTTGCATTGACGATGACCCAAAGTGTAAACGATTTCCGGAACCATCCTCGCTCTCCTTGGTTGTCATCGGCTCTGAGAGGTATGCCCCCATTCTACCGTCTTAAAAACAACTCGTGACTTAATTAATTTTAATATAAACACCTCCCTAGTCAGCAACGTTCTCCTTTTGAAATGTGTTTTTTGTTCTTTTATTGCTTCGCCTCCACAAGCCACTACTAAGTAGTTTGCCTTCTTACGAGGATGACTGACTGAGGTCAACTAGGCGACTTGAAGAAGAGTTCTGGAGCCAATAGCGTAAGATTATAAGGCTGCTGAAACAATAGAAATTTGCTGAAGGTAGAATCATGCACTGCTCGATCGACACACTCTTCTGACACTAAAACGAGGATACAAACTCGGTCGGCCCGCTTCCAAATCCGCGTCTAACCAACGTGCAACCAACCCCGTGCGATTTCATACTCCATCATCGATTTTGCATGAGCTAAATATTCCGTTCACTATGTGTTAAAAAATTATACATTAAAATTTATTTATGTCACTACATATAAACCTATATAAGCGATTAATAGTTTTTTGGTTACTTAAATTCCAGTTAGCCATTTATTACTGACATATTTTATTAGAAAACCCAAAATTATTCTTAAAATGATAGAGAATATAGTTGATAGTTATTAAACAATCATCTCCAGCTCCTTTGCATATTCAATTGCATCCTTGGCCAATTCAAATGACGGGATTCGATCATCCTGTTTCTTTTCAGTATTGAAACAAAAGTAACCGTCCTTTGAGATGGTCCATCCTCGCTATAATGAATCAAAACATGAATTTTATCATTTTCGCTTCTAAACAAAAATGTTTACAAGACAACGCAATTTTGCGTTCTTATTACCTTGATAGCGTAAGTCTGAAGGTTCTGTCCAGAAATGTTCAATACTTTGCTCGCTGCATCCTTATGGAGTCGAGTGTAGGATTTCTCAACGCACGTAGAAATCTCATCTCGTATTGTATCGAGCAAGATATCGATGAAAAAATTGAATGCTTCTGCTGGGACTAACCGTTTTGCCATGAAAATCTAATAACAGTTTCAGTTAATATAATAATTACTTCGGTTTAGTTGATGATGCCTGTAAAAATGACTTACCTTGTTATAGCGCCCTTCCATCAAGTATTGTTCAAGCGCTACAACATGTTTGATATAGACATTGTCTAAAACATGAACTTCTGGATGAGCAAAGAGTTCCAACTAGAATTTTTAAAGCATTTAGTTTAGTTAACTAATTACATTGTAATTTGGTTTTATTAGTACAGTCAATTTATTTACGATACGACCCTCGACGTCACCACTGCAATGTTATTAGTAATGAGAGTGATGACGTCGAGGATCGTATCGTAAAAAAAACAGGAGTAGTAGTCATAATTTCATTGACAAAAGTATAATAATATTTATCACCTCAGTGTGGAACTCGGATACTCGATTTTGACTAAGCAGACAGAGTAGATTAAGACCCAACAGTTCACATTTGTATGGAGATTCTGGTAATTCCTCCCTGGGTAAATTTGCATTAAGGAACATTATTAAAATTAAACATCACAATCCTTACAAAACAAAACAATACAAAACATGTAGCGTATGGGCTTACTTAAAGTCCAAGTAATAACACTTGAGCTGTGCCATATATCGTTCAAACGATGGAATATCTCTGCGAGATATACTCCAAAAGGCCCCTATTTCTAACACATCTCTGGCAATGATCAATTCATCACGTGTTGAGGATCCAGTGGATTCGGGTAGAAACTTCAAATTTGTGAGGACAATCTATAACGACAAAAAAATTACAACTTGATTAGTTTTGTTCATTGTTCAACCTGCACATAATTACTGTTTGAATATAAACAGGGGTGGGCATGATAGGATACTTTGGTGGGTCGTAAGATAAAATGAAGATAATGTCCATATAATGTAAGATGATGGTAAATAAATATATGTATGTAATGCCAAATATGTATAGGAAAATAATACTATACGCATGTGTACTAGTATGTACATAAATATTTACATATTAGATGTGTTCCTAATTAGCAACAAGCAAAGCAGAAATTCACCAAACTCTGAATACAAGACGATGGTAAATGTAAGAAATAGACTTGGTTTATCGGATGTGTGAAAATAGGTATCCTGTCAAATATCTTTAGATACTTTTATGTTTATGTCAAGCATACGTCGATAAGGTACATGCGCAAGATACTACTCGTTTGCCTAAAAATACAACATACAAGATGCTTCAGTAGTATTCTTTAAAAGAATACTATATTTTGGCTTCTATATTTTATATTTTGCATCTTGATAAAGTATCTTGCCCACCCCAAAAATATAAATAGCCAATATCAAACACAACCTTAATTCTGTTCAAGAGCTCCCCACACTTTTCCAAGTTGGGGGCCCGGCCTCCAGCCTTCCACTCATTCATCAACTGTGACCGCAGCTGCATTGCTTCCTGAATTGGGCTCATTTTCTCTAGTTTTCTTATTCCTGTTGACAAACGCAAAAAAAACAAAAACTTGAAAAGTAAACTGATGGGAACAATACACTAGTCGTATTTAGTCTGGAGAATAATTTACCTACCAACAAATCTCACAAAATCGAAATTTTAAAATAGAAACAAGAGACGAACTTCTCCTTGCCTTTTGTTTGCTGAGCTGAAATATGACTGTCAAGTTTTTTGTTTTGCATTTCACGCCGACTTTGGGGCGACTCAGCAGCCGATCAATGTTTACATGCATGTGCACGTTGCCCAAATGCCCACTCAGGTCAGTCAGTACTCGTGCAGTGCATAGCCTGTGTCAATCAATATCTATGTGCATAACACACGAGAACAATAAAAATAAAATTTATTTCATACTTGAAAGTGCTAACAAGTCACAAGATAAGTGCATAGAAAAGCCCTGATAGAATTTACAAAGGTAGGACAGATTGTGTAGTGTTTGTAATTCAATCTTGAAAACAATTCTTGAATTATTGTTAATTATTATTTGTAAAAGTTGAAAGCATCATCTTGTTCTCGTGTCTTGAGAAATCCTCAGTGACCATGTCCTCCGACCACCCAGGGATGGTCAGCCTTAAGTCCTTCCTACTAGGAACAGGACTGATCTGGGTGGAGTTACTGCTGCCCACCAAGGCTGGCTCTTTCACGGACTCGATCGTCTTTGGCTTCATGGGCGTCGTCGCCATCGCTGCATACTCACTCACACGAAGACCATGTGACATTAGGCCAGCCAGAGTGACCCACTACCAGGTATTATACAACCAAATTCAACCAATAATTTTAGCATGCAAAGTGAAAATTTTATTTACACTTTCTTAAAACCAACATAACGTTCCTCTTGTAGATTCAAAGTCGGGCATTCTTTTTGGGGTGGGGATTGAGCTGCGGGTTTCGATGTGTGACGTCAGGATATAGTGTCCCTTTCGGGTTTTACATTTCTCTATTGTCATTGTTCCACTATTCTGAATTCTTAGTCACGTCAGTCATCAGCCCAGATACCTTGTCGTTGGACTCTTTCCTTCTCAATCACAGCAAAGAATATGGGATTGCAGCATTAGCAAGTGTGGTCGAGTTTGTGGTGGAACTCTACTTTGTACCAAGTAAATTAGCAATTGTGAAAAAATGAAGTTTTGCAATTTGATTAACTATTTGTTTTTATTTCGTTATTAACAGGTTTAAAAAATTTAAGATGGGTGACATTTACTGGAATCGGCATGTGTCTGCTTGGCGAGGTTTTACGAAAGTGGGCTATGCTCACGGCATCAAGAAATTTTACGCACCTCGTGCGAGACACGAAGGAAGATGGCCAGTATTTGGTGACATCTGGACCGTATTCTACATTTCGACATCCTGGCTATGCAGGATGGTTTTGGTGGTCAGTGGGCACCCAACTTGTGCAAGTCAATCCATTCTGCGCAATTGCATATTGTCTTGCAGTTTACAAGTTTTTCAAAAGTCGGATATACTACGAAGAGATATGTTTAATATCTTTCTTTGGGCTGGATTACATTGAGTATCAGAAGAAGGTTCCCAGTACTGGGGTGCCCTTTGTGAGAGGGTACATTCCTGTAAGTAAGGCATTGGAGCAGCCACTACTTCGAAATGAAGAGGAGGAGGAGGAAGAGGAAGACTCATCATCAACTGATGACAATTTCCAAAAAGTCGAATGTGACCAGTTAGAAGATGATTAAAATTAACTTTATTTTGTTTTCTGAGGACAAATTTCTTGTCCAGCACATAACAGCATTAAGTCATACGAAAGAAGACTGAAATCAAATGGTGGTCGTCATTCATTATATAAAACTGTAAATCACACTGTTATCTATCTTCATTCACATAACTAATATTTCGTTACATAGAATGTCCATCCATTTTTTGTACATTACGCATAGACCACCGATTATGGTGCTAATGGTATTTTGTGCACACTACTTTTGGTATACTTAATTGTAATTATTACTCGTTAAACTTTAATTTAGGAACCAAATGTATTTAACTATTTTAATTGATTTTGTGTTCATATCATAACACCGTTATTTAGTCCTTATTCATAATTTTTTCCTTTTATTTGCTCTGCAGTTATTTTTATGACTAAAGACGTGCAACAGACAGAGTATGTATACTCTGTCTGAATACTGAAGTCAATTATGTAAGTTTAGAAATAGTGTTCAGTCCATGACTTCAAGTCGAGTCAGGTCTAATGGTGAATGGAACCGTCATGTCCATTAGTCCCACCCGTCTGTTTCGTCAACACACTGGTGGACGAACCACTAAATCGATTTTGATCAACTTGGTCTTATCATGACAAGATTGATCAAAATCGGGTTTCTGGTTGAACTATAGGGTTGAACTATATCTGGTTAACCTATGAGGTGGTATGCACTAAAAAAAGTGCATATCAATCACTAGATCAAAAAATCAAGAATATTTATGCGGACCCAACAAGTTATAAAATTTTTACATTGGTTTTACAAGTCAGCCGTAAAAATCTAAACTTAAGTAGTTTGCATACTGAATATATGGAAAATTAGCTTTGTACAATGATATCACTTTTGTAAAATATTGATCAACCTAATACGCATGAGAACACGACAGTATACATACATAGTCGGCACTATAGTTTTCTTTTTGCTACTATATGTACGTAAGTACTATATTTATATAGCAAATATGCTACAAGTTATGTATACTTTTTTCATTATTTATGAAGCGAATTATTTATGTCGTTTTATTAAATTGACAACAAAATTTTGAATGCACATGGCCATATGCACTCTTGAAATAAAATTATAAAGTATAATTCTGCAATTATTAGTATGCTTGTATGTAATTTATGCGTCATAAAAAACGACTAGTTGCTACCCTTAATAGTCTCGGTCATCGGTTGACTGAGTCGATATGCTACTCTTAATTCGTATATTATGGCCACTCACGTTGTATGGCTCAAAGATATATTATGATCATCATGAGCCTTATTCAATGATTTAACTTCTACATAGATGAGAATCATATAGAAGAGAATTAAATCAGCTAAATGTAGTTACTTAGTAGTTGAGATAGTTGAGAGTGTTGAGACGGGAGGCGAAAGAGTCCAAGCTCCCAGCATCAGCTCAGTCTCATTTTATCTCACGGCCAGGGAGAAAGTTGCAGAGAAGAGAAGCGGTGTGGAAGAGTCGGGCAGTCTACAAGGATCTAACTACTTATCTTTTATCTCCCGAAAACAAGGTATGTTTGCAATTTATTTTTGAAACTATTTTCATCCCTCTGATCCATGAGAGTCTGTTATGTCCTAATATCAGTACATTGTGTACAATATTAAACTTGAGGTAGACATGGTTTTAGATGGTTTCAAGGAAAAATTTTTAGCTATATTTTTGTGAGTTTTCGAACAATATTATTGTTACAATAGCTATGTTCTTCATCAGACAATGTAATTAAATTCAAGTACCATCATTACAACAAACTATTTTACATTAGTTTTGAGAGTTACCAAGATTTGGGATCTAAAAAAACTGACGAGAGTACCATATTGAGTTGACCGGTATACCTTTGGAGATTAAACTTTGTTGACCTCGTTAACAAACATCAAAAATATTCCAGATAAATTCGACCGGCTTCAAATGCTGCTAGAACCATTTTCAAAAGTTTCAAAGATAAAAATACCCTATTGTGTTATGGTTTGAATGAAAGTGTTCTGGTATTGCCGAAATGACGATACAACTCGTATACTACTCGTATCATACGAGTTCGGATTGAAAGTGAGAGTTGATCACGGATTCTTGTTTGTCGAGCTGATTATAATATTATCTGAGCTTTGAATTGAACTTGACATTGAAGACAAACTGGCATTGGTTCAAAGATTCGAAGGTTTCCGTAGGCTGGGGATCGACTAGTTTCAAAGTTTATTTTAGACGCTTGTGTTAAGATATCTGCATGCCTGCCTGGTTGGTTGCATTACTTTTGAGGTATTTTATTGGGCGAATTGTAATGAGCCGAAAGCGTAACTATATAAAGCAAGAAATCCTGTATTGGGTTCCCTTTCGGGCGATGGCTCTTGTTGATAAGAGATGCTCTTGAACATTAAACATCAATTCTCATCATCAAGGTGTATTCATAGTAGTATGCATTTGCGTGATAATGTGGTTGATACAACAGAGGCTTACGTTAGGAATATACAGTTCGTTTATCCATTTGTCAGGGGCGTCAGGGCACAATAGAATATGGATATAGAACTTTTATTTATAAAATGCTTATCCATTACAGTTAAGTAAAAGGAGGAAAAGTCTTATTCTAATACTGAGGTTTAGGCTAGTAGGTGTGCTCTATTAGTGGTATTTCTCAAACTTTCTAAGATAACCTAACCTTGATTAAACTTGAGATAAATGGCTGGTTAACAGATTCTTACTTTTATATTCAAGGTTCACCGTAAATTTCACAAAGTTGTACCTCTGAAGTAATCCGAACGAGGTGTAATCTAAAAAAAATGGCTCCCGTCGATATGGACGCATTGAAAAGCAAGAAAGTTCCCATCATTTGGGTTCTTGGAGGTCCTGGCTCTGGAAAGGGAACTCAATGTGAACGTCTCATCCAACGTTATGGGTAAGATACAGCCTTATTTTGTACATAATAAGCATATATACTATTACTATTCCTATCAAATCTAATTTAATCATATACACCAGGTTTCAACACTTGTCATCAGGAGACTTGCTTCGTGACGAGGTTGCCTCCGGGTCAGCGGTAAGGAAATTAATATATGACGAGCACATTGGCTTTAAAGCTTAATAATTACGTGAAATAAATTTTTTAGAAAGGAAAAGAGCTCAATGAGATGATGAAGAACGGTGTTCTTGTTCCTCGTGCGGTAGTATTGGATTTGATTAAGCAGGCTATGCTGAAAAATCTAGGAAGGTATGCGTGCGAGAGATATCGAACTTGTGAAGCATTTCAGGGGACAACAATTATAAGAACAACCTATTAATATGAGCATATCAAACTTACAGCGCTAAAGGATTCTTGATCGATGGTTACCCACGTGAAGTGGAACAAGGAGTGGATTTTGAGGACCAGGTAACGATGATGATATACACAACCTCTCTCACATGATAATTACCTAAGCTACAATGAATTATGATTCGTTGGGTATTATAGATTGCTCCAGCTGCGTTGGTCCTTTACTTTGATTGTTCGGATGAGACAATGACAGAACGTCTCCTTTTCAGAGCAAAGAGCTCTGGGCGTGCCGACGATAACGAAGAAACAATCAAGAAGCGTTTGGTAACTTTCCACCAATGTTCCGAACCCGTCATCAAGAAATATGCCGAGAAGGTGAGATTTAAAATAATTCATGACAAATTCAGGCTAAAAAATATGCTGAAGGTTGAGAGTACTTTTTTTAAGGTGTACAGCTAATTATTCGTTTAAATGTGTATTCCAGTGCGTGAGTATTTCCGCTAATACGGATGTGGATACCATTTCAAAAAAATGCTTTGAAAGTGTGGACAAAACGCTGAAAGATCTCGGTCTCCCTGTACCTTCTAATTAAAGTTTAAATTGAAAACCATGCTTTTCCCAACACAAAATAGGCTCATGAAGAATATTATATTGCTGATTTACTGGTTGAAAAGGTGATGTTAGCTGTACTAATTAGACTTGATTTCGCCCTCATAATTATTATTGTTAAAAGCAATTTGTTGTTTAAAGACAATTCCACACAGGTCCTAATAAGAAGTACTTAATAAATGTAAATTTTGTTCTTTATTCCATTCAATGTATGTCAGATTTGCTGCATACTTTTAGTTTTATGAATAACTTCCCTGTAAATAGAAGCTCGCGTCTAGAGCTAGTCGTCCAACTTTCACCTTAGTACTGAACTATCTTCTGCTCATCCATGCTCCAACCAATGGCCAATATTGTTTGAAAGCTCACAAGTAATCCCAACTTTTTCATAAATATTGTGCATACGACTTTCATTTTTGTTATGGGGAGTGCAACTCATGTGCAACTAATGCCACATATCCGGGATTTGTGGTGGTAGTTAGTGGGAGAAAGTGGAGATGTGCTGACGATGCTGGGAAGAGGGCCACTCTCTCTCACAAACCCGAGTGAGAGAAGGCGACCGACTGCTGCATATGAAAACAGGAACAGGGATTCATTGCAAGTGTTTCTCGCCCTGTCACACACTGTTTAACCCACACAATCCAAATACATAAATCCTCTCACCAATACTCATGGAAGAAGACAAGGGACACGAACCAAGAAATTATTATTGTTAGGTTATTATTTGTAGCCAAGTACAACTTATTTTCCCAGTCAACTCCAAAATCCTATAATCCAATTTAATATTTAGTTTTATAGCTATTCATATCGTGCAGCAAGAAACTAGCAGATCTGTCAAACTTGAACGAAATTTATTTCATATATTTAACACTTGTCTCATCCGCACACCTTATCGTCATCCGCTAATAATGATTGGCATGTTTTTACCTATCTGCTGAACCACTTACGCCACAAAACATGTGTTAAGTAGGGCAGGGCAAATTCGTTTTGTTAACAAAATCGAGTCTAACTAAAATTCACGGGGAGAAAATTTGTATCCTCCTGCCTGACTGACTGGTTAGTGGAATTGTATTATATTTCATATTTGTCCCGTGTCTTTTTGGCAATTTTGACTTTTGAGAGCTGGTGCTTGTGGGTTGAGTTGATGGAGTTTATGGTAAGTGGTTGTTGAATTAATTAATTCTCATTTTCAAGGGGATAAATTAAGTTTTAAATAAAGATACTTAATGCGAGTTATTTCATTGTTTGTTATTTTTATTTAGTTTATATATCAAGACCCGGACTGATGATTGATGCGATTTTAAATGTGACTAAGCGACTGCTTAATTAAATGTAAAAAGGGATTTAGTGGGAATTTGGGAATACTACTTCTGTGACCGATTAAGAACGACAAGTCATATTAGCAGCTGATTAAACAACAACACGTCAAATCTAACAATTTGAGGAATGTGTGATGGGAGGACAGCAAACTAAGGAACGATCATCGACAACTAGAGCACAAAGACGGCCAAACTATTTGGGCAGTAATGTATTTGCAGAACATCATGGTTAGTATTATTATAAACTGGAAAAAAGGCTTTACATTGGTTTTTCTTGCTAAGTAAATGTTAATGTTACTTCTAAATCCTATTTATTTCGTCTACAGAAGCCCTCTTGGCAGGTCGACCCCTTCCAGGTAATACATTTCCCAGTACCTACCAATTAACTGTTCAGGGAATATTTAATTTGCAATATTTGATACCTTTGCCAGAACCTCCAGAGTGGTTGGAAGCCTTTCCTCCAAAGTGGACATCTAAGGATAACTTGTTATCAGATGGGGATGATCTCTTTGTAGCACTATATGATTTCACTAGTGAGTGGCATGTTTTAATATGTATTTTAATTCCTATGTGGATTTTTAAAAAATGCACAAAAAAATAAAATTGTAATTCTTTCGAGTGTGACGACAAATCATGGAGTATAAATAAATCGACTTTTATCTGCTTTCAAGTTTCTGGCGAAAACCAGTTGCCATTGCTAAAGGGAGAGAGGGTACGAGTACTGAGCTATAATAGCAATGGAGAGTGGTGCGAAGCGAGGTCATCTATGGGAAGGGTAGGATGGGTGCCTTCTAATTACATCTGTAAGTACATTTTTCGATTACATTGTTACGAGAAAGTTAATAAAATAAACGCATGACATTTAATTTATTTGTGATTTGCTTTCTTTTAGCTCCAATTAATTCATTGGAAAAACATTCTTGGTAAGGTTCAGAATATATTTTTTATGCAAGGCTATCAACGAAAGTTAAACGCAATCACTCACTACTATATATATTTACGCATATTAATGACTAATAATTTCCAGGTATCACGGTCGGATTTCAAGAAATGCGGCAGAGTATTTGCTTAGCTCTGGAATAAACGGCTCGTTTTTAGTCCGAGAATCTGAATCTAGCCCCGGACAGAGGTCAATATCGTTGAGACATGAGGGAAGAGTATATCATTACAGGTAATGAATTAAATAATTTATCCTCTCCCTAGAACGGAACGTCAGATCTGTTTACTTTTTTATTCGAATCTAGAATTAGTCAAGATAACGATGGCAAAGTATTTGTGACGGCAGAGTCAAGATTTCAAACGTTAGCTGAATTGGTTCAGTAAGTTTAATATGTTAAACATTATTATATTAAGCTAAGCATCAATCAAAAAGTATGCTTGATGATATTAATGAGTGGAATTATACAATTTCAGTCATCATTCTATGCATGCCGATGGTCTGATAACTCAACTCTTGTACCCAGCGCCAAAGTGCCAAAAACCAACATTATTCGCCATTTCGCCTGGTCAGTTTCCATCGTGTTGTTTTCTACTTGCATATGGTTAATGTATCCTTGTGTTTTTTTAATTTAGAACCCGATGAGTGGGAAATCGACCGACGTGATATAGCTATGCGTCACAAACTTGGAGGTGGGGAATATTCATCATTTCTTTCATCATCAATGTATTTAATAACATTCGTTTTTCATAAAAGGTGGACAGTACGGTGATGTGTATGAGGCGTATTGGAAAAAAAGGGATGGATCGGGATTTACGGTGGCTGTTAAAACGCTAAAGGTAAATGACGTTAGTTGGCTATAGTTGGTTAATTGCTTTCATTAGAGTACGTAACCTATCCAATGTTGAAGTATCATTTGAAGTAATAAGAATTATTCGTATTCCTATCCTTAATAAAATTATATTGGTTTGTGTTTGTTAATTTGTTGTAATTTTTTTGAAGGAGGACACTATGGCCTTGAAAGACTTCTTGGAAGAGGCATCGATTATGAAAACTATGACACATCCAAGTTTGGTTCGACTGATTGGTGTTTGTACTCGAGAACCGCCGTACTATATTATTACAGTAAGTCCATATGAAAATAGAGGTAATGTAATGAGAGAGCGTATGTTGCTGAGCTTGTTGTAAATATTCTATCACCCTGCAGGAATTCATGGAAAATGGAAATTTGCTGGATTTTCTCAGGAGTTGTGACAAAGTTCTTGTGAATGAATATATTCTACTGCACCTAGCCACCCAAATTGCTTCTGCCATGTGTTTTCTAGAGTCAAGGTATAATATTTCATAATTATTTATTATTCCGTTATGTCACCAAATTATGTGCATAACTCTCAATTTGTCAATTTAACTGTCTAAATCTAATTTTACAATTAACAGAAATTTTATTCACCGAGACTTAGCAGCACGTAATTGTTTAGTTGGGGACAAGTATGTTGTAAAGGTTGCTGATTTCGGTTTGGCAAGATTAATGCGAGACGACACATATACTGCGCACGCAGGGGGTAAGTTTGCATTGATAATTCGTAAAGTGTATTCAATCACTGTGGTTTGGTTCAAGTGAAGCCGATGAAGGGAGTGAGATGACTTCCCCACGCGATAAAACTGGGGTTTTGCGAAATCTGAATATCTGTCGCTTTTTTCAGCTAAATTTCCTATAAAATGGACTGCCCCGGAAGGCCTGGCATATAATAAATTTTCAACCAAGGTAGGATTAAGTGCATTCCCCATTTAAAAATTACACAACAATGTTGGTCTTTTTGCCAACAATATATCCAGGCCAAGGTTAACTAACAAGACACATTATCGACATTATGATTGCAGAGTGATGTGTGGGCATATGGCATCTTGTTATGGGAAATTGCGACTTACGGAATGTCACCTTATCCAGGATTAGACCTAACGGACGTTTACCATACATTAGAAAAGGGCCACAGGTGTGTTACACTATATGTCATTATATTTAGGTCTACATTACTTGAAACCAAAATCAATCTAACTTGATATATTTAGGATGGATTGCCCTCCTGGATGTCCAGAAATAATTTATGAAATGTGAGTATTTATTATAAACTTTTTAATATAATCTAATCTATATAAGGTTCAAAGAGGAAGTTGAATCTTCGTTCTGCGGAGGGCATCATGGTCCCTAGAGTCATTTATAAACTGTCGGGCTTTGAGTGTAACGGTGTGGTTAATTTTTCAATGAGGTCTTTTAAATTTGTTGACAAGGTCGGTGCTTTCTTCTGCCTCAAATGGCATTATGATTTGTGACTATTTTTGCAGCATGCGCTCTTGCTGGAAGTGGGATCCGGCGGACAGACCGCACTTTTGGGAGATTCATGGAACTTTAGTGTCATTGATGCAACCTCCTGTACAATATTTTGAAGAAGAAGAGTTTAGTGAACCACCAGTTATACCCAGTTTCCAAACAGACCATGTTGGGTCGGGTGGGTTAATATAAAACAATGAATAAATATCAACCATTCACAAAAGTGATCAACAACGAATGTGTGTTTTATAAAATTTTAGAATCTCCACAATCCTCTATATTTTTAACAACCTTCAACAACAGCTTACTTCCAACATCGGGAAATGCCCCCATCGTTCGTAGAAACAAAAAGGGCAAACAAGCCCCAGCTCCTCCGAAAAGAACCAGCTCGTTTAGGGATTCTAGTCATGGACTAGGTGAGTCGATGATTTGATTTATTTAGTAACTTAACTTTTTACTCAACATTGGTAGTAAAAAACCTGCGCAGGTAAAAAACTCAAATAAGTTTGACTGTATACTATGTCAATTTGTGGTTGTTGTAATGCGCATGTATGTATACATACAAAAATATTTCGTTGCTAATCCCTTAATTTCCTATTTCTTCATTTCTAGATTGGGATTCGCAGTGCGAGTTAGACCCAGAGGGTCATACATTAGATGATGACTTTGGTGGTGAAGTGCAGTTCATTCGTCGTCGAGAAAATGCATCCTTTGAAAAATTGGAGGACTTTACGGATGCTGACTACGCAGACATGAGTGGAGCAGATGCCGACGACGACTCTGAGGTTTCTGAAACTGCACAATCGGTCCCAGAAATGAGAAGCACAAAAGAGTTTCTTCGTGACAGAAACATTTTAAAATCTAAAAGCTCAAAATCGCGTACTTATCCCATGAAAGACCATATTAGCTCAAGTAGGGGCTCAAATAATTATACTAGCGCCATGAAGCCACAGGTAACCTAAACTATAATTAGTCTCTCACAATCTGAGAAAGTGACACACGTGTAGAGGTGTGCTTAATACGTTTGATTGATGATTGCTTTGCAGATATTTGCATTAGAAGAAGTAAATGTAAGGAAAGCAATTAACCGATATGGAACTCTACCAAAAGGAGCTAGAATAGGAGGTATGATTAGCCAGAAATCGCAAAGTGTTTTTTTACATAGAATGTTGAATATTGCGTGTAGCGTACTTGGATTCTATGCGTCAAGACCCTGATTCTGGAATTGTTCGCGACGCGGATGAAGAGATTAGAAAGTCAAGCTTACCACAACCCTCTAAATCCAAACCAGTTAAACCTGTATATTTTCATACTCTATATATTGTTAACATGCGATACATTTAATGAGCTCGAAATTTTTATTTTTTGTTTTTTACTAGAAAACTATTTCCCCTATTCGTTCCAAGTCCCAGAAGGTAAGCTCCCCTAAATCTCGTCAGAAACTCCCATCGTTAGACCCAAGTGGGAAGTTGTTCCAGTCTCGGGGAATTAGCAAATCGACATCAAACAGTCCAGTACTAGAAAGCAGAAGTAATTTTGGAAGTGTGACAGCTAATGAAGCACCAGAGCTTAAAGCAATCAGTGAACTCAAACTAAAACCTACTACTAAGCTAAATAAGTCTTCTTCAAATATTAATGGTAACCATCATGAACAAGCTCAAACTAATACGGAAACTTCTCTCGTAAGTCTTTATGTAAAAAATAGTAATATAAATATTTACACATTAGATTACTAGTATGTATGTACGTGCAAACTTGTTGCAATTGATAATCAGTTCCAATAATTGTTGTTGTTATATTTTTCTAGGGGGCTGAGAAGGTACCCTTATCTTCCAACTCGCCTGCTTTACAACTCGTCTCGGAGATATTTGAAAGTCTTAAAGTAAAGAATGTTAAAAGTGATCAAAAAAAAGACTGCGAAGGAAATGTTGTTGGTGGTGAAAAGGAATACTCACCAAAGTCAAGAGCATTGTTGACTGATCTACCAACAAGTTCAAAATTAAATGCCCCAGTGGCAGAAGATTTTGAATCCCTAAAGTCCAGACTAAGAAAAGTTTCCAAATCAGTTGAGGATTGTATAGAGTCTTCCGATATACAAGATAACAATAGTCTATCTAAAACCAGTCCCACCGCTGAAACTGAAAATTGCGCAGAACACAATGGGAAAGAAAAGCGGTCAAGTACTGGGAGCATCACCAATCTTAAAAGACTGTGGGAAAGTCAACGAAACGTACAGGAGGCTGGAGTCAAATCACCAAAGAGTATTACCAAAGAACCATCAGAATCACCTTCGGCTAACAACCTTATGAGTAATCGAGTCCCAACAGAAAAGGCCTTAGTCAACAAAAGTGAACACAAGTCCCTCAAGGCTACGGCGACAAGCGAAAACACTGCAACTTCTGTAAAAGATCATGCAACTCCTTCGAGTAGTGACAACAAACCTAACAAGGGAACCAACCTCAACAAATCCATCTTTCCAAACCCAAAGACTGAAAACAAGCCTGTGAAAGTAAAGCGCGTGTGGCCACCTCCTGGATCTTCGTCGACTGACCATGATAAACCAGCAATTCCTATAAAGCCATTTGTGTCCAAGAAGACAAATCCCATATACGCCACACCATCCCAACGCGTGGACCATTCTAATAGAAGTAAATAATATAGCATATTACACACAGCTTGAGCACGTCAAATTAAACTATACACTTTGAGTCTTTTACGGCACGTTTCATTATTATTATTTTACAGTTTATAGCGACGACCAGGGAACACTAGTGGATCGTTCTGAAATGGTGAAAAGATGGCTAGCTCTTGACGCAATGATAACTACTTTAACTTGTTCTACAGGTTCGTATTAATGTGATTATATATTTATAATAAAACTGAATCTGAGAGTAAACTCCAAAAATATTATCTCAAACCTAAATATTTAGACGATTTCAGCTCATTTAGTTTAAAATGATAACATTATTTAACTGTTTGGTAATTTGTTTTACAGGAAATCTAATTCCAATCCTGGGTAAGGATTTAATTATATTTACTTTTATTCGACGAATTGTTGACTATGACCTTCTCCTGTTTTTCCTTTTCAGATGAAGCCTCAATTCTGTTACTGTGGGGCCAAAAGCATGCAGAAGCTTTGTCTCCAATAACTAGATTCCAGTTTATTCAAGTTTTATCAAAATTGGAAGCTCATATTCAAGAAAAAAACCTTGCCGAACTGCAAAATACACTCACCGACTTTTCCAATATTATTCAAAGGTGAATAGCCACATGCTGTTTTATAATGCGCGAATGAGTATTAATTACCATACGACGTTATCTATGTATTATGATGAAAGGCGAGCGCTTTCTTTTTGAACTATTATTATTATTATTATGTAATCATCATGACCGTGTTCAGAATCCCCCTCCACGTGGAATTATAATGATTAACATGTTGCTGATGATTATAATTACTACTCACTGAGTACTGAGTAGATTTATTATGAAGGATAAACTTAATTTGCACCTGCCTAAATCTACTTCCTCTCTGGTGTGTGGAAGTGAACTGAGCTCGTTCAGTTTGTTTTTATAATAATATTAGCTACTATTATAAAAATAAACCTATCAATTTCGAAAGCTAGCGTGTAGTATATATACGTGTCGAATTGAACAGCCACTGTAGCTGTGGCTATAATAATGTCCTTGAGCATAATTTGTAAATATATTATTATGACATTCGACTATGAGCGAACTTTTGCGAGTTTTTCCAATTGTGACTTTGTACTATAAATATTAGATAGATATACTTAAAAACTTTATGTATGAGTTTAGTAGTTAAAAATATGATACAACAGCCATACTGATCATGATACTTTAGTGACTGGAAACATCAATAGAACTTTGCTCTTCTGACTTAAATCAATCAACCATTATTCGTCAATTTTATACTTTGATAGTCAATCCTCTACGTCCATTTCGTTAGATATATTTTGATTTATTTCATAAGCATATTTACACAGTATATTACGAGGAATTTTTTTTGTTAATATAGTACTATCTAAATATTTCGATCCATAATAGTTATTCTGTATTATAGTATTAGTATTTTATTCCATTATGATTATTCAGTGTACCCAAAGTGAAAGTACTTAAAAATGTGACGACCTTTTAAACACATCTTTTACTCATTTTTATGAAGAGTCGTGCTATTATTTATTTATTGTTCGAGTATTACTTATAGAATATGCTTTTGTAATAAGTTAAGCATTGTGACAGTTTTAAGGATTTCGCATGTATGTAATACCTCCGGCATAAAGACATCTTCACTACTGTACTGATTTTTTACAGAAACACTAATAAAGAACTAGTCACTAAAACAATATTTCCTAGTAATAGTATTTTGTTCCATGAATATTTCATACTCACTTTTCATGGAGTTAGTTTTTACCATTGCATACTTTGTCAAATCTCACGATCCCCATAAAATGACTCGTAATCCACAAAACCCTCTTTTCATTCTTTCTCTTTGCTATTTACCGTCTCGAACATCAGTCGGATCGATCCGGCAAAGTGGTATTGTCGGTCTGCTGTGTACAGTCGTCTCCACAACGACATCACCTCTTTCTCAAGACCGTCCACCTCATACCCGCCTCTCCTCCTCCTCCGAAACCCTCTCAGCTGCTCTTCTAATCATAACAATTTATCTGTCTTATCAAGAATCATCCTACTTACTTTGTGGCCACAGGTTTTTTTATTTTTCAAGACAAAGGGAGGGGGATTGCAAAGGTGACGAATTCATTCATGGGACAGGAAGATGATCTACTCCACCAGGTGTCCATTGTTGTTGACGAAATGACGAAAAGTTGCGGGCCAGAGTGTAGCCGAGGGAACTGAATAGCGTAGGGTGTGTAGGTTCAGGTTTGTTCGGTGGCGACGACGGCACTGAGCATTCACGCAATTGTCCGGCTCCCAAATTATGCGAAAAGATAATGTTAAATCTGCTGCCTTGTTAAAGATAAAGCTTTTTTGAGATACAGTTTTCTTTCTCCTTCTGCTTTCCACTATTTCTTTTTTTTGTCGCTCTGCTATTATTGTTCTGAAGAAAGAAAAACCCAGTCCGTATGGGAGACTTAATGAATGTGCTTAATTGATGATGCAGTTGAATGAAAGGAGGCTTTTTAGAAATTCGTAATCGATTGACGGGGAGCATGTTTGAGCCCCATGTTAGAGGGGGAATATTACGTGAGCAGCACAACAAGCCAACCTCGGCTCTACCACCACCATCACTACTCTACTGCCGTCTACTCACACTACACTACTTGTTACTACAACCAGCTCTTCTCCTTCCCCTTCTCGCTCCCTTTACATTGCATTGCATTACTTTAGTCCTCCACCACTACCTGGCTTGCTCATCATCACCCATCACACCAACTTCAGCAAGTAAGTGCAACAAATATTCGAAATCTATCTTTTTTTAATTTCTACACCCATCCCCCATCAAAACAACCCTTGACGCATCACGGGGAAAGTCCACTCTTTGCAAAGAAAGTAAATTCAAGGTAGTGCTCCCAGTGGAATCAGCTCTAAATAGCGTTCTCCGCTGCCTTATAAACTCACCTGGTATTAGGCCAGCAGCAACAAACAATAGTAATAATATACGGAACTCTTTGAACTGATGATGAGCATGACGACGACGACGGCGACAAGAACAACCTAGTTGTCCTCCTATTTTTTGCATATGTAGGAACCTGTGTAAATAGTGAGTTTGGTGGCGAAAGTTTTTGCAATAAAAAGGAAGGTCACGAAATGTTCCCCCATCAACGACTACACCGCCAAAATCGGGACACATGCTAATGAACAATAACAAAATGATTTTATTTTAGTCCGGTCAAGTAGAACTTTTGCTAATATCCTTTGCGACGAGTGCAACAACTCAACACTAGACAGACATTGAACTAGGCGGTTATCAGTTGTTGTTGAAATTGTATTTTTTTTTCGGTGAAATCTGTGGTGTTGTCTTTTTCCGGCGGCGACTACATAACTACATAAGCATTTTCACTCGTCGTTGTTTGATCTCCTGGATTCAAGAAAGTAATCAATTATTTCATATTTACAATTTACCACAATTAAAAGATTATGAAAACATAATAAACACGAATATAATTTTTATAGAAAAAGGCGGTTTTAATGGTTTTATAATTTATAATTAAAACGAAGCAATTTCTAAATCTCATCTCCAGTCACCTGTCCGAACTGATAAATAAGTTGCATTTCGCACAACCTAACCAAACCAATAATGCATGTTTAATTATTTGTTTCGTTTACTGTGCAATCTAAATATTTTTCACGTTGCAAGTTGTTTACTACAACTTACACAAGCTAAACCCATCACGATTAAGTTTATGGACGTTTAATATTATAATTAAATTGGCGACGTTATTGTTGATGAATTTCGAACTACAATGTGCCGTATTTTGTTTCGTTATAGGAATCCACTGCTGCAAAGGGTTTGGAGATTGGGGTTACTTGTGTGGGGGGCTCACCACATCCTTGATCGTTGCAGTCGAGTAGATATTTCAACGAAAGAAACCCATTATCAGTATCGCACGTCGCCGTTTGATCCACTTCAAACTTGACTAGACCACTGTCGTTCGTTCGTTGATAGTCGTCCCCACCTTGGTGTTATTGGTAAATTGAAAAGCAAACTCAAATTTTGAGTAATTATCGAAAAATACTTAATTTTGTTTGCACTGATTTCGTTGTGAATTATATTTTTCGGCTAGAGTATATAGAGACATTATATAAACTTTTTGGTTTAGCCTTTCTTCAATCTTACCAAAATCGGAACCATCCTTTGCGAATTAACAAGAAAGTTTTGTCTATCTCTTTAGCCAATCTTACAATTGAGAAGAGGAAGCTCTCTGTCTTGTCTCATGCTTTTGCATCGGTTGTTTCCCACCAAGCTGCTCCCATCAGCGACGGCATGATGATGGACTCGGCGACCACTTCAGCGGAAACCAACAATGTACTTACGACGTCGTAAACTATGCTCTTCTTTCTTAAATCCTTTATTATTTCATTTCGACCATCCTCATCAACCAACGTACTTATTTCGTACCATAATATATCTATCGGAATTTCATTGTATCTTTATGTATAAAATAATTTAATTTCGCCTAAACAATCTTTTCTACTATTTTTTCACTCACGTTGTTTGTGCTGTATTTTCTTTTGATTGTGGATTATCATTATTGTGTATTATAGTTGAAAAATACATCATTTGTCGTTTGTACAAATAGTGATGCCCTGTATATTTTAAATCTATCAGACTCTCCCTGGGTTATCGTTGGTCACTTCAAGTGGCGTTGGAATTGGAACAGACGGCGAGTCCTCGTCAGCAAAGAGCGGTGACGAGATGAACAACGTGACGTCGCAGCAACAACACCAACAGCTTATTTTAGCGCATAACGTGTCACAAAACACAAATGGAGCTATGAAGTCCGACATGGCATCTCCTGACAACAACAGCTCGATTATGGGGGCAACTCCAAATCGTGCCGGTATTAATTTGCTACATTTATTAAATACAAACACCTTCATGGAATATAATTACACTTTTTGGTTTGGGGAATAGAAGAAAACAAATACCATTTATAAATCTACAACATTTATCCACAGGTTCATCAACTCCAGCTGGAGATTCATCAGCATTAGAAGATGATGAGCCTCAGCTTGAACCGATCAACGGAATTGTCCAACCTCTAACAATCTCTCCTTCAAACCGTCCTGGGAGGCTGACCAACCAGCTAAAGTACTTAAATCAAGTCGTTGTCAAATCGATTTGGAGGGTAAGCATTTCTAATAAAAGCAGACAAGGAATTTAAATAAGCACTAAAAACTATTCGTTTGCAGCACCATTTCTCCTGGCCATTTCAAACTCCTGTCGATGCTGTTGCTTTAAAAATTCCGGTGAGCATTATTCTGTCGTGGCGTTTGTAACTCATGTCGAACTTGTTGTATATGCTTAATCTATAATTCGCCTTTATTTTTTTCAGGACTATCATAAAATAATTAAAAAACCAATGGATTTGGGAACTATTAAAAGGAGATTGGAAAATAATTACTACCGGGAAAGTAAAGAGTGTCTCAATGACTTCAAGACTATGTTTACAAATTGTTACGTTTATAATAAGCCTGGGGAAGATATTGTTGTAATGGCTCAGACACTTGAAAAAATATTTCTGACAAAAGTAGCAGATATGCCGAAAGATGAGCAGGAAGTTGAAGTGCCTGCCAAGGGGAAAGGTATGCACATTAGATGTAAATTTATTTATTTACTTATCTAACGAAATTAGATGAAATTAATCTCTTGGTTGGATTTATTAATGACTTAAAGGCGGTGGTAAAAGAAAAGGTCCGATGAATTTTAATCGAGTGGGTGCCCCTAAAACTCGCATAGCAACAGTTACATCTACCCAATCTCCTGGTGCGCCCATGATGACCACTCCTACCCCATCACCCGTATTAGCCTCGGTTGCAGCAATGCCTCACAATATATCTCAGTCAAGTAATACAGCAGCCACGTCTACCATCTCCAACAGCAGCACCTCAATGATGCCTCATCATGGGGTATGTATTTTAATTGCGTTGGTGTAATAAATGAATCCCTCATCAAGTACAATAATAATGATAACTGATTTGTTTATTCAATTCTTACATTAATGTGGGGTCTTTCTTTGCTGAATGATTAGGTGCCGCCTAACATGGGGTCATACCCTCAAGTGCAAATGCACATGCAACAATCTTCAATGTATGGTTCCGCTGCTAACGCGTCCGCGATTGTTTCTTCGGGAGTGTTACCACCTCCTCAGCCAGCAAAAGTAATACTGCATCAAGTTGCTGTTAAAAATTATCGACTGAACTTTGCTCTAGCGCTCATTATTCTTACTTGAAACAGGTTAAGAAAGGAGTGAAAAGAAAAGCGGATACTACGACACCGTCTAGCATTTCTTTTATGGACCCCTCCTACGGTGGACCAATGTCAGAAGCTGGAAAAATATCCACGAGAAGAGAATCGGGTAGACAAATTAAAAAAGTTAATAAGGATTTCTTGGATGTATCTGTTCCACTACCTACCGCTTTGAAACCTAAAGAAAAACTCAGAGAATCTTTAAAAGCATGCAACGAAATTCTCAAGGAATTATTTTCGAAAAAACATTCGGTAAGACCATATATTGAATTTAAAGCTACTTTTATGTACTGAATTTGCCACTGGTTTTTATCAATTTCGTTTCATTAGGCTTACGCATGGCCATTCTACAAACCCGTTGATGCTGAATTACTAGGTTTACACGATTACCATGAAATAATTAAAAAACCAATGGATCTAAGTACTGTTAAGGTATGTGCTGCCTTCTTTAGTTATTTAAATGTTTGTGATTTGAATCAATTTAAACAAAGTTAAAATTATTTAACAAAAATAATTTAGTATAATTTAATACTGAATAATAATGCTTATATTATAGACCAAAATGGATGCCAGGGATTATAAATCTTGTGCCGAATTCGCTGGAGATGTTAGATTGATATTTACAAATTGCTACAAGTATAATCCTCCAGATCACGACGTAGTTCAAATGGCCCGAAAGTTGCAAGATGTATTTGAAATGAAGTTTGCCAAAATTCCGGATGATCCCCAATTGCACAGCAGTGATGGCTCTGATTCTGGAGAGTCAGATGGAGAGTCTGCCCAAGTCTCTGACGACTCGGAGGAAGAACGAGAACGGAAATTAGTTTTTCTTCAAGAGCAGGTCCGTCCATAGTCCATGCAAATATTTAGTAGAGAGCTTATAGTCACGTTTTAAAGTGTTGTTTATTTCTTGTTGTTTGTAGCTGAGAGCAATGCAGGAACAAATGCGAGTTTTAATGGAAACTACATCGACTAAAGGCAAAAAGAAGCCCAAAGACAAAAAGAAAAAGGACAAGATGGACGTACCTGCAATGCTTCCTGCTGCTATCAACCAAGGTGCAACATCTTCAATGGGTGCCGCTGCTGCTGTGAAACCACAAAGGGGACCCAAAAAGGCGGCTGGAAAACCCCCCACAGCCCCTTCTGCAGGCCCTCCCAAGAAACCCAAAACCGGTTCGCGAACAAATAAGAAGAACAATGCTGTAACCGCTGGACCAGGTGGTGCCGGTACTTTTACATTACTTTCATATGTCCGCATTTCTCAATCTTACTAATGTTTTTGCTTGTCCTTGTTTTTTTTACTGTGATGATGATAGTTGCTGGCTTCGACTCGGAAGATGAAGATAACGCGAGACCAATGTCCTATGACGAAAAGAGGCAGTTGTCTTTGGACATTAATAAGCTGCCCGGGGATAAATTGGGCCGTGTTGTACACATTATTCAGTCGAGGGAACCTTCACTCCGGTAAGGTTTGAAAACTTGCCGTTTTCCAACTTTCTCCAAAGTATGTATGTAGCCCTAATCCCATCCGTAGACAAGCATCACGTTACCTTATAGGGACGAGATTATTTGTAAACCACCTAAGAAGTAAAATGCTTATTACGAGATGAAAGATATTATTGGGCGCTGATCCGTATCTCATAGAAGAGTACTGGATCATATAAGGCCTTGTTGCGAGGCGTTTACTAAAAGCTATCTTTGCCTTTTTAAAGTGACTCAAACCCTGATGAAATTGAAATCGACTTTGAGACATTGAAGCCCTCCACTCTTCGTGAATTGGAGGCATATGTAGCATCTTGCCTTAGAAAGAAGCCCCGAAAGCCATACAGTAAGTGTTTTGTTCGTCATTGTAATTGTTATTTTTAATTTCCTACGAATAAAGTTTCATAAACGAAAATAATTACTATTGTGTTATCATCCCTTTCTTTGTTTCCGTTTGACTATTGTTATTAACTATTGTTATTTATTTTTTCTCTGTAGCAAAAAAATCTGCTGCAGGAAGAAAAGAAGAACAATTAGAGAGGAAACAGGAATTAGAAAAGAGATTGCAAGATATGACGGGTGTCCTTGGAGCAGTGAAGAAAGCCAAGAAAGGTCAGTCAAGTATGACACAACAACAATACTTATACCTTTACATTTGCTTTAGCTTGATCAATTCCTCACATTTTCTCGTGGAACGCGGTCTGTTTTCAAAACCATGTGTCCAGTAGGTATGACGAATGGATGACAATTTTTGTTGTTTTCTTTCAGAAGAAGCCCTTAAGAGTGAGGGAGGGGGTGAACGTCTTTCTGCCTCTTCATCCTCGTCATCAGACTCCGACTCGTCAAGCTCCTCTTCGTCTTCTTCTTCATCAGATTCCTCTGACTCGGAAGCAGGTTAAAAGTTTTCCTTCGTTCGTTATTACTACTACCACTACTACTACTACTACTTTTCTGTGGCATACATGCCACTCCAGAGGTCGTCTATATTTGAATGGGAGTTCGTCAGTATCCGTACACAAATGATGATGCTGATTATGATGATGATAGGATAAATTAGTAGGTCGTAGTTTAGCTAGGGAAGAAGTTGTAAAGTGACTGTAAGAGAGGGACTCAACTTTTAAGAATTTGCTATATAATTTAGCCTAGAGTGCAGAATGTGGTGTTCTTCTCGGAGAAAAAGGCTCTATTTACTCACATGTCGCGATTGTCAGCGGAGGAAGGAGAAGGGGTGCATATAGTAATTTTATTCAATTTCAACCAAATGTGCAACATATGTCAATTGTTTGTGTACCTTCAACGGGGTTCATTCATGCGGGGTAACCTTTGGTTAACCATAGTTTACATTTCTTGAGAAATGTCTTTCAACTGCTAATAGTTTTCATATGTAAAGCCTTTAAAGCTTGATTGTGCGCTAATACTGCGAGAATGACGCTATTTAGTATGATGAGCGAAAGACGAGTAAATGTTTGGGTACCTTTTCGCAAGGAATTATGATGGTGATGATGATGTCCTTTGATGATGATGAAGACACAACATGAATGCACTCGTGGCTTCTGTTCTCAAATTCTTCTTCCCCTGCAGTTTGCCCTTCCTTTTTTTCAAAAGTAGCAATGTTAAACATTCCCGGTTTTGAAAAGTATGAAAAAGAAGAAGCTCTATAATATGTAGTAGCAGCTCAGTCATTGTTCGTTCCCCACCTCCTTTTTACTGTTCCTTAACAGAGTACTTTTTCAAATTTTATGATGACTTTTTGGCACGTTCAAAATTTGCATTTTATGTGTTCGATAGTTACTATTGTTGTATTACTGTTGTTGTTGATGTTGTATGTATCAAAAAAAGTACCAAGAAACAAGGGAAGAAAGAGTACTACAAGAGGTTATTTTAAAATGTTTTCTCAATTTCTACTCAGAGTAGTTCGTGTAGTAATGATACAGTCTCAGATTTTATTTCAAAATTGATTTTGTAGTTTATACAACCACTCCTTGTATATTGTAAACTGTTATAAAAGATAAATCTAAATAAGAAAGCTGAATTTTTATAATGGAACTTGCTTGTGCCGTTACTTTCTCCGCGCTAATAAGTTTCTCAATAAAATTGAAATGTATCCAAAATTGTGATATTATGCGCTTGATACATTTTCTAAGAAATTGTGGTTTATTGTTTACTGTTCTCGTCTTAAAGCCGTCCCTCGCCAATGACCAATTCGCAATGCATACAAGTCTTACAAACAACATCACATTCTGCACTTTTAGGAAACTTTATTATCGAGAGTTTTGCGTTCTATATAAATTGTATATATAAGGTTGGATCGTTGAAAAATGTCCTCTAGTTATTCCTTCGCTTCATTAATTACAAAGAAAAGAAGCTACCAAAAATTTCGGATTGTAAAGAATGAGGAAATAGGGCCGAAAGTGTCACCTGTAAAATTTTATATGCTGACTGCAAAGAGAGAGAATGTTTGTTGAATGAGTATATATCTATAGCTATATTTTTTTAAATCGTTGACTGAAGAATCTCAGATTCCTATATATATAAATATATATATATATGCTTTTAGGAGACACTACAAAAAAACAGGGAGCGAGAAAGTCTCCATTGAAGGTAAGGCCTGAATCTTAACTGGCCGATAAAATAAGATTATTTATGCAATCAGACTGGGGTTGTTCGGTTGCTTGCTGACCTAAGCCCTCCTTAATGTGCAGGTTGTACCTCCTTCTTCGCACCAGCCAAATATGAATAGTATCACAGCATCAACAGCATCATCATCATCCGCTGTTGCTGCTCCTGTTGGCCCCCCACTCAACAACGGCGTTGGTGGAGGTCCTATACCTCATCATACTGCAACTGGGCATTCTCACAGTCATGGTCTCGGGGGACAACAACAACATAGGCAACACCACAACCCCGGTAAAAATCATTGATTAATTACCACAACTATTATAATTCTCAAGCGTTGTGGTGAAGTCAAAGATATTTTTATCGTGTAGCCTTAGCTGATAATGGAATTCTGCCGGATATGCGCAACGGAGTTATGGAGTCAATGAAAGGCGGTCCAGGGAAATCAAACGTTGCTGGAATGTTTAGCAGTAATACAGCGGCCACCGGTGGTGCAAATATCGCTTCAATGACTCACCACCATTCAGTCATGCACCAGTCCATGAATTTCAATATGGGCTCAGGTCTCGTTCCAAACATGAACAATTCCGCCATAATGCACCAAGAATTTTCCATGAACGAAACTCACCTGAGCATGAACGGTTCGTTTGTGTATTTTTTAATGTTCTTACGTACACGAAAATCTTCGTGCGTCTTTTACCCATTCATCAATTATGCTTATACATTTTTTATTATTCCGATTCATTTCAGCAATGCCCCCGTTTAAGCAAGAAGTTGAATTAAACGAACCTGATATTGATATGTTGGATGGTTCGAAGCAGGTATCATCGAGATCTAATATAAATATTATTGGGTCCGATCACCAATACCACTAAAAAACTTATTACAGGGACGATCAGCCGCAGCGCAACAGTCAATCAAGAACGCCTGGTCATCGTTGGCGCAGACTGGAGGAGCTGGGGGAGGAAATAGGAACAAACCTCCAATAGTGAAGGATTCTTTCCAACAGTTTAAAAAACAAGCACAGGAGAAAGAGGCACGTATTAAACAACAAGAAATGAAGCGTCGTCACATGGAGCAAATTGATCGTGAACGCCAGCGTCACGAGCAAGAGAAACGTCAAATGAAGGAAGAGGAGGAAGCTCTAGAGCATGCTAGACGAGCCATCAAGACTGAACCTCCTCCTCCTCCTACCGCAGCTGCCATCAAGTAAGCGTCGTCGTTTGTATCTACGACTCTCCATTTCGTATATGAATTCAATTCATACTGACATTAAATTTATTTCTCTGAATAACAGGATGGAGTCTCTCGGATCAAGTTCAGGAAGCAATAGCCCAGCCGACGTTGAAAACAAAGAAAGAGAAAGACAACGACTTAGAGAACAAGAACGACGACGAAGGGAGGCTGTAAGTGAATGATGGATGAATGCTGTATTTGTATAATCACAATGAGCTTCACATTAGTTATTTTTTGTAAATGAATTAATCTCTAATATGTACATGCAAATGTATTTTGTATTACAGATGGCTGGACAAATTGATATGAATATGCCTGCGGAACTCTTGGCCGAGTTTGAGGAAAATCTTATATAAAACCGTAGCTGCTGCTACATGGTTTTGTTAATTTTTTAATATTTAAAACACATGGATGTACACGTAAATTGGGGAAGATGATAACTCGCCCAATTTGCAGCTTTATAATAATAATATAATATGTAATAACTAAGAAGTAAGGAGGATAGACATATTTTTCATTACACAGTGTAGACCTATATACCATGTTTTCGATACACGTACACATATATACTTATACTTTTCGTATTTTTCGCCATATTAATCAGAGCTCGATCGGCGAACCTATTTAATAAATTGTACTGAATATTGTAAGTAGAATACAATAGAAATTATGCGTATATAACCCTGTTCCCATTTTTTCAAAAATAAAAACAAATTTAATTGCGTTAAAAAAACTCAATGTAGATATACTTTATGAGAAGGAAAAAATACATTTGTGTCCTTGTTCCTGTACTCTTCGCTGTTTGAACTACCGTGCTACTGTAAAATACTGTGTACTTTTTACCAATCGTATGTATAAGACATCTAATTAGCTGATTGGCAAAATTGAATGCGAGGAGTTGACCTTCCGATTCAGATAAATCAAATCAGATGATTTGCAATGTTGTACATACATTTGTGACCTTTCAAAAAAGCATAAAGATATTTGTACACTTTTTCTCGCACTACCTAATATGCGATCAAAATCCTTGATGATTTTCTATCTGACGACATAATAATAGATACGTAGAAACATAATTTTGTTATTGAAAAATATTAGTTTCTGCACATTATTTTGGACGCAGAGAGATGATGAAGAAAAACAAGATATAGTTGGACGACTGATATGAGAATTTGTAGCAAGCAACCAGCACAGCGCATATTTAATGTTACTAACACATTTAACATTAAATTTGTAGTAGATTAATAAATGAATGAACCCCATAAAACATTACAATATTGTTCGGTAACCTTGTCCAAAAATATTGATCGAATAGTAGCTGAACTTGAAACTGTTTCTTTTCTCATTATATTAAATATATATTGTACCAATTCATTATGGTATTGATACATTTGATGTTCAGTAATAAATAATAATAAATCCGATTTGAGACAGAAAAATTGTGTTTGTTTTTTGTACAAGCTTTAATCATTTCATTTCTCATTCTTACAATTAAATACTTGATGAAATAACGGGAAATACTTAAAATGGAACAGTTAAACAAGCAATATTTTCTGCGCATCGTCATCATCCAAAAGTGAAATAACATTTATGTAACACTTATTTATTTATGGGAAGCTTCAAGTTTGGAATATTTGAGGAAACGATATCATTGCACTGCACAAGAACTATATAATAATACAGATAGATCATCATATTTATTAAAATAAGAACTGAATATAAAAATTGTATCTACTTGGTAGGCTTTAAAATCATTATATGTGATTAAAATAAAATTATCTCCTTGTTCGAGAGGAATCGGTATTTAAGCGATGCTGTTGGATCATGATGATGATGGTGACGAGTAACAATTTTTGATTTGAAGTACACAAATATAGTAGTATAAAATTACAAAAGCTTTGCAAAAGCTATATAGATGTAGAAAAGCTAAGCCCTTTAGTAGGTCAGCAGCTAGCCGTAGATTTAAAAAAAAATGATAAAATGATGGTTTTCACAACATTAAGAATGAATGTCATTGGTCCGGCAGGAAACAACTTTTTCGTCGTATTTTGTATAAAAATACGCCAACATAAGAAAATACATCTTAGCAAATAAGATTAATAATAACAATAAATAGGATTATGTAACAAAATAGCTTTGTAACTGTTGTACGCATGTCAGTGTAACTAAAATACAATCTGTGACTGCCTGACACATTATCGAAACTTATATTTTTCACATACATTTACAGCAGCACTCTGTTACTCTAAAACAGTTTAGCTTATATCTGTACCTTTTTGAAAGTCTGTTGAAATTACATGAGCAAACAATATCATAATTTATAAATAGCTGGAGTAGTCTGTGCATTCTTTTTCAGGCATTTGAGAATTTTTACAGTTTCATACGCTTTTAATGAGCTACACGCGCGCATATACATACATACATACACACACAGGTTGAGTGCCACATTTGCATATCGGCAGCAGACGACACAGACAATTACATTTTTTAAAATCAATGTTGTTGTTAGTAAAGATGAATGGGACGAGTTCTGCCGAGAGAAGGATAATTTTTGGAGGGGGAAGGGGGAGGAGAAGAAGAAGGATTTACTTTGCTTCCTCTGCTGCTTTGACTTCTTCCTTTTTCTCGCCCTCAGCTTTGATTTCATCCCCTTTCTCGCCCTCCTTCTCCTTGGCTGGCTCCTTCTCTTCGTCCTTTTTCTCCTCTGGCTCCGGTTCTGGCAAGTGGGTGTTCATCTTCAGAGAGGTACAAATTGTGTCCCAGTCTACAAACAACGTATTAATATATAACGTGAATTATCTTTTAAGCACCTATTGGCAAACAAATTCAGAAATCAGCAGCAGTAGTTGGTAGTTGTTGAAGACTACACGTAAACCCTGATTATGAAAGCCGATTTTTCGTTTAAAATTACGTACCTGGGAAACAACGTTCCTTCATACGAGCCAAAAATCCATTAAGATTGGGGCAGTTCTCCAGCATCCAGTCCCGCAAATCGTATTCCACGCACTTGTCCACATATGCAATTTGACTGAGGTTTGAGAACGTTACAATATCCAACTGAAATTATTATTTTTCATCGTGATTTTACGTTATATATATCATCAAAATTCGCACTTGGACATGGCAAAAATTTAGAACTGTAAATTAGTAGCTTACGTTGGAGGGCTTGTCTCCAAAAAAGAAATCCTTGTTGCCCAATGTATCTTCCAAAACCTTCAGATCTTGCTTTCCTAATTCCAAAATTTCTTCTGGTGAGTGTACACCAAGACCGTGAGCCTTAACCTTCTTGACGCCCTTCCTCGAGTACGTGAGTTTAAATACAATATTTAGCACACCGTTTGGAATTCTTGATCCGAGAGCATGCTGAAGGCTTAGTTTGCAACCCTGTATGACGTAGACGTAGATAAGTTCATATTTCCAAGTTTACTATTGTTATGTATTTACATAGAATATACTCGTACCTTAATCATAGCATCAGGATTTTTTGAACGCCAGTATACATACACCCAACACAAATGATTCTCAATCATAGATATGAGCGCATGAGACACATTCTTCTCGTCCGTCCGAAGATTTCCATCCGGATCCACGCCAAAGTGCTGGCTGAGTTTTTGAACAATGACTGCCGAGTCAGCTATCTCTTCTCCATTTAACTCCACAAATGGAAGCTGCAACGAAGCCCAAACCACTTGTTTAATTACTTACGAATTATACTGAATCTCTTATATTTCATGTAAAAAAACCTTACCTGCCCCTTAGCTGACTTGTATCTGAGTTTGTGGTCAACATTCTACAGAGAAATTGGCAATTTAAAAATTAATAACCTTAAATACAAACCATTCAAGCACACAGTACAAAATTATACTCTAGAGAATGACACTGGGCGGTGTAATGCAAATGCCTTTGTGCTGCAATTTATTCAAACTTTTTATTTTCTGTATTCAGTAACCAAAAAAACAACTTGAAAAGAAGAAAAATAAAATAGCCATTTGAATCATTTCATTCCAGTCTCATTCAGAAGAGATTATTTTGACATGAAACATGTACTCTTGAATATGGGTTTACTTAACGAGAAGCGACGAGAAAAAAATTTAACGAATAAATATTTTCCCAATCTTCTCCAATTTCATATCTTCTCTTATCTCGTGTTCCAAAGAATAGAACAAAAACATGCCAACCTAAGAGGAACAACTCTTAGATAACTCCCACATCCTTCTTCTGCTCCTAATCTAATTCTTTGACAACACAAGTCAAAGTTTAACATGATATACCACGTATACAGTATACATACAATATTGAGTTGGACACTAACAAGACATCATACATATTCAGACCCCATCGTGATGCACAAGACCTATAAATTTCTCCAATGAAATTGGGTGGAACAGGCTTCTCAAAAAACGAAAGTAAGCAATGTCATGAAAAATCATTACTACAGCCATTAAAATTATTTAAACACGTCAACGCTCGCTCTATGAAATAAGCTTCATAATATGCATTATTCTCATCGCAGTAAGGCAAAAAGACAAATGAGAAATTTCAAAGATGTAATCATAAACTAAATAAATACCGAGAAAAACATGACAGGCTAGCAGAGCTCACTACTGTGTAATATATCTCAGGACCATAGCTGTTCATTTCATCTCACCACAATCCACAAAACCACAATCCACAAACCAATCCACCAACTACAATCCACAAACCAATCCACCAACTACAATCCACAAATCCACAAACCACAAACCTTTCCACAAACTACAATCCACAATTCCACAAACCACAAACCCTTCCACAAACTACAATCCACAATTCCACAAACCACAAACCCTTCCACAAACTACAATCCACAATTCCACAAACCACAAACCTGTCCACAAACTACAATCCACAATTCCACAAACCACAAAAAAATCTTGTCCACTTTCCACACCACAGTCCACTTTGTGGATCCACACTTTGGTTTGAACAGCTACATATGCTAATTACTAGTAATTACATACATAATTAAACACGTGTTTCAGAATTTTTCATAATGCTCAGTTGCAACGAAGTTATAACGTTATACGTGAGCGACAATTCGCATTTTTTACAGCGAAATTTTAAGATCCAAATTCCCGCTTACGGATTATAACATGGTTTTCAGTGTGCATTTTGAAAAATCATGAAACGTGTGTTTAACTATTTATCTAAGGCTATATCATTCACAGGAATGCCTCAAAACTTAACCATAACTATAAACTACAGACCTGCCCACATTGTGGACCAGTCTGTGGTTTTGTGGATTGTAGTTGTGGACTCCACAACTACAAACCACAAACTTTTCCACAAACTACAATCCACAAACCACAAACCCTTCCACAAACTACAATCCACAATTCCACAAACCACAAAAATATCGTGTCCACTTTCCACACCACAGTCCACTTTGTGGATCCACACTGTGGTTTGAACAGCTATGCTCAGGACAAACAATTAAGCCATAAACCAGTTGTTACTCATCAAGTTGCTCTCAAATGTTATTATACATTAAATAATTAAATTTGGCTCGAATTTCTGGTCTTATCATTTATGACGTTATTTATTTTGTTTTATAAGAGTCATATGAGCGTTCAAAGTTCTAGTCAGTATGCTATCTTGTTGTTGAGTTTGCTCAGTTTGAATGTCTGGAATTCCAAGAGGCCGGACAAGTAAAGCAAGCGTATGAAACCTCTCCTGACTCGGTCGGTTGGTAAGTTAACATTGCATTGAATTGCATGGCCCTGAAGACTCTGGAACCGAATTGGGTGCATAGTGCCATATCGTTTATCTTCTGCCACCATGGGGCAGAGGGTGACTAACCTCTCTCTCTCTCTCTCCAGTATAATACTCCTAAGAATATATATCTTCCCAAGTTTCCAGTTCACTTTCAGTTCGGCCAGGAGTCTCTCTCTTTCTCTACCCGGCACAAGCCCTAGACGCCGGGCTAGACCAGAAACAAATCAATACTTTTTGTTCCTAGACAGGCAGCAACAAACCAAATCACTATAGGAGCGGTTGGAGGTGACAGAATATACTGTACGTAATGTCTACATGTAATGGGAAATCCCAATGACAATGCAACCTATTATTGCTGGCAAGACATAACATTGGTGACATTTTCGTTACTTTATTCCTCTCTAAACTAGCAAAGCTCAACCACAGCTCAAGAAAAGGAGGGGATTTGACAAAATCTTTTAATTATTCTAATAAATTAGATTATCTTTGATCCTGAGTGCACATCTTCTGGTTGAGCAGAGATATAATGCATGCATGTACGTAATTATGTGAACTCTGTGCACTTCTGCATCTGCATCATCACGCAACAAAAGGGAAGGGTCACGTTCATAAACCATCAATTTTCATGACGTGATTGAACTGGCTTAGTACAAAGTGCCCTTTATTTCACACGCACCCAAGTAGTGGTATTTGTGAGTCAAGTCAGGGTGTGGCATCGCCACCATATGCACGATTTGGATTGGATTTCCAACTGCATTAACTGCATCCCCGTCTGTCTGTCTCAGTTAAAGAAATAGCCGAACCGAAACCCGGGTTTATTCCCCCTCTCACTCTCCAAGTAGTACTCTTACCGCCACTCCTAAATTCCCAAGTAGGAAATGCAAATAAACCAATGCCCCACAATCAGGACGACTACATGGGTATTGGGTAATAAAATAACACGGCATGGAAGCTCCCAAAGTGGAAAGATGATATTTCAGCCCAAACTTTCTCCTCTCTTTCAACTAACTAATCCATGTGGTGAGAACTTGTGGATCCTGGTGTATGTATCACGTGGAAGAAATAATTTGGCATAAAGAATAATTTCAAATGAACACTAAATAGATCCAGCGTTGGCATGGCTTACATTGTATGGATAACTCTGGGTTGCTATTTAAAACAGCTATAATTCGCACATTGCCCCACTTATTAAGAATGAGATGACAACCAACTATATAGATTTACATGAAAATGCTTGTCCACAACTAAATGCTTTTGTACCAAAAATTGCGAGCAGCTCACGATGCCATGCCCTTACAGAAGGTAAAGTTTGTCGTTGGTTGGACCTACCTCATACTTGATGTCGTAGAGGCGGAGGAAACTTTCCACCTTGAGAGAGTAGGGGCTGAGTGATGGGAGGACGGGGGTTCTACAGAATTGGTACAAGTAGACGACGTCCTTCTCAAAGTCTGCCTTGTGGACGCGCGGTGGGGGTGGTGGTGGTGGGGCCACCTCCTTCTTCTCGTCCTTGCCTTCCTTCTCCTCCTTCTCATCTTTCTTCTTCTCCGGCGACTCTACTTTCTTGGCCTCGTCCCCCTCAGCCTCCTTCTTGATCTCCTCCCCCACCACGGGCTTCTTCTCTACCACCTCGGCCGACATCTTCTCCTTCTTATCTCACTAAACGATCTCTAGAGGATCAAATGAATGCGGCGATCAGCTTATCGCACGGGGACGTCTTCTTGTCGTCTCGTGTCTCTCTCTGCACCACTTTTTGTCTCGTCTCGGGCACTCGTCACTTCTGAAATAACACAATAACATTCCATTAGTGAAATCCAATATTAGTTTAGACTTTCTTTTACTACGAGAAAGTTATCCTATTGAGAATTATATCAATCAATTAACTAATTAGTAATTAGAAACCCCACTCACATTTTCAATCGGTAAAATTATTACTGGGCATGAATACTATAGTCAACAATATATAACAAGGTATTCTATTCAGAACAAACGAGTTGAAATGAAACTATGAAATGGAGTTGATTTAATGGATCAAACAAATACATTTAATTTGCTAAGACGTACTCCCAACTAAAACATTTGCATACTAAATACTAACTAAACCATTTCACGACTAACAGACTGACTGATCATAATTTAAACTAGGACATTATTTGTCTTTGTTTATACTCGATTACGTATTACTTCTAAGGCGTATTTCTTGGGAGGACCTACTTAATATTTATTGTACTGTTGACATTTGTTTTTTTTGCATGGTGGTTGTGCCAATGTATGTTTTTTTTCTGCGTACTTGGCTTAACGACCAGCAGCTTGTCACACAAGTTTGTCATGCGACTTTGTTCAACCCACTTCATAACAAAATAGAGAATTGATGCACATACACATTTATATGAAAAGTATATCGCATTTGGTATTTCCCACTTGTCGTATTATACGATAAAAAGTATCAAAACTCTGGATAAAAATGGAAGCCGGAAATCAAAAATTGTCCTCCCTCCATCGGCTCCCTTGCAGGGTTACCACTTGCAGGGTTACCACTTGGAGGGCACAAAAAATCAGTCTAACCGGACCAACGTAGGTGAGGTCAGCGGGGGTGTGTCGGAGGTGCCCTTGAGGGTGTGGCAATGGGGGCGGCTTACCTGAAGACTGGAGAAGATGTTTGCGGGAAGGAACACAACGGCTGTTGGCAAGAAATGTTGGAGGAAAGAGAGAGACGCGTCTTCTTCTGGGTCGGTGGTGCTGAGTGGTGGTGATGGAGCCGGAGAGAGCGTGCGAGTTAGTGAGGAACGCTATTTGAGGGTTGAAGAGCCCAGCCCTTGGCTATCCTGCACTGCACAAGGAACTCACCACCACCACGGCTGCCACTACGGGATAGAAACCAACAGCTTTGTCGCCCAGCCGCCAGCCTCCCTCGTCCAGCCCCCGCTTTCCTTCCATGCATGCTATTTTCATACCCCTTCCTCAACACTGATGGAAAAAATACCTAGAGAAATCGCAGGCCCGGTGCGAGTAGAAGGATCCACCGACAGGATGCTCTTCTAAACACCCTGGCCACGAACTCTACCCGAAATCAACCTCAACTACGAATCCCCTTCTCATGTGTATTACTTTCACCACCGGAAGTATCTCGCATTTTTGCCGTTTTCTCTCTCCATACTCCCAACCTGTCTGGCAGAGGATATTTTAACAATCTTTTTTTTTCCTGTGAAAGTTGAGTTTCCTGCGTGGGTAGGTGGATGGTAGTCAAAAAACTACAAAGGGGTTCACCTAACAAGCCTTATTTTATTTGATGATATTCCTATACATTTCGTCATGGTCCTGCTGAGGAAAAGTAAACGGGATGGAGGTGTAGCTTTCTATCTATCAGGTATTAAGAGACAGGTGGGCGGCATTAGGCGTTACGATGCATGTAATTGAATTGTGCTCAAGCTTTGATTTTGCGTCATGATGACATGAGGGACCCCTTTATGAGACTGATTTCTTTGAGTGATGATGATGATGATAATTCAATGTAGGCGTAGTTTGGAAGATTTCTTCCAAAATGTTTACGAAATTGAGTATGAATTGGATAAAATGGTGGATCATATTATTGTGCTAAAGAAGATGTATGGGAATTATGGGATTTGCATTTCACAGAAAGCTCAGCCCCTGGCAGAGAGAGACTGAGGATGAGTTCACACAATTGGATATTTATTTCTTGTTATCATCATCATCCTGGAATGAAAATTGGAGCATGACTGCTCATCATAATGATCTGTATGTAGCAAATAAGCTGTACACGTCCAGCCCGCTTCACTTGCTTTCACTCATTTCCATATGTGTATCAAGGACAATAAGATGATTGCACCTTCTCCTGCTCTACACCAAAGAGAATGAGAAATTATCTCATTAATAACTAGCTCCTTGAGGCTCTACCGAACGCTGATATTCCTCAGCAATACATGTTTTCAGCCAAAATGGTGCCTTAATTTCTCATTTTCATCTCTCTCTACTCAGCCTCTGCTACCGTGGTGGCACACAGAGAATAATGCAAATGGTGTCAAAAGTAATATCTACACGAGTCTTTTCAGTCGTGGGGATCATTATTATTACAACCAAGCCTTTCCGCATGTTATTGGGCGTTTGATGAGCAAAAATTCTTTGAAGTTAGAATTATATATAGTCAGAAAAACTAGGTCATTGTTATAGCCGTGTCCGTTTGTGAACGTGATGATAAGTATATTGGTTAAAACAACCATTCTATTTGATCACCAACATCCATGACTCGTGTAAATAAATAATCGATTCCATTTGTGAATATCTGGGCCGAAGTATCTTTCTTTTTGTGGCGAGATGAGTAGTACTGCATAATAAACGGGAAATGATACCCCGAATTTAATGCATTCTTTGTATGTACCAATATTTCAGTTTTTCAGTTCCGCTTAATGGGTACATGTAGTATGCATTTATGCTTCTAGATTCTATTTAGACCAATCGGATTATTACTGACTCTAACTTACAGAGCTACTACACGGTCACTGAATACAACTGCTGGACCCTAATCAAATTAGTCTTACGCCGCAAAATTCCGGTGCAATACACATAGTACTACTGCTTCAAATAATGGGAAACTCGATCCCAAGAGAATGAAACAATTTGGTCCCATTTAGACCCATGTCACGTCAATTAAGCTTGTCATGTGCTATTTATGAAGCAAAGGGGGGACAGAACTATGTATGTGTCTACATATGTAGCATGTTGTGAATGGAAATATGACTTTAATTGGCAGTAACGAGCAATAATCAGAAACATTGCATCATCACCATCCGTCATCCAACAAAGGAGCATCATGTTGATCATTGAATTCAATAAACTGGCAACTTGCAAAGAGCACGCCATGGAATAATATGTACTACACGAGCACGCGTTAAAGCGGTTCATATTTATGTGTCGGATTGTTTTTTTTCTATCATCGCGTTTTACATGGTACTCACTTCATTTAAAAAGCTACGACATACCTACATATTTATACAGTGTCCAGTTACTACAAGTATATATGCATACGTACTGGTCACTAGTACCTGTATGTACTATGTATCCACAATTCGCGAATTGCAAAATTCTAATTGCCTATTGAATAATAATATAATAATAATAATTTATTACAATGAGATACCCCACAAGTGGGACATTACATCTCAAGGAGAGTAAAAAATGGTTACATATTATTACATATCATATCAAATTCATATGCATCAATCAATTCAAAAATCACTCTCAGTCTATCATCACATTGATTGTTGACAAAATGTTGTTTTACACGTTTTTTAAATATTTGGAACCTACATATTACTATTCAATCATACACATGGTAGAAGAGGAACCATCATTAACCTTGAAATTTATTTATCACCTACACACCTACTACCTACACGTGTATTTTTGTGTGTGCTTGTGAAAGCACACAATATTTTGCTGAGGTAGGCATTTATTTGTTTACGTGCGAGTTTGTTGGGTTTCAACAATGGTTAAGCCATCGGTAAACCCCTTCATCCTCTCGCTTTGTAATTTATTATTCTTTTCAACTAACTCCACACATGTACAAACTCTGTACACGAACTTCACAAATAACATCTTGGTGAAAACTTTGTGCAAGTTTATAAAACTCTCCAGTGAACAGTACTTCAAAGTGTCCATGGATCGAATGTGAAGAAATAGTTCAAGCACATGTCCACATAATCACTCGTGAAAGCTGCTTACGAGTTCTGAAACTATTTCTTTGAATGGATAACTAAGTATATGGACGGGATTTGCAAAGAGAAAGTTTACAGATATCCCACATTTATAACAACAACAACTATTTCATTCGAATTGTATGGCTGAAGGCTTTGTCCACCCCATTTTGTAAATGTTTTTTTAAGTTTGACCAAATAGGATGAACAGGAAGGAAATCATGAAGACGAAATCATGAATCACAACGGACGGTGGCGGCTGGACTTTCTCTCACACCTCGCTTTCCGTTCCGTGTTGTTTGTGGACGAGCATGAAAGGATTAATTCTGCAAATGTCTCGAATGACGCAATTTTGTGACCTGTTGGGAGGTTTGTCTACCCCATTTTCATTTTCACCGGATACATTACCCATGTGGAATACTAATTATTTCGATGGCAAATTCTTCTATTGCTGACGTGAGGTGTAAGGAAAGTGTGTAGCTTTAGATCGCTACATGAATCTACCATACATAAATATGTTGCAAGGAGCATAATAAATCAATCCACTATATGTACGTTTATGCAGTCGTAAATACAGGACTGGAAGTAGTCCAATGTTCCCCAATGATAAGTAATGGGCACTTTTTACATCGTCGTTCTGATCCAAATCGAACCAGATGTATAAATGAAATCTTTCTGACGTATGCATAAAGGACATTAGGCGTTTCTGACAGCCCCCAAGCTGCCAATAAAAGTCATCCAAAAATCATTGACCAGAAATTGGTAGCGGTGATGGAGGTAGAAATTGCTTTGTTTGCTCTCGTGTGTCTACACGCCACTCTAAATAAAGTGTATGTACACCGACTTGAGCACATAAAACCGAGTTTTTCTATTTGTATGGATATTATCCTGAGTAAGTTTTACTCAACCGAAAACCAAGTAGAAATCGACCAATGCTGTACCTTATAATATTATATTATTGAGTAAAATTTACGTAACTGAGGATGAGCACATTAGAAAATTGTCGTCAATCGACAGATATATTTTACGATATGTTTTTATATTTATTTCTCGTAGTACTCATCCTCAGTTGACTACAATTTACTCAATTATCTGGAATTACTAAACCTTGAGGTCGTTGTTTCTATCATCTCATTTCGGAATCAATGATTTGTATTGAATTTGGTCATCCCTGATCAAATTTTACTCACATTATTTAGCGTATATGTATGTATATTCTATGATAATATATGCATATGCATGCATGAGAAATGACTAGTAGACATTGGTATTTTGTGCAAATAATTATGAGGAAAAAGCATGAGGGTTATGAGGAGCAGGGAACCAACCAACATATTTGTATAAATTGACTCTGTAATTATAAAATCAATTTGGCTGAGTTGAAGGTAAATATGTAAATGGTGGACTCGTCGTCGAGGCGAACGAAGAAAATCCACTGTAAAGAGAAAAGTTCCTCCAGGAGGAAAAAGAAGGAAGTGAGACGACGAATGGCGTGGAAAATGGTTTATTAAAACTGCGATGATTGCCACCCCATTTCACTGTAAATCGTATGAGGTGCAATGTGAAGTTATGCCTATATATTTTGTGTGGATCTGCATATGTGTATACCATTACCCATCCAACTATATCGTTATCAGCATATGCATTGCATTTGCAGGTAAACTGTCGCTCATCAATTACATCTGACATGTTTGGATACGAAACCATTGAGCGAAACGGGACAATATGTATGTACAAACTGGACACTTATTAATAACCTTGTGACTTTCACCGGAATAAAATAATGCAGCTTTGATAGCAATATATAAAGTACCAGAGATGCAGCATATTATATGCACTCATGTAGCGAATAGCTATCCATTTTATTACTCAACAGTATCAATTTCAAACTTGTTAAGCAATAATAATACGAATCATTGCCCCACTTCCTGTCTTCACCCATGAATGGGTGGATGGCTCATTGAAAGGAGACAGGATAATGGAGTAGTGAAAGTGATGTCGGTGTGGATTGGATTGGAACAACACTCCTCACTTACCAACACCAACACCGACGATGGGTTACATTTGTTTGTGTGCTTGCATGTCACCAGGAAAGCAGGCACCACTTTCACTGCAACTTTCGAAGGTGTTAGTGAACGAGCATGTAATGTGTGTTGTCGTCGTCGTCGTCGTCGTCGTCTAGTTAAGTTGGTTTTCATTTCCTTCCTTCCTTACTTTCTTTATTTCTTCCCTGTTGGCCTTTCTGGCTGCCTGGTTGGGAGCAGGTTGGTGGGGAAAAAATCGATGGGGATGTGTAGGCAGCAGCCCGGGCCAGCAGCAGGAGCCAGACGCAATGAAAGAAGGGACACGGACAGATCGAAACTCAAGATGTGCGATGTGCGAACCCGAACAAAGCTCAAACGAGCTGCTTTCCTGTAACAAACTCGGCTGGTTGGTTGGTGGAGAAAGTGGTGTAGATCCATCCATCCGTCCTCCAATCCATAAGAGTTTCTGAGTGGCAGTGGCAGTCGTGGAGAGCGAGTGAGGAGAGACCACATTGCATTCCTCTTCCTTCCGCTCCGGAGAAAGCAGTTCACTTTCAGGGAAAAGTGGGTCTGGAACATTATTGTTATTATTATTATTATAGCAAGTGACATCGGGGATAGGAGCGAGCAGGAGGAGCAGCAGGTAGGCAAAAATGGCTTAGCTTACACAGCTCCTCATCTCTCAAGAGGCTTTTCCTGTGCGCTCCATACGAGCTTACCAACCCACCTGAAGTTCATACAATAAAAGCCTTTCCACCCAATCTCCCCACCTACGAGGAAAAACTCTGGGAAAGTGAAAGTCGCTTCGGAAACTTCCAGTAGACAGTCGCCAAATTTAATTATCCTTTACCTAATAATCTGAAAATTTAATTTTCCACTCTCCTCGCCTCGCCCGTACGACCTGTCAGTCACAGCTCGGTTGACTCGACTCACCTTTCGCCAGTCAACCTCGTCGTAAAAGACCATCACAAGTACACAAGTGGGAAACACATGTGCATATTCTTCGTCTGATGAATACCATTCTTCTTCTTCTCCATGCATATCAGTTTCTCGTCTTGCTTTCCCCCTCGTAACATATTCAAGCCTTTCCGTGCTGCAACACAGAACCATGATAAATATGATATCTAAGTGATTTCATCGATTGACCAACCAAAGCTCTTCTGTGTGTGTCGTCGGTGAGGAAGAAACAGGAACGAGACAAGTTTTTTCCTAACTTTCTTCCCGACTGAACCTAATTATTCAATTCCGTGAAATTATAACACGTGCATATACGTTGTTTAACAAGGCCAATATTTTTTTCTAGTCTTGACTTGGCACAGTTGCAACTGAACAGGGTACTTGTATGTTACATTTTATCAACTTGTTGAATTTAATGGGCAGTGATATTTCATTCCATGAGACAAAAACATTTTATTCTGATTTTTTATTGACAAGTAGCAAACCTTTAGAATTATAAAAATTAAATTCCATGTTTAGATTGACTGTCGGTCGACTGTTTAATAATTGGGGATCAGTATACATATGTATGACGTGGGACACAGAAAATATCACAATCACGCATAATAATTTTTAAGAGAGTTAAAAATGTGCTACGCCAGATAAAATTCGAGGTGCTAAATAGTAAATTTCAAAGATATTTAGGTATAGAATTAATATAATATAAATTATACTATATAATCCTCGGATATAGAGATCCATCTGCATATTAATAATATACATTACATACAAGTTGATTGTACCACTTTCACTTGGGCGTTTAGTTTAGAGCTATTGTTTATATTATTAAAGTGTTCACCTAGCTGCATGTCCTACTTTATCCGAACCTACTGTCGTGTACCTTACCGCAATTGTCACCGTAATGAGCTTTCCTGCGGCAGGCCAGTCGTCCGAGAAATTGATTAGTGATTTAGCGACGAATGCCTCCGCTTCGTACGAAACTTCGCCCAACCTCAACATCAACCACGCGACCAGATTACCCGTGGACGAGATTTTTAGCAAGGAAGCATCTGCGACTTCTAGCCAGCAACCCACGCAATACGATGTGATCAACTCCCATCCCCTCGATGACGCCAAAAATGTTCCTCCTGGTTCCAGTATTACCAGGCAAGCCAATATTTCGATAATATTCCTCACGTACTCCGTGCTTATATACTTAATCAAATTATAGGCCAGGAGAGTCATTATTTTTATGACAATTGTGCTCATATTACACGGAATTAACAATGTTCTACATCCCGAGTTTTTTTTAACCACAAGTGTACATATGTACATATGCACATATACATGTAATGTGTATATTCATTCAATCAGGAAATGACACTGGATAATTCATTGGCTAATTTTGCCTTGCTACTGCAATACATTTGTACTCCATTCTCTCACATTCATATTACTAAATTGATAAAATATTGAAAATATTATAAGAGCACAACATTCACTGTAACCAATTTTTCATAAAAATGTTGGATAATAATTCCAGGGTTTACAAAAAATGTGCTTCAAATGGGAGTTTGGCAGTGTACGTTGGGTAAGGTTAACATCAAACTTTGTCTGTAAATTCGCTTTGTTTTTATTAAGTCTCGATTTCGATTAATGGTGCACCTTTTATGGTTTGTCTGATTTGATGCTTAGCAGTTACAATATGTATGGACATTCTTGTGTATTCACTTGCATATATTTTGGTGTTTTAAAAAAAGGACCAGAACTTTAACTGTTGAAGGACTTCAGCTCGAACCGCTCAAAGGAGTATTGGTCCTGGACAAGGACTCCTTGGCGGAGAATGTCTCACAAAATTTTAGAATTTGGGGTGTGATTTGTTTGACTTTTCGCTATGGTCGTGAAGGTAGGCTAAAACCCTGAATAATTTTGTAATCCTCTTCAACGGTGCAGGGTTTGTGAAATAACGAACGGTTTGGTTTGCATGTAGACGAGGAAGTGTTAGGTCTCCGATTCTGCAATGAAGCCATTCTCGCCCTTAAGCAGTTGTGGCCACCCGTCTCAGCGAGTGAAAATCCAGAAAATCATTCAGTCCAAGATGAGGACGACGAGCTTACTCCTCTGCAAGTATGGGAATTACATATGTCTCATCCAATCCGTCCACGATGATGAACTTTCTCAAGTTGACGCAAAATTAATTACAATTCTTAATGAGATATTTTTGCTTGACAGGTGGTACTTTTGGAAAGAATCAGTGCGTCATCGACCTCAGCCTCGATTACTTCCATTGGTTTCACATTGTGTGCTGGGCCGGTTGGGCTGGGATCTTTCCCTCCGCCCCCCTCGGTCCTCCTCGCACCGTAAGAGACTTCTACAATTGAATTGTCACCATTCTTTAAAATAAATTATTACCATAATCCATCTTTTTGTGCATGTGCATATCACTTTAAAAATAATTTGCATAATCATGAAACATCTTTTTTTCCAGTGCCAAACCGTACAAGGGGTCACCCATTGGCACCATCTATGACCTCCGTGTATACGCTTGTAAGCCAAATTTCACTCCACTCATTCGTTATGTATGCATAAATTACGAATCCGGCTTTCACTTGTCTCAATTATCCCAGTATGAATTTCGCATGCTTCGACATATGTAATTTCGTTTTCGATATCTTCTACTATACTTCCTCCGTGATTTCTTATAAAACAGCTACTTGTCCGTGTACTACTTGTCGACTTTCATGCAAAATAAAAATACTCCAATTATTATAAGCATGCATTTAGTGCTTACGATTCCCCCATAACATCCTACTCAAATTTGGTTAGAATCGTATGGTTTGTGATAATAAGATGCTTCCTAGTGGCAATAGTTTTTATTTACTTTCTCTCACACGAATGAGTCAAGTATTAGTACGTACCATGTCAAAATAGAAATTTTTGTCGTTCTATGTAGCCGAACGACCCGAGGAGAGACCTCCAAGGAGAAATCTAATCAGATTGGCCCTCCGAGCAGGTACTCAATTACAAGAAATATAAATAATCCCATCACTTCGACATTTCGTTTCTGCCTTTAATCTTGTTATGTATCGTTTAGTTTAGAGTTATAATTTACTTTTTTGCAATTTGCAGTTCAAATACCTTCGATGAGCCTTGAACTTGAGCTGCATGGTTCTGTTGAATCTCGTCCAACTTTCCTTTCCAGAGGAAAAATTCGACTTTCTTGTGAATTGGACAGAAATGCCGTCCGGTATGGTGAGCCACTGGTCGTCAAAATTAACGTCCAGAACAACAGTCGAAGTTCGATACGACGGATAATTGTAAGCAATATGCATTTCGAATCATCGGCGAATCGTGCATGGGGACAATTGGTGGACATGGATATATGTAACGCAATGTAACGCAATGTTTTCCTTAACCAGGTTTCCTTAATTCAGCAAGTTGACGTTTGCATGTTTACCTCGGGAAAGTTCAAGAACGTTGTGGGCTTGGTTGAAGACGCAGTAAGGCTTTTCGATATGTTTACATATTCACCTTATTTTAACATGAATACTTATACAGAGTGCATAAACATTTTATTGTCTGTGGGTTCCCCTTAGCAGAAATATAATATTGCACAATGTTAAGGATATTGGTGGTTCTTGATAAGATAGCCAATGCCTTTGATCAATCAAATTAGACACTTTAAACACACATATAACTCATATAATGGCTCCTGCACTGATCCTATATGCAAGTATGTTCATGTAGAATACAAGACATTAACTAAGGTGGTCTCCGTCACTTTTAATTTCCTTATCGCCATCATCAAGGTTCGAATGACCTTTGACTTTCTCTATCCGGATACTCTTGGTTTTTTCAGATACTTCTCGTTCCTGGAGCTTCTTGTCAGAAACGCTACACACTTACTGCCGCCCGAGGTCCGGCACGTCAATGGCTTGGTAAGTACTATGTAAATAAACATATATGAAATAATACAAATGAGTTTGGCGATATTTATGCTCAGTAGCACATAAATGTAACTCATATGTATGTATCTCATTTTATTCAATTCGTGTTGAAAATGTTTAATTTTGTTGTCCACCTCTAGCACTTGAGGAAGCCTTCGGGCGTGATCCGATTCTTGCTCCTTCCACCTCACTGGAAAGCATGGATGTCCAAGCTGCTGCTGAATTGTCCTCGAAAAATACTCCTAATTCTCGAAATGTGTTCGCTATTATTGTCTCCTATTATGTCAAAGTAAGTCCTATCCGTCCATCTGCCACCCACCCACGCGTAATTTAAAATGCTCCACCATACTAACAACTTTCTCCTGGTCTCAGGCAAAGCTAGTCCTCGGTGGCCTATCTCTGTGCCAAAATGTCAAGGTGCCATTCGTTCTCCTTCCACCCCAAATCCCAGACGATCCGGACCCCTATCCTACCCCAAAGGGTGAAATTGTCCCAGTCGTCTCTGCTGCCACCACTGAAACCATCTCTCCACTCAATACCGACTCAAGTCAACGGAGAGCAACGCGAGAGGTTGGTGAAGAAAGTCATCAACTTGCAGCAGGATCACAACAGCCACAAAAATCCACTGACGAGGCTGCCAGCAGCAGCATTGCTTCCTAATAAGTCGAAAAATACGAGCATATATAAATTCTATCAAGTTATTTCAATAATGGAAATGAATTCAAGCGAAAATTGCCGTCTCATGATGCTCCAAGTTTAATATTTCAAGAACGAAGCTAGAAAATGAGTGAAAGAAAGCGGAGAAAGTATATTACAAATTCTAAACAGAATCAAGCTGAAGTCATCAATCGGTTGAAATTCAAATTCCTCTCTCTGCAAAAAAAAGAGAACACATTTGAAATTATTTACTAGTGTAATGGAGAGACGTATACATATATATGTAAAGTAAGGGGAAAGGAACATGGCGGTGGTTTGGTGGGGTTTGGTGGGGGCAAACCTCAATTAATGGGACAAGAAAGTGAGCAAGAAAGAAAGCAGACTGGACTGGACTCGCGTGATAGATGGAGAAGAATGAAAATCAGTTGAGAATTGGTCTGAGGAAGAAGCGAAAGCAACAAAGTAAACCAAAAGTATGGGACGGAACTTTTTAAGACAAAGCTAAAAGGAAAAAAATGAACTGTGAGAATTCACATCTCATCCATCAACTTCATATCTCATTGAGGAACTCAAGGAGCAATCCATTACGCTTACAAATAACTGTTACACCCAAAATACACAACCAATCGACAAAAAAATCAATCACTTATAAAATTCTACCGTTTTTACTTGAAAATTTTCATTATTCATTATTTGTCCATTCAAGTAAGCAGAGAGATAATCAGTTCAAATTTCCACCTATACATAAACTTCTCAATAAATATCCACGATAAAACAACAAATAAAATGAGTAATTATGTGGTCTTATTCGCGTGGCTGGCTGGCTGGCTGAGATTGTTGGTTTGTTTGTGGTGTTTGTGGTGGCGTGGTGGCTTTTTTACACACAAAAATTATCTTACTCAGGTTTGGTTGAGGTAGCAGAAAACATTGATGCATCATCATGTCTCTTGGGTGGGTACGTAGTACGTACAGGTTTAAGTAATCTTATTACTTAAGGAAGTCCAAACCGGCCGAAGGGCTCGCGTTTTATTCTCAAATTAGCCATGACTCATGGACCTCTTCAACTAATTTATGTATTGTATGTGCCGTATGGAGAAGCTGTACGCTGTTTCACAAAGAGAAAAGCTGTATATGTAGGAAACTCTTGCAAATTCATTTTTACTTTAAAGTCACACAATGTTGTACTCCATACCCAACACCAAATTGACCATTGTTAGATTTATCTTCTAACTGGGCCATAAATTGTCGTGTATGACAAGAAGAGAATTGAATAACGCATACATAGGAATGGAACTTCCCTGCATATACGTAAGTACATTACCATTTCATTTGAACGAACCGTACAAGTCGGTTTGAAATACATTAACTACATATAATTTTATTAACTGAATTCCGAACAGTTTAGAAATGGCAGTATCCAAATTGCAATCAAATGCCATCAAAGTGGACAATGTGCTCATTTATCACGGCGTTTGAATTAAAATGAGAAACATTACTTGTAGCACGATCGAAACCAGCGTGTACTTACTTACTTCCTATTGTGCTTACGACTACGAATGTACTTTTTGTTAACAAAATGCAGTTACTTATTGTGCATAGTTTCTCCTTGTACATTTTTGAGTTTTATATTAGCGTGGCTCTGGGATATCACATCATCGCGCATTATTATTATTAAACGGATATCTACATACTAGTCGTTGATATTGCTTATTATGCATTACGTTGTCGTATGGTGTGCGGTGGTATATGCCTCAAAATCCATCCAAACAGTCAACATTGGACAGGAATGAGAAAAAAATCCTCCTACACAAGAAAGATTCGAGGTCAACATCAATTTTTATTTTCTCAATGAACGTCGGATGAATGCTAATCGTCAAGCGTGATGCTGCTAAAGTTTTATCCAAGCCACACGTTGATGTTGCACCTGAACCTCCAATTTCATTCAGGAAGATCTCTGTGTAAACGCTTCTTTTAATTCCAATCTCTCCTCCAGCTCGTCGTGGTTCATTTGTCGAAGGCAAGATGTGCTCTTCTTCACAATACTTACACACTTGAAGACAAGACGAGGAGGAGAATGATGAGCAGCAGCAGCAACGAAACTTATGATACAATCTCAGAAAGATTATAGACCTTCGCAGACCTCAGCAGCTATCCCATTATCAGAGGGATACAATGGCCTGTAGACAGTTGGTTTGACAAGGTATTGAAGCAAATGAGTCTTTTCCCTTGTCATTCTTCTCGTAATGAGATTCTTATTCAGTCCCTAATTTGCCAAGCGGGTTCGTATTGTTTCAATTCTGACTCCAATAATAGAACAATTATTTCAAGGTGTTATTTTGATTCCAAGAAAAACGGGTATTCGGAATAAAGGACTTCGTTGTTGTGGTCATCATGATAAACTAAAAAAAATTATATCCACATGGCATGCAAAGAGCTTGAACTCGGCTTCATCTTCTCCAGCCAGCCACCAATAATGCATGTATGTATGTGCCTATGCCGTTTAGATGTGCAACAAGGTACTGATTTTATTGTGATCTACATTCGAGCTGTTTGGTGAGACGAGTGCAAGATTAACTACATTATCATTGTTTTACCTATTGCTTAGATTGGTGAAGACGGAAAAGATGTGTGTACGTTGATGCATGATGTTATGTGAGATGATTTTTATTTATTTTTCATCATCATCGTCATTTCGTTTTAGTGCATGATTTTTTCTTATCTTTCATCTCATTTTGTAGATATCTACCACTGCATATTTGCTAACCTAGCATTTATAAATAGGCTTACCTCATCATTCCAAGATGACACCTGCATTCCGAATTTAATTTATTCAAAGATTGATTCAACATTTCTTGGCTTTCTTGCGATATGCATAATGCTAAACAAAATCATGCCTTGGTACTGAAATACATATGCAGTGACTTTCATCCATGTTATCTCCAAACCCAAAGTACTTGTGTGGATATCTATTAATTATAAGTTTACGCTGGGACTTATCAATATGCTTACAACAAGGGAAATGTCTCGTTGAACGAATGTATCATCATCATGTACAATGGCCAAAAGCTTAATTATCTTCAAAGTGTCATTCTACGATGCTTTCTACTTAAGCTCAACAGTAAAAACCACTTGGACCCAGTGGATGCCAATGGTTCTTCATCCTGCCAAATCCATTTGTTTCTATTTGATCGTCCTGCATGGCTTCGTTGGTATTCACCTGGCATGCTCCTCTCCACTCGTCGGAGGAAGAAGATAACAACAAGGTGGCTGGGGGCGATGAAGTGAGCCCAAAAGCAAGAAAGGGTTTCGTTGGTGATATTATTGGTGAATGAGCGACTATCTTGTAGTAAGTCAAGTCCATGTTGAAGTCCATCTCTCTGCGTATGCATGCATCCAAGTTGTTTGTTGGTTGGTAGAGAAAATAATTTTTTATAGATTCGTCGTCGTCGTCTCTCCTTTCTCAATGGATCTTCTTCTCTCTCCACCACAGGCCAGCAGCCAACAATGACAACACATGAATTTCATTCCAAATGTATGAACATGGTACGGAGACACATTAGGATAATATTGCAGTGATTGTGGTTCGATGGGGCTTACCAGCCATGCACATAGACGAGATCACACATAACAATGCATTGAATTTCTTCTTGTGTGTTGTGTTGGGTGAGACGTCGTCTTTTCGGAAAGGGTTTCAATGAAAGAGTCATTTAACCCCATGCCTAAACCTGACCCGAGTATTATTGACTCTTCCGGATCCCAAAGGAGCATTTTCATACAATTGAGAAAAGGGAGTCAGCCAGAAAGTCCAGTGCAGCACTGTTACCTATTTACTATAAATAGGTTTTGAGCATGAGAATAAGACAACGGAAATCTCCGTATGTCCAACATCTTGTATTGTTTGACTACAGTTTATGTAGCAGAGATGAGGATGACGTGTAGTGGCAGCAATAATATAGAGCCACTACTTCGTTAAGTGAATAAAGGCCAATAAAGGGACCCTTTATGTTCCTTCTTCTGCATATATTTGTTCATGTACCCGAGGGAGCCAGTGAATGAAATGACAATGCAAAGGAACCCTGTCGTAGTGGAATAAAAACTTGACAATTTTGTAAGGCCTTCTGTGTGCCACGACTGTTAAGTAGCCATTCATCAAGTGTCGTCTCATCTCATATGAAATCCATAAATAGACACAGACTACTACTGGACTTGGTTGGCTCTCATCAATCAACAATCCACCCCGCCAAGTCCCGATAATGTGTGAATTAATTTCAAACAAGTCCCAATGTCACCTTTAATCAAAAATCAATCCTTCCCATTCGATGGGATTGTTTGATGACACGCAGTGTAAATGCTTGTACATAAATATGCATCTGCAAAGCGATGATGCTTATCGGGTATGTGCAGTTAAAAATATGTTCGTAGAAATGTAAAGATCTCAAATATGTATCTGAATTACGAATGACTTCATTCGTGACACATTAAGACAAAAACAGTTTATCAAAGGAATTGTTGTCAGTGTACGCAGGTTGTAAAAAAGAATGTATCCCGTATAAATGTGTTACTACATATATTTGGTTATCGTTGACAATTCGAGGTGAGGGTTACGTAATGAAAATGAAAATGTTTGACTTTTTATTACCCTCATATTCGCTAAATGTGTAAAAATTGTTTTTATCCACTTTATCCTCCTTTGCATACGTACGACTGCAAAATGTTGAAGAACTTGTCGAACTAATCTTTGATTTACAAAATGAGTGAATAACGTAGTTTTTAGTTAGCATGCATTAAATATTCATCAACTGTATCATAAACCGTCCGCCATCATCAGTAACACAATATCTTACGGATATCTTGATGTGTGAAACTGTGACATGGATGACGTGGACCACGAAGATGTTGTTATACCTTAAAAATCCATTCAAGTCTATTGGAGCAGGTGTTGTTTGGTACAACATAGCCTTCGCCTAACTTTTTGACTTCTTCTTCGTGGTCACTGCGAAGACGAAAAAAGTCCAAGACGAGTTTTGTGAATGAATTATGCTTGAGGGCTAGTTAGTTGGGGGAGTAATAGTCTCAACTTGGACATGACAAATGAATGTGCTGCTTGCTGCACACCAGAGTGATAAAATATACATAAAGTAGGAGTAGCATCCACCGTAATGTAATGTACTTGCAATCACAAGAAGAAGATTAATTTCAAGAATTGATGCTTATTCTTGTGAGAGAGGGTCACGTATTCTACTCCATGATGATGATGCGGGTGATGTCATTCCAAGTGATACACAGCGTGTATGTAGCTCTACAATCCCTACAAAACAAGCATCGTCATCAGATTCGTGCATTAGCAAGAGCTAGCCGATGCTGCTGGATGGAAAGGGAGACACAGGTGCATGTATATTGTATACACTTAAGATCATCTTCATCGCTGGTTGATTATTATATGCGTGTACATATATTCTATCTCGTCGGAGAGAATTATTTTTCTCAATGAAGTGGAAGAAGCCGAAAATCTTGTAGGAGGTGGAACTGCTCTTGGTTATAGAGGGAGATGTCTGTATGCATGTACATACGTCTGCGTCCATTCATGAATGAAATCTGCACCGACCAGTCTCAAGAAATACAAATACCAAATAAAAAATTAACTCAAACTCGAGTAAGATGCCTCTCATTGTAGCAACAGCAATGCAAAAGAATTACGAAATGGTTATATTAGTTCGGCAAGATTGTTCACGTATAGTAGAGTCTCAGCATAATGGGACTGCAGGCAAGAGTTGGTTGAGACAACTTGTTCAATTTATATGCTAATAACCGTGAAGTTGACCAAGAACTCTATGCAATGAATGAAATGATGATGAAAAGTTAATATCAGAGTGTGCTTCGTATTATTTTAAGGTTTTAATAATCTGGTCTTGATATATTTTGCTCATTTTTTTTTACTGATGTGGCACAGTACGTTTATTTGCGTGGCTTTTCATACCACATCGAATGTATCGTACATTGTGTGGATGTGGGAATATATAATATGTTCGGTTACACTAAAAGCTCTAATTCATAGTCTAAAATGTTGTTGAGAAAAATAAATTGTATAACAATAATAATGACAATAATGATAAAAATAACAATAACATACAGACATCCCTGCAAGCAAAACAATACGCTGCGGGTATGCTCGGGTAACCTCTTCTGCAACGTACATACGTAATAATACATAAGAAACAATGTATGTATATGAGATGGACACGGGTGCAAAAGTAAAATATTTCATAAAATGTGATTTTGTACAAAATATTGGTAACACTAGCATCATCATCCTTCCATTAATTTCACTCTGTCTGTTGTGACATAACGAGAAACGAGGCGAGATTTTATTTGCTCTAACCAACTATCAATGCACAAGAACTTTTATACTTTACCCCAAGATTCATTAATTCCTTACTCTGTATAAATCAGGTTTTAGGTGTTTTCTTATCAACAGGTAAAATATTAGCTATTAATTATAGACCAGTTTTGTTTGGGGCACAACTCTATATAAATAAGACAATAATAATCTCTTACAACAGGTGTCAACAATTTAATTAAACTGTGACGTGTTTTCGTTTACTTTTAATATTGCACATGTAATGGCATCAGATTTATTTTATGACTTACTATAAAACTTTGTTAGGTCAATTTGTTGTCAGAATTGTAATCATATTTATCTATATGATTTTAATCTTTTATAAATTACTTGATTTATTCATCACATCACATCATTATTCTCTTGAAAAAATAACGTCTTCACTTAACAACTAGAAAATATCAAAATGCAAAAGCGTAATTAGATGGAACAAGAGAATTTGTTCATCTTCATCTTAAAATGTACGAATGTAAAAGTTTGTGGTGGTGGTGATATAATGCTAAATAGCCTCTCTCTGTCGGTAATAATATGTATTGTCTCCCACTTCAAAATGTATGTATGTAACTTAATAATGGACGGTTAATTGGCACTCTCTCTGGAGATTGGAGTCTTGGACTCTGGCACACTCGTTAAAATTCCAATTATTCTGTCTTATTCTAAATGCGAATGAAAACACGAAAATTTCATCTCATTACAATAAGACAATTATGGCACAAGTAGAATTCACACTTTATGATGACTACAACTAACGATAAATTAATCTTATCTGTACGCATTGGTATTTTATGAGGACAAGAGAACAACAATTGTTCCTATGAAGTAAGGTAAAGCTGATTGTGTTGGTTGGTATTATTTCTACTACGTACTCAGACCTCAATTCCCGTGATGGTTGGCACTGCTCGTGGTAAAATGAGCTTGATTCTTCCCTGGTTTAGGTAAATGACGCTTCATGTGCAATGCCAAGTGATCCGATCTAGCAAAAGACCTCTCACATACCTTCATGGAAAATACAAACTTAGCGAATGAAAACAATTACGTAGAAATTAAACCAAATTATCGGTGCTTACTTTGCATTTAAAAGGTTTCGCCCCCGTGTGCTTGCGATAATGTCGGGTCAACTCGTCACTTCTTGCGAATCTCCAAGAGCATCCTATCCATCGGAAAAAGTTCACATTTATAATGAGCTTAATTGTTCTTTGGCTGCAGTTATAAAACATCAAAGGTCAAAATTACCATCAAAATGGCATCGGTAAGGTTTTTCGCCTGTTAATAAAGTAACACATGTACAGTTCACATGTCAATACAACAATCAAGTTGTCAAACATTTTAACTATAAGTACAACAGCAGGTCTATCTTTGACAGAACAATCAATAAAATCTCACAAAATACAATAAACATCATTCCGCTTAGAGGTTGCAAGGAATACGCAATCATGAAATCACCAAACATCGAATCAATATAATTCAATTCTGAACAAATTGGGGATGTTAGGGACGTTGCCAATCCGGCCAGATTAGATATACACGTATTTTACGTATGTGCATGTACAGCTAAAAGATGCAATAGCAAAGACAGCAAGGTCTTCAATAAGGGCCTCTGACTGAGCTTATTGCATATACCATGGATGGTCCGCTCTTTTCCCAATAATAATTTCGTCCCTTATTGCTCATTTTATTCTTAACTCTGTAAACCGGTTTTTAAGAAAATCACTGACTTGCGAGTGCTATTTTGCTATGTGCTCATCTGAGAAGTTGTACATAAGATGGTGTATGTATACTTATCAAGCATTTTACTCTTGGTTGATCATTTTCCAACTAACTGACATCACCACCAGCCGCCCAGCCAATATCCGTGGTCCAGAGGTTTGCAATCAAATGCATTTTTCATTCAATTTCTGCGATAATAAAGTGCTCAGTCCCTCACGATTTGAAACGTGTAATCATTTATTTTCATTGCTTTTGGTGAGCTGCATAGGACCAAATCATTTTGAGAGCTTTGCTCATGAATCACGAATCACTTCACCTCAGCATCGCAATAAAGTTCCGTCACTTAAATCTGATGATATGGTCAAACGTTAGCATCATCACAACACATACGTAAATGAATTGGCAATAATTGATTCACTCATAAATCTTGGGTCAACGTCAACCCAGCCAGCGATTTTTTTGCATATCGATTAAATTGGCCTCATGTACATAAGTCTGTGTAGTATCGATTGTTGAGAGAGATGGAATAAATGGAAAGGGAAAAGGAAAAACGATTAATACATAGCTTCCAGATTAACTTTACTAATTTATTACAGCTCCTTCAACGTGCAATTGCCAACGAATTAACTACTAAATTTATTTTCAAACTGTCATGTTGCCAACTCCAATTAATTTTTGATATATGTATGTTCCCGAGCTTATTGACGTTTTGATTGTTTCATGCAATTCATACACCATCAAACTTTATGGAAAATTTCAAGGGAAAAGAGGTTTCATGTTGTAGATGTGACGCAGTGGAAGGTATTCTATGCATAGTATTAATGATGCGATTGAGAAGAACTAGCATGACTGTCCCTGGGGCAACGTGCGACCAACTCGTGAGAAAACTTTCTCTAAGGAGGGGAGGTTGCGTACTATCAATTCACGGATCTCGATGTCCTTTGGATATTTTATAGTGCCCCATGAATGAACAACAACCCTGCAGTGGTTTGACTCCATAGCCACATTTGCGCCCGCCACAACCACTCAAAGGTGCCAAGCTTTCACTCCAGCTTTCATTCACTCAAATCCACGCCAAAAATCCAATTTTACTCCGATTTTGAAATTTCTTACACCATTATACTCCCAGATAGTTGCTTTCTTATATCTAATATCAAACTCTCACCAGTATGCAAGCGTTGATGAGCCTTGAGATGAGAGCTTTTCGTGTACACTTTGGTACAACCTAAAGATGACACAAAATACCAATTAAAAGTTCATCATGGAATCGCCCAATGTGAGTGAAAGTGGTAGTGGTTACCAGGAAAATCACAATGATGGATCCTGTTCAAAAAAGTGAGAACATCATTAGTACGTGTGATTATTTTTTGTATGCAAACAAAGAGAAAGTTGAGCAAAAGAACCTTACCGTCTCTTTTCCAGGTCAGGATTATTCCTCCTGTTGTATCGCGGAGTGGAGTGAGACTGAGGAGTTCCTGCTGCACTGGGACTTTTGATGGTGAGGGGTTCCACTGGGGCTGGGGCTATCGTGGGTGGGGGCGGATGCTGCTGCTGCTGGACTCGTTTTTCCAAACCTGAGGATCCTTTGTAATACGGTGGGGGAGGTGTTCTGCGAGGTAACACTTCGGCCACAACAGGAGATTCTACAAATCAATTATACACAAAAATATGATGCGACTTAGGACATATCGCGACTTTGGAGTCATACCTGACTCTTGCATTTGCTGCAAATGTGAGGGATGGTGATAATTTCTTTGAAAAGGTGAATGTGGATAATTCATCTTGAAGGTGGCATATCTATATTGATTGTGGAGTGGTAGGTTGGGGTTATTTGGGTCCTGCATCCCTCCCAGGCCTATCGTGGGTGGGTGGACCATGCAAGGGACTGTAAATGGCTGGTGTGAAGATTGCCCCATGTCATCCAGAATTGAGGGAAGGGTGCTTCCACCAGAGGAAATGGGGACATTGCAACCAAAGTCTCCAAACATATCTTGAGTATTGGGCTCAATTTTGACGAAATCTTCCCAAGGAGGCAAAGTCATTGGGCTGGGTCGAAGGAAATTATTGTCATCGTAGAATTGGTTTGCGGACAGGAGAGATTGATTTTGGACTTGAGAGGAGGAGGAGTACAACATTTGGTGTTGGTGGGTGTGGGATTGTTGTGCGGATGGGACCATCATTCTCTGGTTAAGTGACATTGAATGCTGGTTTTGCGGACTTTCTGGAATCATGGCTTGATTATGGTGCTGAGTGTCACGTTTTTTCTCAAAACAGATATCCAGATCGCGTTTATCCTGAGAAATGAATATGCACAGTGTTTTAAGGAGTTGTACGCACATTTATTTTTAGTTGTGCCTTGGTGCATTTTTCAATACGAAAAAAAACAGATTATTCTGTTAAATGGCATAACTTAATTTTTATGTACTCTATGCGCATGAAAGTGGAAAGTGGACAGTTGTTGTGACTTGCTTTCTATCAGATAATGTGGGAAAAGCAAGTCACTACACTTTGAGGATTGTCTTAATCTTGGTAATTTAAGTCAACCAGTCAGTCACATTCACATTTCCGTCCTCCTCAGCCATCTCCAGCCAGCTACTCTACATGTCCTGTTCATACATATGTATGCTGGTCCACATTCCCCAACATTTTCTTTAAAAAAGGGTTAAATCTCATTCATTTACAAATTTTCTGCCCTTCATCAAGCAAAGAAGATGACGTCTCAAGCCAGAGGAAGTGTCCTGCTGTTTATTCTTGTACTTTGTGTTGTTTCGTCTTCTGGTATCTCTGTCTAAACCATTTTGTGAATGAGGAATATGTGAATGAGTCCATTACGGCAAGAAAAGTGAGTGCCCACTCTATTCATAAATCTTGCTGAGATTGTACATCGCCGATTATGACGGAGAGTGTGTATATGTGTGACTTTTGCTTTGGCTTCCAACTTTTATGAATGAATGGTCTCATAAAAAATATACTCACTAAAGGAAACCTGACAAGTGATTGCTCTAAAAGCGAAGCACGTTGTCAGCAAATACATTCACTTACAACGCCATATCCCATTATTTCTTCTTAATAAATTAATTTTTAGCCCGAGTCAGGGCTTATGGAACCGTCATGTCCGTCCGTCTGTCTGTCTGTCCGTCTGTCTGTCCGGCACGATAGAGCCAAAACGGCTGAACCGATTGACTTGAAATTTTTACCACATGCATATTGGACAAAATTAGGAAACGAGTTCGAAGATGGGCGAAATCGGTCCAGTGATTGACCGGTGGGGGTCATCGGAGTAGGTGGGGTCTTATGCACCAAAATTTCAAAATTGTCGTAGAAAGCTGAAATTTGGCACAAAGGTTGCTAATGGCTCCTACTAGATAAAAATGACTTCAAGTTGGAAAAATTTTCATCTTGAGCGACCCTATGGGGTGACCCATACCGATTTTTAAAAACCATCATATCGAACTAAAATTTGGTGGAGAGGTTGCTTATGGGGTTTAATGAAAGAATATGATATGATATTGGTAAAATTGTTATCAGGAGCGACCCTATGGGGTGACCCATACCGATTTTTATAAAGTGCTTTAAAAAGATGGAATCCGGCACAATGATACTTAATGGCTTCTAATTAAAGAATATGAAGTTAAAAGTGAGCAAAGTGCAACCAGAGTGACCCTATCGGGTGACCCATACTGATTTTTCAAAATCGTTATATTGAGCTGAAATTTGATATGGAGGCTGAAAAAGTGAAAACCACTGTTGGATAGTACATGCATACAGCTTAGAACTTCATGATGTTAAAGAAGCCCACTGGTCATGGTGGTCAAGGCACATGATTTGTAACTAATTCAAAAATTTGGTACCAAATAGTAGAAACTATCTAACAAACTTTTAACCATCCACAACACGGAAGTTGGTGATATTATGTCGGTCGGAAAAAAATTAGAAGTGGGCTCTGACTTATTGATTCAGGGACTATGTCCCTGACTCGGGCTATATGGAGTCTGCACTGTAGGTTTATCATAATAAGGACGGATTTTCATGAAAATCACTGGTCACATTATTTTGCCGTGCACATTCATGCTGTTTAAGACGTTCCTTAACCTTAGATTTCTTATGAAACTAGGAAATCCTAGGAAAGGTTTTTCATAAGAGTGACAATTTTTAGTGTGTATGCAGAGATTTAATTTGCAATTTCAACTGATTGTGAGTTCCATAGGAATCAAATGGATTACATACACGTACCATCATCATCAGTTATGATTGCATAAGTGTATGCAGTAGTCTGGGCATGAGTAGAGAGTGCATGGTGGCTCATAAATTTGTACCTGATGTGAAGCGAATCCAATGTCAAAATTGTTCTGAATTGGACCAGAATGACTATTGACGGCTTGACCGCCGCCGTTGCCGAAGCCGCCGTGGGTCTCCAGAATGGAAGAATCAGTTGAGGTCAGAAGGTCAATTTGGGGCACTATTTGGTCATCGTCGGGTAACTCCATGCAAAACGACATTGGGCAACTACCACTATCCATAATTAAATCTGCATACTCCTGAATGCTCATGGCACTCACTTTATCAGATTATCACAAGTCTCATTCATACATTTTTAGCAATTACTAAATACTGCAGCCCAGCAGATTTTCCACCACTTTTAATTCGTGAATGCATACGTGAGACGCAGTATATTCCTGCGTCACATCACTGCATATTCTCGTTCCTATTGTTGATCATGATCTCTTGTGTTTTCACTTTGGATTGCCTGCCAAATAAAGATTCAACGGTACAATCTCAACCTATTTTAGAAGTCACTTGGTTGTTGCTCACACTATTTCTTAAAGCACCACGACGATATGTGCATAATATTTCTCAAGTTCTCTTCTTTCTTTATACACTTTACACTCGGTCGAGATTGAGTTTCCCAATTGTTCACGAGATCACTAAACGAGCGTGGACGGAGAAACGGACATCTGTTGACTTGTGCCCCCCGATTTTATGAATGAATGGATGAACGAGCGAGGAAGAGGATTTAGAAAAACACCTCGTCGTCGTCATCATCGTCGTCGATCTTTCTTCATTCACGCCAAGGCACGGGATGATCTCTCTGACTCGTATGCTTTCCAGTTATAAACTGAGAGGTGAAACGGACAGTCAATTGCCTTATCTCACTACAGAAGAAGAGTGTAAAGAACCACAAAAAATATTCTTGAATGAATGGAGATCTTCTTCACCACTTCTTCTCCTGTTGCTGCTGGAGAAAACTTGTTTCTTGAGTTCCATTTCTCAACCCTCCAACATTCTTATCAACCACCGTCCGGCCAACAACAAAGCAAACTTCTGCTGATTCTTTCCCATCTTGCGTAGCTTCTCCATCCCAAGTAAGTTAAAAGAGTAACAATGTGCACGAAAGTAAAGTGGTCTGGCCAGCACCACAACAGTGCATTACATGAACACTTGCTAGATTGTAGACACTCGGCGATGCAGGAACCATACAAGACAGGTATATGAGACCAACACGCTGCTAAACAACATGAGATTACTCCTCATCGTCTTGACTCTAGGGTGAGATGATCTTTGGCTTTGGCTGGTGGTATGGTGGACGATGATAATAATAGGTATTATTATTACATGCTCGATCCCTTGGCTTGACTATTCTTCAATCCTCCTGCTTCAGATGAGTAAGCTTTAGCAAAGGTTTGACCACGGCTACGAGGACCTAACAGCGCCCAGGTGTGTGTGTGTATCAGCAAAAATATTACTCATTCACAAGAAGAAGATAGCAACCTCCCTGAGCATCTTCGTCTTCCTAGTCTGCGTCCCCTTCGTAAGAGATTTAAACATGTACTTACATCGGTTTGAACTTGGTAGTAGAACTGGAAATAATGTGCAACTTGGTGTATGGGGGCAGACAGTTTTGTTAAAAAGTCTACTCTTCCCAAATAATTAACACAAGTTTAAATTATGAGACGCACTCACTCCTCCACTTCCATATCTAACTTATTACTTGCATGGAATAAAGTGAAACGAAGCCATGAACGTCTCTAACATCCTATAAATCTCAGTCTCATTCACAAAACTCCTCCAAAGAGTTGAGTCAAGTTGTGACAATGACCTAAGCTGACCTCGTTGTGCTGCTTGTGGTGATGCGCTCTTTTATTAATGCATTTAATAAATAAAACATCAGTGTTTTTGTGGTCAATCTGATCATGTTTCTCAGATTTTATTATGGGATTATTTTGATTTTCTGGAAATATTAAATTATGACCAAACTCAAAAAATTTTGAATACTGTTGAACATGAGATTTTTTTAAGTCATGGATTTTAAGTCTTATTGTTAGACCCAAGTCCACCCAACGAGATATAATAATGTAGGATCCACCTGAAACCTTTAGCATCACTAATTTCCAGCAAACCCGCAGGTTCGCCATTTAAGTAAAACAACGCAACGTTTGGACTCCACAATATGCTGCTAATGAATCTTATTGTCCACCCAAGTGATAAGTGTGTAAATTAATGCCCATTGTCACCTCAGTTTCATTCATGCACTTATGTACAACCGCTTTCGCCTTGTTTAATTGTTTTCTGTCACCATCTTGGAAATCACTCACGCTATAAACTGGCTGATACTACGCATCAAACAATCTCTGACTGAAATCTCTGCTGCTGTACATTTTCCACGAGACGTCAAGAAATGAATTCTTATCTCGATGGGAAGAAGACGGATTGGTTTTTGATCATCACTTATTAATTAGTCGTCACGCTACACACTACCGTCGTCATCACCATCATCATCGTCACTGTAAGGGACTTGTACATGTGCTGGGGTGAGAGGTGAAGCATAATAATTAATAACTCCTCAGCATCTCAGAGGAGGAGGTGGAAATGAAAAAGTAAACATGTCAAGATGCAAAAAACAAATGATCGACGACAGCACGGTACGTCGACGGGTGATGATCTACTGCAACCACTAACAAACCAAATACTAGCCATCAAATCACTCTGCAAATATTGTAAAGAATGTTCGCACACAAATTGAAAGTAAATGATGATTTGGTTGTGTCTCGATGTGTTATCATACATGCAGTGCGAGTATGTTAAGAACATTATCAATTTACAAGAGATTTACTCTCGAGGAGAGTCGCAAATCAGAGTCAATTAGCAATTAAAGAGGAAAGGAGTAAATCTGATGACATTTCTGCATGGATTCGTGCACACATTACAGGGAAACATTTGGCCCAACGCTAATGCATCCATCGAACGGCATCATCATTTATTCCTCAGGCTGCTGGCAACATTTATAACCTGATAATTATGAAGTAATTTGACTGTCCATGCTTCGATTAATAAAAGTTTGCTTACTCGGTGTACATGGTGCTCACAACCAACCAACCAGTGTGTGGTCCCCTACCTCGACGCATAATGTGGGTCTTCGATCTCGTCTTATAAAATATTATAATTCATTGAGCGTGCATGAATTGGTAGGGCTGTCCATTTCTTATCCTTCTTCGTCCCTTTTTGAAAATTATGATCATAAAATTTTATGAGCTTGCACGGCTACATTCTATTATATTTGATACACTGCGTACACACATGACATAGGTCTCTCTCTCTCTCTCTCTTTCACCGTTTATCATGCGTCACATCTCATGTATGTATCTATCTGCAAATGCAATATTAAGGAGGATGAAGACTTTGTATTAAAGAATGGGAAAAGTAATTTATTGCGAACGTAGAAAATTTGGGGCTATTTATCTGTTGTGACTCTCGAGATAGCCGAGTTATATCAAATGTCCAATTAAAAATATGGACTTTGAGAACTTGCTTAGCATTGGTTCGCTGGCTGTTAGCTGTATCTGGCATGGAAAGAAAGAAATGAGGAAAGACGACGCATTATATTTTTGCTGTTATTATTATTGAGTCAGATATTGCGCTGTCCTACACAAACACATTAAGTTTTGTAAACCCTTTATCGCCTGAGCCCCAGGGGATGGGGTAGAACAACTTGTACAACTAAAGTGATGGAGACTGGCTATGGCATGAAATTACACAAAATATATTGCTAGAATTAAGAATGGAGAATAATGTCTTGAAACACAATTAAAGGCGCATCTAAATTAATTTCTACGCGAATCTTGTAAATGTGTCGAGTCGAACGAGGGTCGAGAATCAAGTTTGACCACTCTCTGACGATGACTCCGCCAGCACCTTATTTCTCCCGACTCTTAGAGAGCTATTATAATTCGTAGTTTCCCATTCAATTCCCTATTATCACATTTGCATTTATTACACACAGATTAAAAATTGTAATCAAAATCAAAGTTATTGTTGATGGGATATGGGGGACGTGCGGTTCCGTCTCTCTATCTCTCTCGTGGCGATTAACATTAAATCTCAGGAAAGTGGAATCAAAAGTCAAAAACAGGCAAAAAAGGTGAAGCGTAGGCGTTTCTCTGCTCTCATCTCATCTAATTTAACAAAACCACATATGTAAATACAAAGCAGACTTGATATAGCCCGAGCCAGTCGATGGCTTGCGTCTTTCTTAGTTTAGAAAACATTTGCCAGTTTCTCTTGAGAACCTTTGATCAATATTTTGTGGCATTTTTATCATAAATTTCTTTAAAATGACAAATAGTCAACCTCGCTACCGATCTTGCCCATTTCGAGCATATTCTTCATTTGCCCCGTACTACATATCGTCGTTGAAGAACCAACGATTGATAAGTCTTGCTGAAACTAATAAGGCTCGGCAGAAAGACAGACGGATGAACACGAATGACGAAGTGTCCATACTGAAAATTAGATGTCCGGACGCAGGATACGAAAATGTTCACAGAGTTATTCACAGAAAGAGAGAAAGCACATACATCATGTTGCGAATTCATAGGCCGCACAAATCACTGTACAAATATCTATCGGTTAGTTATTTGTATTCAATGCATAGGCCGCAGAAGTCAGCTTCTATCCTCATGGGCCCTCCGCGCTGAGGGCACATGAGGACAGACAATCGTCTGACTGTATTCAGTTGTCTTAGATAACCCATCCGACGAGCATAAACTTTCCCGACTTCGCTAAAATTTGGTTACTTTAGTATGGAATGGGGCAAATAGGACATTTGTTTGAAGTCCTGGTAATATCATACTACATAGTATGTAGTACATACATATGTACAGTGCATATAGTATATAGTACTACGTAGGACTTCAGTTATTAAAATAAATATGAGATTTTATAAATTCTTTTCGCTATTAACACAATTATTTTTCAGAATTACATGGATCACGTTACAAGCATAATATCATAGTAAAGTATAAAAAAAACAAAGTCCACATATGTATAGTAATAAGTATTTGAGTAGTTCTTGACGTAGTCGCAAGAACGTCATAAAGGAACTTGGATATTAATTAGATGGCTATTGATTGTATTTAATCACGAATGTTTTATTATGATATATAGTCTAACTCTGTGGTTTTATCTTTACTCTGTAAACTTCTAGTAAGTTTCTAATCACTAGTAATCACAGTTAATATATAAATCTAAATTGATCTATGATTTACCGATTTTCTTCTAAAGTATGACAGAATGATGGAAAGGTTCATTTTACCCAAGGTTTAGTCAGTACATGAATGCATACAGATGAAATAATTGGGGGATAAATTTCCCAACTATTATAATACTGAGAAAATTAGGTGTTGCTGCAGTTGGGAGTTTGAAGTTCTCTTCTCTGCGTAATATTTATTGTCCTCGAACTTCATATTTAAAAGTGACATCATATCATCAGGGCTCATCCCATCAATAATATGGGATCTTCTAATCAACTGTAATTTATTGACTGGTGAACATTAATGGGGAGTGCTTAAAAGTACAAATACATACAGTTCATGACGAGATTCTCTAGCGTTAGGTTGGATTGAAAACAAACACAGTATGCAAATCTCATCTTCATTCACTCTTCTTTCTGTAGATTGAAGTGTATTTGTATTTCGAAGTGCTTCACTGTACTGTGCACGTGCCCAGCTTAATGTGATTGTCATCTCTTTTTTGCTAATTGAAAACGCGCCTGTGACCAATTCAGTCATCAATAACATCCTAAATGGTGTTAAATGTTTCATCCTTTCATTATTTTCTCAATCATGGTTTACTAAGGACAGGAATAGGGGGCATAACTCGTTAGCGTCTTTTGACATAACTTGGAATAAAACGATAATTTCAATCTAAACGTGTTACACACAACTCAACTTGCATGCAACTGGCTAACTCCAACTCATATATACTCAACGAATTGCACGTGTACATGCACAATATTAATCTTTGTCGACAACCAATCGTAACATAGACAAATGACACATGCAATCCTAAAAATGTATTCTGATTAGTAAAATAATTAAATTGGTTTAATATCTCTAAATAAATAGGGTAATTTTTAATTAGCTAATTTACTGCGAATTTAAATTCGAATTAAACGAAAGGTAATATAGTATTACTCCTCTAATTCTGTGACGAAAACAAAGACGACTGCAACACCGAATAAGTGTGTGGCTAAATGCTGCTCCGAGCCTGGTCTGAGTTTGAGCACGAGTCTCGCTGACTCTCCATGCCCTCAACTCGTGCGTCTCTCTCTCCATGCAATCTCGCTCCTCTTTTAGGTTCCGGAGTTCATAATTTCGAAATTGTAAGGAAATAAGGACACTGCCAAAATGTTGGTCCTTTTCGAAACGGCTGCGGGCTATGCCGTCTTCAAGGTGAGTGTCGAGTTTAAGATAGTTTAAGAGGTCTACGGATGATTGAAACCATCCACCATCCATACATATACATGAATGATGTCGCCAATTGTCAATCTTCTTCTTAAATGTGTTTTAATATTATTTTTGTAGTTGCTGAAAGACAATACGTTAGAGGAAATTGACAATCTGTATAAAGATTTTGAGTCCCCAGAGAAAGCGAGTAAAATGTAAGATTAGTGATATTAAACATATCAAATAAAGGTTAATACTAATAATGCTTTTGTTTGTGTCAAACAGAGTCAAGTTAAAATTCTTTGAAAAGTTTGTAGACACGACGGATGCCCTGTCTGGTACGTACAAGCTTAGATAATGTCAATAGTACTTGTATTTATAAGTATTTTAGACTAAAATTTTAGTAAATGTAAATTTAGTAAAAAGTATTTTGATCAAAGTTGCACATATCCATTCTCCATCATCTTTTCAATCTGGGAGTTGCCCATTAGTCCCTAGGTCATAGTAATATAATAATTGGTGAACCGTAATCGTAGTGTATCGATCCTTAATGCGAATACAGTACCCAATGAAAGTTATTATCAATTATCTGTAAAGTTTATGACTACAACTCGGCATCTGCATCTCGAAGAACTAAGTTCTGGAAATGATAATGATTTGTTTATGTTTGCAGCCGCCACGGCCACAGTTGAGGGAAAAGTTTCAAAGCCCTTGAAGAAAATATTGAAAAAGTTGGTAGCAAAAGACGTTCAAGACCAGTTGCTCGTGGCGGATGCCAATTTGGGTAAAGCCATCAAGGAGAAAATGAGTCTTAGTTGCATGTCTAGTACTGCCGTATTAGAGTTGATGAGGTGTATCAGATCCCAAGCGGACTCTCTTATCGGAAGTCTTCCCAGCAGGTCAGTATTTATGTTATATGCTATTGGTGTGATATCTTGAAAATTGCATTCCATTCATAATTGAATACTGATGTGTGGTTTATTATTTTTACTTCTTAGTGAAATGGCAGCCATGTCTTTGGGTTTGGCTCACAGTTTGGGAAGATACAAGTTAAAGTTCAGTCCGGATAAGGTGGACACGATGATTGTGCAAGCCGTTAGCCTCCTGGATGACTTGGACAAGGAACTTAACAATTACATTATGAGGTGCAAGGAATGGTACTCTTGGCACTTTCCAGAAGTTACTAAACTTATTCAAGATAACGTAACATTTATTAAAGTGATCAAACTTATGGGTATGTTACTGATTGATTTTTTTAGTATGGTACACATTGTATGTTATGTTTGCTTGTTTGGTTAATTAACTTTTTAATTCTTCTTATTCTTATTTAAGGAATGCGACACAATGCAAAAACGACAGACTTTTCCGAAATCCTTCCAGAAGACTTGGAAGAGAAATTAAAAGAAGCAGCTGAGATTTCAATGGGTACTTTTAAATTTATTTATTCATAAATAAATAAATGTATGCCTTCTACCCACAATTTCTTTACACTTGTGAGGATGATAATATTACTCTTATAATATTTCAGGAACTGAAATTTCTGATGAGGACATTGAAAATATTTCATTTTTAGCCGACCAAGTTTTAGAAATTTCCGAATACCGCACTCAATTGTAAGACTTTTAAACTAGGATTAATATGCCATTCAACCAATCAGGATGATTAAATGAATTTAACTGATAACGATTACTTTAGGTACGAATATCTTAAGAACCGAATGATGGCGATTGCCCCCAATCTCACAGTTCTTGTCGGTGAACTAGTTGGTGCAAGATTAATTGCTCATGCCGGTACCCTCATTAATTTGGCCAAGCATCCAGCTTCAACCGTTCAGATTCTTGGAGCGGAGAAAGCACTTTTCAGGGCATTGAAAACTAAGAAGGACACTCCCAAATATGGACTGATTTATCATGCTCAACTAGTTGGTCAAGCAAGTACGAAATTAAAGGGAAAGGTATGATACATTACTGATTTTGCGAGTTTTGGTTATTATTCGACATGAATTCATAATTCATTTATTTATTTATATTTCGTAGTTGAATCATGTATTTGTATTTATTATAGGCATCAAGAATGCTGGCAGCCAAAGCTGCGTTAGCGGCTAGAGTTGATGCACTTGGAGAAGAAACTTCCTTAGCTTTGGGGACTGAGCATCGTGCCTATCTAGAAGCTAGAATCCGACAACTGGAAACTGGGGACAAACGGGCAGTGTCAGCAATGAAAAAGAAGTTTACACCACAGAAGTACGATAATAAGAGCGAGGTTCGACAATATTTACGATCACAAGATTCCAGCGTGACTAAAAAACGACAACATGATGAAGGTATTTACTTGCTCAATTATGTGGCATTACGATAATTTATTACAAAATTATTCCTCATTTTCCACAGAGGAAGGAAATGGTGAAACGGTAGAAGAGACACAAGAAGTTCCCAAGAAGAAAAAGAAGAAAGATAAGAAAGTGAAAGTGGAGCCAGAAGAAGAAGTTGAAGATCCTCCTGCTCCTGTTGAAGAGGCAGAAGAACCTCCAAAAAAGAAGAAAAAGAAGAGCAAAAAATCTAAAACTGAAGAAGATGAATAGGTTCGCCCTAGACTTTGTGTTCAGCAGATTGTGTCATTGTCGTAGTTTAATTGTACATGTTTCTAATCCTGTTTTATAATTATTATTACAACGTAGTTTAAAACTACTAGGTTTGACTGCAATGGATTTTATGGTTCTTCAAATCTTTTGAAGGATATCCAGCTTATAATTTGTTTAGAGTTACGTAAACGATACCTATTACATACATCCTTACTTCCATTGGACACTTTGAAACTATATAAAAATACACAAGTTTATTTTTACGTTGTTATAAAATCAATGAATGCCCATTCATAATGAATTCAAGTCGACCTCTGATATGCATTAAAAAATATAAATTTGATAAAACGGAAAATATTAATAAAAGTAATTTTATTTACAAATATCAGACTTTTGTGTATAATTTCTATAAGACGATCGTACGTAAACCAGTTCCAAAGTCGTTCTATTCTAGATAATTTAATTTTTATTTGAATCGATTTCGTATCAAAATCACTAAAATTGACAAGTTAAGACTTAAGACTCGTGCATAGTTTCTGAATTCTGTGTGATTACTACTTGAGGGGGTGCAGCAGGGGTAGGGTTAAAAAGTGCATCTGGAGGATCACTGAACAAACGGCGAGGAGCTGGGACCAGACCACACCGTTGCAAAGTTGGGACGATTATTACATTGTTATACAAGCACATTCCGCAGATTAGGAACGAAAATCCAATGAGTTGTAAGTAGTTGAATGTTTGCCATTGTACAGCAAGACTAACCATCCAAATCACTAATGTTCTCACTAAAGTACAAATAATAATAATGCATAGTCGTTGCATAAAAGTTTCTCGGCTGTTGTATTAGTAGTTGAGCATACCTGAATCCAATACCATTCTTGTTGTTGCAGATAATTCTTTTGTGACCGATACACCAGCAAAATTGAAAAAGGCGATGGAAACGATTGTTCCTGAAGAGAGGGAAAATATGTAGATAGTTGAAACGAGCTTTTAGCATTGCACAAAACGGTGAATGAGTCTACCAACCAATAAAAGCACAGACAAGCTTTGGATTGTTTCCTAGTTGAACAAATCCATCCAGGGCATCCTCCAACACAAAATGGGGTGGATCTGGTAATCATTCATTATTGCTTTCTTCACTTTGATTGAAAATATTTAGATTAATATAGTACTACTTACTTCCAAAAGGTTTTGGAACAGGGATAAAGTACATGGGAATGAGAAGGAATCCTAATGTACAGAACCCAAACACACCCTCCCATCCGACGGCTTGCAAGGCAGGAACGTTATGTTTGTTGATAAACTTTTCTTCATACACCATCTATATCATATAATATTTATGCCTATTACTTACATACATACATATATCATTTTATATATTTTTTCTTGCTTGACAAGCAGTGATGATTTGGGCCATCACAATTAACAAGTCCCCTGAAATGATAGGTTATCGAATATGTTGAGAATAGTAAAACAAGCATTTTTAAAATTAAATATTACCCGTGATAATGTTGTTTCGTCCTCGCGAGTCGTCATTGGACTTGAAAATAAAGTCACTTGTTCCTACTACCGTCAGTCCAAGAATGATGAAAGAAATCCCAAGCCATTTAATGGACTCTAGCACGCGATGTAAAAAGGCCACCGAAAGAAGGCCAGTGAAGATTATGACTGCTCCCCTCAGCATTTGGAAGGAGGACGCATACGTGAGCGTCAGCCCCACATACATTGTGCTGGTGGCTGTAACAATAAAGTAACAAGAAGAACGTTACATAATTATAAGAGGGGCACGTTGTTAGTTTTCATGCACCAATCATGTCCATGAGGGCAGGGGGCAGAAAAATCCATCGACTGAATGATGGGCTATTATCAACTAGTGGTGCCAGGTCGTCAAGTTCTCCCTATAGCGTTTATTTTAAATACTTTGCATTTTATCTTTATGAATAACGTAAAATTGACACCACTTACCGATCTTCGTCTCTTGTACAACATAATTATGCTAAATGCAATAAGGCACATAATTTCCCCAAGGAACATCGAGCAGGCTTGCAAATAGGGATGCGCAAATGGTCTCAATACTCCATCTGACCCTTTTGATTGCATCGTGTCGGCCCATCTACAATTATAAATGACATCCACATTATTATTATGTGCTGCAATTATCACTTTCTCATATATTTTCACCGTATATTTTGTTAACTTACTTTGTACTCAGTGTATTTAACGAACCAGTTGTGACCATGAGAAGAGCAATCAGTAATTGCTTCCGACTCCACATATTTAATAGAGTGATATTATATAACTTTAATAACGGTTCTTAAAGTAAGATTATCGTTGAGTGCTTAATTATTTTCGGAAATGGAATGCTGGAATATTACGAATTACGTACGACGCAGAAACATCCACCCACAATTAAATAATCTACAATAAATAACGTAACGTATGACTAAGTAGTTATAAATAGGAGTATTCTTTACAAATTCTTTAGCTCTTAAAGAGTAAAGACGACTAATCTAGATATTACCAACCAGCACAAATTAAAGTTAAAAGTTGTAATTTGATCACACAATACAGTCACAAGTTGACAGTCCAGTTCATACTTGAAGGCAAACACGGAGAAGTACTGTCAACTGTGTGCTGTGCTGATCATGTTGCATACACGAAAACTAATGGTTTATATTCATTTCATATGGTTAGATAAAATTAAATGGTTTGTTTGAGGAAAGTATTTGTTCTCATTTTTTTCTCGAACTTATTACTCCCTAATACTTTTAAATTTTCAAGTTGGACTTTATTTACCCCTTTTGTAAAATAAAAGTCCGATAAACAGTTTCATGTAACGTCCAATCATTTCCTTCAACCATTTCTCACATTAGTGACAGAGTGACTAATGATTACTTGATTAGTCATCCATCGCCCGTCTATGTTACGATTCTTGCATGCAATATGATATATGTTTTGAACGCCCATGCACTCCCGACTTTATCGCTTAATAACGTCGTGTCTGTATTAGACAAACATTCAGCAAGGAAGGGCAATGACAGATATGCACAAAAATTATCACCATATGAAACGTATTATTGAACAGATTGTAAAAGTACAATATATTTCATTGAACGTATGTACTGTGCCTGGATCATCAAGGATATAATCAACTAGTGAATTTGATCTATAAAAGTACAGAAGTATGAAGGCAATGCTATTTTTCCTATAAGACAAGACGGCTGGTTAAACTGAATCCTCAAAAATGCAAATTGTCAAAAATTAAGCTACATTGTACATCAACACAATTTGAATAATGATAATTTTAGACATAAATATAATGATTTAAAACAGTCGGATCAAATAAATAACAACATACTTCATGAAAAAAAATGTTCAGACTATCACGCTTATTAGGTATTTTTACAGCTCGTCTTTATCATCGAAAGAAATGTCTTCTTCGACAGGTGGTTGGCCATCTTTCCCATCCCAGGGATCGACTTTGGATATTTTTGGTAACGCTGCACCCTTTAGTGGTGCTGTAGATCCTCGTCCGTATGAAAGATCTCTGAATTTTGGAAATATTATTACTACAAACTACAATACAACACATTATGAATTACAATATTAAATATTGACCTACCTGAGAAATTCTCCAACCCCGTCATTGGAAAATGATCCACGAAATAGTGAGTATTTACCTTTCTTGACATTTACAATGGCCATTGCAGGGTAGCCGAAACTACGTACAGATAAATGGATCTTTTTTATGAACATTTAAAATTTCAATTAAATTAGTAAAAATACCCTCCAATGTCCAATGCCTCTTCCAAGTTCAAATGATCACCAGCTTGAGACCAAAGCCAGCCCCAATTGTGTCGCTTGAATTTCTCCCCAGCCTTTTTCAAGACATCCTGAAATATAGTCATTGAATCAAATTAAGAATCCTGTCATTTGACTAATTATGATGAATAGGCAGTGTGATAATTATATGCATAATGCATTTACAAAAGTTAGTTATCCGCTGAATAGTTATTACCAAGTAGGCATTTCTGCATTTTGCATCACAATCAAGGATATGTGGGAGAACAGAAACGACACAAAGAGAATGATCGTTACATCCTTTGGAAAGTTGAGTCTCTCCGACGACTTGAAGCAGTTCTGGTGGGGGAGCGCTCTCAGCTGCTTTATCGGTACCCCAAGCGATAATATCACTCGCAGTACGACCTCCCTCGTAGTTTTCTGCATCCGAGCTGGACTTTTTCCCAGCAGGGAAGAATTTTATGGTAGGATACCCCTTGATGTCATATTGTGAGGCGAGTGAAGTGTGAACGGTAGCATCAACTGCTCCAAGTTTCACTTTCCCTTTCAGTTCGGTCGCAGCCTTGGCCCATTCTGGTGCTAACCGTTGACAATGTCCGCACCAAGGGGCGAAAAACTCAACCAACCATGGTTCATCAGAGTCCAAGACCTTCTTTTGGAAATTTGAATCCGTTAGCTCTACGACGTCCTTGGATGAATCTATAACAGATAAATTATACATCGTGAATTAAATTTGTATACTTTATTCAATAATTGAATATTACCTTCACTACCACCACTACCACTGCTTCCGGAAGAAGATTTGCCTCCCAAACTAGCGTCAACCTTATTTTTCACCACTTTTAATGCCTCATCAACCAGCCCTCGTGCCGTTCTTGGACCATTGTAATCGATCACCTGCAGAGAACAAAAAATATTTTTAATTCCATACTTTGCCTCGTTTCTTTGTTTGTAATACTTATGCCTTAATTAATAATATGTACATACTTTGCTTCCATAAAAAATCTTGATGGTGGGAAACCCTCCAACACTGAAATATTTATATGCATAAACTAAATTCATTTGATGTGCTTTAATGATATGATTCGAACTATGTATACAATCATACTTGTACTGAGATAGAAGGCCTTTGTCTTCATCGCCGTTAACGCCACCCACTTTGACAACACCTAAAATGGAATTAAGAATACTACATTAATACGCAATTAAATGCAATGAGACAAAAGCATGGAGCACAAATGAAGCACAAATTCAAGAAAGTATCGACGAGTTCGTCATTGGTAATACCCTTGAGCGCAGTGGCAGCTTTGGAGTAGTCAGCTGCGAAAGACTTGCAGTGTCCGCACCACGGGGCGTAGAATTCGACGACCCACACAGCATCACTCTGTTTCACGAGGCGGTCAAAGTTTGTGGAGGTGAGGGAGACGACGTCGGAGGAGGACGAGTACATCCCGTGGGCGCCGCTCCACGCCCAGGAGGACACGAGCAGAAAGGACACCGCTCCAACCGTTGTCCGCAACATCGTCTTGTCTTTCAACGTCCTCTTATCTTAAAATTAATGCTTATGTCCAAAGTGCAAAGCGACTTCTAATCCTGCTAAATTGTTGCTGGCAATGTTCCAGTTCAGACTTTTTACTAGTCGATTAACAAATTCCTTCTTTACTGGAAAATTTATTAATGCTTGCTCGCTCAGTGAATTGCGTGAATATGTCAAACCAAGTGGCAAATACACGTAGAATAAGAATGTAGACAAACAGACGGCACAATCTGCCCGCCTACACCGCAACATCTACCAATTGCACGCTTCCACTTCACCCAAAAAGATTTGTTGAGAACATCAACACAATCTATAATCCATACGTTTTTATATGAATATGAATACAGATAAAAAGAGATTTAATCGAGTTAAGTACTGTTAAAATAAAATACATGTGCACTTTAAGAATTTAAGTGAGGTTATGTTGTCGATATACATCATTTACATATATCATTTAAAATTTAAAAAAACTACATATGGTTTAGAAGTAGGGTTTTACATAGGGCCCCAAGGTGCACATTTTCTTATTAAACTGTTGCACTGCTGCAAAGAAAAAATAAAATCATGCAAAGGTATTTGCTAATTCGTTGCACAGGCTATAGCCATTTTCCTAACGTTTCTTCATGATTTGTACAATTTTATAGTAGTAGCTCCAAACTAATTAATTAATGACCAAACAAATGTATATATAATACAACAACTTGGCTTCATGCTGTTTTAATTAATAAAGATGACTTTATTCATCGTCAGGTTGTCGTAACAAGAATTAATTAAGAGACGGGGGCAGCATTGGGTCCACGTTTGCGACCGAATCCTTGGACAATGTTAACAAATCTTCGGTTGTACTGGAATCGTCGCTTGGCTCGCCCAGTCTTCTTCTTCTTCTTCTCTTGTTTCTCAACCTTTGGGGTCTGACCTTTCACCTTTCCAGCTCGAGCCAAGGATCCGTGAACCTTTCCTCCCAACAAGGCTACGTTTGCCTCGATCATCTGAGTGGACAGGGATCCTAAAACGATCTCATCTTCCAAAGGAGAACCGTTGGCGTACAGGAGCAAGTCCGCTTCGCTAACCCCTTCCAATTCTGCTACTTTGTCCTAAAAGATAAAAATGTATTGACTTTAGAAGCGACATTATATTTCTATATGTTCAGTTCCAATATTTCTTATATATTTTAGAGCAGAAGCAGCTCTTGGAACGGTACTTAAAATTTATAGTAATTTACGGTAATTTTACTAATTTTAATTTTAATCAATTTGAAATTTTTCTTACTCGGAGTGATCTGATGGTCTCATTATCTTCACAGTCCACCACGTGCTGTTGTTGAGCTCTTACAAACAACTGCATTTTGATTCGGCTTTATGTTGAATTTTCCTGTCTGTAACAAACAACAAGTCAAAATTAATATAAATTAGCGACTCGATTTAACATAAGAATGTTGCAAATTTAAAACCACGATGCACACTGAACGTAGGAAACTAATAATTACCAACTACACCAATTTTAAATCAAGTTAAAAAATCTGATATAAAGGACACTAAATTCGCAACCCCAAAACAATCATAATCTATACAAGTACGAAAAAAATTTTACACAAAAATTGGTCACACAAACACTTACCAAATTTCTGATAAACGAAATTAGGAAATTGAAGAAATAGAACAGTCGTCGTCGGCCTGCACGAAAGTGAAATAAGATTCTAAATTGGAGCCACAAAGCAGAGTTGCCAAATTTGATGCTAAGGTTCAATCATGCATTCCGTGGATTCTTACTAACTAGAGGCATTTTGTCATTAGTGGATTTAATAGTTTTTTGTAGAACTGAGATAACAATTGAAAGTTTTAATTAGCATCCGTGATGTGGAGGTCCCCATGGAGTGGCATCCCTGCATGAAGCACGGGGTGGGATTGCGCGACGGCCGGGAGAGGTCAGCAGAGTGACCTGAGATCTCTCGACGACTAAATGTACCAGCTCCGCCAGTCCCACCGCCAAACTTTGGTCTCACTGCCAAAAGAAAATCATTGAAATTGGCCTGTCACACAGTGCAAGAAGAGCTGCATAACTGCAGAAAGAAAGTAAGTGAATTGGCGAATCAGATTTTACGGTGACTGTACTGCGATCAGTTGAGCGAGTGAGACATGAGAAGAATGACAACAATCACGTATAACACATAATAAATGATCAATAATGTAGTAAATTTACGACACGATAATAATAAGATCTCATCCCTGCAAAAAAAGGTTGTTTTCGTTCCACTTCCGGAGAATCGTCACACCAACTTCCTAAACTAGCAGAGAAAAGAAAGTGAATGGTGAATAAAACAATATTATTATGTATTACGAATAGTAAATTCTACGATTTTACTATTCGTTTGAGAGATTCATAAAAATAACCGAAAAGTAATAACCTATTATTGCAATTACATATTTAGTCAAGAAAAGAAAGACAGATTCGCAGATATTATAGTGCTAAATGAGTCACTTTCGTTGTAGTAGTGAAAGTTTGTGCGTAAAGTGAAGTGTTCGTCCATCAAGCAATGTCCCGTCATGAAGGTAATTATAATAATATTAATTAATTGATAAACAAAGAAGGTCATATAAAGAAGTGAAGTTAAATTGCTATACACAATGTATTATGTAATTTCTAATTTTTCTATTATTTTTACAGGAGTGAGTTGTGATGCATGTTTGAAAAATAACTTCAAAGGAAGACGGTATAAATGTTTACGATGTTACGATTACGACCTGTGTGCTAGTTGCTTTGAATCATCTGCATCCACATCGCGACACTCACCAGATCATCCTGTGCAGTGTATTTTAAGTCGCAGTGACTTTGGTAAGTTACAAATACATAACGTTTCGAGTACTAATGCTTATAATGATTCAAATAATGAAGAACAGGTAATTTATTTACTAATTTGTCCTTGTATTGTTTTAACAGATCTATATTATAGTGGTGAGTCAGCAGTAGACGTCATGGCCCACTCGTTAACTTGTCCGATTTGTGGTCGACTGGGGTTGACAGAAACAGAACTCCAAAGTCATGTTACTGCAGAGCATCAAAGTTGCACTACTGAAGTGGTAAGTATTTATAATGTAAAATTCTTGCGCTTCCCTTTATTGTAGGCTAAAGTGGTTATATGAAACGTTTTGTTTTTAACTTTTTGGCCAAGGTATGTCCAATTTGCGCGTCAATGCCTGGAGGCGAACCAAATCTAGTGAGTGGTTTCTATTACAATTCACAATTTCATTACGTACTTTCATTTGTCTTATTCTGTTCTGTTATATAATACAAATTTGAAAAGAAACATTCTACTTCTTTGCCGTCTTGAGCTGTTTTAAAAGGAACCCCTTCAACAAGCCAACTAACCTATGGGTTTGAGGGTTGTATCCAATTAATATTGATGTACATCTTTTGTGATTTTCTTTCGCTGGAAGGAATGCTATAAGTTGTTGCTGTCCGCTGTTGGTTGTATTAATTTTGTTCTTCCGTCCTGGCTTTTCTGGTCATCATTGTACTACATCTCTTCTTTAATTCACGTCGCGTTCCTTGTGATGCTTGAGTTTATGTAGAGAGTATAATTTATGGCAATGGACCTAGGTTATAGTGGGGATATGTGGCATTGGTTGGTTATCATGGTGGAACGCGAGAAAGGAGTATTCAGTTTCAACTGTCAGTAAGAGTTCAAGGAATCTTTGGGTTTGGGGATTTTGTTGGCAAAAAGAATAGTTTAATAATAATTTAATGCGTTTTAATTTTATTATAACTGTGCTTAGTAGTTCTTTATTTTTATTATAGGTAACAGACGACTTTACATCGCACGTAAGTTACTTTGTTACAAGTGTATAAATTTAAGTACTCCGAATTCTATGCATTTATCGTATTTATATTTAAATTTTCAGCTGACAATAGAACATCGACAACAGCCACGCGACAGTGAGTCCCATATTTTAATTTCAATTTAAGGGGTAAAAACCAACCACCAATAAATATTCCAAATTAAAATATTTCAGATTATGTTGAAGATGCTCCATCCGCTCGTCATAGTATTCGAAGGGTGCAACAACCGTCTAGAACATTAGGAGTCGGAAGGGGTCGCCGGCCAAATATGCACTTTAGTTCTGGTGGATTGTCCCCATCAGGGTTAGTGCATAAATAGTAAGAAAATCGTATTTATTCATAATACATATTTTGATTTTATAGTCCATCAGGAGCCCGTGAAACTGTTGACCCCATTGCCGAGCTTCTATCTCAATTATCAGGTATGGATAATTGGCATTTAGTTCCTTCGTAACTTCATATTCCTCATATGTTTTGTTCTTATTTTATGAAGGTGTCCGTCGAGCTGCGGCAGTACCTTATGATCGCCTTCTGCATCAACATCGCCATGCCGCGAGCAGCAGTCAGCAAGCGAACGGTGCTCAAGGAGGTACGACGTCAGGGGCTCGTCGCAGTGTCTTTCCCCCACCTCCTGGTGGCCAGGCTATCATTCTCAGTGAAGCCGGGGCCACATTACAACCAAATAATCCTGTCGAATCTTCGAGTAACCAAAAAGTCGAGAAGCATCAATTTCTTCTGGATAAGTAAGTCTTAGCTGCTTATTTGAAAAGTATGACGTGTTGACATAATCTTGAGCCATTCTAATTTTAGTATTTTTTTTAGATGTTTAGATTCACAAAGAAGAAAAGATTTGAATCCCGACCAGAGTCTGTTTTTGCAAGATTTGCTGTTGGCAACAATGACTTTTAAAGATAACGATAACTCAAATAATAAAGATTAAATTAGTCGATTAATTATCAAAATTTCTGTTATAATTGATTATAACCTCGAAATAAATTTCACAATATTATTGTAAAGTATAAATTGAAAACCTAGAGTGCATACTTTATATATCCCGAGTCAGTAACTTTATCAGGTCACTTACATAATATATATGCAAGTGACAAGGAAGGAACCATTTGGCTCCATGGGCAAATATTTGATGAACATTCAGCATGAACGTCTAAAAAAATCGACTGATTTGTAAAACCGGTTTGACCCTGAAAAATATTTGTCAATTTGACTTCATATGTTTCGATCTTCGTTTTACCATAATTTATAAAATTTGTCCCCACAACTTAAAATACTTCATCTCGAGTCGACAAAGACCGATGTTGTCCATTTATGAACAAGTTTTAAAGTAAATCGGCTTGGGTTAGAATTCCTAGAGAGGAATATAAGTACTTAAATCTCACTCGATTTGCAATTAATTATTTTTTATTTGTATTTTACAAAAAGGTGTGACAAAAAAGTCATTTTCGGTTTCTCACTTATCAAATTTTAAGCATACGTGTACGGTTTACAGTTGATACTTTATGTATATTATTGTTAGCGTTACAATTTAGCCAGTTGAAAGCTACAATACAAGACCCCTTAAGCTCGTGTACAGAATATTTGGCAAAATCATTTGGACTTTCACTTTCTCCTCCATCCACCACCGTATTTATCAAACTGAGAATATGAACACAGGCCTTTCTGTTCCTACTATAAATGAGGAACCAACATTTTTATGCAGTTATGATAATAATTTGAGTATTTTGCAAAATTGCGTACTAAATAATATGTAATATCAAATAGCAGTTCATAAAGGTTAAATTTAAATAACATTGGCAGACATAAAACAACAAATGTCATAAATACATTCCTGCGACATCGAGATAATAACAAACTGTTGAGCACATACATTATATATTTACTTGAGCGTGCATGGTTGTGCATTGTGTGAGGGGTGCATAACTATAATTTGGAATTAATAATAAAAATAATAATAGTAGCAGTTCGAGAGGCGACAATAATCATTAAAAGTCAGCCCGTGTCAGTTTATGAGTTCTACGAGAGCTTGTTCGGATTCGTCTTCTTCAGTCTGCGACTCCATGAGAAGGGACGTGTTGTCCGGGTCGTCGTCCTGGTGCGTTTTCAAATGTGCTCGGAGGTTGCATGCCAGGGCAAATCGCTTATTGCATTGCTCGAAATGACAAGCGTGCGGTTTGTTTCCTGATAAAAAATACAAACACAAAATTAAATATGATCAGATTAATCCAGAAAATAGACGATGATTGACTACTATTGTTAAGTCTACCAGTGAAAATCTCAGGTCTGTCTCATATCAACCCCATCACACACCCAACGTATTTCACAATCCATCATCCCAATCTCAGCAGAGTCTCAAATTCCCCTTCAGTCAAAGCGTCCTCGCCTTTTATATTCTAACGGGGAAAGTTGTGAGATGTGACGTTAAAAACAATCTCTCAGGCTTATTTCGATTGAATTTAAGATTTCTTGGTCTGGGCCATTGTACAGTCACCGCTTACGAATAAGGAATTACAACTTGGATTAGTTTGACTAGTCTAATTACGTAATATACAGTGAAATTTGCATGTATGCTTTCACCAATGTTACTAACGATCAGATTATACAAGTTTAGGAGAAAAATAACACCGGCTATTTAATAAATTGGATGCATTTACATTGATCTGTGGCTTGTGTGCATTACGGTCCAATATGTGGTGTTGCATCAACCTGCTTATCGACCTTTCACCCCAACAGAACAAAAGTAAGCACACTCCTTCGTTGTATATAACCACAATTGAATCTAACACTTAAGTGTCCGCTGCAGGGTATGAGCAAGGATTAACATTTTATTAGCGAGGTCGTCGGCTGGAAGAGGAGGAACATTTTATCCCATTTTATGCTACGAAATGAAAGCAGTGCAACGGGTGGTGCGTGTGCATCGCATTAAAAAACGTGGCTTTCGACAATTGACAACGAGAAGATGAAGAAGAACAAGCTCCCACTTGTGGTGGCTGGTTTTTGGTGTGGTTTTGTGAGGATGGATGGGGACGTGATTTGAAGAGGTGCAACTCGAAGAAATGGAATAATTCTCAAGTCCGTCTCAGAGGAACGAAGAATTAAGGGTCCAGTTCAGTCCAGTGGATATGGTATTACACGGATGGATGGGCGCTACCGATTCAGTACAGTGCATGTCAAGAACCGGTTTTGGGACAGCCTTCCAACCAATTATTTCTTAAGCAGTAGTGCTGGGCTTACCTAACAGGAGCAGAGAGAGAGAGAGAGAGAGGGGTGCAAAAAAGCACAAAAAATGTAACAAGAATAAGGATTATAAATATTCATAAAACATTAGTTGGGTGAACTATTTGAAGTGGGCATGGGCAAGGCCAGCAGAGAACACAGCACAGCATAAGAAGAAGAAGAAGTTCTTCTCCTTATATTTGCCTTCCTTCTTCTCGTGCGTCTTATCTTCCCCTCTCTCTGAAAGCAGTATGACGACGAGGACGAGTAAGGAGAGCGTTATCTCTCAGAGATCAGACGACGAGGAGCAAGGAATTGGAGAATGAGCAACAACAGATAGTGAATGGATGATTGGTTTCCTCCCTCATGTAGTATGCAACCTACTGGAATTCTCCTCACCACCTTGGCTAAATAATGGGTTAATTAGAGCACTAAACTAAAACACATCCCTTCATGCTCACAAACCAACATAAAAAGTGGTTTCCTTACAAGTCGATCTCTCTTCTTCAAGAAGTCGCATCAATAACAATCGACCAGTCCACAGCCTGATCTAGTCCAGTCTCATTAATACCTCTACATATGCGTGTTAGAGAATTTGCCTTCACCAAGCTACAGAAATGATTTGGATGATATATGGTTATATTATAGAATATGTATTGATGGCATAGCTGGAACTTTGCATAGATCAGTTGATCACTTCACTTTGTAGCCATATTTTGTAGATTTTTTATGTCAGCATCTTCTTAGATAACTAATCATATGTTAATACAAATAAGACCTGTTTTACTTTGAAGCTAATCCAGCTCACCAAATCTTTCTTAACAATTGAATTAACAAGACGACGAATTAACTGCAGATTTATGAACGACGACCGCTTTCTTTCTTCCTTCCTTTCCGTTTGTCCATAAAGCAAGTGATGGTAAGGAGCCTACCTAATAACTCTCTTGGAACGTGATCTCGGATGCACACATTCATGTCAAAAGTCAAACTTTTACACATCAGCCATAAAATCGTTCCTTCATCCGAGTAAGTCATATAAACTGTTGCTTAAACTTTTAAGTGGCGATATCCTTTTTTCACTTTTGTCTTATGGCGTTTTCTTGATGCCACACCAACTGAGGGGAATAAGTCTTCATGCTATTCATGTACGAAACATGATGATTATTTACTCCACATATGACATATGGTACGCATCTTATGCAAAATTATTGTTCTCCCTCCTTGTAAACGTAACCGTCACTAAGCATCATTATTTATCCAATTCACTTTCCTCCGACTTATCATCGTCATTTACATGTCTCAGGCAGTAAACCAGAAAAAGTCTTGTAGGCGCAATTAAAAGTAAAAAGCCAACTGGTATCAGAAGAGAAAGACTATAACCGTCGAGAATCCGTAGTGTTCGTTCGTAAATTACAGGCTGGTAGGCAGACAACAGATTATATTACCACAAACGAGAACAACTTGGATTACTTCTCTTCGTGGATGGAATAGAAATATGGACTTGAACAACTAAAAGTCGTCGGTTTTGTCTTTGTCACTCACAAATCCAAAATGCACATGGCACCTCTTTCCAAAATTTCTTTATGTAAACCAATGTCCACCGTCAAGTACAACAACAAGAATACGAAGCGTACACAATATGCTAGCAATATCTCATGTCAGAGTTCAATATATGTCTGAGGATTTATTTTTTGTCGAATCAAGCGTCAGTTGGTTGGAATTCACCATTTCATGCCAAAGCAAATCAAAGCGACTCGTCTGTTATTAATTACCTAACAATTTAAGCACCAGAAGCTGGCATTACCATGATTTTTGCAGATAACTACAAGTTTTTCTACCTTAAACAAATTAGCTTGATGTTTCTCTAATGGTGGTTTGCATGCAAATGTAAAACAAATCCAGAATTTGTGATAATATGCAGTTTACAGTAGTTTTAATAGCATCTCATTACAGGAGAAGGAGGAGGTGAGATCAAGACACACACAACACGCATAAATTTCCGTGGTCTTCAGTTCTGGGCAGATTATGGCAGATATCGAAGGAAGAAAGAAAGTGGGCAAATTAATGAGGATTGTAGAATTATGGACGCATATTATGTATGTATGAATACGACGCGGAGGCACCACACAAACTATTGAAATGGACGAGACTGATGGATGATTGGATTTCTACTCTGCTACTGGTTTCCTTCGTTCACGTGAAGGGCGAGACCACCCAAATTAGAGTTGATTGAACACTAGTAGTTCTGGTATATCCATCTAATCGAGTAGTTGAGTTTTAGTTTGAAATTTTTAGGGGCCAAGGATTAAAGATCTATCCAACGACAAGATCTCCTGAGTTAAAAGTTTTAACTTACTTAAAACCCTCTGGGGGCCCGGGTTTAAATCCTAACCAAATAAACTAAATGCTAGCTGTAACCCGATTGTTTTTTAATCCCGAACTTACCTGTGTGCAAGAATAAATGATTCTTAAGGTTCGTCTGTTTTGAGAAGCCACGTCGGCAAACGGTGCATCGATATGGCCATGTTCCAGAGTGGACGTACCCGTGGCTCTAAATGTGGAAGCGATTTGTTAATTACATGGTTAGCACATTGGAGGAATTGACAGAGAGGAGACAAAAAGAGAAATGTGAGATTGTGAGAATGCTGCTTTAAAAGAATATAATTCTGCTTTAACCTTCAAGTCCCCAGGGGTAGGAAAACTAGAAAGAAAATTAACATGACAATTACAAATACATATATAGCTGTAAATCGAGGAGATTTTTTTCTGGTTATTTGTAAAACTAACTCACCTTTTATTACACGTCTTGCATTTGTGAGGTTTTTCCTAAAATAAATAAACAATTGATGTCGTTATAATTACAATGAATTCAATTTATATTCATTGCAAACTATTAAAGCACATTATTAAAATTTTAATTTCGATGACCGATCTATTTAGAGGTGAGTTAAATGAGTATTTCATGTCTCGTCCAATACTCAGTAAATGAAGTGCATCACATACGGATCCCAATTGGCAAAATTGTTCAACGTGATCCATCAGATATCATAATTTAATAGCCACGCCAAGCCAAAGACTAAACCAGATTTATGAACTGTGTGACTGACCTGTCAATCACACCTTCTCGCAACTCGACTGTGGACAAGTATTATGTTTGCTGAATACGCCACGAAGAAATCATGACGGATCAAATGTCAAGTTTTATTTAATGCTCCAATATGCATGCATACATTCATGTATCTGTCTTAATTTGCACAGCCTTATCAAGCTCTGATCACTCTATTACAACCGCATATGTATGCATATATTATTACCTTCTGGTCGTGGCATGCATGAACTTACTCTATTGTCAATAGTTGGCAAATAGTTGGCAAATAAAGAGGCCGGAATATAGCATCATCACCATTAATTTATGCTGATTTGATTCCATCCTCATACTCAAAGTCTCAATCTGGATCTTCACCACTCGAGTTGAATGTGAAAATACTCTAGTTTAATTTGATTTTAGTCTGAGAAACGTCCCAAGGCGATGCAAGGAACAAACGAAACAGGTTGCATTAATTTATATCATAGAATATGTAGCAAATTTGAAATGCCACACTACACCGCACACACACACAGTAGTGCTGCTGCTGATTGTGGAAAACTGTTGAACTGCAGGGGAATAAGGTGTATGCAGGTTGTAGAAAGTCCAAAGTATGTGATTACATGAGGGATGAATTAATAATGCTTGATGTAAAGAAGTCGATGTGATTTCAGTTTGGTGGGTTTATTGTATCAGTCGTACTTTATTATTATTATTCTCGTAGGCAGAAAGAGATGGATGGATGGATAAACTTGAGACAGAAAAGGATATGGGGAGATTATAAGCACATATCTATACGTATGTGTGCTTCGTTGTTGAGCATGGGATGAGGAGCATATAGTTCTAAGAAAAAATAAAACATGGAAATAATAATAATAAGGTCGGGCGGTACCACACCACCAAAACCAGAACCACATCACAATGCGATACAATTAAATTGAACCTAATTGTCGATGCAGAGCGCGTTCCTCGGACGCTGCTTAATTGGAGCCCTATATCGTTTCTCCTGTGTTGTTGGTCGGAGAACAAAAAAAAATCTCCTGCTTTGTCTGATGTGATGCTCTTCATGCACTAAACTCTCTGCACTCACGTACGTACGTACATATTCCTTTCGCCTGGTCTTTCTAAATAATTCTCAGGTAAAGTCATCGCTTTCGTATGAGTAACAAGTCCAAGTTTTTAACAACAACGAAATGGAAATGGCTCAGCTTCCAGTTCTCCATCCAGCTTAACAAGTCCACTCTTACTTAAAAAGCTACTTTATTTTCATCCTGTGTAAAACCCATACTGGGCAAAAGCTATCTTTCTCCCTTGTATCAAACCGATGGCATCATGTTGGCTTTGAGCTTTTCTGCTACCTGCTTCTGTTACCTGCCTACCTGCTGCATACGTAATAAGACACGAAACTCTGCTGGTTTAATGTGTTTGAATTTCAGGAAAAAAAACTGAAAAAATTCGGTTCAGCCAACAAGACTCAGTCAGTCATGTCACGGAAGGAAACCAAAATGAGTCGGGAATGAGTGCATCCTTAATTCCTCTAAATTGATAACAGTCATTTCATTGCCATAAACCAGGAGAAATGAAATACGAAGGATAGCCAGCAGACGGCAATAATTGAACGGAATAATATGGGTATATGTATACGAAGGAGACGAAGAAGAAGGGATCACCCCTTCCTTGCCCTTTGTTCAATAAAAACGGTGTGCCTATGGATGGATGGAAACAACAGACTGCTCATTACTTTTTCTTTCTTTTTCTTGAGAGACACTGGAATTGCTCTTATCACTCAAATGGATCAGGAGCGCAAAGTAAATTTAATTCCCCTTAAAATTCTTGCACTACTTCCACTGCTCGTTACTGGACGAGAAGAAGAAGAAGCCCACAAAATCAAGAAATATGCTCCAAGTTGTACACTTTGGTCGGTATTTAACAAACGAAGAAAACCAGCTACGATATGACAGCAAATAATAAAAACGCTACATACGAAGGAGTTAGTTGAATCAGAATGAAGATCATCTCCTCCTCGTTTCCCTAAATGAATGCAATGATGCTATCACTACCGTGTTTTTATCAGCTACTATATTATGTCATGATGACAATCTCATTTTTTAAGTCTATTTATTGTGTACTGTTCATCCTGACAAAGAGAAAAGTTGATGGTGATGGTGATGGGACTACTGGAAATAAGCCAATAAGTGTTTGAAATATTTATAGTATTATCATTCGAGTATAACTATTATGTATACAGAAACCCTATGACACAGTCTGCATAACATGGCACACACATTTTCCTAAACAGTTTTACATGCGCGAGCGTAAAGGGAGAGAGTAAATAAATAATTGAATGAGTAGGCCAACAAAGACACGATTACATGAACTACTTGCTCATACATAGTCACTGCTGAAGACGTAAGTGAAAAGTCATGCAGCTAATTAATATCGTTTACATTCTCATTACTACGTGATGGTTATACAAAGGCTTCTTTGAGAGTAGGTAAGTATTGTCCCACCTCGTTGAATAGAACTGCATCCGTCATGAGCGTACTTATTCTTAGATATGTATGTACACAAACACATTCTTACCATTAATTACTATTTGCTACACATGTGTATGTACATATATGTGAAGACGGCTTCACTGCTGTCTGTCAAAAGACCAGTGAAAAGTTAATTTATCAATATCTTGGCATATGCATGCAGTAGCAAGCAACTTTTCAAAAACAACAAAATATCGCTCAGTGTAGTAACGATATGAATAACAAAAGTAAATTAGGTGCAAACCGACAGATACACAGTCCAGTCAATCAGAGAGTACATACATATACACACCAGTAGCAATATAATGATTATTAGTGCCTGCACTTTAGTGCTCTCGAATATTGAACTGGATTTATGGTTTAATTTGTTCCATCATTTGCCTCTACATCTCGTGTAATTCCACGATGAGAAACGAGAAGAATCAGAACAAAATGGAGATTTGCATATGAAACAAGTTTGCTTTGTTTCGGATTTGGAATTGATGATCTCTCTCTTGGATCGGGACATGAGGGTAGAAAATCATGGGAAAAGTCAGGAAGGAATGAAATTATCTTGTGGAGCAAGATAAATTTGAGAGATGCGAGTAAAGAGAGCTACGAACGAAGGAAGCGGATTATAATCATCTTCATCATCTCTCGAAGCATGTAATTAATAGGAGATTCGAGCTTCTGTATTTTAAAGAGGGAGAAAACTTCTTCTGACCCCTGCACCGCACCGACAACATACATACCACATCATCTCGCATATTTGACTGAGCTTCTCGACCAAGGAATCGTGATTTCCAATTTATGGCGCATACCCAGAGGCCTGACTCACTACTCAAGGAATATGTTACATATTATATGTATCATGATACCAAACCATCTCTCGTGGCAAACCGAACTCGATACACACACATTCAGGAAAATAGCAGTCGAAAGATAACCTGTACAAACACACAGGTACTTAATATGTGCGGGTATCATACATAATAATGGGTGGATGGATGCTGTAAATGCTCCAGCTACTGAGTTACATGAAATGAAGGATTTACTAACGAACCAAGTAACGCAAGGCATTCATTTTTAGTATTAAATTGGACTGAAGTGAATCTTCCCGTATGTTTATTTCTACTGGAGACTCTCTCATTGTTGTTCAGGTGTGGATAATAAAACTGGATCGGCCTCTTTCGTGCATGCAAGTGAAATAACTAAGTTTGGGCTTGGCTGAAATGTTTGAATCTTGAATTAATGCAGCAAAAGCCTGGAGCGAGGAGCAAGGAAATCAATGTTTCGGAAAAACAAGAAGCATTGTTGCTTATTCCTAATGTAAATTTCACATGAAATGGAAAGAATAGGAAGCAAGAGATCCAACGGGTGGATATGGAGATATGTGACTACACGTATTCGATCTATCCATTAGAGCACAAATAAGAGTTGGATCATATTATTAAAATCATTCCCTCAACTTTTCCAGTTTACGGATATTACACTTTTATGAGTTATCTGGGAACAAGGAGAGCGGATTGCATGACAAGTCAGATGAGCCAAAGATGCTGCTGTATCTTGAACCTCTTCTCCTGACTGGGCTGCAGTGGTCGAAGGAAAGAAAACGATTGGGATGAAATGATACGAGAGGCACTTGATTATAGCAAAGTGAGTAAAGTAAAGGGTTTAATAAGCAAGGTTGAATTTGGGGTGATCTATTTCGTATGCTTGTGGGTGATCACTGAGTGAGAGACGGAGGCTATTGGTTGGATGGGCTGGAGAGTGAAAAAAACTGGTTAGAAATGCACGACCAGTAGCAGTCAAGTCATTCACAGTCAAAAACTAGATCTTCTTCTTCCCAAGTAAAGTAACAGATGGAAGATTCGTTTATTTCATTTTTTCCTCGACTTTTTGATGGATTATTAACTTACCGGTTTTCTCTCTTTAAAAGTTTTAAACCCTTGAAGGCCCTGATTCTTATCGTGGCATCACTCAGACTCACTCACATGCATGGACAAGAGACAGGAGCAAGAAAGAAGAAGCAAACTCCAGTGAAATCAAGGTATTTTCATGCATCATTATCTCACACGACGCTTATTGACGGGGCATGAAACAAGCAAGGCAGCAGGACAACCAACCGCTTCTTGCAGTCATACCAGTTGACCTCTTCTCAAAGTCTCACGAAGCCAAAATGAAACTTTATGGACCAAAATCCCATAAAAATCAAACAACTTTGGAATACCCAGTATTTTCTTATTGTCTCACATTTCAGTTCAAACTGACAGAATAAAAGTCTCATTTTGGACTTTCACCTTTGTGATAATGCGCATCCCCCATATTTGAAAAAATATTGGACAAGTATATTCCGACTCATGTGTGACCAATATTATTATTTTAACCATGCATTATGGTATACATATTATTTCTCTGCAAATTAAAAAAATTCTCACTACTCCTGAAGGAGAAATAATTGCGATTTCGAAAGCTCGAAAAACTAAAGTGATTGAAACAAACAAACAATGTCATCCGATCATTCCATTGACAATGCAACAGACAAATATTTCATAAGCATTAAGCACGCATTACATATATCAATCTGGAGCACAAATAACGATAATAACTTTGCATCCACAAGCACAAAAGATTTTCATTCTGTCAGATCGATCAATTGTTTCCTTATCTCCATAAAAATGGCAGTGACTGGACATGTTATGCCCAACCTTGCGTGTCTTTTGGCATCATAAAGATCCAGTTTCTAGCTATCAAAGTCAAACAAGGATCCGTGATTGCCAAGTATTTAGTTATGGAAAAGTCAAACCAATCAATTTGTGAGTTGTTGTGATCATGCAATGCGACGATCAGATCAAGAATGTACACTTCCATCCATCCATCCATCATTATTGGATCTGGTTCGATCGCATCTCTATGCACTAAACAATATGCAAATGAAGGCCGTGTAACCAACAATTAAAACCAATGCTCAAATAGAGCACGGCAACATAGGCATTCGCAACCATTTTCCTCGTCCTCCTCCGCCTTAAATTTTGTCCAATATTGAATATCATAAAATGTCATGCTCTTTGTGTGCTCTTTCAATCTCAATTTCATGTCTGTCGTAAATACTATCCTACACACATCCCATAAAACTCATGCAACACCTAATTTAATTTAAGCAACCTGTTTTTTCTACTTATGTTATTTTGTCGATCTTGACCAAGCCACCAGAGTAACAAGCGTTCAATTATGTATATCGATTTGCAAATAAAATTATAAGAAAGAAATAAGAAAAAGAGCATCTTATTACCATGCGGTTAAACGCCAACATAATGCTAAAAATAAATAATGGATCTTGTTCCTTACCTTCACATGAGTCATTCTGTGATAATATAGATTGCTGGACGCTGTATGTGAAAGACAATACGAGATATTTACCACTTGCTCATCCTGCCTCCCACCCAGGGTGAGATTTGTGGATGATAGATCACCCGAGGGTGATGACTGAGACGGAGAAATAAATCATAGCATAGTTAAGTTCTTACGCACCTGTAAACCGTTTCTGGCATATGGGACACTCCTGAAAAGTTATTTTTAAGAAATCATGCTGCATGAAACCATACATGTTAACGAAATAAGTAGGATTATTGAATGTTACATGAGGCTTTTCTCCGGAATGAATCCTTCTGTGTGTGTTTAGGGATGAACTCGTAGAAAATCCTTTCCCTGTGATTGACAAAAGGCAAATTTACTCATTTAAGCAAAAAATATAAAAACGTAGCGCAATTTTTTACCACAGACGAGGCATTCCTGGAAAATGAAATAAGTCAAAGTTAAAGACTTGCTAACTTAAATCGCACAGAAAAGTTAGTTTCTTACGTGTGGCTTCTCGCCCGTGTGAGTCCGCATGTGGCGCTTAAGAAGGGATGGACGGTCAAAGGCTTTGGCACAAACGCTGCCTGCAAGATAAATATTGATGAAAACTAACCATGAAAAAAGAGAAGAATTTTGTGAAGGGAGCCAAGAGTGGAAATAAGATTTACATGGAAGCATGGATCGGGATCGTTTTGTTTTGGCAATAGTTGAGATTACAGGAGGTGAGATTGAGCATTCGTCAGATTCCCCGTCGTCAGAACTGTTTGGCTGAAATGTAATTAATCCAACACTTGATGCTACTTTTTCTGTAGATAAGGTGCAAGATAAGATACCCAGATCGCCCCTGTTTTCACTCACCAGCTTTTGAAACACAGAGGTGGAGAGATCAAGGGGCACTTCGAGAATTACGCCTTTAATGGTCTGCTCAAATATGGCTTCTTTGATGGCTTTGGCAAGGTTCAGAGGTGAGTCGGGGGAGTAAAGGACGAGTTCCTCCCACGAGTCCACAGGTCTCCTCACCTCGTACATGATCTGACCGCTGGGGGTGATCACCTCCACGAGGTTCACGGCCGCACTCATTTCCGACGCGGTGCGGAGAAAGCGGACCCAACTGGCGGCTCGGAAACCATTCCAGTAGCAAAACCTCTCCCCTTGCCCCCGCTCCACCACCAGGCTCAGCTTCTCATCCGTGCGGAGGGTGCCCTGGAAAGGGGAGAAGCGGAAGCCGCGCACGATGGGACAGTGGGCCACCACCGTCAAACTTTCACTCTCCAGTTGCAGGGAAAGCTGCTCAGGGATCAGAACAAATGTCTCCATTTTGAGAACAAGCACTAGCAAATCAAACCGTTTCTACATCAGTCACACAGCAGTCCAGTTTCAGCTTGGGTTCACTTGAGATTAACTTGGAGCTCATAATCTCTCTGGACTTTCTCCCTACGTGGTGCACACTAAATGTCAACTAATACACACTCGGTCGTCACACCTGGACAAGAATAACTTATTGTACCGGAATGGGTGAGAGTGTCCTCGGGTCGACTGCGTAAGGATTGCCAGCAATATAGAAGAGTAGAAAGCACAACAAGTGGATGAAATTATACAGGCGGACAACTTGAGATTAAGAATAAGAGAAGGATGATCACATGGGGACTCATCGAGTGCTACTGGATGGAACAGAAAACGGTAGGAAGCTGATAATGTTTCAGAACCAGAGTACCTGTTTTTTCAACTAACTAACGAGCTGCCTAACTAAACTATAAACTTCTCTACCCACATACAATGCTAATGCATAATAATACATAACATGGCATTTCATCGCATCACGTATACCACGAAAGTGTAAGACGGAGCTGATGGTCCAAAGGTGGTTGGAGGTGCGATGAGTCGTCTCTTATACAACAACCAAACCAAACCATATTATCGTAGGCAAGCGGAATCTCCTTCAAGAAGTCCACGCGATCCAGCTTTTGTAAGGAAAGGGTTCTTCTCTCCACTTATTAGGCTACTTGTTGCTCTCTGCTCGCATTATTGTTCTTTTATTATTGCAGGATCAGTTACCACGCCCGATCGTCCAACCAAAGTAAGTGGCTTTGTATTTTTATTATTCGATGCATTCACTTACTCACACTCAGGCAAATCAGATTCATACGTGTGTGCATATCCACCAGGCAGACATGTACAAGTCGGAATAAAAAGTGAAAAAATGTGGTTGGCTGCTGTTTCTCGCTGTCTCTTTCTGCCTCTGATGGGAATTTGTATGTAAGTCTGTGCTTGTGTACGTACTGGTGGTGTGGTCATATGGCGAAGAAGAAGAGCAAGATGAAAAGTGTGGAACAAGGAGAGCATCTCGGCAACAATCTCAAGAAAATTAACGCATCGTATGTATTCAGAAAGAGACTTCAAATCAGACATCACGTAATAATGATTTAAAGTAACACTACTCAGCTACCAAACAACTACTGTATGCACGCAATAATAATGAATGCACTTACTTAATAATAGTACAGTGGAAGTAAAGTGACTGACATTGAGATTCAAATCCGAAAATCTTTACACTTAATATGTACACAGCATCACAGACTAAAACAACTCGAGATATTGCCTTCAATCCCTTCGATAAATAGTAGTTTTCTTCCTTTCTTTCACTCCCTTTTAGTCATTGCTATGCACATACTCGACTTGCACCATCATCTACATCATCTCACAAATTAATACAGCAGCAACTTTATTATTATTATTGTGACGACTCGAGACTCAATCTTTCAGCTGATGGCTACCGACCGACGCGATCTAACTAAAGAGGTCGGGGTGAAGTTTCGTCGTCTCATTTTGCTTCCTTTTATTTATTTTTTATTAATCATGTCCACAAAAGTCTTCTTACAGCAAAATTATACATACTTTAAAATTATGTTGCTTTGTGTTGAATTTCAAGGAGATTCGAATGATGAGATACATGACATATTTATTCCATACATTCCTACCGAGCAGCGTGTCAGAATTAGATCATAATAGTAATAATAATATCAAAATTTGGCAAAACTCGATTGCGTATTGAACTTGAGCTAAGTATGTTACTCACAATTGAGACAATATAATAATACAAAAATCACAAGATTTTTACTATGTATTGAGATTTTTTACATATATTTTTTTCGGGAATGGCTGGTCTAACAGGACATGATATAATTTTTGTTCATGAGATAGTAGACTGTGCAGGTCGTAAATGATCAAGTTGATTTGGCAGATCGCATACCCACGGGACAGGGAAGAAGTAAGTGCGGTTGCAAATTCTTGTTGCTTCGCACTCTGAAATCTGGATGTGAAACGTACTATGTATGGAAAGGAGGGAGCATTGCATCTTTGTCGTACTAAGGATTTATATTTATGTCTCACTTTTCTTGAGATTCCTTTGTCGCTTTACTAGATCTTATCAGCATGGTACATACTTAAGTGCAATTGTCCAATCCAAATGCCACTGACTCTTTCGTAGTGGTGTGGACTCTTTTTTTAAAGGACGACGAGGTGATGATATCACACACAAAACCACTCTTGTTTTCATCGAATCTTCCCGTTCGACTAGTGGAGGATCATGACAATTTGACCTTTTTCTGGTGCAGTTGAGCTCGCCGTTCTCGGAGAACACAAATTGTGACACATGCTATGGAGAGGACGAGTTGAATCAGAAGCCATAAAATGATGTTCTGAATTTGTGCTTGACCCAACAATGATCTAAGGAAAATCAGAATATCTTAAAATTAATTATGTGCAATACAACAAAATTAATAAATATCTGTAAAGCATAAAAACTTCTTTATAAATTAATACCTTCCAAATTTGGCACAAATTATGGCCTCTGTTGCAGTGATTGCTCCCAAAACCCAACACTGTGTTCCCACCCTTTTGCATCTTGCATCTGTGCAGAACACATAGTATTGCCTGTAAAATCGAGAAATATATGTAAGACACGAAATACTTTGCATGGGTAAGACAAAAGGAATGTAGTTTGTGTGAGATGAGTATCTACGCATACATATTGCAGACAAATTGAGAAGATGATTAATCTTAATATCAGATTTCAAAGCAACAAGTTTACAACCTTCGAAAAAAAATTTAAGCTGATCAATATCGAGTTTTCATATTTTCATATCATTGCCTATTTGCAAGTTCATTCATATGAATTGAGTCACAAGTAGGTAAGTCAATTTATTTCCGAAATAATGCTATCGGAATCGTTCACTATGGTCTGATTCGTGCATGTATTTACTCGTACATGCAAGCTCCAGTAATACACCATATGGGCAAAAATACACAGAAATCCAATTTCAGCAATTAAAAGATTGGAGGGGTAAACAGAGTCATAAATTTGCATATCTGGTCATCCCCGCTTGAAAAAATGCAAGACGAGAACATTAAAACTTGAAATATGTCTCACTTGTCAAGGAATAAGATGAGATGTAGTGAAAGGAGTCGAGATAGGATCGAGTGCACTACTATTTTCTCATCAACTTGAGACTGCTACTACTCCTGATGACTATCAACCATGTACATCATTCACTGGCCAACCAACCACCATTCTTCACATGCACCTCACACACAAAGACGGTACAAAACCGAGTCATTATTATTTTCCATCCCAAATCAAACGACTTTTCTATCAATTATCCAAGTAGTGAGCTCTGCTGGCGTGTATGTACATAAGCCCACGAAGAACAAAGCAAGTTTTAGTAAACAGAGCATCTTCCAACCAAACCTCTCATCGCAGAAGAAGATATGATTACAGAGAACAATGTTACGGAAAACGGGGCTGGTCTTCATGTTGGAGTCAGATTGAACAGTTGTTTAGCCATATCGTGGTTTTGGCTCTTATTGTTGGCTCCCATCACGTAATCCGTTTGTTGGAAAATCAAGACAATTAAGAGGGAACAGATCGAGAAGAGTATTATCAAGAAGTAATAATCCACAGGAAGGAATATTATCAGAAGAAGAAGAACTAAAAAGACTACTACTCGTCGTGTGGATGGATGGATGGTCAGACTGCATGAGAAACAACAGTTTAGTTTGATCATGACTCTATGAATTCATTGATTGGTTTGCCTTATTCTTTTTCATCATTCCAAGACGGTTAAACTCACTTCTTTGGGTAATTACCATTCTTTCACCGATCATGATACATGCAATGGGCCAGACAGATTAACCAGCCAACCAAGTAACCAAAACCAAACCCATGATCTAGCAACCATTCCCAAATTTCATGCCAAACAACACACAAAAGTACTATCGTGTCTTTATGCCTTTCTTCTGATTGGATTGAGTAACACCAAAATTGCATGCATTCTTATTTTGTCGATTCATTGAATTGTGCTCTCTGTTGTGTAATTACATGTGTATTATAAATATGTGCTGATTGTAGCTCAGACTCGAGATTATGAAACTTTAGACCCAAAAAACTTGGAAACGCAGTTTAATTATCTTTATACGCTTCCAGCAATCCCAACTAATTCGAATTCATTGGAAGGTAGGAAGATGGTAATTTGGTTTTGAAAGCTTACCTTAGGGATGGAGCAACTATTAATGAGAGGAGTGCCAGTCGGAGGAGCACAATATTGTGAGCAGGCGGAGTTTCGAAAATGTGTTTTATGAAAAATGTGTTCAACTCTGCCACTTGCCAGAAGATGACAAGCTCCAAGACGGCGAGAAAGCGCATATAGCTACAGCAGGGGTCCAGCCAGCGTACCTTATAAAAACATCCACATGAAATTTTATGTCTAACATACACTGAAGTTTGTATGAAAAAGTTATTTTTGACGAATACCGGCATCCAACTCTCGGGAGTAAACTGTAGAACTGCACGCTTCAATTTCTTAGTGGTCCCTTGAATCGTTCTATTGAATGGAAATTAATAAAATTAAATCGATACATTCAAGCATTGTTCACAAATAGCATGCTAAGTATTTTAGGTTTGCTCACTTTATTGATTCAAACTTGTATTCCCTCATCTCCAAAAGTTTACACTGGAAAAACGACAAAATATTGTCAAATGGTTTTAAATAAATTTTATGAAAAGTTAGAATGAAACTCTGATAACAAAATATTCAAAAGTGTGTACATTACATACCAGTTTCATCCCAACCCAGATTCCAAGCCCATTGCATATGAAAATGTCCAGGAAAATAGAGTCGTACCAGCATTCTGTAAACGCAATAATAGAACTTTATGTTAACCTTGAGTCGACCAGAATTAACAATAATAATAAAACAAACGGTGACAACTTACCCACAAAATTAGGAAGCAAGTGAGCAAATGCAATTTCAGTTATTTCCCATGTCACACTGCAATTGCAAATATAAGGTCAAATTCAAACAGAAGCTAATACCAATAAGCTATTTATAAGTAGATGGGAAAATTAAAAATTGAAAAACTTACGAAATCGTCCAAAGAATCCCAACATGGCGTAACAACAAAGCTTTCATGATCCATCTAACAATGATACCGGCATCGATCAAGAGTACTTAAATCAACTAATGATTTGTTGCTAAGTTTATTTCGTACCCCGTAAAGTGAGCAAATGCAAAGATATCCACGTGAGACCAAAGTCTCTCAACCGTTATTTCACTACAGTTTACGCCGTACTCCTTGTCATATAAAAAAATCAAATTTAGCAAAAAATGTGGAACAATTCAGCATTACCACTACCAGTTTGGACAGGAGGTGGGAGTGTGAGAATGACTAACCTTTTCCGTGTTAATAGAAAAATTACGAAGCTCAGGGTCGACCCAATAAAATATCTCTTTCACCGTCTCATAATTCTGGAAAAGGATGAAGACGAGGGCAAGGAGGTAAAGAACACTCAAACCGAAGACCATCCTCCAGAAAGCAGGGTGCTATACACACGATAAGAAAGCACATTAAAGTATGGTTAAGGTGATTGGAAATCTACAGAGGATGCCAATTATCAAAGAAGCCAATTGATTTACTCACCGGTCGAGTAAAAGGACCATTGGGAAAAGCTAAGACGGATAAAATCATAAAGAAGAAAACAACGCAGGTGAGTCCTGAACTGATATTGTTTTGGATATTTGACTCATCGCTGTATAAATCAATCATCATCACATGAATCAATTCCATTACCACATTACAAATATTTCCTTCGCTTTATCCATATAAGTTTATATTAAAGATTCCCAAAGGATGCAAAATAATTACATAATCTGCGGTTACGGTTCTTACCGTTGAAATGCCACTTGGACAAAGACTAGAATCACCAAGCACAGAGTTGTAAGTGTCCTGGGCTGGTAGAAAAATGTTAACGACACATCGTCGACAGGTTTCTCGTTTATGTAGACAAAGTCGGGGCCTGATCTTGAGTCCAGGTAGGGATCAGTCTGAGAGAAATCGTCCTGATCCTGAGAATCTTGGACATTAAATGGCCTTTTGTTGAGAGATTCGCTGCTACAATTTGCACTACAAGGGCTGCTACTGCTAGCCATTTTCAGTTTATAACACAACAATATTTGAGCTGGCAAATCCTCGATTTTGCTACATAATGTTTTATTCTATTTGATAAAATCGGATAAAAAATCTGGCTAAAACATTGAAATATCGTAGTTTTCTTATAAAAATATTGCTTCTGGTTGAATTTGATCTATTTAATGGAATGCCATATCTAGCTAAACTTTATGATATGGAGCAGTTTATGTATGAATGCTTTTTTATAAGTAAGTTCATCTTGCTTATAATACAAGTTCAGGATTTGACCTGTGCTATTGGTGACATTGATAACCTTGTCCTAAAGTCGTGATGAGCTACTTATCAAGTTTCGCACAACGTTGCATCACGCGATTCGATTCGACTGTGTATATACACAACTGCTTAGAACTATCGATCGCGATATTTCGTAAAATTCACAACTTTTTCACTTGTATCAGAGTAAAATTATAATTTGTGAGATTCTTTGAAAACAAGTACAATATTACAAGAAGCTAATGTTCACCGAAATAATTGACTAGTTTTTACTGACTGACGACTGCAGTAGGAGTAGAGTCGTAATATGCAATAGTCGGAAGGGGATTTGTGTTTATAATACAGCAGCCGCAGCAGCAGCGAAACTTATTGATTTTCCCGGAACCAACTTTCTCGGTTTAAAATGGTTTATTCTGCTCACTTACTCCTCGTCGGGAGAGGAGAACCCGGGTATTTCACCAACTTACACATGTATATACCACTCACTCATTCCTCGGTTAGGTTAATAAAGAAGGACGGGTATTAGTGGAGAGGGGAGAGCAAAGTAGAGCATAATACTTAATGAGAGTACCTTGGATAAATACTAAAGTGGATGACAGACTGCAATCCAGTAAGTAACTCGATCTGCATGGTCGATTTTCCATATATGCACTCAAATTATTCTAAATATATAAAACATCACAACATTTTTACCAAATTATACTAATAGTTATCGACTCGAAAACTGATATCGCATTCATCAGCCACTCTGTAGCCTTATTTCATACATAACTCTCTCCAACATGAGAACCCTACATATATGTTCCATGCATTTTTATCAAACTGTCTTACAAACTGGGTCTCAAGTTTCTTATTTGTTTCTTTGCCCATAGACTCTGAGTCATTGGTAAGCGGAGATATTAATCCTAAGCAGCGAGCTTAATATAATAGTGCATTAGCGTATCATAATTTTACATTGTTAAACGCCTTGTCGATGAAAATGGTGGTTACAATTTTGACTATTTATTATAATTTCAGGCAACCATCAATGTGACTCACTCATTCTATAGTTATTTTTATTCGAAAACAATTTATGACACGGCATAAATAAATCACGGATCGCATTATCACGTATTGAATTCAGAAATGGGTGAAATTGAGACTTGTTGAGACTGCAGGCAACGGAACGGGGAAGATGAGACCTTGAGATTTTTGGGGCAAAGTGGGAAGACATGTGACACAGACAGCACAACTCGCTTCAAAAACTCAACTCTTGTGTCTTCCACTCGCAAGAATAATCTCCAAACCAAACCTTCATCTGGTCAGTGCAGTAAACAAACTTTCACCAGTGTTTGAGGTTTGCACGAAATTTGTGCTTTCCTTCGTGGACGAAAGCCTCAAAAGGAAGCCTGCAACTCCTCCCCTTTGATCCGTCCGTTATTGCTATTAAAATTACGTCAGGAAAATGATGGCTCATCAGTTTTCTAGGATTTTGGTATTACTCATTAAAATTTAATCAACTGCAGAAGCAGCTGGTTATCAATTTCTCACTGCGCTAATCATTTTGTTGTTTACGACAGGCAAGGCAACTTACGACATCGGCTGTACAAAATAATGCTGCCGCTGCTGCTGCTGCTGCACCGGCAAAGGTAAATTTCGACTTTCGAAGTTGCACTTTTCATATTTGTTAGCAATAATTTATTGATTGGTGACATATAAATTGGTAGACCAAATTTGGCCCGTTGAGCGATGAAGACAGGATATTCACAAATCTTTATGGTCGGCACGACTGGCGACTGAAGGGAGCCCTCAAGCGAGGGGATTGGTATAAAACGAAGGGTCAGTTAAGTTTAAACTTTCACATAGTTTAAATTCATTTTCAAGTTACTTATTACTATCACCAAGTAAAATGAAGAACCATTCCCAACTGATGTACTTGATCTCAAGGCATTGTATTAGAAACGATCAACGATTAACTAGTAATTTTGGAATCTCAGAGAGGCATTTTTGGTACAATGTACACGATTTTGTCCACACGTGTCTGCCTAACTAAACTAGTTTCAGACACATCGATTAAACCAGCATTTATAATATTTGTATAAATGCATCTTTTATCATGAGTTGTATAAATACCTAACTGTGTGACTTTATTTAATTTATTAAAAGAAATCCTGCTCAAGGGGTCAGATTGGATTATACAAGAAATCAAAACATCAGGCCTCCGAGGTCGGGGTGGGGCTGGATTCCCGACCGGAATGAAATGGAGTTTTATGAATAAGCCTGGCGATGGAAGGTAGGAATGATTTTATGAAGCTATTATTTTTGTTTTGAAATTCTTTAATTTTTATTTTATATAAGGCCTAAATATTTGGTGGTCAATGCTGACGAGGGAGAACCAGGAACTTGTAAGGACCGTGAAATTATGCGCCATGACCCACACAAGTTGGTTGAGGGGTGTTTAGTTGCTGGTAGAGCTATGGGAGCTCGTGCTGCTTATATCTATATCCGAGGAGAATTTTATAACGAAGCATCGAACATGCAACTAGCTATCAATGAGGTAATAATGCAATTCTCTAAAATGTAAAGTTAGTGTCATATTTTACACATTCTGTTAACAGGCTTATCAAGCTGGATTGATTGGCAAAAATGCATGTGGATCCGGTTACGACTTTGACATTTTTATGCATAGAGGAGCTGGTGCCTATATCTGTGGCGAGGAGACTGCGCTTATTGAATCACTGGAAGGCAAACAAGGAAAGCCTAGACTGAAGCCCCCATTTCCTGGTGCGACTTCCTCATAATGAGTGTATCCCATAATGATTTTATTTTTTTATATAATGAATTGGTTCTGGTTTGCAGCTGATGTTGGAGTGTTTGGTTGTCCGACGACAGTCGCAAACGTTGAAACTGTTGCAGTAGCACCATCAATTTGTAGGCGTGGAGGAGAATGGTTTCTTAGTTTTGGAAGAACGAGAAATTCTGGAACGAAATTGTTCAATATTTCTGGTAATTTACATGCTTTAAATATGATAATATACAGATGTCATTTTTTATGGTTTGTGGAAACGCATTTAAATTAAAAATACAATTTTCTGATTACTTTAGGTCATGTAAATTACCCATGCACAGTCGAAGAAGAAATGTCGATTCCGCTCAAGTAATAGCACAATTAGTTCTGAATTAATATCATTATCGAGCATTACCAAGTAGTAACACCAAGCAATTTATGTAATTTGGTTTCAGGGACCTTATTGAACGACATTGCGGAGGAATTATTGGTGGTTGGGATAACTTATTGGGTATAATGATTATATTTATTTATAGTATACACTAGGCGCGTGATTTTGATTCTCCTATTTCTATGTTTTACAGGAGTAATTCCTGGTGGTTCTTCAACTCCCATCATCCCTAAAAGGTTAATTTGAATAAAGATGTACACGGGACATTAGAGTGAGTAATGCTAATTGACTTTGTTAATTTGCAGTGTATGCGACGATGTACCCATGGACTTTGACGGATTAGTAGCTGCGCAGACTGGTCTTGGAACTGCGGCTTTGATTGTAATGAACAAGCAGACCGATGTCATTAAAGCTATTCACCGGTTGATAGAATTTTATAAGTAAGAATGAGTATACAAGTTTGAACCATATCCTTTCGCCCTGAGTATATATTTCTAATTATATAAAATTAATTCAAAATTACTCAAGACATGAATCATGTGGACAATGTACACCATGTCGTGAAGGGGTGGGATGGATGAACAAAATCATGGCTAGGTTTGGTAAGCTTTCAGTACCATTAACTTCAAATTTATAGTATTATTAGCTCACCCTGCGTAGCACGGGAGCTATTGAATTCCTCTTGTCCGTCCGTCTGTCTGTCTGTCTGTTAACGAGTTTTTTGCATGAATTGATGCTAATTAAAAATCCCCTTCACAATTATTGATTATGTTAGGCGCACCATTGGTATTGAACAAACTGGATCGAATTTTTTTAGTAAATAAATAGCACAGTTGATATCTAATAATCGGTAACACAAAATGATGCGAAATAATTGGGGGATGGGATGCAAAACGCACCAATAGTACAGAATATCCGGGAGAAATGATCATACAATTTTGACAAAGTTTTCAAAATTATATAACCCGAATGGTCGCTAATTCTGCACTAATGGTGCAATGGCGGGCCGAATCTTTTGCACCATAAACGGCATATATATAATGAATATATAAGAGTTGTGATCTATTTTGTTGGCTTATTCCGCACCTTCGGTGCAAAGTTCTGTCTCAATCATTATGACAGGGTGAGCTACTTCTAACGTTACTACGGTTTATTATAATTAATTCTATCATTGTAAATTATGCTTCAGTGAAGGGACAAGCAAAACCTGAGGAAATTGACATGTTATGGGAAATCAGTAAACAAATTGAAGGTCATACTATTTGTGCTTTGGGAGATGGTGCAGCCTGGCCGGTTCAGGTATTTTGCTTTAATCACGTTTAACATTTGCCATTTTACTCACTAAATTACTGTGTGGAAAATATGTACATACATGTGTATAATCGTTCTTAAATTATTTTTCAATTTTCTCAATTTAGGGGCTAATTCGCCACTTTAGACCAGTGGTAGAAGAACGCATGAAGAAATACGAAGAACAGTCAGCCAAAGCAGCATCAAGCCGCTAAAACAATAGAAAAATAATTAGCGTAGTCCGATTATGTACATAAAAATAATGATTCTGGATTGGCGTGATTAGAGTAATTTATCATGTAATAATAATTTGACTCTGCCATTTTCATTGTATTCGAACCTTAAAGCCAACTACACTATACACATTGTTAAATTTTTGTCGCAGTACCAAAATATCAAATAAAACCCAAGTTCTAGTTTTACGATGTGTGTAATCCACAAAAACTTGACTCTATGACCTACATTATTCTAAAATTGCATAGACAAGCAAAAACTGGAGACCTCCAAAAGGATCTACAACCAAGACGTAGTAGTAGTAGTGGTGGTCCAATGGCATAAATTCCAAAGTTGGTATTGTGAACCAAGAGCAAGAAGGAAGCACGAAGTAGAAAAAGCACTTTGATAAGAATCCGAGAAATTGGATTCCAGCAAACGATTGTAGGTTGAGCCTAGGCCAGTTTAGTTCTTGAGGAAATCAATAGTGTTTTCCTTGGTTAAGGCGCAAGGCTTCACTCGAGCCTGCTCTTCACATTACATTATCCTTCTTCGTCTTCGTCTCTCTCTATCTCTGGCTCCAGCGACAGAGCCAAAACCACTTTCACTCTTCCTGACTACTACTTGAGACTGGGGAACGTGACTGAAAAGAGAAAGTCAAACGTATAGAGCTCAGTCTCGAGATTTCCTTCGCTCGGGCCACTCACGAGTGCATGCGTTTTGTTCTTCTCTTGTGTCCTCGTCCTGGTCTCAACCCTTGGAGAGAGAAGAGATGTAGATTGTCCGCTTGATCACAAAGCCCATCAGTCTGGATTAAGGTTTCATGAAGTGAAATTCGCAAGTTTGTGACTACACGGGTTAAAAAACGTGCAGTAGCAGCAGCGCAGAAAAATGATACGCTCAACTTCAAACCATCTCACTGTGGAGCTTATGCTCGGATGGATGCTGTGTGCAGCTATTGCAGGTATGACTTAGATACACATAATTAACTCATTTTAATTAAAATCAAGTCACCTATCAAAAAATATGTCAATAGGCAATGCATGAAATTGGTATATTTTCATATTTCTGATAGTGTTTGCATATTGCGTAGTTGCCTATTTTTGTGGGTTTATATTTTCATATATATCCGAGCTTTGGCTCACACTGGAATTTGGACATACGAGGAGTAATACGGTTTCCTTTGATCATTACAGCTTCTGCAATATCATGGCACCGCAATTCTCCTGAAATATATGCCCAGTCCCCCAGCCGTCTCTTTTATAAAAATCCCCGAAACGTCCCATCCGACTTATGCCCTCGGGATGAAGCACAAGGTGAGCACGGTATTTCTAGTTTATGCATACATAAGTACGTTCATTTGGCATCTTTGATGGGGCGATTGTATTGGATAGAAGGGTGGGTGGGTACTTGAATCGTTACTTTTACATACTTTGAACACATACATATGTACATATGTAATATTCCCCTTGTAAAGTGTCCTTACAATTCATAAAATATCAAATTGTTGATCCATGGGGAACGAATATGAAAACGACATAAATGGCCGACAAATTTCAATCGAAATTTCTCAGTGCATGCATTAATGAAACACTTTGCATTGAAACATGTTCACTTATGTAGCTCAATTGCAAGGAAGGACTTGTCTTAGAAAGTGCACAAACGACGAAGACTGCAAAAGTAAACGGAAGAAATGCATGTGCGACGGAGGTAAATAAATAGCTATACTAATTTTCCCTACTAGCAGCCTTATCACCCGCTTTGTTTCTTTACAGCTTGTGGTCTCAGTTGTGTCAAACCAGGTATAACGATATTTTTGGCTTCCATAAGTGACATTTCAAGTGACACATACATAAAATGGATTTTATGGTATAATCATGCGTCCCTGTAATATGTGCATAATTCTCCTCACAGAGCGAGAATGTAACGATCCAGAAAGTCCGCTGGAACTTGGAGAAGTTCACGCAAATGGGAAATTCTTTGGGTCTAAAGCAACGTATTCATGCCCTGATGGATTTAAGGTTATCGGGATGGAGGAGAGGGTGAGTTTGAGATTCAAATATAAGGAAAGAAAGAGGGGCTTTACATAAAATACTATACTTAACTCGATTCCAACCATTTCCATTTCAAACCCCATAATTTCATTACCGAATTGAATATAGTATTGCATTATAGATTTCAATCACGTTTATGGATGTCGAGGAAGTCATTTTATAGATATTTCTGTTTCTACAGGTGTGCCAGGCGGATGGTGGGTATTCATTTTTATTTTACCACATAAAAATGTTGCAACATAATAAATGTGCCCAAAACAAGTCTTGTTTAGTAATATGATACATGCTCTATAATAAGCTGTAATGTACAACTCTCACGGAAAGTGTAATACATAAGACAAAATACTCAACGAAATTTTTTCTGTAACCACTTTTCTATTGTTGTAATGAAAAAAACGCCGGTGTGTGGAATGGCTAACTAATCAGGACCACCCTTTACGGACAGACTCGCAGATTTTGATACCATTTATCAGTAGATATGGTGGAGTAAGTACTCGGTGGTTGAAAAGTGAAGGAGGTTTTTATGGTCCCGACACACCCTCTCAAAGTGACAAAAACCACAAAAATTACCAACTTCAAAATCCGTCTAAAAATTCCCTGTTTCATTTAAAGTTCATTTAAATTTTTACCAAAAAGTCCAATTTTAATCGGATTTTTCTAATTTAGTATTTTCTTGATCTTGCATAGTTTCTTTGTCAAACTCAACTTTGTTGATTTTTTTCGAACACTGGAGTGGGTAGGAAAGCTTACAAATAATACCTAAAAAAATTAAAGACTAAAATCGATGTCGGACACGATAAAACAACTGCCTGGGATAAAGAAAATGATCAAAATCTGATCAAAATGGCATTTTTGGTGAAGTTTTTAATGAAAACAGTTTAGCATAGGCTTCGTCTTTGAGGGGGTGTGTCGGGCGCAAATGTGGCCATGTAATAAAACTTACCTTCACATACACTCACCTAGTGCTACAGCATATCCAAAAGGCAACAAAATCTCTCATTCAGTCAAGCGTCCAGGTCAAAGAAGAGCACTGGTTATATAAATGGTTAAAATGGTTGAAATCTTTTAGGATCGTGGAGTGGAACAGCTCCCTCGTGCCAAAAAAATAGTAAGTCCAACACTTTGTTCATTTTGTCTTTTGTAATTTTGACACACATTACGAAAAAATAGCCTTTTGCACATCGCCCCCAATAATTGAGCATGCGAGACATAATGGTCCTCTTGATCAGAAGACCTTCGACCTGGATTTCTCCCTTCAATATCAATGTCTTCCGGGCTACATCACCAAAGGTTTTGCAAGGTAAGTTTTTGTATCCTTAATTTTACATTTCTTAACCTGAAAGTCCTCCATACTATTCAGAATAGGTTTTAAATCTTCTTTTTCCGTAATCTAGAACGAAATGCTTTTTATACAACGGAACTGCAAAATGGTTTGGTCCGGACATTACTTGTGAACGTAAGTCTCTCAAGATTGGCACAAATATGTATGCACAAAGCTCAGCCTCTCACTCGTAAGATTGTCCAAAACTTTAATAAACCGTCGTAACGTTAAAAGTAGCTCGCCCTGCAATGCTACGACAGAATGAGTCAAACGATATATTTGCATATTCGCCTTATATATTCACGTCGATATAGTCGCGTTTATCCGATATTAAATGTATATGGGATCATGTCAAAAAGTGTCATTTAGAAATGCATAGAAATTACGTCATTTAATTTAAAACACTTGTAACTATGATCACGTCATGTGGCAGACGAAACAAACATCAGGCCAAGAAAACTTATTCTGAATTTATCATTTCTGAATTTTCAAAAATTCTGTGGCAGATTCTTCACACCGATGGTACACAATAAGCGGAGAAAATAGAAATATGATTTTGATTAGATTTTGCATTAATGACGCAGAAAAAATAGGGAAATTTTGAACACAAATTTGACATGATTTCAAGGGTAAGGGATGGCAGATCCAACAACTTGTATGTATCGGTTAATCTGCAACATTAGTGCGGTTTTCAGCTAGTCTGACCGTAGTAACGTTAGAAGTAGCTCACCCTGTAATAATGATTTGGTTATAACTTGCCCCAAAGGTGCAGAAAAATCCAACAAAATAGGTGCATAATTTTTATGCAATTATGCACCAATGGTGCAGAAAAATCCAACAAAGTAGATAAATAATGTTTATGCAATATTTCACCAATGGTGCAGAAAAATTAAACAAAATAGATCAATAATTATTATGCATCGAGGAAAGTCCAAAAATTGTGCATCACTGGTGCAGAATTACCTACCCATGATCAACGATAATTTTGAAAAATTTATGTCAAAATTGTCTAATACAATCCGCCGTCTAGTATGCATTATTGGTGCTTTATGAATCAGATCCCCCAATTCTTTCGCATCACTTGGTTTTTCCGATTGTCAGATGCTAACGGTGCTATTAATTTATGAAAAAATGGACCAGGGACTTTTTAAATCGCATCAATTAATGCAAAAAACTGGTCAACGGACGGACACGAGGAATTCAATAGCTCTCGTGCTACGCAGGGCGAGCTAATAACACAAACTTTTCAAACGAAATCCTATGAGTGAAAGCGATTAGACTTGCTTAGTAGCTTCCTTTTCATGAACAGCTCATTATGAAATTGGAAAACTTTTTGTGCCTGCTGCTACGTATAGCGAAAAGTTGTGGAGAGGTAAGCAAGCAAATGGTGTTACGGATTATGATCTAATATCTGTGCAATTCTGATTGTTCAATAACGACATAACCCGAATGCAACTACATATTTTCGTGACGTACAAAATTTAATTCTCAATTTTATTCAGCCTCAAGACATTTTAAATGGACGTCGTGAAGGAGAATGCGTTCACGTAGGGTGTGAAATGACTTACGTTTGCCAACCTGGTTTTGACCTGGTTGGGCGTCAAAAACATACTTGTCAGGTGAAAGAATTATGCTTTTCCCCCTCCGTATGTTTTTATGCACGTGTTATTAGGGATATTTAAGTAAATAATAAACGTCTATTGTCAGTCTGATGGGACCTGGACTCCAAAAGATTTGCCGACTTGCGTCCGTGAGTAAAGTTATATATTTCTTTCTTCAGTTAGGAGATCGTTTCCTCTCCTTCCTGGTTACGGGAATCCATATGTAGCATCAACTTTGCTATACATACGGTCTCCTGGGGAAAGTCAAACCCGACTTCCTTCTTCCTCTAACAAAAAGTTCTATGCAATCTGTGTCTTGTGGTTGCAATAAACAACCCTTTTACATGTCTTTTTTATTCTTTGTTGCTTTTGCCTCAAGCCGTGCAATGTCCAATTCCGGAGAACCCTGGAAATGGGAATGTCGAGTATTCGTCACTTTCTTTCAACTCTGTTATAACTTACAAATGCAAGTATGGTTACATGTTGGTTGGAGATGGAACACGAAGGTAATAGTTTGGTGATAGACATCCTTTCCTTTGATTTATGTACAGTAATAAATTCCAAATTATATAAACACATATTCGATTGGTGTACATAGGTGTGGTCCAAACAAGAGATGGTCAGGTAAGATAACTGCTATTTTATTCATGTTGGTTTTCTATATATTTACCGGTTTTGTCACAGTATTTAGTAAAACTTAACTATTTTTTGATTGGGTTTTTATGAAAGGTTCGGACATTCAGTGCAAAGGTATGTGAAAACCGTGCATGTGAAACTAGCGTTTATAAATGAATGTGCAGATTGTTCAATATCACGCTTTTATTGCTTGTTTGCTTTCTCTGTTTGACCAGAAATTAATTGTGGAAGTCCCGGAATTCTACCAAATGGTAAATTGAAACTTTAAATTAAAAATACAGAATGCTTAAAGGTCTTGATCATCCAAAGACATACAAATGTTCACACACACTATTAACGGTTCAATAAAAGTCAATATAATATAGCGTCATAACATTTTCATTTAGATTACCCATGTAACTTTCTCCCTTTGAACCATAAGTAATTTATCAACAGTTCTAATCCATGCCAGCATCAGTTTTCACTAATTATTAAACTCTCAAATTCTATTCATCTTGAGGAGTAAGAACATAGACAATTTAAAACAGTTTAAAAATTTCCTTTCAAAATTGTCGATAAGGATTTCTTGGAGAAATATTCGAAATTTTGAGATTTTTTAAATAGAAATCATTTGCATGAAGAATCAATCTGTCATGTCTCAGTGTGGAAGAGGTGTATTCTTGCAGGATGGCTTGAGGGGACAAGGACTACACTGCACGCGGTTGTAATTTTCCATTGTCAACCGACAATGACTTTTGAAGGGACATCAGACCGTTCTGTTTGTACTTCTGATAACACGTGGTCTCATTCAACCATGCCCAAATGTCTCGGTATACCTATTATTACTCCAAATAATAATATTTTTTCGGCAGTAGTTTAGGCAAGGAAAAGGTCAGGAAATTACCAGCTTCACAAAATATTTGAAATCACGCATTCACGACATATTGATGTTGATAGGTGAAATCCGGGTGTCTCCCACTTTAAAAAATTGCCTCTGCAAGCATAGTTCGTAGTAGTTTTATAATACTTGTCATTTCATTATCAAATATCATGACATGAGTCATGGTTGTAAAATGTATGGAATTCTGATGATGGATATGGACTAGAGATCAATTGCGGTGAAATCAACAATGGCTATCTTCACAACGGATGGATGGAAAATCATGATCATGGGACGGCCCTAGGCGCCTCCATCATATTCCGATGCTACGACGGCATGACGCTGGTCGGCAACACCTCGACCGTTTGCAGGTGGCTTGGTTATTGAAATTTACAGTGTTCTTATTGTAAATAATAATTTTCATCCTTTACAGCATCGATGGACAGTGGAGATACCCACCACCTCTCTGTCTTGGTCTGGACTTACTCCAATTCCATACCCTAGTTTTATTATACATTCAAATTCAAGCAGTATCAATTTCATGACCTTTTCCTTTCTGAACTATTAAATGCCATCTAAAACAAATGTTTAAAGTTCGAATATTCATGGAAAGAGAGAAATTATAGCTTTTCTTCTTTGCTCGTCTCATTTAGCCCCCTGTAAAGTTCCTATAATTCCTTTTGGAAATGTGACGATGAAGGATGAATCTGAACCTACGTTGCCTCCCCCCACAACTGCACCACTCCCTCCAGACAGCACAAATCTAACTACTGTGCCACCAATCAAGGAAATCATTCTAAAACCTGGAACGACAATAGCTCATGGAAAATCAATCGGTGTGGTTTGGTTTTGTTTGGCTCACTAATGTAGAGGAAGCGAACATCTTTTAGTATTTAATTTAATTTAGTATTTAATTTAGGGTAAATTAGCAAACAAAAGGCAAAGTTAAAATGATTTTGTGGATTGTTCCAGGTGTCAAATGCGAAACTCATTATGAAGCTTCACATCTAATTTCACCACCAGCTTGTCACAATGGCTCGTGGTCACATGCTCCAAAATGCCAACCAGGTACGTCTATTCAATAATTTTACTCACATTTATTTACATACTGCAAGTATGTATAACAAACAAAAAATTAGTTAGGACGGAAAATAAAATGCACTCGACAGAGGAGCTAAATTATTTTAGTGCTTTTCCTTGATTGAATTTTACTGTTTCATGGCATAGTTCTCTCATAAATTGTGCATGAAATGATTCACTTTCTCTTCTTCCCACGCACTATGCTAGCTCGGTGTAAAAATCTTCCCAAAGCTCCACGCCATGGGATGGTCATAGCACCAAAAACTGAGCACGGGATGAAAGCACGGTTCACTTGCAGAGACGGCTATGTTCTGCTTGGAAACAATGTGACGGGTAAAACCGAAAATAATACATGCCAATATTCTTATTGAATTTTAAACGGTAACGTTACGACTTTTATTAGAATGCCAGTATGGGAACTGGGTTGGGGAACCTCCAGTTTGCAACCAAAGTGAGAAAGTTTTTTTAAAAATATAAGTGACTTTCACAGATTTCTGGAGTCAATGGCGTGTACGTTTTTATTGTTCACAGCTTTCTGCAAATTCCCCGGAGTCATACCGAATGGTCGAGTTTTGCTCGTGGGCAACATGGGTCTCTACGATTACAGGAACTATGTCACAAAGGTGGCAAACAATCGTCAGATTATGTTTGACTGTGAGAAGGGATATGTCCTTGCAGATGGGTAATTGATAATAATAACCTATTTTTATTTTTATTGTATCAAACATGAAAGAGCCCCGGACTGCATTTCTGCTCCTCGCACCAAGCTCTAAAAAAGATTTATATGTATATAATTTTAGTGTGTTGGTTGGTGTGAAAAGAGGAGAATGACGAGAGTTTGAATTTGACCTAGACTTTTTTTTTATTCTAGGCCACCAGGAAAAACTTGTATAAAGGCCGAATGGTGAGCCCAAATATCTAGGAAATATTTGCATGCATATTATACTGTAACTCACTTGTGTATGTGAATGTACATTTTTCCAGGTCCCCGAAAGCGGAAACACCAAGGTGTGAAGTTTTCTCATGAGTCCTATTATTTATTCGATTAATTATTTCAATAAGAAAATGTGAGAATTTTTTACGAATTGTAAATTTCAAAATTCAGGTGCATTGCATCTCAACATCCAAACTTTCGCTGGGTACGATCTGTACGATCTGCAAGATCCATTCGGAGAAAGCGAAAAGCTGGTGCAAAACAGGGTATGAGATGAGATGAGCTGACAAATGTTAATAACATGCGTTCATAAAAAGCAACATTGTTACCGACGTTATAATTTATTATATCTTGTGGTAAGCCGGAAGTGCTGCAATGCGAAATAAGCAATTTGGTGGAAGAGGTGGGGACGGTGGGGGAAAAAGGGGTTCAAGGAAACACCACAAAGTGGAAGGAGAAGATGAGGACGACTATGAGGAAGGTCTGCTTTGCGCTATTAAACGCATTTTAAAAACTGAAAACTCATGCAAACTATGTGTCATTATTTTCAGCTCCATCGGTTTGTTCGGGGTTTGTACTTAATTGTATAGATTTTATGCTCAATTTTATGTGAATCGTCATATATAATGCTAATTTCAGACTTGATCATGATCCCTACATTCAAAAAGAGACTATCCAAGCTGGTGAAGATATAAATCAAACATATTCTCATGGTTCAGTCGTTCGAGTCAGTTGTACCCACGGCTTTGGGGTGAACCTCCCGAACGAAACAATCAAATGCGTGCAGGGTCGGTGGAAACCAAAGCTGCCGCAATGCAGTGCATGTACGTATGTATTTACATTGATGAGAATAATTATAACTAAACGTAATTAGAAATATCTAAGCATGCAATGCGCAATCATATTTGTTGTGCAGTACCTTGCAAAGTACCCTACTTAATTCATGGAACGTTCTACGAGAAGACCAAGGGACTTGTGTTCATGGACTTGATAAAACATGGAATTGCAATTGAATTGAAATGCACCAAGGGTTATGCTCTCCGAGGGCCTAGCAAGCTCGTATGCTGGTATGATTTTATCATGTTTAACGGGTTATCCGATGAAGGTACTCAAATATTGATAAAAATCATTCTAGGTATGGAGAGTTCGACGTGGGAGACCCAAGTCCCGAGTGTGTTCCAGGTACGAAAATACCAACAATGTTTTGTCTTAAATACACTTCAAAAAGTTACAACAGTGGACCACAAATTCAATTTTTGATACAGCTCCGTGCAAACTCCCATCACTCAACTATGGGACGTACGAGAAGGGGTACAGATCCGGTATGCATGTCACTCATGGAACGGAAGTAGGTCATTATACCCCAATAAGTGATGAATAATTATCACAAGACGTCTTATAAAAATTTCTCACATGTTTTTTTACTTGTGATAGATGGATTATACGTGCGATGGGGATTTTAGAAAAATAAGTGCTGGAACTACAACCTGCATCTTAGGTAAATACCCATAAATTATGGGTCACGATTATGGAATCAACATTCTTGCACCTTAATAGGTGTACATACCTTCTAAAAGGAATGACACTAATTTATGGGTAGATCAAAACAAGAATTTTTATTCTTTAGGTGATTTTAGACCCAGTCGACCAGCATGCTTTCACCCGTCAAACATGGGAAATAACACTTTGCATGGTGGATACAATGAGTACAACGTGGACAACGGGGACAAGAAAAATAAAAAGTTGGATAAAGAGACAATGAAAAATGTGTACAATGGGATTAAGCGAGCATGTGGATCGCCTCCCAGAGAAAGGGGGGCTGTTTCATTTGTCGAAGGAAGGCCTGTCGATTATTCAATGGATTTCAGGTTATTAAATCTCTCTCACTTTCTTGTCATCATCATGAGCACGATTCCGAATCATATTGTTTGAACTCAATACCCACAGCTTTCCGGACGGCATAGATATCCAGTACAGATGTATTAATGTCAAACCTAAAGTTAAAAATCGTTGGCGAGTTGCATGCAATGACGGAGTTTGGACAACTAATGCAAACCACACAAGCTGTGAACCAGCGAATGGAACGGAATTTGATATTGACGAGCTACTTCAAATGATCAATGGTTCCTGTAAATACAAAAATTTGGACAAATACGTCGCAACATTCTTCACAGACCGTCAAGTCGGCAGCGGTGATGCAGAGTTTCCTACTGGGACAGTCCTTGTGAGATTAAACTACATAATTATATGAGAATGTTTTGTATTCCCTCCTAATAAAATTTATTTCGTATTAAATTTATAATTGATGATCAGACTTCTCGATGCGTGGACATTGGAAAGTTTCGTCTAAAAGGATCCGTACGGAGAAGGTGTGTTTCTGGTCAGGTAGGTGTTAAAATTTAAAATACAACTTCATCGTAAAATCGTATTCTTCAACTAATAAATTATAAATGTAATGCCTTGTTTATGCTTATACATAACTATGTCTTTGTCAGTGGTTGGGAATTACTCCAAAGTGTGAAGGCCTGAGCCAATTTTATGATTATGCTCGTAAGTTGCAATACAACAGATGTCAAGGAAGAACTTGTAATTTTACAAGTCTTGTGTATTGAATAGTTGGAAAACCACCCACGATACTCTTCAGATACGAAAACGGCTCGATTATTCAAAGTAACGATGGGAAACTTCTTATCTTTGAGGGCACTACTTTGCACATGGAATGTCTCTGGATACGGAAGTTTGGAAGTAATAATCCATACGAAAATAATCACAATGTTTTTTTTGTCAAATGCAGCATAAAACCTTAAAACATTCTACTTTGACCACAAATTCATTTTTTGCACACTTAGCTCCTAAATGGGAAACTTCAAATACACACAGGTACTTTCTCCATCTACATCTCTAAATAATAAACTAGTAACTGACCACTGATCGCCATGTGAAAGGAATCAGCATTATGCTCTCTACATTATACACCTGATCATGCTCCATCCTTATCCTTAGGGAATATCAAGAAGGATGGGCCGAGTTGCCAGGAAGAAATAGAGACCTAGAATACCGTCTCACGATTGACAACGCACAGATCGAGGATTCTGGAACATACCGATGCTCAACCCCCGCAAGATATACTCACGAAGTTAACATTGAGGTTACAAGTATGTGGCAGATAACACAATTATCTAACTACACCTCTCGTTGCAAATCTCATACTTTAAAAAGAAAACACGATTTAAAGTTGTCTGAATTTTTGCAGAGACTCATTGCAGTCCTCTCCCAGAAAGTTCAGCCTTGATTTATTCCACCAACAGCTCTGCGTTGGGGGCTGTGGTGTCATTCGAGTGCCAGGGTGGTAACAGCGTCGTTGGTGCTCAAGAATTGACTTGCCTACCCTCGGCAAACTGGAGTGGGGTCTTACCAAAATGTGAAAGTAAGTCCAACTCACGAAAACATTGACAAATATATAATTGTAGCAGTATATCCTAAATCTTCATTCAGTCGATATATGAATGTATATAAACTTCAGACGTAGAATGCCAAGACATTTCTCTCCTACCTGCAATGGCACCAATGGCGTATCCTTCACGCAACTCCACCTACAAGAAGAATGAGACGGGTTAGAATGAGATATCTTTTTTTAATTACGTTATATAATCATGCTGTTTGCACGTTCAGTGCAAATAGACGACATTGCTTAAATTCTGCTTATTTTTAACTGAAGCACCACCCAAAATCTCTATCGTGAGCTTGGACGTGGGAGGGAAGGCACTATTTACGTGTCCACAAGGTTATGTCGCTGATGGTGCTGCTGATGCTACGTGCCAATCAAACGGGAAATGGTCAAATCCACTTCCAATTTGCAAGGGTACCAATATACAACTTATTCAAGGAGAAAATAATGCAATTGTGATAGCCAGTGCATAACTATCAGCATGTTAATGGTTGTGAACAGAGGTGGAATGTCCTAATCCATCCCCACCAGACAACGGGTTCGTGACTGGAAAACCACCGTATAAAGCTGGCGACTTGGCTCAATTTGAATGTCATCCCAACTACATGATGGAGGGTCAGCCCATCATTGCTTGCCAGGATAATGGAAAATGGTCCAGAGCTGTTGGAATAAAATGTTGGAAAACAATGAGAAACTCTAAATAATAATTCATATCATGAAGTTCATGAGCTCTCTCATTTAATATTTATCTGTTTGTGTTATTAGGCGTTGTGAGCTGTCACTATCCGGGCACGACGATTGGGGGCACTATTTCAAAAGTCAAGTTCTACTATGGTATATATAATTAGCAAAAAGCGTTATACTAATTACACACATAACTTCAAGAACCATTTGTTGAGACATTGTGTTAAAAATTTGCAGCGATCGGAGAAACTGTCGAGTTTGACTGCACCGACGAATATGAATTGCATGGAACCCGAATGCTCCATTGTCAAAAGAACGGCAAATGGTCTAACACGGTAATGGCCCTGCATATAAAAATGTTTACGTACTATGTAGCCTCACGAAACTTTTTTTCTAGGTCCCAACATGTGCAGTGAAAAATGGAAATGCATATCGCCGTGTAATAGAATCGGACGAAGGAAAGAATCCAGTATCAAAATAAGTTGGATCAACAACGATAATACATGATAATAATCTGGCATGCATTGCAAAAGCAATAACAAAAAAAACATACATTCAATTGTCAAATTTTTATTATGTAGTCAGCCAGTTGAGTTTAGCTCAAGGGCTACAAATATAAACTTCTCACTTAATTATTATTATTACTGTGCACGTGGAGAGACTTGTCATTTTTTTATGTTCTCTTTGTGACGATCAAAGGAACGTGAAGAACATCATCAAATTCTTTGTTTTGTTGATCCATCCATTTTTGGGCTTCAGAATTCATATCATGTTTCTACAAATTGTTAAAATGCAATACTTGTTTATGTCATCTAGCTTATGCATCGAAATAAAAAATAATGCAATATAACAATAACTTACGTCGAGCTTAGTCTTCCTGGAACTCTTCTGATGACCTTCTGCATTTGATCTTTGACGAACAAGTGGTTCTGGATGAATGTCTTGCGCTTTTTGTCTTGTAACATAAACACAATTGTTTTCGTAATATTAATTATTAATTTAAGACTATGATTATTTTCATTACCTGTTGCTGTATGTTTTCGGTCTTGCGCTTGGGTTAAAGTGAATTTCCAAATCGTCGTCTGCTTCTGGTTTATATCGAGCTAGCAAAGCGTTAAAGTCATCATGTCCTTCATCTCCCTTAATGTACAAGCGTTCCTCTGCTATGGGTGAGATCAAAGCGTCGTAATTTTCGTTATCAGAGTCCTCAAATCCGAAACATGTATCAATATCTTCTTTGGTGACGGTAATTGTATGCTTCGCAGGTTTCGGAGTTGATGTGACAGGCACTCCAAAACATCGGCTTTTCCAATTTAAGCGATCTAGAAACAGTGAAAATTATTAATATATTACAACATTGGTTAAATGTAATCATTACACATTGCTATATTATCATACTTACCAGTGAAACTCATACCTTTAGAAATGCTATCAACTTTATTCTTCCTCTTTGCATTTACGGGCGTCAAGTGACTGGAATTTGCGGCCGGAACTTTTGCAGGTAGATCAAATGTTTTCTGAATTTTTGCCGTCTTCGGAGCAGGAGGATCAGTTGTTTTCTGAATTTTTGCCGTCTTCGGAGCAGGAGGATCAGTTGTTTTCTGAATTTTTGCCGTCTTCGGAGCAGGAGGATCAGTTGTTTTCTGAATTTTTGCCGTCTTCGGAGCAGGAGGATCAACTGTTTTCTGAGTTTTTGCTGTCTTTGGAGCAGGTGGATCAGTTGTTTTCTGATTTTTTGATGTATTTGGAGCAGGTGGATCAACTATTTTTGGAATTTTTACTGTTCTTGAACGCTTTGGAGGTGTGGTTGTGGGAACTGTTGTGGGGGCTTCGTTCTGCCTCCTCGTGGCACTTCTGGTTGACCGCATTGTAATGAGATTCTGTAAAGTATTTAAATAGTGGAATACTGAATAGGAGGTTGAGGAGGTATTTAAAATTGCACTTAATCTGTCATGGGGGTGATGGAGGATTGACTATAATTACAGAAATTATGAAGGGGGTAGTAGATAAATAACGGGCAGACCTTTGAGCTATAGAAACAGTCGTCAAACAATTCCAACACTATTTATTTACAAGTTGGCCATGAGTGTGGGTGTTGGTGTTGACTGGCAGTCAGTCGTTCTCCCTCCGTCTGCTCTGCTTTGGCGGGTTGAGCGAGTGAGGAATGTCAATATTTTTGCTCTCCATGCGCCAATCTTCAAACGAGGAATTCCAACTGTCTCCTCCATCACATTCTCCACCACTTCCCATTACTCCTTGATTATGCATATTTAATTGTCCCCTTGTTGTCAGTACTCACTTTAGTTCGCTGATAATTAAATTAGTTTTAGTTGGTATTGCTAATTTCCTCCTCCTCCCACCTTCACCAGTCAACTCTTTTCAACGAGGGAGGACACACAATGTACAAATTCCGAAGAGAATTCGAAGATTTAAGTAGATGTGTAATTATTATTTTTTGTACTCTGTAATTGTGAAACACACCCGAGTGCGAACAGTGAGTAAAAGATGAAGGCCGTAATATTATTGGTTAGGATTTTTTTTATAATCATCGAATAATTATAATACTTTCAACTCAATTCAACTAATTTTAATGTACCGTATTTGTATAGTCGTGCGCTGTTGAAGGGGGTGGAAAATGGCATTCAGATTTATTACGAACAGATTATTAGATTAAAGAATCATCAAATAGTATTTGCGTCCAGTATTCACTTTTAAATCTCACAATTAATTAGTGCCGTATTGGTGCCATCAGCCATGGTATTCTACAAACATTCAATTCCTTGCCGTCCAGTAAATACTGCAGTTTGATAATCATTATACATTAGGGTTAACATATATAATGAAATTATATTTAAATACGTACGTAACATTAACACAAGCCAAATACTAGACAATCATTAAGCTATAGACTATATAGATACGAATAGAGGGGTTTTTTAAAGTAATTATGTTATCAAAAAAGAATAAAGAGTCAAGAATCCTTGCTGATGGGGTGGTCGGAAAGTACGTCAAAAAAGAAACTCCCACTGTTGTGCCAAGTAAGTGACTACGAAAAAAAGCCAATTTCAAACTCTGAACATTTCATATGCTAAATTATTCGTTGCATGATTATTTTTTTATAGTAATCAATGTGTGGACTCCAGAGAAATTGAATTCTAAACGAGCAGCAAGGAAGAATCAACAAGGTCAAAATACCCTTGGTTCAAAAATACCCCCTCCAATAGTAGTAGAACCATTTCCTAATGACGCCCAGAAAATGCAGCTGCGAATACATCAAGAACAACTTCAAAGGCAGCAATTTACTCAACAACAATTTCTCCAACAGAGACAACAACAAATGCAAGCTCAGCACTTGTACTTCAATAACGGGTTCCATCCTCCAAGGCTTCCAAGTCCTCACCCACATCCTGGAGGGGAAAGATTCAGCCCAATGTCTTTACAACATCATAACAATCTTTCGAATCCTCTCTTAAACTGTTATGCGGGTTCCGATGCTTCTCTCGATAGTATTCCTGGGTCATCTATTTCTGGTCCTGCCAGGGTAAGTTAATAATTAATAATCATACCCTAAATGAGCGATTAATATTTATAATCCAGGTATTATTTTACAACTAGTTAATGATTCACGGAGGAGGTTATCTTTCAAACTCATACGTGAATTTAAGTGAGTTGGAGGTTGGAAGGAACAGAATTATGATCAGTCAGAGTAAAAGTAATGATATTTGTAATATTTAATCAATCAAACAGTGTTTTTTTTTAATTTTTATATATGTCATTGTTTGGTAAAGGTCGAAGTTGCGAAGATATTGAAGGTAGGTCAAGTAATTTGATTTTACTATTAATCGTACTAAGTTCATTCTAAGTAAAAGTCAAAAAGCCTACTCTAATACAAACCACTCAAATTGTATTTAATCTAGTTCCTCTACCGGCTGGATGGTCTGTAGACGAGACGGTACGTGGTCGTCGCTATTACATAGACCACAACACACAGACTACCCACTGGTCACACCCACTAGCAAAAGAAGGTCTCCCAACTGGGTATTTGATGAATATATGCACATATATGTCTCTGTCCATTTGTTTTAATTCGTCTCTTGATAATTATTTATTTTGGAATTTGGATTAATTTTAGTTGGGAGAGAGTAGAATCTTCTGATTATGGCGTATACTACGTCAAGTAAGAATCCTTCGTTACTTTATCAAACGATAATATAATTATTAGCTCACCCTGCGTAGCACGGGAGCTATTGAATTCCTCTTGTCCGTCCGTCTGTCTGTCTGTCTGTTAACGAGTTTTTTGCATGAATTGATGCTAATTAAAAATCCCCTTCACAATTATTGATTATGTTAGGCGCACCATTGGTATTGAACAAACTGGATCGAATTTTTTTAGTAAATAAATAGCACAGTTGATATCTAATAATCGGTAACACAAAATGATGCGAAATAATTGGGGGATGGGATGCAAAACGCACCAATAGTACAGAATATCCGGGAGAAATGATCATACAATTTTGACAAAGTTTTCAAAATTATATAACCCGAATGGTCGCTAATTCTGCACTAATGGTGCAATGGCGGGCCGAATCTTTTGCACCATAAACGGCATATATATAATGAATATATAAGAGTTGTGATCTATTTTGTTGGCTTATTCCGCACCTTCGGTGCAAAGTTCTGTCTCAATCATTATGACAGGGTGAGCTACTTCTAACGTTACTACGGTTTATTTGGTGTAGTATTAAGAATGAGTTTACTAATTGGCAGTTTAATTATTTCCTTTAGTCACATTACCCGACAAGCTCAGTATGAACATCCATGTGCTCCTGTCTTTTACGCTGTGAGACGGATTCCTAGTCCAGCATATCTTCCAAGATTTCCTCCTTCAAGCGCCATGTCAAGTCGAGAATCTCTTGCAGAGCTACAGAGGAAGGGTCTTCGGAGGGATGACCAACAATCACAACCTCTTCACACTGACTTTAAGACGCCTTCAGTTCTGGTTCCTGGTTCACCCTATAATATACAAGGTTAATACTGCACTATTACTTTACATTATTTTAATATAAGATGGACGAAATAATAGGAAGAGTATTTTTTGTATTTTATACAGATATCCCAGAGTGGTTGCAAGGTAATAAAGGAATTTATAATTAGTTTCTGCTCCAGTTCTAACGAATGAGCTTCAAATTGAATGTCTATAGTTTAAATAATAATTACAATTACTATATATTTATAGTATATTCCCAAGCGCCGGCAGAATTAGATTGCAAACTACGGTGGGAACTATTCAGACCCCCCGAATTGGATTGTTGTAAGTCAAGCAAGTTAGAGTTTTAGGTTAGGTATTCTAAACAGTGCACAGTATTCAATGTATACATTCTTTTTTCTGCCCAGTCGATGCAATGCTAAAACGTTTGTTTCGACACGAGCTAGAACGAGTGGTTATGAGTTATGAAGTCTTACGGTAGGATTTAAACCAAACCATCCTCACGTTTCATGCATGAGTAAAAGTTTCATTGCATTTTTGTGTCATAGGTTTGCAATCATCCATGAAATCGAAATGAGAAAGAAAGGTCCTGAAATGATGAAACGAGTTGCTTTAGCCCAAACTTTCGAAACCAAAGTTTAACGGTATGATTTCTTCGCTACGACATTTTATAACAAAAAAGTTGACAATAAATTTAAAATACTTATTAATTTTACTATTGATTTTGCGAACGAATTTATTCAAACCAAAAGCTTATAGAAAATGAAGGCGTTAAAGATGTTATGTAATGCCACCACTTGGGAGGAATGTATAACATTGATCCAGGCGATAGGATAAATTCGCAGTATTTCGCATGCCTTAGGTCGGGATATTTTTCAAGCACCAAAGGATCGTCAAGATCAACCTGACTGGTATTGAACAAGATAGATGTGGCTGGAAAGGGCCGAAGGTACTGAGACTCAGACGGTGGATAAAGTCGAACAAGTTTTGCTCCAAAAACTTGAGCCAAAAGATTATGTTTGGGATCATAATGGTTTGGCGAAACTGTATTGCCTGGCCCAAACCATGCATTCGTCTCTACTTGTTTAGATTCCCCTAGGAAGCAGTAGTCCGGTACTTTAATGTCTTCTCCGAGCTCAGTTATCTGAAAATGTTTATTTTTACATTACATATTGCAACCAATCCACGCTATTTTCTCAGAAAAGACCATACTTGCTCAAATAAACGATGTTGAGCAATATACCCAACTCCTCTGGGCAACTCTGATGAATCTTCCTTTGTAATATTAGTGCAAGTTTTCAAAATGTAAGAATTTACAAAGTCTTCAACCCGCATAAGTTTTTGCGTCCAATCATCTGATGTGTATTTCGATCCAAGTTCTACCGGAACGGTTCTAAAACCAGCAGTCTTGAGAGAGATATATAAATAGAGAGAATACATTTAAAGATTATCCTGTTTTATTTGAACTATTGCAAGAGTTTTAATGCGGTCACGGTCACCCTTACCTTGCAGATATATTCTATATTCCACTTTCTCCTTGCTGGCCAGTGGTCAATTCCACCGGAAATCAAAACGGGGCATTGCTTCTTCATGATATTCAAAAAATGTTCCAACGATGGGTTGTCAATCAACTCAATCTCAAATCTGGACTCTGGACATTGAGATCGTCCTACTACTGGTAGTGGTATTTCTTGGACTAATGAGCTTGGCTTTTTCACGACCTCTTCGCCCTCATTTAGGACCCGAAGTTCACTGCTGAGATCTTGGGCAAAGCGGAGCAGGACATTGTCGAGGATGCCATAAGTGATAGGTTCCCCCATGAGTAATCCCATATCACATTCCTTAATTATGTCCATACTAGGCTTTTGAAATATAGCCATGAAAATTGTCTGAAATGCGAATCATTGCTGGTAAGGGTTTCTACTAATACAAACACGAAGCATCGACCCCGGTCACTCTGCTATTACTTACCTTGCATATGCATAGAAATGTGTATGCCCTCCGCCATCCAGGCGCTACCGTTTTCCAATGACCAACATTGAGTTGTTCCCAAACATAAGTGTCTCGGACTATGTCTAGCATGGTCAAGCAGTTTGAAACCTGCGACCTCAGCGGTTCTCCTAGTTGTCCATGTTCATTATGATTACCACTCTGAGGTGTTTTGTTCACCCAATTTTTAATGGAGACCAAAGTTCTGACCATTTTTAACAATGCTAATTTCAAAGTATTGTCGCCATCATAAAGTGAAAGCTCATCATCCAACAGTCGCTTGGGATCATGGAAAAGTGTATCCTCCTCACAAAGAAATGCAAGCATAGCCTGAGAAAGTGGTTTGGTATGATAATTTAGACACGTGGGGGCTTCAGCTGTAGGATTTTCCATCATAAAAATTAATACAATAAAATAGTCTGCGATCTGTCCTCTAATTCAGAAGAATAATAGAATCTGGATTCCACATTCCAGACTTCAAAATAAACTACAAATACTACAAACTACAACAAAACCATAGTGGTTTCAAACCACTGGTTTGTCTGACTAAAGATGAAACGAGTTAGTTGATCTTAATTTAAGATATAAGTTCAAATTTTGTAGTAAATCAAATAAAATAATGTACAGGTTTGAGCAGGAATCACGAAGGATATGTATGGAGAAAGTACGAGGCTCCGAACTATACCCATAAATTCTATAGTGCTGCTGGAGTGAAGGGGCAAGTGTGAGACGAGTCGGGCATTCGGTGCCATCTCCGGGAAAATTTGAGCAGTGGACGCTGCTTGCCTGTCCTCCATTGAACTTCTCCGACTTGCTGATCTGACGCGTCACTGTTCGCCGCTTTGGCACATCAACAACTCCTCATACCACGAATTACTTATAAAAGTGTCATTTATTTACTAAACATTTACGTGCACGCCAATTTGTGCTTTTTCTTCCAGTGAAAAATAGTTCCAAAGAAACCTAAAAGCTACTCTTGTTTAGACTTGTTCACTCCCCCTCTTTAAACAAATAAGAGTTTTCTTTTCAAGTAAGTACGTCCAATAAGTATTTAATCACTATTAATTAAAGTACTATTACCTAATACTAATAATTATTCTGCTCTAATTGGAATCGTTGCAGCTCAACCGATCAAATTAAGTAGTACCATACTCTTAATATAGTACCATACTCTTAATAATTCGAAGCGACTTCCAAATATAAGCAATGGAGGGAAACGATGACGGTGGTCATCACGACCAACACCAAGGGGGTGGTGGGGGGGGAGGAGGAGGTGCAAAGAAACGTCCTAATGACAACCAGGGCGATTATGCTAACAGCCCACAGAAGAAGGGATTCTTTAATGGTATATTAATAATAACAATGATGTAATAGTCGTCATTTCACATTTTCGATTGTAATTTATCTTGTTGTCTCTTTCAGGTAGGGCAAATAATGCCCAAACTGATCCTGAAGCAGTCTACTTAAAATTTATGGTCCCACAAGCAACGGCTGGGTCGGTCATTGGCAAAGGCGGTCAAAATATTTCAGATTTGCAAAAGGAATACAATGTCCACATTCGCATGTCCAAGGCTAATGATACGTTCCCCGGAACTGATAATAGAGTCGGTAAGCAGTTGACTTATTTTCAAGCTATGACGAACATATTAAGCTAGTCAGACAATTATTCAAATGTTTATTTGCAGCCATCATGTCAGGAAAAGTTGCAAATGTGTTGACTTCAACTATGGTAATCTTCAAAAGAATGACATCTCCTTCTGATTTGTTTCCCAAGAACCCAAGACCGAAAACCGTGTCAGATAAAGAGGTGACGGCAAAATAATATAATTATAGTTATAGTATTGGTTTATTATTAATATATAAATAATGTGCACAGTTGTCTTTGATTGTGCCGCAAGCAACGGCTGGATTAATTATCGGTAAAGGAGGTAGCCGAGTGAAGAGCATTCAGGAGGTATGCACACTATTGAATGATTATCATTCGTAAGTTTTAATAAATCGTTTATGTTTTCATAGGATTCAAATTGTCACATCAATCTTACTCAGAAAAATGAACAGGTACATGAAGTAAAATAATATTAATAATTATTAAATATCTCAATATTATCTCTAATGATTTCTAATATATCTTAATTTAATATCTCTAAATGTCTCATAATTTTCTTGTTGGATTACTCTTTGGATTATGATATGTTCTTTCTTTTATTAAAGCTACCAACAAATGAACGCGTTGTGACGATTCAGAATAATGATGCAAATCCGGATAATATTGAGACTGCTTTGAAGTTGATATTGGAAATAATCAAGGGCGATCCCCAATCATCTTCATGTCTCACCATTAACTATTCAAATTCTGGAGGTCATTCAAATAATCGGGATGATTATAATGAGGATTATGGAGATGATTCCAAATCATATGGTGGTGGAGGAGGTGGCGGTGGCGGTGGTAAGGGCAATCAATTACTTATATTTAATAATATGGCATAATTTATCATTTGAGTCTATTCATTATTTGATTTAGGTGGTCGTAATTGGAGAGGAGGTTCTGGTGGGGGCAACAACAACAGTGGCAACTCTTCCGGTCCACAAAATACCCCCGCATTTGGGACGACGTCGGGTTACCCACCGCAAGTCCATTTTTGGTGTACTTTTGCTGGTAATTCCAACATCGCGTCGCAATGTCTCGCAAAATAAAACCTAACGTATTTTTTGCTTAATTTATACGAAGGTCCTCCAATTTCCAATGGACACACTCCACCTCCACACATGATTGAAGGAATGAAGGCTTACTTGTTGAATGTTGGATATCCTCCAAAAGCAATCCAGGAAATCATTGCTGCTGGGAACTTGTTGGCTTCTTATGGCATATTGAAGCCGGGTAACATTTCCGTTTTCAATTCACCTCAACTGCAGATGAATCCATTTTCTGCAATGGGTGGAGGAAATGACGCCGTGTCTGGAATGGGAAATATGGGTAGTATGGGGGGAGGAGGTGGCATGGGTGGTGGATCCCTGGATGGATGGAACAATACCATGGCCGGAATGTTTATGAAACAATTTCAACAAGGATCTGCTGCAAGAGGGTACGAAGACTTTTCATTAAGGTAGCTCGTACTTGGGCTAACCCTTTCACCGCTCACGCACATGTTACTATTTTTTTTATTATTTTAGATGTAGTAATATGTAACAAATGATTAATATGTGATGTGTGTTTGTCATGTAGTGGTGGTGGTGGAGGGTTTGACTCTGGCTACATGAGTGGCATGGGAGGAAGTGGCGGCGCTGGAGGTGGGATGAACGTTGGCGGTGGTGGGGGTTATGGAAAGAGTGACAATGGAACGGACAAGGTGAGTTGTTATTATATTCGCCATGGGTGGTATTAATTGCAGCCAGGGCAGCCATTGCATAACTATGGTGTTTAGCAAAAACAAAAAAAGAGTGGTAAAATGAGCTACTCACCCTGGCACGCACTGAGCTGAGAGGTTCATTAATTATTATGAGGGTGAAGAAAGAAGCTCATAATAACGGAATAATGATCAAGATCAATCATAATAATTTAATCGGCTGTTCATTTCTGATTTTCGAGCAGAGGCGTTTTTGAAGCAGTTGAAAGGACATGCATAAATGAAGAGGAGACAGACGATGATCCATCAAGAGATGTGAGCATAAACATGTTGAGATTCAAAACTGGCTTCATACTGACCGCACCTCTTCTCTCCCACTACATATGCTCACAGAGATATAAATTATACAGTTAATGTCTAAGATAATAACTTTATACTTAGTTTAGTTACTACTTACTACTACTACTACAATACATGATGTACTGGTTAAGGTTCCCATATATGATTGATTGATAAAATGTACTTGGAGTATTCGATAGAGTTATGTGGATTTCATGTCATTCTTAAAAAAAGTTAACCATATGTTCATTCATAATAACCATTATTGTATATGATGTCATTGTTATTGTTGGGTTCATTGTTTCATGCTATGTTTGGATACACATAAAAAATTGTTTTGTCATAATTTCATGTTCTCCCATACTGTTAGTCTGTGTTGCTTTTATGGTATCATGCATCGTTCAATCTATTACAATTCAATCCTTCAATTCTTTGGTTTAGCAAAAAATATTTTATGGAACCAACTACATACATATACACATCTCCTCTATTATTATGTACTATGCATATTTGGTCATTATTAAATTGGCTCCCCTTAATACTGTATAATGCGAGTTGTTATTGTCTCATTTAATTCTGCGTTTATATTAACTGTAGTACCAACATTAGCATATTGTGCATCGTCTATAGAGGGTTTAAAAAATGATGATTTACTAAACGATTTCCATGATCAATTTAATTTCAAGTGGACCTAGAGTGTTACTCCAAGAAAGAAACGTGGTTATGGATTGGCTGATTGGATCTTGCTGGCACCCGTGGAATATCCCAATCAATCGGAAAGCTGCTTGATGACCGGTATGACAAAATTGATTGGTGTCACTCTAAAGTGACACCAATTGACACTTTAGAGTGACGCTCATTTATTTACTAGACTTCTACATCAGTAGTAAAAACCAACAACTTTTAATGTATGTAGAATAAAGTGATATAGTACAATAACTTTATTCAGTATCATTTAATTAAAGTTAAAAAAAGCAACATATTAGTAAACAAGCAGCTTCAATTTATTCAAAATAACGGGTTGAATTCTGAATAGATCAGATTCGTGCCGTCTCCTCCCTCTACTTCTTTCTGCTGGAAGATTTCTTGGGTGGGGACCATTTAAGACGTGATGGATCCACTGTGAGTCGTGGTCGTTTCCATTGAGAAGCTTTGAGATGTTCTTCAACAAGTTTCGGAGTAACACAAATGACATGCTGGCCCTTCCAGTATTTGACCATGTTCAATGCCTGAAGAGTTGAGATTATATCTGTTTGAGCGATTGATGTCATATTGGATAAATCTTTAATTGAGAGGACGCCACGAAAGTCTCGAAGGATTTCCAGCAACACCCAACTCCAATAAGATCGATAGGACAATTTCCCTACACCAAAAACAATATATATGTATATATATATATTATATTATATGAGTTAATTATTTCATTTCTTATTAGTACGTCAGAAAATAAATCAAAATGAATACCTAAATCAGACAAAGGTTTTTCTGGTGATCCAATCGCGTTTTCAATTTTTGACAATTCATAGCTAAACGCAATAAGCAGTTTTCCATAGCCTTTTCTTTGAAATGGAGGTAGGGTTAGAATGCACGCCTGGAAATCATAAAAAGGATTACCATATAATAATAAAGTACGCATTCCTCAAAACAATTTAACGTTACAAAATTTGCGCATTGCATAATATTCGCAATATTCTCAACTTACAACATTGTTCCCATCCGGGCTTTCTTTCTCTTTTGAAAAATAACCCACAAGATACGATCCGTTTTGATTAGTTTCACACATCAAATAAAATAGGAAAGGTTCAACGTCAAAGTATAGTGTTTTGTGATCTAAAAACAGTTTTGCCAACAAACATATATTCTGACAGTATAATTTTTGATCTTTTCCGTCAACTTCCCATATCGAGATCGTTCCCTATAAGCCACCATAAATAATTCATTTACGATGATACCATATATGCAACACAATTATACTTTCATACATACTTTTCTATAAATTTCTTTTCCTGGCGGTTGTAGTTTTGTGCATTCATCGAAATGCCAACGAAATGTGCTTTCGTACTGCATGTAAGTCAAGCAGTATTGGCATATCCACAATTTTTTAACTCTTCCATACTCTTCTGGGTATGGCGAAAAGTACCAAGTGTCCACTTCGTAATTTCCTATCTGAATTTTATCAATGTACTTCACCTATGTGGTAAAAAAATAAAATTAACCTGGGTGATGTTATGGATAATGGATGGCATTATCGCCGCCAACTTATCAGTTGTATTACTATGTTACTTTAGTGATAGCTTCGTGTTCTCGTTCTAGGGCTGCCGTAGTTGGGTCCATTTCATCGATTGCCTTTTGTACATGATTTATCTCGTCATGTTTTCTTTTTTGGTTTCGTGTGACCTTTCTTGGTTCTGCAGAGGGTCCACTTATACAAGGCCCAGCGCTTTCTGCTGGTAACGTTGGTGTGCCTGTTCCTACACTTGCATGTCGTTTAATTGCAAACTTGGAATTCATGATACGGTCACGAGTAACCCACTCGTCCAATCTTCGATTAAAATTTTCATAGTGAATATAGTACTCGAACTCATTAGATGCATCGTCTTCATGTGGCCTTCTGTGAATGACTTCGGCAGGGTCTGCACAGACGAAAAACAATTTACAAATATTAAAACACCATATTAATGTCACATTAACACATAATTCGACAATCTAAAATTTCTTACACCAATTATTATCCGCTCGCTTCACCAGATACTGGACCCCGACTTCAAGTTCTGGGCCCAACTTATTGATATCATCGTCAAGATCTGTGCCATTAGCATCAGAGTTGTCAATTGCTGTTGAGAGCTCCAAAAACTCCCCACAGCTCGAAGAAGAAGCCATGCCATTGGTGCCGTTATGAAGGAAGCGATGTCGCGTGGGTGAAGGTCCTGCCCTCGATGTTGAGTGATCTGTATCGACATCATCATCGTTGGATTCGTCATCATCTTCACTCATTTCGTCATCACCTTGCTTTGAACCATCGTCGGACGAGTCGTCGTCGTCATCATCATCATACAAGTTTTCCTTATCTTCTCCGTCCTTCTTGATCGAATCTAAGACCATCCTGAACCTCTTCCTATCCTTTTAGATGTAAACTATGTGGTGCTGTACTGCTGTGCTGGTAATCTATAGGCTGATACAAAATAATATGCAATAAACGCTAAAAGATAATGGATGACAATGACAAACATTGCGATGATTTATGTTTACCTTGGAACTTGTATCATTAACACACGGTAAAATCAATACCACAGCCGTGACAAGATTTGGCAGAAAATTATAAATATAGTGCTTACGAAGAAGTGTGAGAATCGCAATAGAACTTAAAATTTGGGTACAATATGTGTTTGTGTAGTTTAGAATTGGAATGAATAATCCAAATTATTATGAATTATGATAGGCGTTTCGTGTTTGTGAAAATTATTGAAATTTGTGTTTCAATTCTAATTTGTTAGCTTTTCGTTTGTTGTCTGTTTAAAGGACAAGTTGAACAGATAGCGGGGAGCAGGGTAAAATGAGCCACGTTGCTTTACATGACGCATGCATGACGAACTTGAGAAAAACCCCCACGGTTTAATGTCAGATTTGTGTTTTATTATTTTCTTTCGTTGCCCGTTGGTGTTTAGAATTTGCACAATTCAACATACACATTATATAACATTATGTTAACATACAAGCAAACATTTTCAAGCAAAACAGGCGACGTGACTTTTGGTAGTTGAGAAACATTTGTAAGCAATTATTGTTGTATTTTAATTATAATAATAGTGGTAATACAAGTTCATTATTTATATAAGTTATTAGTCGGGTGATTGAAGTTATATTATATCTTGAATCATCAGGTAGCGAAAAGTCAAGCCAACTCTCTGGCATTTACATGGTAGAAGTAAAGTCTCCTCCTCTGTGGCGTCTCATCCTCAATTTCATGGACAGATATTTTCTCGGATATCGACAGGGTTTGGATTTTATAGTTGATAATCAGCTCGCATTTCCTGTCTGACCTTGCTGAGCTCTTTGTATGTAAAGTTGGAGAAGTTTTAGTTTCGATCCGCTTAGAGAACTGAGGTATGGATCTAAATCAGTGCCCAATCTGAAACAAATCAGTTACATAATTTTTTAAGAGTAATTTTTGTTGGTCAGCATATTTGTCATTATGTCGTATACAAACCTTGTGTGAATTGCAACTATTGAAAATACGGCAGCTTTTCTAACTGCGGAATCGTGGTGATCATAAGCTATTATTAACGTGGAAATTATATCGGGAAACAATGATCGAAGCTTAGTAATGTCACAAATTTCACACATTCGTTGTAGCATTTTTATAGCCATCTGAAAGAAAAAGAAATGATATTGAATGATTTCAACTTGAATATAGTTTTATAAAATGCATAATCGGGGTTTGCAAAAGAATCCCTATTTATTGTAATTACGTATTTCCCAACAACTTCTCTTTATTTATGCCAGATTATGTTGAACAGAGAAATGGGTGCAATATATGAATAGCAATTTTGTATATCGATATGTTGTTTTAATTACCTGGTTGACTGGAAACTCTCGATTTTGCACAATTGGACATAGAGCTCGTGCTAGTATTTCTGGGGGAAAATTGACGGCTAAAGACATGCCACAATTTTCTGCAGCCTTTGTGACCTCTATAGGAACAATAGAAAGAACACGATAAAGGTTGGGTATTGACCAATAAAACAGTATACGCGTAACATATTTTCTTGTGGTTGTGAAAAAAAATTTAATCATTAGATCTAAAGATCTAATGATGGAAGCCATACCAGAAGTAATATTAAGAATCAATTTTAAATCATGTACATTAAGATTCATTAACTGGATGAGAAACGGAGCAATTTCTTTGGAACTATTGTTGTTTAACTGAACTTGTTTGCATGCTATAGTTTTATGATACCTCATACCTCGAGCCATTTGAGGAGTCTGGACGTCGGTAACTCGTACAATGAAAAGTTCAGCAAAGGCAGCCAAGTGGGTCGCTAGTACAGTTCGATTACATAACTCTTCCAAACAATAAAAGCACACTGCTTTGTCCAACGGCTTTGTAACCTCAGCTAAAGTGTCGAATATGATTTTTAACACCTCCCTGGGTAGACAGAATTCAATTATTAGGACAAGGAATATTGTGCGTTTAATAAAAAAGAATTGTCAAAATTCTATACTCACTTGTGATGCTCTACTAATTTGGCGTCATCTGACTCCTTAATCGCTATCAATAACTGCGCAGCTAAGGTTCCTTTGGTGTTTGCATTGCTCATAGACATTTGCGTCATGACGGCCATCAAATCATTCTCAAATTCGTTTTGGCTAATTTTCAAAGATTGTAATTCGGAACTTATGGCGCTGGATAAATATAAGATATTATATAATATTTCAATGATTAGTCAAATAAAATACGGTCAGAATATATCAATGTCTAGGTTGTGCTAGATATATATGTATCTGCCGAGTAAGATAATTGTACATAGATGTGTATTTATTTACCTCCATTCTCCACCTATATTAACTCGTTCATCGAAAGCGGGAGGAGGTGGCTTCACTTTTCGAGGAGAATCTTCATTAGTTACATGATTTTTCAAAATGGCCTTGGCTTGATCTTGTCTATGCGGCGACATACTTCCTAAGACCAAGGTCATTTGTGGTGCAGCCATATCAAATAGCGCATGGAATACTTTCTGTGACATTCGACGTAATTCTGGTGATCGTACATCGCCGCACCAATCTAGTACGTACAAATGAATATAAATTTAATCAATAAAAAAAGTTAATTAAATCTCAGCGAGTCTTGTTAATGAATGCTGTGTGAATACCTAGTATTTTTTCAACAAGATGCAGAAGCTCGTCAACTTTTACAGAAATTGCCAATGTTGATAAATTATATAGATGGCAAAGTGCTGCAACTCTTGATCTACAATTGGAGTTGAAGTTGTTCAATATTTACCGTATAATATATATCTTATAGATTATCTAATGCTTTAAATTTTAAAATCAACTCACCTACTATTTGGAGTTTGAGTTGGATCACAAAGATAATGAGCAACTGCAGAAAATTGCAAGTCTGCAGGCATCTCATCCCTAAGAAATAAGCAATAGTAACAATGTTTTCAACCGGCATCTTATTCAGGGAAATATTTTAGGTTGACATTAACTTACATTATAATTTCTAGAGTTTTCGTTAATTTAGTTTGAACAGAAGTTAATAAATCAGAGCCCAGCTTCGTCAAGACTCGATTTAATAAAATTGTCGTAAAATCGACCAAATCTTTGGCGTGTCTATATAGAACGGCATGTAGAACCTGTTGGTGAGTGTAGTTTATGATTATAGTATTCACATCTAGGAAATCGTACAAGCAAAAATATCAAATAAAACCTTACATCCAAGAAAAGGCTGAGCACTTTTGTATGCGCATCCATAAATATACGACAAAACGTTTGGCCTACATAGGAAAAATAAGTGCATTATTACATGTACAAGGTTTGTATGATTGCAAAAATTATTTTTTGGCTCTACTATACTACTTACCAATTCTATTAAAATATTGTTGAGGGAGGGAGCCTCGACGTTGCAAATAGTTTTGCAATCCAAGGAGACCTTCTTTCCGTTCAGACCATTTAGCACTGCCACATTTATTAATTAACTCTTCCACGTTATCCTATTAATAAAGTGAAAGATGAGTTAGATTACATTTATATAAATTAGTAATGTCAAATTCCAATGCAATCTATGCGGCAGTAGGTCATTCTTAACCGATTCCAACTAATTAATTCCTCTGTCTGTATGTACCTCTACGAACAACTGACGACTAGTGATTGGTGGAGAGAATGTTTCTGACAAAAACGAGCGATGAGATGTTAGTGAATCTTCACTGTCGCTGTGATTTCCAAAATCAAACTCGGAGATTTCTCTTCTAAGCGCTTCCGCCACCGCAGACTCAGCTTCTCGCGAAGCCATTAGTAGTCGTGTTGTGCTAATTATTTTTTGAAAGATACGAGTTAGTGTCAAGTGGAGATATAATTGATATAATAATGAACAAGTAATTGGGTAGTTTTTTTATCATAATAATAATATTACCTGTTAGCACTGGATGGAATCAGAATCTGAGGAGATTGGGTAACTGATCGAGAACGGAGCCTAGCGTTCATGCGACCTTGGGGTGAAGTATCTCTACTGCTAGACGCGGAAGAAGTTGCAGAGTATCTTCTAACTCCCTTACCAGGAGGTGACAATACTGGTAAATTAGATTCTCGTCCATCATGCTGGGTTTGCTGAGCATATGGTGAGGAATAAGTTGCATATGAATACTTTGAAGAGGGAGAATTGCTTCTGCTTCCAGCTATTCAGACAGAAATAGAAAATCGTCACTCTACGATTCAACTGTTCTTTAAATTGTCATGTACTAACTAATTCACAATTGTTAGAGTGATAATAATAATAATAATGATAATAAGAGTAATAAGAAAATTACGTTGTGAGTGGGACAAACGAGAAATTCTACTTCTGTTACGGGATCTTTCATTTGTTCCACTTCCTCCAGACATGTTGTACGCATTGGTTGGAGTCATTGCAGATATGCCAACTGGTGTGTGTGTGAGATTGCCATGCATTGGAGTTACCGACGGAGACGCCATGGATGAGTTTGTTCTTCCCATTGTCCGCAAAGGGGTTCTAAATTTGTTTGATATTAGAGAGAAGAAACCATTAGAAGTTCGATTTTTTGACCAATCTGCCAATGAGGCTACAGAAGAGATATATATTGTTGTTGTGAATCGTATTTAGTTGTTTATGAGAGTGGCTAGATATAAGAAGTATGTGTATTTTTTGGGGGCTATTGATTCTTGTGGCATGTTGTAGTTTTACCGAAGGGTACTAAAATGGTGTTGCTTTGCACGATTCGCCGCTTGCAAGTCAATTGCAGAAGTAGAACGCCCAGGCGTTGCCGTTTTTGCAGGGGATGTTCTCGCAGCCAAAACGGGTATTCCGGTTTTCTTCATAGAACCTACATTATAAAACAGAAAAAGATACAAATTGGTCAATAGTGGATGCCTGGATGCGATTTCAGGTTTCTTCACGGCAAACGGAATTTTTGTCCCCCCCCCCAAAAAAAGGGGTCCTCTTAATTATTTTTTTCTAAGGTTTTTCCCAAAAAGGGCCTCCAAATATTTTTACCATGAAAAGGTCTTATAAATTTTGTTCTTAGTTTTTCTCCGTAAAAAAGCACTCCAATTTTTTGAAGGATTTTGGGGGTCCTTTTTTTAAAGGGGTCCGGTTTATTTCCCGGTTTTCGAGCGAAGTTTCACAGCACACGCGTTTGCACATTTGAACCATAAATCTCATCCACGGATGGATGATACTAATAAATTGCATAAATCACGTACCCTGTCTGGACAATGACGAAGTTTGAGGCGTTTGATGGGTTCCGTTAGTTCTTTGTGCTGAAAAAGTAGGAGCACTAGGTCTAGAATTCGTTGTCTGCATACTAATATTAGATAATAATTGGCGTTTTTGCAGTGGTTCAAGTGAGTCCAAAATAGATTTGGCAAGTCCCGGAAATAACCGCTGGATAATAGAAAATATAGATATATATAGTTATGAGTATAAAAGAAACAAAACATTGCTTTGTATACAATCCTAAACTCTGTTCCAAAGTGACCTTACCTGGAACGCAGTGAAGCAGTCTCTTGAAATATTTCTTGCTTCAGCGTCAGCATCAACAAGCCCCTGAAAGACAAACAAAATTGTACAAATATAGGACCTACGTTCGGATTTTCCTATTTCAAAATGTCGTTATTTCATCGTTTACCATTCCTTAGTTCAATCTGTGTATACCTTTTTCATAATGTCGTTAATGATGTGAGCATGCCTCTGAATAGTTGGAGGAGGCCACTGATGCAGTACAATCCGAATACACGAACACACGGCACGTCGGACTTCTTTCGACTTGGACAACATTTGTGATTGAATAGGAGGAAGCAGCCTCCACGATGGAATAGATTCGAAAACTAGAAGAATTGTAGAAGATCCCATAATGGATACGACTTTGGCGTTGGCCACCAACAAGCTGAACAGCGCTGGAAGCATGGGTTCAATCAGGAACTCTGCTTTTGTCCCCAACTGTTCTGCAATGTGAGCCACTGTAAAACAATAAAAACAAAATCATTCGACAAATTATCTACCTGTGTATTTTATTACGCCCTCACATATAAATACCTACCTGTGATACAGGCTTCTCTTCCCAGTTGAGACCGAAGATCCTTGACGGCATTTTGAAGAGGTGGGCCCAAGTGTCTCAAATACGCAACAATCTGAGCATGATGACTTGGATCACAGCATAAACTCCGAAATGTCTTCAACTAAATGGAAATAAATTTAGCTCCAATTTTACAACCCCGCCTATATTACATCTATTTATTTATTTTACCATATTCAGTCTCTTTGTCCATTCGATATTTGTATCGCCCACAATTTTGGCAGTTGTTTGCATCACTTCGTCCACCTCTTTGGGTGTGAGAACGCCACTCAGAGGTTCCGTCTCACTTAAAATCGTTCTTAAATCTTTGATTGTGGAGGAGCCAATACTGGAGGAACCGGAAAGACCGGAACCTTCTCGAACCATGGGGGCACGATATCGGGAGGAAGAACCCATTCTATCCGTCACATCCACCATTGTACCCGAGTAATTTGATGTCAAGTATGTTGCAACACAAATTATCAAATTTGAATTCGGTTACTTTTACAACAAAAAATCCGTACAAAAATGAAAAACAATCTGGCACTGGCCAACCATCTGTTAAGTTTAAACGTCAAATATGTTTATTGTTTTATTTATTTATTTATTTAAAATTTACGTATTAAATTTTAGGAAAGTTTGATTAGAAATGTCGCACGAAGTCCTCTCTAGAAATTGGGAAGAACTAACATTTTACCATGACCATGCGTTATCCCACTATGATAACTCTGAAGATGTCAGATTTTAATGTGCGTCCAATTTTGAAAAAATACTACATGACCAACCAACAGGAAATTTGGAAATGAGAAAAGAATGTCGTAATTTTAATTAATTTTTGTGTGGTGAGTTTTGAGGAGGCTCGTTCGTGGTTGAGTAAGTGAGGGGACAACAACAGTTTTGTCAATTTATTGTGCTCAGATGGGGGAGCGGGACTTCAAGCAAGTCTCACTACTCACTCCATCACTTCCAACGTGCACAAGAATTCCGTCTCAATTCTCACTCATCCAATCCAATTCACAATATGAGATTTTTTCTTGAAGCATTTGGACTAATTTGAAGCTCCTTTTGTACATATCTATCTATTGAGATAAAATAATGGCAAAACTATTTTGGTCAGCCAAAATTTAATGCACTTGGATCGGAATATCTTTGCTTTTATTTTAATGCGTAATCAGACATAGATGTTATCTGCATTTCCATAATACAACAGAACAAGGATAACTTAATATGTTTTGAATCACAGGAATAATATTAATTCATATATATATGACAATTATAAAAGCTTCAAGTTCTTCTCGTTATTATAAGATGAAAACATGACTTGATAAAATTCTGTAAAACTGACTGGTTCCCTTCGGATATTGGATTAATAATATCACAATTTTCGTAGGTTTTCAAATTACGTAGGTCGGGTCGCCCTGGACGTTTGGAAGGATGTCAGAAGGGACAGTTTTTCTTACGTTTTTGTTGCTTCGACTTCTACAATTTCTGCAATCTGTGCAGACGAGGAATCGTCGTCGGATCCATAAAAATAGGCTCGAGAATGTTCGACAACATCCTTGGTGAGGTTGTAAACATGCTAAAAAAGAATATTATCCATTTGCATAGTAGATAAGTCTACATATAAAGATTTTCGGATAAAAGACATTTTTAGTATGTATTCCCAACATACGCTAATTTGTTTGAGTTCGTTTTGCTTATTTTCCAAAAACACTTTAGAATATCCTGGCGCATGTTGGGATATTGCTAGACCGCTAAGTGTGTAGCAAGTGTGATAATAATCCCTGGGTCTAAATAAATACGTGAAAAAATCCAAAGGTAGCTTTCAATTGATGGCATTGACATCCACATATATTTGTAATATGTAGATCAATTAATAATACGTACTTTCCAGGTTTATCTATCAGCCCACCCGCAGGATGTTGACAACAAATTAAAATATATTCTTGAAGAGATAACTGATCAAATAACCAGTGGGGCCCTTCTTTTGTGTTATGTCCAACATAATTTTCACCCAGCAGACAGAAACAAGCTCCTTGCCAAAATGAGTAACAACCATCCACCAACTTGTTTGTTCGACCCTAATAATTAATAGTCAGATTAAAACTTGTTACGATCATTAGTAATGACTCATTACATAACAATAACATTTTTTTGCATTATATAGTTAACACCAGTCCATTACCTGAAAACCTCCTTCCAATGAAAGTTGTCGTCCAACAAGCCATCTGAGGAGGGAATTGCGATCCATTAAGTTATCTCCCTTGAGTAGGACTAGGGCTGCTGCAGCGCAAAATGTGTACCCACCATGTGCCTCTCCCCCAATGAATCCAGCAAATCCCCCTTCATAAGTTTGACATCTGGAATGAACGTGAGTGACACATAATAATACAATATAGTTTTACTGTAATTATTATTTAAAATATTAGCAACAGTGTCATAATACCTAACAATCCATTCTGATGTTCCCACAAATAGATCCTCTTCAGAACACAAATTAGTAAGGCTAGCAACAACAACTGCACAGTAAACTGCTCGAACATCTATTTCTCCTCCTCTATGCATTTGAAAAGAACCATCTTTTCTTTTCATCGACTTAAGAAACCGTAGTAGGGACGGCCTGCATGATAAATCAGAATAAGTATTATCCTGGGAGTTTAAGTAAATCACCTTGAAGTAACCTGGAGAGATAAATTAAAATATTGCACACTTGGTCTCATTAATTACTTGCCTATCGACGATGGACAGTGCTTCAGGAATGTCAAGAGAGACCAGTGCATTTATGGCGGCATATGTAGCTGAAATAACAATTGGTTATATTTACTAAGTATTTGTACTTAGATTCCGTGATGGATGATGATGATTACAAATATATTATTGTCCCACCAGCTAAATGAGAAAGTTGACCCGGACCCCCACCGAAACCACCATAGTGGTTGTCCTGGCACGTACTTAAAAACTGACTTATATTTAACGCTTCTTCTTTTGACACTTTGATCGAAAGTAGATTCATAGAATGCAGAATCCAGTAACATAGCCAGGGTCGACTAGCATCTAGGGCCTGTTATGTATCAGCCAGAATTTAGCAATATTATTTTCTGATGATTAACTATCCATAAATTACCGTTGAACTGTAATTGTTACCTCGTATGCGTCAGACAACCGTTTTAAACCTCTTCGAAGAAATGTGGTGTGTTTTTCCCTCAATAAAATTGGTATTTGTTTGCATCTAGAACTCCCTGGTTTCTCTGCGAATGCTTGATAAATTGCCAAAAGTCCGTTCTCAACTTCGTTCTAAGAAATGCAAATGGAGAACATGTTAATTAAATAAATATTAATAAAACTAATTATAATTAAAAACTCAATTTAGTGAATACATAAAGATTTTCACAATTGAAAAATATAAAGTACTTGTTCATCAAAAGTGTCCGAAAAGAACCCATCAGACGTTGAGCTGCTGATGCGAAGGGCACTGATTGATCTGCGCGTCCCAACAAAGAGGTTAAACTCTTCTTCCTCCATGTCGTCGTCATCCAGATTTTCCGATGGCCGGTCCATCTTGTATCTCTTCCTATATGCAGTGACAGAGTGAATTACATTGCACACCAGACAAATCAAGATTCAAATGGATATTTTTTAATAGCACACATGTTAAAAAAGTACCCACCTCACGAGTTCACCGTGTCCCCCAATTTCAACTTTCAATTTACCGTTTCAAAAAAATCTCATCGCCAAAAAAAGCAAAATACCCGTGTCAGACAATTTAAGCGACGACAAATTGATTTGGCAGAAAGGTCACCATGCCCTGAGAGGCTGAGATCTTAAGTCTACCATAGGAGAGTATAACAACGCGTCAGACTTAAGGTCAGACTTAAGGTTGACGAGTAGACTGTCTACCATGAAGAACAATATTTTTGTGATTTTTTTCGGTGGTTTTGTATGGCACATTTTCGTATTTCCAGCTCAAGATTTGTGCGGCACCCTCATTTGCAATCTGACATGCAACAGCAGGCAGGACAAAATCTTTAGGAGATACGTCTGTGAAGCTGTACCTGGGTTTGAGTGCACTGCTGCCGCCCACCGTCCTGCTTCCTACCGCCAACCGCCGCCTCTCTTCCTACCGCATACCCGCAGATGCCACTTCCAAAAAACCGTGTAATCGACTTCCCTCACCCTAAGCCGTATCATAATACCCCAAAATGTTAATTTTACTCTAAATTCCTAAAAAAATCCAGAAAACTAACTAATAAACTAATAAAATAATCCGCACAGGTTCCTACAGCGGGATTCCAAACTACCGCCTCCATGCTTGCATATATTACTGATCACACCCCCGGTCATCATTTAATGCGGACCCGCACCCGCCAGATCCCTCTGGTCAAAATTAGCAAGCCGGTAAAAGTCATGACTTGGACTTTTTGCTAATTTTGACTTTGTCGCCGTTTCCTACAGCGGGATTTCAAACTACCGCCTCCATGCTCACATATGTTATCGACCGCACCCCCGGTCATCATTTAATGCAGACCCGCACCCGCCAAATCCCACTGGTCAAAATTAGCAAGCCGGTAAAAGTCATAACTTGGAGCTTTTGCTAATTTTGACTTTGTTGCCGTTTCCTACAGCGGGATTTCAAACTACCGCCTCCATGCTCACATATGTTATCGACCGCACCCCCGGTCATCATTTAATGCGGACCCGCACCCGCCAGATCCCACTGGTCAAAATTAGCAAGCCGGTAAAAGTCATAACTTGGAGCTTTTGCTAATTTTGACTTTGTTGCCGTTTCCTACAGCGGGATTTCAAACTACCGCCTCCATGCTCACATATGTTATCGACCGCACCCCCGGTCATCATTTAATGCGGACCCGCACCCGCCAGATCCCTCTGGTCAAAATTAGCAAGCCGGTAAACGTTATGACTTGGACTTTTTGCTAATTTTGACTTTGTCGCCGTTTCCTACAGCGGGATTTCAAACTACCGCCTCCATGCTTGCATGTATTACCGACCACACCCCTGGTCATCTTTTGGTGTGGACCCGCACCCTCCAGATGGATCGGATCCATATAAACCATATAAATAAACTCAGAGTTACTTTTGCCTTCTTCCTTAGTTTTACTTTGATTCTCAATAATGAACATGTACTATAGATTCGTATAACTTAAATTTATAAGCTTATCAAGTTAGTCAAATGGCGAGATGTTGGAAAGCTCTTTTCTTGCTTGGTGAAGTGGTATTTGCAAGACATCAGAGTAAATTAGCTCCAGTGTTTCGGGAAGCAGAACGGTTGTTACTTGTAAAATGTCCTGAAATAAGAATATATAGTAAGAATACATAATACATAATTTCTTTAAATGTAAATTGTGAAATAATCATTGTAAAGATACTTCAAATCCTAGGGCAGAGATGTTTTTAAGCTTTTGGAGGAAACTGTGGAACATATCTTAGAGCAAGATTTTGTGGTAAATGGATATGATACCACCATTTGCTGCAAATTTCCAGAAAAGTTTGGCTTTCGTTCCACCCACATCTGCGTAAATAATGTATTAGAATATTACTATATCAGGTTCTAGTTAAATAGCTGGGAAAATTTAGCGACCTTTTGTCGAGCACATTTGTAGCCGCCGACAAATTCATCCCGATTGGCCACGTAAAGTTCCATTATGTCTTCTTTAATGTTGGAGTAAGCCATCATGAGTGAATCCTCAGTAAGATTCTCAACGATTCTGTACAATAATTACGATTAAATTCATCGTCCATATTATTATGTATTTGCAAGTTACTTATATCGCTGATATTGTTGTTTCTCCTGGGTGACAAATTCTTCACCCCAAACTTGCTTCCGCAGCGATTGCTTAGCTAAGAATATAAGAGATTTTTATTGTTATAACTGTTATAAGAAATTTGGCAATAAACGTTTGCAAAAATTCAATTAGGCTAATCAGACCAGAATTCCCTTGCTGATCCGTCAGAATGTCAGAGACTATTTTCCTGAACTTTGACTCCAGGTTAGCTGTGGGAGTCTCCGCTTCTTCCGCGGATGTTTTATTACGCCTTTGCCTATTTTTCCCGAATTTGTATAGGAAGAAATTAGTATTTACACTATAATAAAACATCTTTCAGTCGGGTATTTTTGTAGAATACGATGTTAAACGGTTATTAAAGTTTGTTTAAATATTAAATACTACATTACCGAGTCTCCAAACATCCATCCATAGTTCGTGCTACATTATTTTGATTGTTCAGAGTAAGAACTTGTTGGAGGGGTTGAGAAGACCTGTCTCTCCCAATCTTTTGAACCCTTGCATTCTCTCTTGCCTTCTCCTCGTCAAGCTTGGTAAGCTCAGTCCTATTATGTAAATATCTATTTTTTCGTTCGCCTTTTTTTCTTTTGCTCCATGTCTCCTTGCATTCTTGAACTTCTTCTTGAATTAGTCCCTTTGGAATATCTCCACGTTCGATTTCGTCGTCATTTTGCAGCGTTTTTGTAACTAGCTTAACTTCTTTGCTTGCTGTTTTCTTTGGTAGATTGTCGAATACAAATTTTTTGTTTTTACCATTTGTAATTTCAAAGCGATGCCGAACAAAGTCGGCGACATTTTCCGGTTCCACGATAAGATTTTGCTTTAATAGCCGAAACTCTGATTCACATGATCCATTCGTTGCCCGGACAAAGTTGGCGTTCTTGGTTTGCTGCACAACTCCACGTGCGAAAATTCCAACGTATGGGGCGTATGTGTTTTCAAACACGTTCAGCACAGCAGGATTGTAAAATGGGTTCAACTCTGCATCCTCATTCACGTGTTTTTCTTCAATTCTTCTTATTTTCTGAAAAGTGTGGTAGAATGGCAACTTCTCACGTAATAACCTACTTGCGTTTACTTCTTCCTCGTCTGATCCTGCATAGTCATCCACTATAACGTCCCCATCCACCCATTCTTCAAGAGAAATTGACTTGATTCCCGCGAGGTTGTGTTGGACATCTTCTTCCCAAATAGGGTACATATATCCTTCATGGCGATTTCCACGTCGTTTAACGTTGACGCCTCTTGTAATTTGGCTAACCCTCGTACGCTTGCGTCCACGATCTCATTTCGAAATTTATGCCCAACGGTTTTCTTGCGAACATTGTCAAGAAATGACTTTGTCAAATGAGATGCACACAATTGTATGCACGCCGTATCTCCAGCAAACGTGTCCTCGTTTTTGAGGACGGCGTAACTTTTCTTCAAATATTCTTCTAGTTTCATTGTGTTATATCCCTCAGACACAGCATGAAGCATGGCGAAATTAAAGTCGGTACATATTACATCAGGGGCACTCTTGGTCTGATATGGGCGTAATTTTTCACGCCTCGCTTGATGCTAGTAAGAGGACCCGCAATATCATTGGATTGACCTCGCATTAAAACACTGTCAGCCACAATGAAGCTTCCCTGCTTCGTTTGTGCCACAATAGTGTACAATAACAATGTGTTCCTTTTGTTCCTGTGAGTTTTGTCAGCAGGATCATTGCTAGGATATAGGGCATCTCGTGGGAGGGGCTTGAAAATACCTCCTGTCGCATCAATTCCCACAATAACATGTCCTCGTGAAATTGTGTCCGTAAATAATTTTATTGATTGCTGGTCGAAAAGATCCAGCCTAAAAAGTTTTGCATCCAAGTTAAGATCTTGGATGTAACCACAAATTGTGGCGTTGTGGCTTGTCTGGTAGTGATTTTTCAACAACCTCAAGTCGTCGAATATATTAGAAGCCAGTCTGACTTTTCCTTTGGACTCTGATTTCACAGTTCATAGAGCGTCTGCACTGGGAGGAACGCTTTTATGTAAAAGCTCGAGCCCTTTCACATGGCTCAAGTCTGTGAGAAATATCTTTGCTGCCGATGTAGTTGATAATTGGTTTGATAGTTTTTCTCGTTCGATCCCCGTGATTGGCCTTGACGTCCTTTTTCCTTGGACGAGGGTGAAAACTCCGAAAGATTCCAAGGTAGTTTCCAAGGCCTCTCCCTGGATTGGTTTGCATGGGAAAGTTACTTGAAATTTAGAGTATGAGCAGTACCCTTCCTGTCGAGCGAATGGCTGATCTTTTTTCCTCTCCGAATAATAATAGGGCTCCCGCCTATTATTAAAAGGGCAAAGGATGCCAGCTTCCCGAAGTTTCTGCGAAATAACGTCCCCACGAATCTTGTTTTCTACAAATTTTGAGGTTTTGTAGCCAAAAAATTTGGAAACTTCGTTTGTGGAAAATATAACTGTCATTTTTTTAGGCGGAATATAATTCAGTTCTTCCTGAGAAATGCCAAGGACAGTACAAACTGTGTCCACATCGAGTTGTACATCAGCTAAAGGTGCGTGAACTCGTACGGTTTCATTTTCGTTTTCAGAGGGATCTGGCGGGTGCGGGTCCGCATTAAATGATGACCGGGGGTGCGGTCGATAACATATGTGAGCATGGAGGCGGTAGTTTGAAATCCCGCTGTAGGAAACGGCAACAAAGTCAAAATTAGCAAAAAGTCCAAGTCATGACTTTTACCGGCTTGGTAATTTTGACCAGAGGGATCTGGCGGGTGCGGGTCCGCATTAAATGATGACCGGGGATGCGGTCGATAACATATCCAAGCATGGAGGCGGTAGTTTGAAATCCCGCTTGAGGAAACGGAGACAAAGTCGAAACTAGCAAAAAGTCAAGTCATGACTTTTACCGGTTTGGTAATTTTGACCAGAGGGATCTGGCGGGTGCGGGTCCGCATTAAATGATGACCGGGGGTGCGGTCGATAACATATGTGAGAATGGAGGCGGTAGTTTGAAATCCCGCTGTAGGAAACGGCAACAAAGTCAAAATTAGCAAAAAGTCCAAGTTATGACTTTTACCGGCTTGGTAATTTTGACCAGAGGGATCTGGCGGGTGCGGGTCCGCATTAAATGATGACCGGGGGTGCGGTCGATAACATATGTGAGCATGGAGGCGGTAGTTTGAAATCCCGCGCTAGGAACCTATGCGGACTATTTTATTAGTTTGTTGTTTGGTTTTCGGGATTTCTTGAGTATTTTAGAGTAAAATTAACATTTTGTGGTATTATGGTACGGCATAGGGTGAGAGAAGGTAAATGTAAAAGGTTTTTTAGCATTGGCATCTGCGGGTAGGCGGTAGGAAGAGAGGCGGCGGTTGGCGGTAGGAAGCAGGACGGTGGGCGGCAGCAGTGCACTCAAACCCAGGTACAGCTTCACAGACGTTTAGGAGATCTTTATGATCACTCGCAAAATAATATCTTTCGCAAAATACTTTCAAATTACAAACTTAGTCAACCACAAACCACTATGAAGAACCGTTTCACAACCCTGGATATCGCGTACCTTATCGACGAGCTTCGCCAGAAGTAAGTATTTCATATTTCATCATATAACGTTTAGGCTGTTGTGTGTTGAGTTAGAGTCAACACTGGACTTCACGACTCTTATGTTGACACTGTTGACTAGCTGATTTACGGTCTACGGTCTGGAGATTTATGGGTTATATTAATGAAATTGACATTTATAAATAATGCGCATTTATCCTATTGTCTTTTTAATAGATTGGTTGGGCTCCGCGTGGATCAGGTGTATGACATTGACAAGAAGACGTACCTTATTCGTCTTGTCAGGTCTGGAGGAGTCAAAAAGGTGCTACTATTAGAATCTGGAAGCCGCTTTCATTCCACCCAATTTGAATGGGCTAAAAATCCTGGTGAGGTGATAAGTTATTAATAAGGTTGAATTTGATTTCAAGTGTATAGTTAACAAAAACACCATATTGTTTGATGTTGTTTCTTCGTTTAGCTCCGTCCGGATTTTCCATGAAATTGAGAAAACATTTGAATAACAAAAGATTAGAAAAGATTGAACAAGTTGGGGCAGATCGGATCGTTCATCTCCAATTTGGAATGGACACAGCCGCATATCATCTATTTCTAGAGCTATATGACAGAGGAAATATCATTCTTACGGACCATACGCTCACTATTCTCAACTTGGTGAGACCTCGTATAATTGGAGAAGAAAGGTGAGTACAGGTTGCAATAATGAATATGAACTAAACTGTGCATATCACTATGTTTTCCCAAATAAATAATTGCATTGATTGAGAAGCTATTGATTATTGATCCCACTTGTTTTCTTTCAGAATGGCTGCCCATGAAAAATACGCAGTGGATAGTGCTAAACAAAATTTTGCGATTGGTCGTACTCAAATAGAAGAACTCTTAAGGAACAGTCCCACGGGAACGCTTCGCGAGAATTTTCTGTCTAAACTGGAATTCGGTCCAGCCCTATTCTCATGCGTCTTGTCGCGATTTAATTTAACACCGCAAACAAAAATTGCAACACTTGTAAATTCGGAGGAAACATTACTGTAAAAAAAAGATAAATACTTAAATACAATACCTTATAATAGCTATTATAATAAATGTGGTTTATTTAACTTTATAGGTCAACGCTTGACAAGTTGGACGGTGCATTTGCTCAAGGAACCTCTATGCTGACAAAAATTGAGAATCACAGGGGTGTAATTGTGTTGTCGAAGCCGCAACAGAGTAGTAACAAGAAGACTGACGATGACATACCGATACCGCCTTCATCGGAATCACAGCAGCCACTTTTCTACGAAGAATTTCACCCTTCTGTATTGGAAGAATGGTTAGGAGATAGTGATGCCTTGAAATTTGACAGCTTTGACGAAGCTGTTGATGAGTTCTTTTCAAAAATAGAGTCTCAAAAATCAGACATGAAGCAACTAAATCAGGTGAGGATATATTTCAATGAAATGTATGTAGTTTGTTGTCGTCTGACTTTTTAATTGTTACTTATTACGATAGGAAAAAGATGCATACAAGAAACTGGAGAGAGTGAAATTAGATCAACACAAACGTTTAAGGGAATTAAAAGAAGGACAAGAAGTAGATAAACAAAAAGCAGAATTTATTACGATAAACCAATCAACCGTAGATATGGCCATTTCAACAATTAGAAAATTGGTTGCAAATCAAATTCCTTGGGATACAATAGAAGATCAATTAAAGGTTGTAGTAATATGATACTAATTAATACTTTTATAATAATTAATTAATAATAATTCAATATTATCAATTAAAGGAAGCTAGAACACAAGGCGATCCATTGGCGACCATGATTGTAAAACTGAACTTGAAGCAAAACAAGATCACACTAAAATTAAGGTAACAGTAGGGTAATAATAGGATAATAATAGTAGGAGTATTTATTTCAATTATTTCAATTGTATATCGACAAGTTATATGTATGCATGTACAGCAACCTGTATGACGAAGGACAACACGCACTCGAAATTGATGTAGATTTGAATTTGTCAGCGTATGCCAACGCAACAAAGTATTTTGATTTAAAAAAGGCTTCAGCCAAGAAGGAGGAAAGAACAATAGAATCGCAAGGAAAAGCATTTAAATCTACAGAAAAGAAAACACTAGCAATTTTGAAAGAAGCTGCAACAATTCACTCAATCAAAAAGGCTCGAAAGGTATGAATATGAATTGGAGTGCATTAGTTTAAGCTTTCAACTTATGTGTAAATAATATACGTAGTGCTTGCTTGCTGTCACTAATGGACATGCATTCATCAAATGAATTTCATTTGTTGTTAGGTCCTGTGGTTTGAAAAGTTTCGATGGTTTATTACTTCCGAAAACTTTCTCGTCGTTGGTGGGAGAGATGCGCAACAGAATGAATTACTCGTAAAGCGCTACTTACGACCTCGCGATGTGTATATGCACGCAGGTAATTTATGAAACGATAGCCTACAATTGGATTTATACAGTCACACACTCCACAGCCACTTTGAGCATTAAATTGGTTTTTGCAAAAACTCATGAAATTATTTTGTCAATTATCGCCGTGCCGCAGAGTCACACGGAGCTCCTACATTAATAATCAAGAATGACACCCCTTGTGATGATGTCCCACCCAAGTCGCTCAACGAGTGTGGTGTATATGCTACTTCAATTAGGTTCTATTATAGCTAATAATTGCATAGTTATTACCAGTATTGCAATTATTTCTATGTATTATAGCGGCTCGTGGGAAAATAAAGTCATTCCAAGTGCGTGGTGGGTGTGGGGAGATCAAGTGTCAAAGTCAGGTGAGTTAATATTATTTGTATTGTATATTAACACAAGTATATCCGTGTTAAATATTAATTTAATCCAGCGATACTAGTGTAATGGTGTAAAATTTGATCATAAATATATCTAATCTTACAGCCCCGTCAGGAGAATAGTAAGTCATCCCGTTATTTATTTTCTTTATAGTAAATATGGTTCTTATGAAAGTTACACTATTCTTGACCTGGCTCGTAATATATTATATTTATCATAATGTATATTTTGCTACACTCAGCTTACCAACGGGATCATTTATGATTCGAGGAAGAAAAAATTATCTCCCACCCTATCAATTGGTGCTTGGCTTTGGCCTTCTTTTTCGTATGACTGTTGATAGCATCGATGCTCACAAAAACGAAAGAAGTAGAAAACCTGGGGTTGATGGGTCGGACATGCAATCGTTAACTTTAGAGGTAACGATTTTGGTTTGAACTGAACTTAGGAGTAGCTGAAGTACGTTAGTTTGATAATCAATAAATTAAACGCTGCACAGAATGAGAATAATGAGATCGAAGAAGATATTCCTGGTGGTGGTGACATGGACGACGACGAGGATGAGTTTCCAGACACTCACGTCAATTTGAATGTTGATGGGGACAAGTTGCGCACAAGACTGACATCTTCCACAGGAAGTGTTTTAGATGATGCCTCGGAATTTTTGGTGACATCCGCTGTACCTTCTGCTAATAGTAACTCGATGCAAAAAATCAAAAACAAGCAAAAGAAAATCGCGAAACTCGCAAAAGGTCAACCCAAACAACAGGTCATGAAGTCAGAGAAACCTTCCTTAGCTGTTGAACCATCACCTGTTAATCGTCCAAAGCGAGGACAACATGGTAGGAAGAAAAAGCTCAAAGAAAAATACAAGTTTCAGGATGATGAAGAAAGAGAGTTACGTATGAAATTACTTCGGGTACGACATTTTATTTATATATTGTATAATATCATATGAAGCCTTATTCCATATGGGCATCTTTTCATTCCAATTACTATGTATTGTACTTGGATCCTAATATCTAGGCCGGTCAATTAGCTGTGAACGAAATTGAGCAACCATCATCCACTGCCACAAAATCAGAGTGCTCTGAAGATGAGGAAAATCAACAGATTCCAGAATTGGAGGAAGACTTGCCTTCAGAAGATGCACAAGATGAAGAAAATGACCAGCTTTCTAAGGAAGATGATACTAACACCACCACAAAACTTGAACACAACGAAAACCAGCATCAACTATTTGCAGATGATGATCAACTAGAAGATGAATCACGTGAAGGGGAAACAGAGTTGGATTTACTCAAATCTTTGACAGGTTAATGGACAAATTATAGTCATGTTATTTTGTTTAAATGTAACCCTGATACTGGAATTTTCGAAAAATCTGTAATATTGATTTATAGGTTTTCCATTGGAGCAAGATGAACTTCTTTTCGCGATTCCTGTCGTTGCTCCCTATACCACCTTGCAAAATTATAAGTTCAGAATTAAAATGGTTCCAGGTTCGGTTTGTTGATGTACTCTGTCATGACAGTCTTACTTTCCCACCACCCGCCCGCACGGCAAGCGTAGACCTGCATACGGAAAAAAATTTTAGTTAGACCTGCAGGTCGCCGCGGGCGACGTGCAGTACAAAAACTGACCTGCATATCAGGACAGCGTTAGACCCCACCTTGCCTCTGGAGTGGTGGGAAAGTATTCATGACTTCTACGGTATTGTTGGGTCTGCAAATAAAATCTTACATTCTAGGAACAACAAAGCGAGGAAAGGCAGCAAAGACCGCATTAGAATCTTTCCAACGAGAAAAGGACGCCACTCCAAGGGAAAAGGATTTGATTAAAGCAGTGAAAGATCAAGATTTTGCTAGGAATTTTCCTGGGAAAGTGAAACTATCAAACGTAATTCGAGATAAGAAGTGATTATCTATTAAATTACTGTTATGTTTTTATGATAAATAATAATAATAAATAATTAAAACGTCAGAATGGATTTCGAAAATGTCGAAATTGTTTGAAGTAGTCGAGTTGGATGGTATTTCATTTTTCATGAAAAAGTGTGCTCCGTTCTTATACATGATCTATGGTTCCGTTTAACCTAAGTGAAGCGGGAACTCAACCAAACCCATTGCGAAATATTTATATCGCGTTTTGATTTTTAGAATAATAATTCTAAAATCGTAATTTGATTTGCAAATTGCTATTTGTAAATCTCATCGTATAAAATGATCCATCGGATCCTAGATTTATAATAAACATACATGGATTAGACTAAGACGGAACTCGTCGTTCATGTACTACCAACGTAAACTTGGGTAAGCAATTAAGATTAAGAATCTTAATCTTAAATTAAGATTTTAAGAAACATTTTAACATTTATTCTAAAGTTTTAAGTAATTACTGTTGTAGTTTTAAATGTAGATGAGAATAAAGACGGTGGTTGATGCAAAATGAAACAAGACTCGTAATCAACGCTCAATAATCGCCGCCTCCTCAAATGTATATTTTCTCTCAACCCTTCCACAAGTTCAAGTCTCTGGATGTTGTTGACATTCATCGTTCGTAGACTTGGCCGTCTCATTCCCAAAAGAAAAAGAAGAATTAACGGGATGAGATGAGAAGCAAAATTCGTTGCCAGCTGAAGCTTTTACTTCTCATGACCTTCACTTTTGTAGCCGTCACCTTGTGGCTCATTATATTAGGACGTAATGACGGGGATAAAAACAGTGTTGGGGGATCCTTTGCCTTCATCACACCTTCATCAAACATCTTTAGCTACGACTTCTTCCTCCGAGTCAACAATAATTCGGCTGACGGGGTGGAAGAACTTTTACAAACAGTTGAGGAAGAGGACGAAGCTTCTGCGGATGCATTTGAAGAGCTCATGGATATGGCTCCGTTATGTCCCCTTCGACTGGACGAGTTAGTTGGACGGAGCCAGAAAAATTTAAATCCAATGATAACCCAAGAAGCACAAATGCATGACTACAAATCTTGTCAGATGGAGAATTGCTTCGATTTCAAAAAATGTCAAAATGATCTCATCAAAGTTTACGTCTACCCCCCAGATAAATTTGTTCCCATTAGTACGACATACGAAAAGATTCTGAATCGAGTAATGTCTTCCCCCTACTATACAAATGACCCAGACGAAGCCTGTCTATTTATTCTGAGTATTGACACCCTAGACAGAGATTCTTTAAGCCATGACTTTGTTAGGAATTTAGGAAGTAGACTTAATAATTTAGAGGTATGTGAATCTTCGATTTATAACTGATTAATGTCTTCGGCATAATCGTAATAATTAATTAATTGTAACATCTGTCTGTTCTTTTTTCTACCTGCAGCACTGGAACAATGGAGAGAATCATTTGATATTTAACTTGTATGCTGGAACGTGGCCAGGTAACTTTTTTCTAAAAAATGTGCTTTTTATTTACAAAAATCATAATTAATCTTGATGTTTCAGACTACAATGAGACAGAATTAGGATTTGATTTTGGTAAAGCAATATTGGTAAAGGCTTCCATGAGCACAGAACAGTTCCGGCCGTCCTTCGATATTTCTCTGCCCTTGTTCCATCCTTCTCACCCTGAAAAAGGAGATGAGTTGGGAACTGCTTTCACTAACGAGTTTCCTGCTAGAAAGAAACATTTGGTTGCCTTCAAAGGTTATTTTCGTGTTTGTATGCAAAGATAATTTGAAAGCATTGTTATAAACTAACCACTTTGTCTCAATTTTCTTTAGGAAAACGTTATGTTTATGGAATAGGATCAGAGACCAGAAATTCCATTTATCATTTACACAATGGAAACGATATTATAATGGTCACAACATGCAAACATGGTAAAAACTGGAAGGAAATGAAAGACGAAAGGTGTGATGAAGACAATCGAGAATACGAAAAGTAATCCACTTGAAATTTCCATGCAAAATTCTGCTGTCATTCTGTGGTGACATTCTGCTGTCATGTGGTTTTATGTCTAATTGCAGGTACGATTATGAAACTCTTTTGCAAAATTCAACGTTTTGCTTAGTCCCACGTGGTCGACGATTAGGATCATTTAGGTTTCTGGAATCATTAAAAGCTGGATGCATTCCAGTCTTGCTATCAAATGGGTGAGTGTATTGATGCTGAATCGGTATATTTATAAATTTCAAGGCAAATCACAAACATAATACTGCATGAGTTGGAAAGACACTTCTGCGAATAATAATTCATCATGTTTGTACTTAGGATTAGTAATGCTTACTTGTGTTTGCAGATGGGTACTCCCATTTTCGGAAGTGTTGGATTGGACGGCAACTGCAATTATAGCTGATGAGCGAACATTACTTCAAACGTTAGAAGTGATAAGATCAGTAGATAAGAGGAAAATATTTAGAATGAAGCAGCAAACTCAAATTTTGTGGAATCAGTATTTGTCTTCCGTTGAACGAATTGTAGAAACAGTATTCGAGGTACTTTTAATTACAATGCATTTAATTAAATTTGCCCGAAAGAGGTGATTTTGATAATGAAATATTTGCAGATAATAAAAGATCGCGTTAGGCGAAATACTCGACGTGATAGTTTTATATGGAACAGTGCACCTGGTAAGTTATTGCTGATGTGATTTGTTCTGAATTAGATATCATCGATTAATACACACATGCATAGATATTTGACCAAATTTGTTTTATATTTTCTACCAGGAGCTTTGAGCATTGATACGTCCTTTGGAGAAACCTTAGACGACTACCCGTTTTATCATTTGGGCAATGTAACCACATTGAAACCTAATTTTACAGCCATTATTCGAGTCCAACAGCCCTCAATTGGTTCAACGACTAAATCGTCAAGCTACGCCAACTCAATATTATTCAAGCTAATTAAAAATCTTGGCAAGAGCCCATTTGTGTCAAAAGTGCATAATAATATACTTTAATATTTACAATTTAAGTGTCAGACCAGTAGGAACCAAATTTGTTAAGGTATTTTGCTAATATCTTTTCAGATCATCATTGTTTGGAGCAGCACTAAAAGTGTGCCACGTGTTTGGCCTGATATCCCTCATCCAATTATTGTTAAGCAGACAACTTCCTATTCTCCTACTCAAAGATTTTTTACAGCCGATATCAATACTGATGCGGTAAGCGAGTTAATTTTAGGTTACATTTTTTTTGGTTAATACTTGATGGTTAACAGTTAACCGTTAACTCATATCGTAGGTTTTCGTATTGGATGAGGATACACTACTAATGACTGACGAATTTGAGTTTGCGTATAGAACTTGGACTTCATTTCCAGACCGAATTGTTGGATACCAATCAAGATCACATTATTGGAATGAATATAAAGTACATGAAATTCTACAAATTATTATTAACCTCATATGAATGTGGACAGGATGACGTAAGACCATGTTGGTAATTTTAGGAACAATGGATGTACTCTTCAAAAGCATCCAACGAATATAGCCTTATATTACATGGAGCCTTCATTTATCACGTCTACTACAACCATTTGTATTGGTTAAAATTGCCACCGGCAGCATTGATGACAATTGAATCGTTCGAAGATTGTGACGACATTGCTATGAATTTGTTGGTTACAAGGGTAACAAAAAAATCACCAATCAAACTAACTGCAAATAGGAAACCGTCCGCCAGTGCCAGGTACTGTTATTGTCACTGTCAGGCCCTTATTATGACATCTTAGCTATGCTTATCTACTCCTAGGAATTCTCAATGGTTGCAGCAAGATAGGATACAACAACGACACAACTGTCTCAACGAACTTTATGATATTTATGGTTCAATGCCTCTGTTACGATCCAGTATTCGAATGGATCCTATTTTATTTAAAGATTCAGTAAGTAATTTGCGAAAGAAGTACCGACAACTCGAGCTTTAGGAATTGATGTAAAATTAAGTTGAGTGATCAATCGTACATCCCAAAAACGCAGAAATAAAAAGGACCGCATTCGTTTTACATAAAGATACAAGAAAAGTTGTCCCTTTGAAAAAAGTTTTCTTTGATGTTTGTTTCATGCGCATTTCGAGTGTTGCATACAAAGACGAGTCCTCAAAGTCCCCGTCGTTTTAACTTCGCCTTCGGCATGTTGTCCATTCATAAGGTTCGTGACTGTGAAATTGACGAACTTCATTGAATTTGTTGCTATTATAGCAATTGATGAATGCAAAGTAGTTATCACCATGCCGCGTGAATTTTATGAAAAATTTGTATTCCATAATATTACATCTATGAAAATATGTACTTTGTGTAAAAATGGTTCACATAATGGATGTATGAAGCGTCTGATGACGAGAACTGCCTGTGACGGGTTGCTCGCTCTCTCTACCAAAAGGCGAAGCTGAAGCTCCATTTCTAACAACCAACTTTTTATACAAATTCTTGTTTACATTACATTGGGCACAGGCTGCACTGTACTTAATAATATGCTGATTGAGTGGTGTCAGTGATGAGTAGTTTCGACGAGCGACATTATTCTTTCCGCAAGAAATTTGATTACTAACACAATTACGTCACTATTGCATCCGCACCCAATTCCTCTCCTCTTCTGAGTGTGAATCAATCAGCAACGAGAGTTTTTTTAAGAATTTCAACGAATTAAACGACAAGTCAAGGGGTATTGGTTCGGTGCCTCTCCTTTTGCTTCTTTTCTGTCTCTCTTAACGCTGATTGTTAGGATCAATCCGAGAGAAAAGGAAAGCGAGAGCCATTATTAGAATAAAGCACAGAGATATTTTGAAACGAAATGGCGTACCAAATGCACGGCTCGGTAAACCCCTCCCGTGGCACCAGTAAGCACTTATCATTAAATGAACTGTAATAACAATAGAATATGAATAAAATTAAGTAACGTCTTTCCCATATTTAGGCAAGGAGGCTGACACCATGATGTGGCAAGGGGGGTACGGGGTAATCGATTCGGGCGTCCACTCTGGAGGTGCGAGTTCAATAGTAGTTAATCCACTAACTTTATTTAAATGATATTCATATCACTAAAAAATCATCCTCAATTTGGCGACCGTGACAGCGAATGACATACATTAATTTAATTAGTCAAAGATTGATCATTGATCAATTAGTTAATACCTTGTGATGGCATCTAATTTGTTTTGCAGCTACAACTGGAGCACATTCCGTTCGAAATGATGACGGAGATGAGGACACTGCACTGTTTTTCAACATGTAAGTAAAATATAATTGCACAAACTAACTTTTTCAATTTCAAAATAGTTTCATCTTCATTGGAACTACGTTTATTTTTTAACAGGGATTCACAAGAGTACACTGGCTTTACGCCGGACCAAGTAGATGGTAAATAATACATTATTTGCTATACATACAGCAAGAAATATGCTGAGAATTCGTTGTATAAGTTGTGCTGATGTTTTACCTAGAAATGAATTCAGAGTTGATGCTGACCCGATCTCAACGTGTTCGAGCTGCCATGTATCCGGAAACCCTGGACGAAGGAATGGAAATTCCCTCGACACAGTTTGACCCTTCACAGCCAACTGCTGTGCAAAGGCTTGCGGAACCATCACAGATGTTGAAGCACGCTGTGGTCAATTTGATAAATTACCAGGATGATGCTGACCTAGGTATGGTATCTTCGGATCTCTGTGAAGACAATAAAATGGCAGAGTAAATGTACATAATATTTGTGTTTTCTTTTAGCTACCAGAGCCATTCCAGAATTGATTAAGGTTAGCTTTCAGACGTACATACTGTACTGAGTAACAAAAAACTTACATAATCTCTATTTTATTTTCAGTTATTGAACGATGAAGATCAAGTGGTACGTACGTATCTTTTCGGGAAAAGTATTACCAAAATAATTTATGGCAAATATAAAAAAATACGTCTCGTGTAGGTTGTTTCACAAGCAGCAATGATGGTTCACCAAGTAAGTCTCTTATTTTCCTCTTTTGTGGCCTGTATAGACATGCACGCTAACACAAATACTTTTTTTTAATTCAGTTGAGTAAAAAGGAAGCTTCCAGACATGCAATTTTAAACGTAAGTACTTAGTATATACCACAAGAAACCCGAATTTTTGTTTATTTATTATTTTTAAGCGCAAGTTGTATAAAATCATAATGTATTTTAGTCGCCACACATGGTAGCAGCGTTAGTAAAAGCAATATCCAGTTCCAATGACTTGGAGACGACAAAGGGAGCCGTCGGAACGCTTCATAATTTGTCCCATCATCGTCAAGGACTTCTTGCAATCTTTAAGAGTGGTGTGCTATTTACAATCGTTATACCTAGAAAAAAAGTGTAATTGCAACTCATGGAATATATTTTCCTCTCGAATTGTGATGTTTAGGTGGAATTCCAGCACTTGTAAAACTTCTGAGCTCCCCAGTTGAAGCAGTCTTGTTCTACGCAATTACCACCTTGCACAATCTCCTGTTACATCAGGAAGGTTAGTTAGTAATATATGTTTTGCAAACATTTATTTACCTTCGTCATTCGTAGAAAGCGCGTGAATAATAACTAAGCGATTAAATTCCCACTTTTAGGATCCAAGATGGCCGTAAGGCTAGCTGGTGGACTTCAAAAAATGGTTTCGCTGCTTCAGCGAAACAATGTAAAGTTTCTTGCAATAGTTACAGATTGTCTTCAAATCCTTGCATATGGTGAGTACTGAGTATACTTAACATATCAAACATATACTTAAAATATCAATAACCTTCGGTCCTTTGTTCATTTGGCTTACTATTACTAAAGATACTTTTTATAAAATTTAGGAAATCAAGAAAGCAAGCTCATTATCCTGGCTTCCCAAGGACCTATTGAATTGGTCAGAATTATGCGAAGTTATGACTATGAAAAGTTATTGTGGACTACGTCCAGAGTACTGAAAGGTATATTTGTCAAGCTTAAGCAATTAAATTGCTTATTATGAGATGACTAATCAATGACTGACTGTGTTTATCTAGTACTGAGCGTCTGCAGCAGTAACAAACCAGCAATTGTTGAAGCAGGTGGGATGCAAGCATTGGCACATCATTTAGGTCATCCCTCACAACGTTTGGTGTTAAACTGTTTGTGGTCTCTTCGCAATTTATCCGATGCTGCTACCAAAGTGGTATGTCTTTCAACAGGGTTATTAATTTGCCAGTCCTCTCCAGCAATGAACCATTAATGGCTAATGAAATGATACTAATTTTGTTAATCAGGATGGCTTGGAGCCATTGTTGGGAAGCTTGGTGACACTCCTGTCATCAGAGGATGGAAACATTGTCACCTGCGCTGCTGGAATCCTCTCCAACTTGACTTGTAATAATCAGCGAAACAAGGTCGTTGTCTGTCAGTTGAATGGCATTGAAGCCTTGGTCCGAACTGTACGAGCTGCTGGTGAACGAGAAGAAATAACTGGTAAGTCCCCATTTTCTTTTTGGGGGAGGGTAACACGTGGGGATGTCGAGTTTGTAGACTGAGTAATGAATAGATGGTCATAAATTCATGTTCAACGAATCAATATGCAACGTGAAAGATTGAAAACATATTTATTTTATTTATTACAGAGCCAGCCATTTGTGCTTTGCGTCACTTAACATCTCGTCATCCTGAATCAGAAATGGCACAAAATGCTACACGTAATTTTAATATGTCAAGTGTAGTTGTTACTAGTCCCTGAATAATATGTTTTAAGTTTGGTTCAATTGTTTTTGTTCCTAGGACTGTGCTTTGGAATTCCAGTTGTCGTTAAGTTGATGCAACCACCATCACGCTGGCCCTTAATTAAAGCAGTTATTGGACTAATCCGTAATCTTGCTTTATGTCCAGGTAACGCATAATTCAAGTAGTGAGTAGATAAATTAGCTTACGGCATGGTTATGGAACATGTGACTGTTCATCGCATGGGCGTAGTGGTTAACTAGTAGTATTGATTAAAGCAGAACTAATACATTGAATTATTTATTTGCAGCCAATCATACTCCCATTCGAGAACAGGGAGCCATTGCTCGACTGGTTCATCTTCTTATGCGGTAATTATTCACTATTCCTTCATAACATTTTTTCACATGTGAAACAAAAATTAATATTTAAATTCTGTACATTTGCAGTGCATACCAAGATTCACAGGTAAAATAAAGTTGTATTGTGTATTTATTGAACACCAACAAGTGTATCAATAAAATTGAGGATTAAGATTATGAAGGGCATGATTAACTAATTTTCTGAATTTTCTTATGTTTATAGCGCCGAACTTCTGTTTCCAGTGGAGGTAGCTCTGCTATTTATCCAGACGGAGTTCGCATGGAAGAGATTGTTGAAGGAACTGTTGGCGCTTTGCATATTCTTGCTCGCGAAGCGCATAACAGGGCTCAGATTCGAGGAATGAATGTCATTTCCATTTTTGTGCAGGTACTACAATTGTAACTATATGTGGTTTTATAATTCTTAGCGATACATATTTTGACCTGCAATTCTTTTGCAACTTTTTCTCCCAGCTCCTATATCACGAACTTGAAAACATTCAACGCGTTGCTGCTGGAGTACTTTGCGAGTTGGCTGCAGATAAAGAGGGGGCCGACATGATTGGTATTGTTTTTATTTGCATTTTCTATACTGCCAGAGATGATAAATTTATACCTTGCAATTATTTCATTTCCCCTGATTTCAGAACGAGAAGGAGCAACTGCACCACTCACCGAATTACTACACTCGAGAAATGAAGGGGTTGCAACCTATGCTGCTGCAATTCTGTTCCGAATGTCGGAGGACAAACCTCCAGATTACAAGAAACGCTTGTCCATGGAATTAACTACTTCCTTGTACGACCGAGAATCTATGTGGGGACACGACCCCATGAATGGGGCGCCTCCTGATTTTCAGGTAATACCCCAATAGTTGTTTCTTTCGTCCTGTAAGTTGACTACATACGTAAATGAAATATGTCAGTGGGTGAGTTTATTTCCACACACTTACCTTTATATACACTCCACATCACCATAATAATTTTTTTATTACCATTAATCACAGAATCACTGCATACCGCTGACATACTAATGCGTTTAATTCTTATTGCTTATTAACGCTTGTTTTTCTGCACGATTGATTGAATTAACATTTGTTGTTTTGATTTGCAAAATTTTTCGTGACATTTGGTATGATTTTATTTAAATAGGACATGCTTTCGCCCGACCACGTTTTCGACACGGTATTAGAAATAATATAATTTGTACGACATCTTTGAACGCCTCATTTATTTTGATTTTATCAATCCACTATTACATGACATCGAATCCACTTGTCACAACATTATTTTGTTGTGAAGTTGACGCGTTCAGAGATGCATTTGTTCTGTATTTTGGTTTTTTAAATTGAACTGATGGCTTTTTTTATCAGCCTATGATTTATGGGTCGAACCAACCCTCTATCCCAAGTAATTATAAAGGTTTGGACAGATTCCATTTTTTTGTTGATTTTTTTCAAGGTTTTACTTGAATCGAATATTTGATGAAACGTATGCCTACTAATGTGATTATATAATATATGTCTAATGTAATTCAATATAGGATATGGGGATGTTGGAATGATGGACTTCAACTTTGAAGGTATGGACGTATTACAATTTATAATGTAAATAATAATAATATAATTAATTAATAATATAATGTGATAGGTATGGAAATAGACGGATATGAACAACAAGTCCCTCCACCACCCCCCGCTGCAGACGGTAATCAAGATGCCGCCTGGTAATTACTCATTAAAATATTCGTGGATTTCAATCGCTTTTTCGTGTAGAGATTTTACATATATACAAGTTTTTAACTGTTTTTCTTTTCCAGGTACGACACAGACTTGTAATTATTAAGATGCAAACTCCTCTTTAAGTCTTAAGAATAAGAATGTCACGTAGTTTATTGTTTTTAGATTTACGTTGACCTTTTGACAAGCGTTATTTCATTGTTCAACGATTAGTTTGTTTTTATTTTGTTGAGTTATAAACGTGCCAGCATAATTTTTAAATTTCGGCATTCCGTTTTTCGACAACATCCAAATCAATCAGTATGCAATCATTTCCGTTATAACTACAAATTATGAGTTATTTTCAACTGTATAAAGTAAGTATTAAAGAGCGCCGTCGTTTTTTGTAGAACAAATTTCTATTCACAAATCAAATTAATGTATTGCCATCATCCTCCGTTCCATCTACTACTACTTAATTTATTTATCATATATAAATATGTATTCTTGCCGTTCAAGTTGTTATTATCCATGTGACATTTTCATACTGATGTTTCTACATTATTTACGTCGTAGCCGATAGTTTTGTACAAAAATGTTACGAATTATAGATAACCTGAAATTGTATTAGTAATCTGATTGTAGAAACATACTAAGAATTGGAATATCTTATTGTGCTGCTAATATTGTTAATAATAAATTCATCTTTTCTCTCAAGGACTTTATTATTATTTGTAAAAACCCCTCATCATATAAATAATATTCCATATCATATAATTAACAAGAAAACACAAACGTATATGCCAATTGGGCATAGTATGTAGAAGTTGGGATTGGGATAGACCAGAGACCTGACATGTCTTTAATGAGCATCATCACCTCCTTTGATTAAGTGCTAGAAAATTTGCAAATGAATTATAGCATTACAAATCCATAGATTTTGTCCCATTATTGGTGATCTCCTGGTATATGTTTATTACCTTTGTGGAGGAGGTCCAAACATATTTCCGCTCTGCTTGGATACTGCTCTGGAGGGAGCAAATCCCAAGAGCTTTTGTACATTCTGCTCAAAATCATAGTATAAGGAACCGGTGAAAATTTCTGAAACTTTCAGGACAATAAAATCCATCACTCACCTGTCTGATGCTCATTGTACATAGTATGTAAAGGAAGATGAAAGAACAGTCACTATAATCAGTACCAGGCAAATTCCTGTGAGAAATGCCTTGAAGGAAGCCAATCGGAATGAAAGGCAATTTGGCAACAATCCTCCCATCAAAACTATAAAAATAACATGTTTGGCTACTTTGTCAACTACTACCGGGTAATAATGCAAACAAATTGTAGAGTTTTTCTTGTTGGGCATTGACTATTGACTTACATGGAGTTGAAAATACTTAAAAGAGCTGTGAATACCTAGTAAAAAAACCTTCATTTATAGAGAGTTAAATTACCAAACCACATTAAACTACACGTTCTAATATTAACAATTAGCCACGTACGATACCAATTGCCAGCATAGACCGCATTTTAAACAAGGACAAGTCTCTCGTATTAGTTTTCAACTTTTCTTCTTCACGTTCCAACTTCTTTTTTGTATTCTTAAGGGCGACTGACTCGCCAGATGTTTCCTTTCGTTTCTCCACTTTAAAACAAATTACAACAGAAAGTTACGTATTACTTATTTACCGTATACTGTATATGATATACATATTTTCATGAATTGCTTTCCCTCAGCTAATCCTGTACACTTTGAAAATAAAAGAGTGTAGTGTGCTCACATTTTTTGCATTGTCTTTCTACTTCAGATTTCAGCTTCTGGTATTTCTCCGTGCGATAAACCATCAGCCATGTCAAACCTAGAGGTATTGCATAGTAATATTGTATATTTAAAATTCAGAATTTAAATTTTCATCATCTTTTAGATGATGAAATTGGAGCAATGAACAAGTTTGAAATATAATTTATATCATATAAACTGGACGAACCTTCACCAAAGAAAGCAGTGACGACAGAAATAAAGAGGATGAGAAGGGTATCGGACCACATTTATTCGATTTTATTTGTATTTTTTAATTTATAAAAATGGGGGTGGAAAATCCCACTGGAAATTTTGTGCCGGAAAATGTCGGGGAAAAAATTGTACGGGAACTCAAATGATACCACTTGATATATTTTTCTTCGTGAGTGAGTGGGGCAAAAGCGTCTCCTCTCTCATCTACGTGCAACTTTCTCCAAAAATCTCATCTCAACTCCCCCGTTGCTCCAGAAAAGGAATAAAGTGTTCATCCAGCAAGTATAGTAAACCCATGAGATTTACTACACGCATGTAAATAATTGTGGGTAGTCAACAATGTTATTTATTGGTCACAATCTTCTCATATCTCTCTTGAATGAAATCCGTTTTGTATCAATTGGCTGAATTCCAGACCGGTGAGCAGTCATCATACTCGCCTGAAGTGATGGAAATATGTGCAGACATGTAGTCATTGTAACATGCATTAAGAATATTGGTGAGAGAGTCAAGTGAGTCAACCTTTCTTATTAGTCAGTGAGTGAGCATATATATTTACATAGTAGTTGAAGAGGTGTGTAAAATCCACCTGCTACCAAGACAAGAGTTAAAGTCAACGGCTCCTGTCATTTGAAGGTGTAGAAAGAAGAGACCACGTAATGCCGTGTTATTACTATGTATTATATATGGCAGGTTATTATTATATATGCGTTAGGTCTCCCTCAATGCTCACCTGTTGTTAACTAATTCAACCCGTTTTGTTCCTACCTCCACTTTTTATGCCTCTAAAATTCAGTCCTTTCTATCCACGGCCAGCCTGAGTGGTGAATCAGCCCAACAATTTTAACGTAACCATCGCCCCAATGGATAGAATTCATACCGTAATCCAGCAATGGTTACGCTATGTTATGCCATAGAGAAGAAGAACCACAAATACCTGTAGTCACAACACCACCGTTGGTAAAAAACATACAATATGTTGATGCTGGTTGATTGTAGTGCACCTCATTTTAGGCAAATAGGAGAGATGCGACTACTATTCCTAGAGAATTGTGATACGTGAAGAGGTACGTCTGTACTTAAAACGGCAGTAGCAGCAGTTTACCATACCATTGGCATAAAGTTCTCATTGGCAGCGTTTAGAATAATATTATCCAATTTTGTTTGAACAATAAAAAGCGTATATATTTATAGTGAGAGGAAGAGAGATCTAGGTTTTAACAGGATGCATTTAATATGGTAGCAAACAGGGGACAGCCGAAAAGTGGAACCATTGTCAACTACTTTACTACTTATTGCTTAGTGAGATCAAATTATTATTTGCAGTCCATTTTCCAGTGTCCCACTTTTATGGAGACTGTCACATCATCATCAACCATACCGCAAGGTGTCAAAATTATAATATGGTATGCGTGTCTTTAGTATACTAGAATCTCAGGAGGTGTTCAAGGTGTGGTTAATGGTGGCGGTGGGTGATTATAAATAACTAATTAGAATTTGACCTACGGCACAAAGACACAACAGCTAAATTAAAGCCACTCTGCTCTCCAGATTGGGAGTACAAGAAAATTGAGACAAGATTTTATTCATTTCCGGAATCTACTCTAATCAAATGGAGGATTCTGACAATAATCGTGTGGGTTCTCGAGAAAAGGGGGGCAGCAGGTGGGTCAAGTTTAATGAGAATGAAGAAACCGAAAATTCTGAGACGATAAACGGACAAGATGACCACCATCACAATCACACCAGTATTAATGTTAATCCGGCTGTGATTGAGCCTACCGTGGAAATCCAGTCTCCCATCAGCAGCGGCACAAAATCTCATCCTCTTCCTTCATCACCGTCCTCTAATAACACAATTCATCTTCATCATGCAGGAAATCTTCAGACGATTGAGCTCCACAATTCTCTCGAAAATCAAACTATGCCAAGTGGTTCTTCCGCAGAAACTTTGTCCGGAACGACAAGCAGCACTGCAAATGGGAACAGAAGAAATACTTCCGGTTTCAGTATGTCTAAAATTACAGAGATTCGAATTTTGGTTGGCTATAATGACGATGTACTTGCATATGATGAGAGAATTGAGAGCTAGATTTGCACATCATAATAAATTGTTTTACAGCCAACGGTGATGTGATTGTCTCAATTTTACCTGTAAACACGAAATGGCCATGGATTACTCCTGCTTCTTTCCGTCCAGAATTAGTTCCAGAAGAACTAATGGTTGGTTTGCATAAGCTATTTTTGTGATGGAAAAGGAGAATACCTTGCCTCAAGACTAAACATTTTTTCTGGATTATTTATTAATAAATGTAGGCTCCTGGCCTTACATTGACCGTTGAAGAGTACGTTCATGCAATGGAGCTTCTGACCTCCGATGTTAGGTAATTCGCATTTAAACAAATCACCACTCAAGTTTTCCCATTAAATTGATTTTGACTTGGCTAATCAGATTTAATGCCTACACAATTTGCTATAAGCGATTGCTGGCTTCATGGCTAAGGTAAGAACAAAATGAGGTTTATCAACAAGGAATAAAATAGTCAATTGTAAATACTTTTGCACATATTATGAATAATATTATGTTAGTTTGGCCTTCTTCATTCTTCTCATCATCCTATTTTCCGGCGTGGTTGGAATCCATTTGTTCGCACTTGGAATCTCTTGGCTCATCATCAATGCTGCAGCTGTATTCTTTTGCATGTATCTTAAAATCAAGGTATTGTACATAATTTACTCAATTTTGATACTCGGATTAGTGGATGTAACAAACACTTTGAAGTGTAACGAGCTCCTCCGTTTATGTATTGCAGATAAATCAAGGGTAACATATTATACGAGCAAATTAATTCAGTCCATGATGGCACCACCATAACGATAATAACTGGAAATTAAACGCAGCTTTTTATTTGGCGTACTTATAGGCTTGAACGTTGTATGGCACGTGTTAACAAAATGTTTTTAAAACACAAACTAATCGTCGGCTTGGATGATCGTACGTAACTTGCATTATGTTTTTGCAAAGTTTTCCTTTTATTTTTGCAGAGTTTCGTGACTTTCATAACTTGCTTAATCCTCCCTAAAATTTCTCGTTATTTTGAATGTAGGAGGAAGGATTTCCTGCCATAAAGTTCACCTTTGTTTCATTTATTTTGACCCCAACGAATGCGTTGTAAGTTGGGATACCTCATTAAAAAACAATATTTATATTGGAATGAGTAACTAGTTTTCGAATCTATGTATTCACTCCAGAAACGGTTAGAGCAAGTTCTCGAAGGGTCACAAGACCGACAAAGAATGCAAAGCCATTTGGATGCGCAAGATGTCGAAATTGTTATAACTGGAGCACAAAATACAACACGTATTCCACAGAAGCAGGTAAAATTATTATTGTTTTTATTAGTTATAATTTTATGTTGCAAGTTTAGGTCGTATACAAACTATTATGGTGAAAGTTTAACTTGAACGTGCAAGTTTTAAGAGCTTTTTTGGTGGTATTTATTGTTTCATTGCATTTGTTTTGCTTGGGACGTCAACTTTCTTGTGACCTGGCCTGGTTTGTGAAGCAGAAGGGGGAGCGACTTTTCCTTCGTTACGTACAACGATGGGGAAAGGACTATCTGCGTCGTCGGCTAGACTGGACGACAGGCGAGGGGGGCGAAAACCCCTCCTCCCCGCGCCACCTCACCTCCGCCCTTTGCCCCTGCCAGTACGTGGAGGAGTATTTGCGCCACAAACCCGTCGCCCAGGCCGAAAATTCTTCCTGGTCCTGGTGGTTTCCCTGCTTCTCCCAACCTCATCAAGCACAGGCCTCGTAGACTGTACCCAATTTACTTTAGACCTAAAGTAACTGACAACTTTGTCTGTCATTTTATACATACATGATCAACCTGGCTGTGACCATTGACCAAACCAAAGCACCCTTCGTAGAATTAATGCACGAAACAACAATATTTTAGTGTTTTCATAATTTTTCAAATCTTGTACAAACGAGGAAGGATGCAGAATCCAGTGAAACAAAAACCTTGGGGATGCTTTAAAAAGTTGCAAGTTTTATAAGTATGCAATACATGTATATCATTGCATGATTTACTTATAATAAAAGTTACAAACTTTACAGCTTTACAATGCCCAAATCTTATTTTTATGCTCTATGAACAATCAGAAGATGTGCCCACTTAATAATTGTAATATGCTCAAGTCAAGATAATTAAATATGTACTTTAACCAATTAGACAAATCAGATAAATTTCATATATAGTAAAAGGTTTTGTATCCATTTATCCATCCTGGTTGTGTATAGAGAACATACTGATAACTGAATACTGCATAGAATCATCAAACAAAGTTATTATCCAGCAATTATTTATTTAATAAAATTGGGTATTTTATTAAATGAAGTGTAATATAAGATATAGTAAAAGATAGTGTACTGCTCTATTAAATTTCTGCATGTTATTGTTTAACCTTAATAATTTAGAGCTTTCTCTACTAGACTGACGCTGAAAGACTTTTCTTTTTTAATCTGTACGACAAGAAGGAATGTTTTATGAGAATAAATGCAAGTTATGTGTTATCAACGTTTATCTTAACTTTCATTTTTTTGCTCGTATTTTTTAGTGCGAAGCGCTATACCTTCGTTACATACAGCGTTGGGCAAAGTGTTTCCTGCGTGAACTGGCCATTGGCAAAGATTTGAAAACGCTGCACTGTTCAAAACAACAATGCCCTTGTCTATTTGTGGAAGATGTTCTGCAAGAGAAACAAACAGGTTGATCACATTGTGCCGCTCCTCTGTTTTTTTTATTTACAAAAAAAAACAGAATTTCGGTTTTTCGGAAACTTACACGATAAGTGACTGACTTGTTCTATTGCAGGGCTAACTGGGTGCTGCAGTATTTGCCACAACATTTCTTACGCTGTACCAAACACCCTCACAGCATAGAATTATTCATATGTTACTGGCATTAATGTGCAGACGAAACAAAGTATTACATATTTTATTTTATCATTCATGAACCTGAAACCGATAGAATCTTTGACTACATATTATTATTAGATCTTTACTATATTTTATGTACAACATTCACTAAATGTAAAATATAAAAAATAATATTCAAACACCAAAATGAAAGGTTGTGTAAAAATAATGTGACGTCCACATGGCACTTCATCACGTTAACTCCTGAGTCACCGCTTATGAATTTCGACAACTCATACAGCTTTTACTTTGTTTGCACATACATGGTTTGCACTGTGCAAATTGCACACACTATCTGACGTTGCAACATATTTTGTGTTTATGAGTCACTCTACAAGAGAGAAGAGCATGATTGACACATATATATGTGCATATACAGAATCGCAGATTAACGAAAAACTAAATAGACATCTCAACTAAATTGCAAGCAGTCTACCTTTTATTTAATCACACATGAATGGATGAAAAATAATAAAATCACGTTTGTGCATCATGTGAAGAACTTCCAGAAGGAAAAAGTATGCCCCATCCCCGAATTCTTCTCATTGTTTGTATTTAGTAGCAGCAGCAGTCTGAAACCACCAGCAGAGAACTTTCTCTTGTGTTCCTGCACCGAGAGGAGAAAGCAAGGCCAACAATAAAAGCATAGCTTTTCCTCCTTCTGCGTCTCAAGTTGGATACTAATAGCTGGCATTCGTGGTGTGGGTGAGCAGCAGTTGTGACGTGTGACCCCACCCACCACCCATGCACCAAGAAGTGGATACTAACTAACCAACTATACCCGGGTATCGGGGGCTTGGAAGTAGTGGGAGAGAAAGTGGAGAGAAAGTGGATCAGCCAAGAGAACGGGTTGGGGAGTTGACCGAGCCTGTGTAGTAGACCACCACCACGCACTCGACTCACACTGCTTGACAGACAGATCTCCATAAAAAATACACCTTTTTCGTAATAATCACACAACAGTCCTTTAAATTTGTCAAACCTGCCAGAATAACCCCCAGAAATAGTTGGGATAAAAGGGGGACAACATGGCGCTCAAGGCTACAGTCGGACTCAGTAAGTGGACAATAAAGTTATTGCTTTATTTTTTAAGCCGAGAAGTGAATCATCCGCTTTAGAGTCGTAATAATTTGTCGTCGTAAACATTAAGAATATCATTGACTCTTGATAATTTGATGCATTTTCAGAAATAATGAATGAGGTGATCCGAGGCTCAGCAGGTCACACGAAGACCAAGAAGCCAGGGGGAGTGGAATGGCGAGTACTGGTTGTGGATAATTTGGCGATGAGGATGGTTTCCGCCTGCTGCAAAATGCACGAGATCTCTGCCGAAGGCATCACTATTGTGGAAGACGTTTACAAAAAGAGGGAGCCGTTGCCCACCCTGGATTGCATATATCTGGTCACGCCAACCCAGAAATCCGTCAACGCTCTAATGGCAGATTTTGACAATTTGAATCGGGCAATGTACAGAAATGTTCACGTCTTCTTTACTGAAGGTATTTAAGCAAAACAGGTTATTACATGCCAAACGTTTAACACGTCATGTTGTCCTTCCTATTAGTGTGTCCTGAAGAACTATTTAATGAACTTTGCAAATCTCCTTGTGGAAAAAGAATAAAAACATTGAAGGAGATTAACATCGCATTTTTACCTTATGAAAGTCAGGTATGCTCAAATATATTTACTATTCTATTCAAAATACAAGGTAATATTTACTCCGTAAACTTTGGTCTAACGGATATCGCATATTTTTGTTGTAAACATGTAGGTATTTTCTCTGGATTGTCCGGAAGCATTTCAGGTATGCCTATAATTTTGTTTTCCATCTGATGCTGAATAACATAAAAAAAAGTAGAAAATTGATAAACAAAACAAAGCCTTACAGAAACCAGGTTAATGCTAATAAAAGGTCTTTCTTTTTTTCAGCTGTACTATAATCCTTCATTGTCAGCTGCAAGACAAGTGAGAAGCTTTGCAAAAAAATGTATACTTATATTACCAAATCAAACCTAACTGTATATTTATTACCAGGCAAGCATGGAGCGAATGGGTAAGTTGCGGTACTGATACTGTAGAAATAAAGTCCAATTTTATAGATTCAATGATAACTCTATCTAAGTAACAAAAGTGCTGACATCGAAAAAAACTGCATTCACAGATTATATTAACACAAAATATTCCATTTAAAAACTCACATCTTTCTAACCAGAAAATGGAAAATACTATGTTAACTCAATCTCATTATCTACATACTTCTTTTAGCTGAACAAATCGCCACGCTCTGCTCTACTCTTGGGGAATACCCCGCAGTCAGATATCGGTAATTATATACATACTATTTGACATTAGCAACGTCTCAACAACTCACAACTTATGTTCTCTACACTGATCCTGAGAAAGGAAAATGATATGTGATACACGTGTTTCATTTTAATTTAGGGCTGATTTCGACCGCAATGTTGAACTTGCCCAGTTAATTCAGCAGAAACTTGATGCGTATAAAGCGGATGATCCGACGATGGGAGAAGGTCCAGAGAAAGCAAGATCTCAGTTGCTGATTTTGGATAGAGGGTTCGACTGTGAGTTCCTACATTTGATTTACATACATATTTCATACTGACTACGTACAATACACAAAACTTATCAAAATTTTTCTGAACTTAAGCCAGTTAATTCTAACTCGAAACTGGTATAACTTCACTCTATTGGCTTATGTTTATGTTCGTATGTTTGTTTAGGTGTATCCCCACTTCTTCACGAACTTACGTTTCAAGCTATGGCGTATGACTTGTTGAATGTTGAAAACGACGTTTACAAGTAAGTTTGAGCCCGTGATATGTGATGGCATAATGTGATAATATGTGCTAAATTTTTATGAAAAGGTACGAAGCGTCGGCAGGTGCTCCTGAGAAGGAAGTTCTTCTAGACGAAAATGATGAATTATGGGTAGAACTCCGACATCAACATATTGCTGTCGTTTCGCAGTAAGTTTGCATAAGTAATATATTTACTTACTGATATTAGTATGTATATAAGTTCTTTCTCGCTTGTTTAGAAATGTTACCAAGAACCTGAAGAAATTCATCGATTCCAAGAGAATGCCTAGTGATAAATCTTCCATGAAAGGTAAGACTCGACATACATCGTAAAAATTTCATCTTTAATATTTTCGTACGTATGTGCTTCATTTAAGTCACAAAATTATCCATATAATAATTGGCATATGTAATAATTTAATTTACTTGTTTTACATGATAACATGAAGATCTTTCGTAAGTTTATTTATTTATTCGAACCATCCGAATAGAAGAGTTGTAGCTTACTGATGATATGTTTTTCTAGCCAAATGATCAAGAAGATGCCACAGTATCAGAAAGAACTCAGCAAATACTCGACTCATCTTCATTTGGCAGAAGATTGTATGAAAGCCTATCAGAGTCGTGTTGACATGTTGTGCCGAGTTGAACAGGTATATCACTAATTTAATATGTGAATATAATAGTAATATATATATTTAATAGTAATATGTACATATATTTCCATACTCTGGTAGTAAAAACCTCGTTTTATATTGTTATATAGGACCTGGCCATGGGTACGAATGCTGAAGGGGAGAAAATAAAGGATCACATGAGGAATATCGTGCCCATCCTTTTGGATAATAATTCTACCGGAATTTCAAGTTTTGAGAAGCTGCGAATTATTCTGTTGTATATTCTGTCAAAGAATGGAATTTCAGATGAAAATCTGAACAAGGTATATGCAAAATTAGGCATGCGAAATTTGCTTTCTTTATTTAATTTTGTTTTACATTTTTCAGCTGATCCAACATGCCAATATTGGTAAGTCCATCATTGTGTTCACTTACTGAGCTCTACATACATCAATGCTATGCTATTACGTAATGGTGATGAATGAATCTGACTTATTATCTTTTTAATACAGACGCAGATCTTCGCTGCATAATAACGAATCTTTCGCATTTAGGAGTAAATGTGTCTGTGGATGTAAGTTTTCTCATTAATACAATCAAGATTTAGTTGTATTTCGAATTTCTATTTGGATTTTCACTTTTAGGGGAACCGGAAAAAGGTTTACCAAATCCCACGTAAAGAGAGAATCACAGAGCAGACCTATCAAATGTCTAGATGGACGCCCGTTGTGAAAGATATTATGGAGGACATGATTGAGGAGGTTAGTAAATTCAATTGAGATAATCATGAGTATAATAAGATAGTTAAATACTACAAGTTATTACGTATACATTTCTATTATTGTAGAAACTAGATCAGAAGCATTTTCCATATTGGGCTGGACGAGCTGCTTCATCGACTTATCGTGGACCCGGTGAGTTAAGAATCAATTTATTCAAGATTAATTAATTACACTAGGTAATTTAATTTACTTAATAACTAAGCTATACTTTTTTTATTTTATCTATTTATGCAACCAATCGTAGCCACAAGGTAATTTTATATATTTTGAAACCTACTCTGATACGATGTAGAAGCTATGTGTAAACGAAGAACCACCTGTTTAAACAACTAATTCTCATAGTGCGAGATATGGACAATGGCATCGGGACAAAGGTCAACAAAACATCAAAAATGTTCCCCGACTAATTATATTCATTGTTGGAGGCGCAACTTTCTCCGAGATGAGAACGGCCTATGAAGTGACCAACATATCCAAGAATTGGGAAATAATTATTGGTAATTAAGTTGTCCATGAATTACGTAACATGATTTATCTCAACCCTATGTACGTATAAATTGGCCCGTAACTTTTACCAATTTCAAGGTTCAACTCACATTTTGGTCCCTGACGGTTTTCTCTGTGACTTGAAGGATCTTAGCTGCACCTGATTGCATTCCTATCGAGCAAAACTCCTTCGTCACATTTCAAATAATGAGTCAACAACAGCAGCAGCAGCGACTGTGAATCCTCGCGACCTTGTTGCTTATTTCAACACTGTGTCTTCAACACTAACGTCAACGACGCGTCATTACTGCGAAGGTTACAAACAGCTAGATTAGCACAGCTATATAGCATTAATTAGTCAGTTCTTATTATATTTTACTATAAATACCTCCCACCAATGCAGAATGTGATGTGTGTATTTATTATAATTGTATGTCTATACGTTCTTTGTGTCGTATTCCTTCGACCAGATAAGCATTCCATCAACTAACCAACCAAACAATGATGTCGATATATGTTCACACATGTGATGATGAGTGACGTGGTCATTTAAAGTTTTTGTTACCAGTATTTATTAACTTATTCTAATTTATTTCCCAACCAAGTATTAAGAATCAAATTTTTAGCTCATCCATTACGATAAAATATGTAGATACATAATGCTCCCATTTGACGATCTATACAAGTAATAAGGATGATTTGTGTTCAGCTCTGGTTGGGCAAAGTTATTTACTATAGAAGTCTTAAGTACTTATTAAGCAGAGATCGTTAAAATCAAGTTAAGTCTTATGCAAATCATACATATATATATACATTATTTAACTAAAATTGAATAGAAACTAATGATGATTGATGAGTCACCGGTGCTCTTCCTAGGGAAGAGTGAAATAACGAATGATCGGAAATCGATTATATGATATTTCATTAAATAGTTTCGAAATAGGGAAAATGTTCTACTGCATCACCTTTTTAACGGCTTTGGCACGTCAAATTTAATTTAACGTCTACTATGGTGCTTGTGTCACAAGTAATAAAAATGAAAAATAGTATAGCAGCGGTTGGTATAATAGTAAAATATAAATGCTTCTCAAACCTTTTACATGATTTATCAAGACAAATCGCTTATCTAGTGAGGAGCATTAAGCATGACACAGAATGTTACTAAATTGCGAGCGGTGGACTAACGTGCTAATAAGTATTAGTAAATTACCATAGGGTGGAAGTTTGAAAATAATTCCTTAAATATTTGTCTCGTGAGAATCATGGGAAAACACATAAAACGTTATATAAATAGAATTTTGGTTTAAATGTGAGCAATTTTAGTCATCTTAAGAATGGATAAAAATCTTTTCATCATGTTCAGCAATAAATATATATAGTGATTTCGTCCTCTTCATCATTATTATTACGAGAAAATTATAAAATTCACTCTGAAATAAAGCATCGAATCAAACATGTTTTGTGTACCTTATTAGCAAGCGCATATTTCAACAATGATCGCTTCTGTAGAACATAATGCTTCGTGATTCATTTATTTCCGGTCGGAAATAAGCAACCTTGACCATGCACTGCGCACACTTGTTTCAAGTTGTACGCTACAAATGGAAATCAGAAATCAGTGATTTTATTTAAATCTTTAAATAAGTATGAAAGTTGCAGATTCGTTACGCTTGTTCATATTTATTTAATAAACCCCCCATCAATTAAAGTATTATACTTATACAAATTCATCAATGTAGGTACATATTCAACCCTATTTACAACTATTCTAGAACTACTGCTTACGCTGACGGCTACATATATGATGACTGAGCTGAGCTGAGTTATTAATTTTACAGACTGCACAGCACAAGGGCTTTGTTAGACGATATCCTTGGATTCGCGACGTAAAAATAATTAGACAAAAGGTACACGATGATTATATTTTATCAACTGCCTGTTAACAAAATAACGTAACGTGGGCGGTATCGCAGACAAGTCAAGTCAACGGACATAATATTTGTATAACTTCTAAGTAAAGATTTCTAACATAATAAATTATCGTTTCGTCCAAGATGCTGCTTTCAAGATATCTTTCGTCTATTATGAATCATAGAACAATAAACAGAAAAATAAATTCTTAATAAAAAACGAAGTCTTTTGTAATTATAAATTGGTTGGGATGTTAAATCAGACTTCCGATGTATAAATTTAATCATGGATTTCATATAATAATAGTGGACCTTGCTTGGTTGGATTAATACAACAATCACTTACTCCTAATGACTGAGGTTTAGTAATAATAATAGTAATAATAAATAAAATATAAGTTACATCAAGTGGTGTAGATGATCCATTTTAGACTGTTTTTTTAAGATGTCACAAAAATTATAAGAGACAGGAAAAGAATTATTGAAAAGGATTATGAGGGTCACTGGGGGCAGGATTTACCCCATAACTGGTTGCTGCTGGTTTGGATGACTGGTTTTCATTCACAAAACTCTGATCCCAATTTTGACGCGGTTGGCTGTTGGCAACGCTAGAGTTGTAGGATGGTGGAGGTTCAAATTTAGAAGCTGAATGAGTTGCCCACTCAGCCGCAGCGGCTGCAATTGGATCTCTTGAAATGTTGATGGTCGAGAAAGGATTCTTTGCTGCTTCCGGTTGTGATTGTTGTGGTTGATAGGTACTGGTAGATCCAGATAGGCCGGAGCCACCCATAGCTTGTTGAGCATTCCTCACCATTTCTTCTCTCGAAGCTCTTGAAGCGAAACAAAGCAAAAATTGAAATAATAAAGAATAATAAAAAAGATAAAAGTAACAAGATTACAGTCAAGGTGCATTATTGCTCATGAACATAATATAATACTATATAACGCAACAGGCAGAAAGGTGTGATGTACTTATACTGCGAAGAAAGCAACTAAATGGACTTATCCACGACTTGCACATTTGCACTACGACCGAACAAAACTGCAAAATTTTGACCAAAAAGAGGCCGAGAAAAATTCAAACAAATGTGCACAACTTTTACTCATTCTCTTTTGGCATGATATGTCGTCTTTCTAGACTTTGTTTACCGAATGTTTGTTTAAAATGAAGATTTGGATGATGCCAACAATCCCAAATGCCTTGTACAAAAGGGAGTAATGAGTACAAAATTAAAACGTGTCTACAGGCAAATTTAGTGAAGTGCATTGTTTGAAAGGCTTGGTTGAGATTTTAAAAAAAGTATGGGCGACTAAAACAGGATTAAGGTTTTCTAGGGCTTTGTTGAAATTAATAGGTGCTCTGGCCCCATATTTCAGGGTCATCGACGAGACTTTGATGTTGCTGAGTTGGTATATCCTTGCCAACATCCGTAGCGCCTCGTCCACCAAGAGATGCTGCCGCGGCCATCATGACATCTCTTGGTGCTCTGTTACGATATTTCAGATAAGACAATGATTATACCACCACCAGAACCACAATCATTAACCATATAATCCATATATGCCAGACTATGTAATGCTGCCACTTACTATATATTATATACATATACAGATGTAGATGTACCAGTAGTGTAATATTTAGTAACATAATACCCATAATACTAAGTTTGTTGTCCGTCAACAATATTCTTTTACAATACTGTTCTTATCGTTGATTAAATATTGATAATAATATGCATCATAATCACATGAGTTTGGGCACCTTTGTCTCTGTCTAACCAAGGTTAGAACACATATCGACTAGAACTATTTTCAGTTAATAAATGTATAGCAAATATGCAAATTCTCACTTTTTTCCAAGAGCTATCATGGCGTAGATAACGCCGGCTCCAATCACAACTCCGCCTCCAATAAACGAATAGAATCCAAAGCAAAATATAATCGTGGGTAAAGGTGCCCTTCAATGTCCACAAGAAAAAAATTAAATATTTAAACATGTATCCAAAGAAGAAATCTAAATTTTTCCTGGGAAATGAACCTACACGACATATACTGCTGCTTTAACCAATAGTGGCCTATCTTCAATTTTCCTCGCAAAAACTTGTACATGATCCACAAACGCACAACAGAACGGGGCTTCAATTGTCACAACAAGGAATCCGACCAACCTATATGAAATCAAGGTGTGATTAAAATAAATGAATAGGCATTGTTATTCGGAAGTATTTTTACATTTGCCAGATCGCGAACAGCATACATACGGGTGAAAAGACGCTAAAAATGACATTCATGGCTCCGAGGAAGAGGCATACTGGAAATTTTAAACAAACAAAATAATTAGCCTGAACTTGAACTATACAGTTATATTAGTTTGAATCTAAATATTATTACATCCTCCAGCAAAAGTCCCCAGAGCCCGAATCCCATACTTGACATACCTGTAAAAAGATATCGAGAGCTATACTCAGACGAGTCGAGTTATATTATTATATTATAATAAATTAGCAGCCTGAGGGAAGCGACGGACTCGACATAAATTTGATTGGGCGTTTATTATAATAGGTAAATTTACAGTGATGCGGGATGTTTGGAAAATGCGATAAAAAGGAAAGCGTTTTAGAAATTGCTGGCATACCATGGTTGATCCTCCTCCTTTGGTTCGCCAGCTCCATTCCCATAACCTTGATTCATGGGGTCTCCTCCAAAGCCTTGCATCTTGGATAAATCCACGTCACCGTCTTCTTTGGATGGTAGTGTCGAATCTTAATTCTGGCGGAAAGAATACGAGAAAGCCTCACTGCTGCCTGCTAATGAATGATGAGAGAATTAGACAAATCAGTATTTCACACCAAACTGAGATTTGTAAACCAGTGCAAATGTATTTAAAAACGTTGCTAAATTAGCTATATTAATTATATCGTATGACCCAACGCCCACAAATGAAATATGTATCAAGTAAATGGGAGAGAGAGAACAATGATTACAAATGCATCTTGATTTGATCGGACATTTAACTGAAACTTAACTGATTAACTGTCTGTTTCTTTACAAAAATTCCAGAAAACAGATCCAGTTAAATCTAGACTCGTCAATGCACTACAAAGTGACTCATCATCATACACAATAAATCAGAAATCGACTCCAAAAAGTATAAACAACACATGAGTACAAAACGTCAAACCTTAAGATTTGTTACCTGTTTGATTTATTCCAATTTATTAATTAGCCACCCTTTGTTTATTTCCGCAGTCTTTCGTACACAGTTGCTCGTGAATTGTTGCTAAGAATTGATTTGGTAGTTGCCACTGCAGGAAATTAAATTTGACACTAGAATTTGGAATGAGATTGGCAAGTGAGTTGTCGAAGGTGCAGTTGGTTTGAGCTTCTAGGTGGTAGTTTTAGTGGCGTAGAGTCGGTGGTGGTGGTGGTGGTGGAATTGGGCCATATGATGGTGCTATAGAAAGTCAGTGGCAGCGCAGTCTCTCCACCACTGCTCTCCTTCTGCATCGTTGGCAGATCAGATTCTTCTTCAATCCACTCCAACTCCACTTTATGGCCGCAATTAAAAGGTAACATATTATCTCCAATCGCAACGCCAGTCGTCCAGAGAGGCCCTTATCTCGCAGCCAGGATTATCCACGTGCTGGTGTTTGTGGTGCAGGTGTGGGGGTTTGGTTGAATATCCTCCGGTGGTCGTCGCCGCTCGAAACATCCGCTTCCGGCGAAGATTACTTTCACTCCGTACCACAGAAGGAGGGGAATGAGAGTGGGGACACTGCTGGTTGGTTTGTTGAGGACCTGACTTCTACTACTACATATTACGAGTAACAGGAGTGTTGGATTTGGTGGAAACATCAGGTAGTCAGATGTGAACCCAGCAGAACTTTCACCCAAAGTATAGTTTTGTACTGATGATTATTGATTGTATGTGCTATTATTCTGACAGGTGAAGCAACTGGCAATCTTGAATATTAATAAATGAATGGAAACCCTTTACCGTGTGAGCTGACCTTACTAACAACAAGCAGTAAACGAGAAATAGTATTGTGATAAAAATAAGTCATTACAATGGCAAACAATAATGACGACTGTGCTCCACCACCCATGATGATGAACAACGACCCTCCTCCATATTACTATCAAGAAGAACAACAGCAGCAGCAGCAGCAAAACCAATCCGAACGTATTAGTGGGGATGGCGAAGAAGTGTATGGACAGTATGGGTACACGAATTTCATTCGACAGGCGCCCCCAGTGATGATCCCACCAATGCCTCCATCAGCAGCGGCTGTTCTGCCACAACAGCTACAAGGACAAGTACAAGAAACTGGTTTTCCATTTGACCCCACTCAACAACAACACCAAGGGCCCGAAGGTCAAGAGGCTGGGTACGGATTTGACCCAGCTCAGCAACAACAACAGCAGCAGCAGCATGTACCTGAAGGGCAGGAGGCTAGTTTTGGATTTGATCCTACTCTACAACAGCAAGTTCAACATGTTCCTCTTGGTCTACCGCAACTGCCACCCATTATGGCGCCTCAAGGAGACTCGGGACCACCATCATCACAGGGACAGGGGCCATTACCGGGGGCAAATAATGTTTATGAACTTGAACGTGGTAACGATCGGGATCGCGAACGAGATCGTGACCGTGACCGTGATCGGGATAGAGATCGGAGTAGGAGAGAGTTTGATACCTCCAAGGAGACGTACAATAATAGGTATTTTGTGATGATAATAACACTATGTAATATTTTTACGCTCAGGACAATAGATTTTGCCATTAATTTATCAGCAGATATTATCGTCGAGACTATGACTATGATGATGAGTACGACCGGCCACGTTCACGTAGTTCCTACCACGACGACGAGTATTACAGTACGCGAAGAAGACGACGTGCAAAAAATGATTCCTATCGAGCACGAGGTCCCCCAAGTGAAGTAAGAGGTCCTCCAAGTGAATACAGCCAGTCACGATCCCGTGGATATCATCAAAGGGATGTACGACCCCCACATTACGGAGGCTATATGGACTATCCACCACCATCATCCACACCCTACTCTGCCAGAAATCAGTTTATGATACCTGGGGGTGCAGGTTTCGACCTGCAACAACCCCCAATAGTTACTACGCAAGGGCAATCGTTCATAATGTATCTGGGCTACTTCCGCACTCAAAATCCTGCCCAGTACAGGGAATGGTACCACAAATATTTGGAACATACTAAAGATCCTGTCCGAGTTCCATTTCCTCCTGTACCTGGATATGCTGGCATTGGGAAACCTGCCGTTGGCACAGAAAAGTCACGACCCCCATCAATTTCTGGTATGAATGGATGATGAACTAGAGCAACCATTATGTGATTTTTGTTTCTGGAACTTTGTTATTTCAACTTAATTCCTAATGCACAGGTCGGAGTTCTGTTGCTGATGAAGCAATTGGCCTTGACGACTCCAGATTTAAATCTATTAAAGAGACTCGAGACCCAACTCCTCCTCCATCACGAAATACACCTCTAATATTTTCTATTCCACATGCCATTGGTAAGGATATACGTAGCTGAACTAACAATGACGTCGATTTGTTTATACTTAATTATGTATCTGTTTCTTCAATTTACTTGCAGCTAATTTTTCACCACTTGGCTACGTTATTCGAAACCGATACGGTAGTCCAAACATGGAACTTGTCAGCCACAAGAGCCTTATGAAACGCCAGCCAGAGTATAGAGAGATTAAAGCCTTTCCTGGACCGCTCATCAAGTATGAGATATACATAATTACAATATCCTTGACCTTGTTCTAATTATTTTTACTCTTCACTCCAAATACCTGAATTTATTATCATCTTTTGCAGAGATATAACGCACAAAAACACTATTATACAATTCTGTCAAAAGAAAATCCGTGACTTGGATTTAAATGATGATCAACTAGATCGAGATAATTTAATTTTGTTATGGGAATTGCTTATCCTACTACTACGTCAAAATGGGGTACATACATACATGCATGGATTATTCATTCCGTTATTTTTGCACCAATTCTTGAATAACTTGTACTAATTACTATTTTGTTTTTCAGTCCGCTATTGGATGTGATATTGCCGAACTGTTGCTAAAATCAAAATCGCCACGACAATCTGTGAATTCTAGTGGGAGTGAATTAGGCTCATCAGGTCGGTCCAGTGATGAACATGATGAAGATCCCGTCAGAAATGGAAAACCTCTTAATCATATTCAGAACTATAGATCTAATGATACTGATGAAAGGTGTATAAAGATATTTAATCAAAAACTAATGTTTGGACACAAACGAGAGGCCTTAGGTACGTCATAATTATTTACTTATGTGTATTCGTATTATCAACGGTAATTATTCTCGTTGCATTCCAGAATATGCTATGGATAACGGTTTATGGGGTCACGCTTTATTTTTTGCTTCAAAAATGGACGAAAAGTTGCATGGAACTGTGTTAGCCCGATTCGCAAATGAAACCATGACCCTTAACAGTCCATTACAAACGCTGTATCATGTATTGAGTGGAAAACAACCCCCATCAGTTACGGTTAGTTGTTAATAGAGCTGTCTGTTTAAACTAATTTGCACATAAGTGCACAAAATAATTCCCAGAATGAATTGATTTATTGAATTGAATTGATAAATTTAGTGTTGTGCTGATGAAGCATTTGGAGATTGGAAACCCCATCTGGCCATGTTATTGTCTAATATGGGACGCAGTCCTGAGTTTGAGGCCAACACGATGAGAACAATGGGCAAGACGTTGGGTAATTACTAAGTTGTAGTATTTAAAAAATTGCTATTGGTACTTATTGGTATATTTTGATTTTTATTATAGCTAATCGCAAGCTAATATTCGCAGCGCAGTTCTGCTACCTAATGGTGGAATCAGAAATTGGAGAAGATTTAGAAATTGGGCCGCTTTTGGGATACAACCCCAACCTTCGCAATGTTTTAGAAGCAACTCAAATGACGGAAATTTACGAGTTTGCAAGATCCTTAGCGAACCCCGACTTTTCTGTTGGTTTGTCATTCGTTGAAAGCAAATTCAATTACACGAAAGAGCTAATTAACTTTGGATTCGTGCAAGAAGCTTACTCTTATTGTGAAGAAATGACGAAATCATTAAGAAGGCAAAAAATACACGGAAAGGAGCAAGAGTTGGCCAAGAACATCCTTGGTGTGGCAGAGCGATTAGTTAATTGTGCTTCTGGCGAACAATTGTGGATACAAGACCTTAGAAAAATGGCGGATCAATTAGATAGTGAGTCGACATCAAGGAAGCTAAGTTTGGCTACGTCTACATCGGATCACATTGATGATTCCAGTATACATAATGTTCATATTAATCACATCCCTTCTTACACGGATAACTCAAATTCACAGCATGATGGTGCTCCTGAAAGTGAAAATAATAATAGTGCACCAGCTACCACAAACTTTAGGTTGAATGGCAATAACGTCAATTCTAATCAATGGGATCAGCCACCTCCTATTCAACCATATCCATCTGTTTCATCATATGATCCAACGAATAACCTGCTTCCAGAGATTAGTAATTTGCATTTGCAACAACCGGCTCCAAATTTTCAGTTAGGAAATGGACCACTTCATAATATCCCAGGTAGTAATATAATATAATAGACTATTTTTTTCCGCCTGGGACCCCCTTTTGGACTTTATTTTTTAATTTGAATGAAACCTCTAAAATCGTGTTCAGCATACTTGAATTAGTGGGTTTAGACCAATTTTGGGTCTCAAAAAATTTGTATTTGGCGCAAATGGGCGATAGTTAGTTCGTGAAGGGGGTTGACATCTCCCTGTTTTCTGAGATAACCACTGGACCGATTTTGTCCAACTGGGGCTTAAAATGATCACAAATACTTCCTCTTGAGTGGTCCTGGAGATGGTACTGATCCGTGACCTCGATGACCTAATTTTGACCTATTTTAAATTTGTCGCAAATCACGTTAAAATCGTATATAATTTTGAATACCAGCCTCAAACAATTTGTTTGGTGCAAATTATATCTAACTATGACGTTTGTAATGCAAACAGCAGCATGTCGAAGATCAAGAAAAACTTTAAGTTTTTATGCATAAATATCACAATCCTTGTGCACAGCACAGCTTAGTGTGACGAAATTTTGCCTCGTGTGCATTTTACCCAATTTGGCAAGAAAATTAAACACTTCAAACCCAAAATTCGAACCAAACGCTCACACAAACGCCCATTGTTCAGGACAATATGAACCTAAGCAATTCTTCACAAGGAAACATATTATACATCAGACGCATTGAGAGCAAAATATGCTCTTAAAAATGAGTTGGAGTCAGTCCCATTTGGTTATCTAGTTTTACAACAATTTTGATTTGGATTTTTACAACAATATCCACATCAGTAGTCCTCAACGACAAATTAAAATTATATTAACCATCATTATAACCATGTAATAATATACAATTTTCCGCATTTTCAACAATGAATTTAGAACTTGGCATGATGTTTAGTTTGTCGACTATACTTGGCCTGATGATAATGAATAACTGCATGTATAGTCGAAAGTTTGCAATTTGATAATAACACTGAGACTTTGTTAACATAAAAATTGATAAATATGAAATACACTTCGTTGGTTTGGGGAGTAGACTCATGTTGGTCATCAGGCACAATATAATAAATATTTCTCAATGAATATGTCGTCTGACGCCGTTTAAAACACAAATAAATAACAATTCGTGTGCTACGTGTTTAATTTTCTTGCCAAATGGGGTGCGAGGCATGCTAGTGCGAAGCACACGAGGCAAAATTTCGTCACACTAAGCTTAAGTTATGATGCTGTGCACAAGGATTGTGATATTTACGCATAAAAACTTAAAGTTTTTCTTGACCTTCGACCTACTGCTGTTTGCATTACAAACGTCATAGTTAGATATAATTTGCACCAAACAAATTGTTTGAGGCTGGTATTCAAAATTATATACGATTTTAACGTGATTTGCGACAAATTTAAAATAGGTCAAAATTAGGTCATCGAGGTCACGGATCAGTACCATCTCCAGGACCACTCAAGAGGAAGTATTTGTGATCATTTTAAGCCCCAGTTGGACAAAATCGGTCCAGTGGTTATCTCAGAAAACAGGGAGATGTCAACCCCCTTCACGAACTAACTATCGCCCATTTGCGCCAAATACAAAATTTTTGAGACCCAAAATTGGTCTAAACCCGCTAATTCAAGTATGCTGAACACGATTTTCGAGGTTTCATTCAAATTAAAAAATAAAGTCCAAAAGGGGGTCCCAGGCGGAAAAAAATAGTCAATAACATTAAGAATTAATAAGAGGTAAAATTTAACTCATTTTTATATTGTTGTTCAGATAATAATAATTACTGGCCTCCTCCAGAGCCTTCTTCCAAGTTCAACTCTGGACTGGGTGATCATAATTTCGGTGCTACGTCTTTAAAGGTAACCAATTAATAACTAATTAACACGGCAACTGGAATCAAGTGTACATTTAAAAAGTACTTCCTCATACATAATAATCAAGTCACGCACTGATTAGTCCTGGTCGTAATACACAGTTTATAGTACGTAGTATGATCATTAAAAATAGATAAATGTTTGATGCCAGATTTTAGAACACCAATTGCATTGATATTTATTGTGATTACTGAGGAGGATACATGAAACTGTACATGTGTATGTGTTTCTCTGTTTCCCTTTTAGAAGAAAGTGGTACGATTTGAAGACCAAGAGTTAAATGGTGACACAGTGCAGTCACTGAAAGCCAGACAACTAGATAACTTAACGTCAAAGGTTATACACGAGAAATCATCCAAAGTGGCTGCTTCCTCGCATGATATTAGCAGGCGTTCCTTTAGATCTAATTCGATTGACCGGTTGAGTAACATTGGAAGTCTTTCTTTGCGTGAACTAAAAAATTTAAGTTTGAATTCTGAAAACATTCCTCGCGACTTTTCGAAAAGTAGTCCCGTTTCAAGCCCAATTAAATTCAAATCAACATTTCCCATAGACCAGCCTATCTCGAAATCCAATCATTTTAACACATTCCCAGGCGGAAAGGGAAAAGCAAATACTTTTCCAGTTGATAAAGAATGCTGTGATTATAATGAGCCATGCGAGGACCACGATGATAGTTGTTCCTACGATTACCTTTACGACGACGACGATAGATACGATGGTGATGAGTATATGCAGCAGACAAATAATCGCACTACTAGTAATATCTTAAAGAATAATAAGGTACTTTCTGAATATTTTGCAGTACGCAATAATAAAGCCTTGTTTTGTGTGTTGTAGTAGTGGACACACATTTACTTTCCTTTCACTAAATAAAAAATGGCTAATAACGGCTTATCCAGCCAATTAATTTTAATTTAATTTGTTGATCATTTTTGTGGTTGTGACGTTTTGCTGCACTTACATATTTTATTATTGCATTCATATATTTATTTACATTTTCATACATGTTATGTATGTATTTACCCATTTAGTTGGATATGATTTTGATTTTTACTAAGTTGCATTTGCGAAGAATATGTAAAGTTATTGTCAAAATTGATTGAATTATTTATAACTAACATCAATTTCTATCTTTTTAGAATAATCCCCCACAACCTTCGTTTCACGATCTGCCACAACAACCGCAGCATCGTCAGCAAATTTCCAAACCCCCACCACCTGTAAAAAAACAACAAGACAAAAAATCTAGTGATGGTCTTCCTAAAAACAACCAGCAGGAGAAAAAGAAGGGCTGGTTAAGTGGGATTCTTGGTAGCTTTATCAAAGACAAGAATGCAATGATTCTTCCGGACGATAAAAATCCAACAATCGTGTGGGACCAAGCAGCGCAAGTGTGGAAGAATACAGCAGGCGACGACGATGAAAGCTCTGCTCCCAAGGGCCCCCCACCTAAGGACTCGGATTTGATGGGAACCGGAGGGTCGGCCCCTTCGTCTTATCCACCGCCTTATCCAAATATGCAAAGCCAAATGTCAATGCCTCAACCAAATTCGCAAAATTCCTTGAACAACCACGGTCTTCCAAATAATCAACCTTATTCCATACAAAATCAACCAAATGCTCCTCAAAATCAACAACCAAATATGGCTCAAAGTCAACCTACGAATAACGTGAACGGGGGTCCTGCTAGTATTGGTAGTATTCAGGCCCCCACACCAGGTCCAAATAAATTTTTGCGACCCAAAGGCTTGAGTAAGTGCAAGAATTTTTCTTTAGTTTTGCTTCATATATGCAAGGTAATAATAATTAACATTATATTTTCCCACGACTAGAACCCAGAAATAATTACGTAGATGTATTTAATCCTAATGCAAACGTCCAACCAAAGGCTGAAATGCCGTCGTTGCCTGCTACGGCTGCTGCCCCCGGTATGCTAAATATGTTTATTCCCCCTCAAGTTCCAGCGGATTCAGGCCCTACAAGTTTCTTATCAGCCCATGAAGGTGGAAACTATGAGGTAATATAAATCTCTACGAGTTTGCATTTTAGGTATAATTCCACGGGTTAAGTTATTGTTATTTTTTAGGAGGACACTAATGCTCAAGCTACAGCTCCTCCCCCCATGTTTAACCCTGCGCAGTTTCAAAATCAAAATATACCCAACTACGGACTTAACGGATAATTTTCAATTTTTGTGTGCAGCAGATACAGCCGTGCATCTCCTTATTATGGCCCGGCCTTAAGTGCTATATATTTGTATTCCCAAGAATAGGTCAATCAATTCCAAGTCAAGACCCTTTACATATGATACATACATATTATGGTGATGATAAGTTTGCAGAACTATTATTAGTGCATTTGAATTCGTCATATTATTTTTTTGTTCCCCGGTAGATTAAATAACAAGCTTGCGAAGAACAAGTTAATTTGAAGAATATATAGTCTATGTAGTAATTTAAATGTTGTTTTATCAGGAACTGCAGCTGCGCAAATGTTCAAACTCCAATAAATATCGTCGTCTGCTTGTCAAAGATTAGTTTAATTTATAGTATTATTGTAGCAAAAATTTACTTGGTGAGTGGAAAGATTTATTATCATGATGCTTTTTAAGGCTTGCTTCTGTGTATATCGATAATTATGCTCAGTTTGAACCGTTTTCTCCACAACCACAAAACAGCAAGTGATGATAAGTGATTTAACGTATTTGTTATATACCTGAGTTAAATTAAATTGTAACACGTGGTAATAACCCTAAGTTAAAATTATTGAAGTAATAAAGAAACGTTATATAATATCATCAAAGGGAAATTCATGGATTCTATGAGCAAGCCATTTGTTATGCACATTTTGCCTTTTCATTCCTGTTTAATAATATAATCCTGTGCATATTTTAAATATCTTTTTGATCCATACAGAGTAAATTCATATTACAACAAAATTTTGGTAGAATTTTATACACAATTGTATAATTTATATAATTTATAAAATTCAAATTTTAAACAAATTTTTAAACAAAACATATATTATATAAATATATAAAATAAAAGACACTGTTCAGCGTGACAGCGTTCTGAAATCACCAGATTTGTGTAAAACATATTTGGGTTCTGATGGCACAAATTAATCGGTGAAGACAAAATCCACATGACGCCGAATTTGTTACGCATTCTGCCCACTTCGATCGTGTAAAGGAGTCCCCATGGGAATTTATCCTTTTCTGAAATAGGAATGAGGGTAGCAAGGAAAATGCTTTGACTCTGACAGTCGAATGCATATATTTTTGTAACTTGTTGGTCACGAGGAAGATGGCGGACGTGACTGATTCCAACAACAATAACGAGTCATGCAGTTCGGAAGACCCTGAAAATGAAGCCTTACTGCTCAGAAAAGGTCTTCCTTCCTTCAAGGTCTGCTCAAATTGATAATCAATTTTGTTGGGTCCCAGTTTACTTATTTCAGACAAAGACTGTCAAACTACCGAACTATACGTAAATTACAGGCGCAACGATGCACTCATATCTGCAACGGGCACTGTTCACCACATACCCCTCTAGAAAATGCTTTGAATGCATATTACAAACTTGTTGGTCTCCTCCAGAAAAGCACCCACTGTGACGCAGTACTGAGGACGTCGGACGGAGGGGTTTTCCATGTCCACAGAGTCGTCCTGATGGCGGACTCGGAGTACTTCCGGTAAGCAGAGATAATCACTTCAGGCAGTTGAAATTAGTGGGCGACCTGCGGGGGAAACTTGGGTATGTAAATTACGATAAAACAACAAATTGGCTTTATATTTCCAGCGCTTTATTCACCACCACACTTCACAAATACTGCGAGACGGACGTGATAATTCACAACGTCAGAGCTGGATTGCTCAAATTTCTATTGCACTTCATGTACACGAGGAAAGTTTGGCTCCATGAGGACATTGTAATACCGGTGAGTCAAAGCAATCCCGGTCCGGTCGTAGTCAACTTATGACTGGTTAACTGTTGAAAATAATTATAATACCTGCAAAATACTTGCTAAGTATACTATATTAAACATGAAATAATTTTTCATAAAGGAATTAGGAAAAAAATTGGTCTTTTATTTATATATCCAAATCGTATTTGGCGTTTCTATATGCATGAGTTATCGGTAATGAACAATGGTTTTGAAGGTCTTGGAAGCAGCAGACTACCTCGGCCTCGTGGCATTGAGGAATGAGTGCACAACATTTATTGAAAGCCAAATCAGCCCCCAAAATGTGCTCAGTATCCGTCAATTTGCACGGTAACAAGCATTTAATGACCCTCAGTTTATTTGCATTCTTCAATATGTGACGTTGTGTCAAAAAGTATTGCTGACTCATTGATTATTGATACGCATTTTGTTACAGAGATTGGTTTTGTCACGAACTTCACACAACAGCTCATCAATTTCTAATGAGAAACTTTGCGGACGTCACCAGAGACAGTGACGAACTCTTGGAACTGAATCTAATAGAAATCTTATCCATTTTTGGGGATGACGAGCTAAATGTTAAAAATGAGGAGGTGGTGTGGGAAGCAGCCATTCGCTGGATTGACCATAACCCTGAGAATCGAAACATTTATATTGTGAATCTTCTCCGACAAATTCGAACCGGGTTGATGGAAACCCAATATTTCATGGAACATGTCAAGGATCACACCTACGTCCATGGGAATGAGGGATGTCGACCAATAATCATTGAAACGCTTCGATTTCTGTACGTTATCCGACGTCTCCTTGACATGCCTTCTTATAATCTTCATCTCATCAAAGTAGGGTGACCATACGTCCCGGTTTATTAGCCGGGACATGTCCCGGTTTTCAAAACTTGTCCCGGCGTCCCGAAAATGTCCCGGTTTTGACAAAGTGTCCCGGTTTTTAAAATCGTAGGAAAAAATTAAATTATATCACTTTTTCGCCAAAATATTGATGAAAAAGTAGATAAATACCAGTAACTTGCATGCAATATGTTCTTAATTGGCTTTCCTGGTTCTTTCTTAAAATTCGGTGATATCTGAACCGCTAAGCACTAGATCTTATTGAAAATTTTTTGGCCAAGCACTAGATATTTTGGAAAATTTTTTGGCCAAGCACTAGATATTTTGGAAAATTTTTTCGCCAAGCACTAGATATTATTCAAAAATTTTTCGCCAAGGACTAGATATTTTGGAAAATTTTTTGGCCAAGCACTAGATATTTTGGAAAATTTTTTGGCCAAGCACTAGATATTTTGGAAAATTTTTTGGCCAAGCACTAGATATTTTGGAAAATTTTTTCGCCAAGCACTAGATATTGTTCAAAAATTTTTCGCCAAGGACTAGATATTTTGGAAAATTTTTTCGCCAAGCACTAGATATTCAAAATTTTTTCGCCAAGGACTAGATATTATGGAAAATTTTTTGGCCAAGCACTAGATATTTTGGAAAATTTTTTGGCCAAGCACTAGATATTTTGGAAAATTTTTTGGCCAAGCACTAGATATTTTGGAAAATTTTTTCGCCAAGCACTAGATATTATTCAAAAATTTTTCGCCAAGGACTAGATATTTTGGAAAATTTTTTGGCCAAGCACTAGATATTTTGGAAAATTTTTTCGCCAAGCACTAGATATTGTTCAAAAATTTTTCGCCAAGGACTAGATATTTTGGAAAATTTTTTCGCCAAGCACTAGATATTCAAAATTTTTTCGCCAAGGACTAGATATTATGGAAAATTTTTTGGCCAAGCACTAGATATTTTGGAAAATTTTTTGGCCAAGCACTAGATATTTTGGAAAATTTTTTGGCCAAGCACTAGATATTGTTCAAAAATTTTTCGCCAAGGACTAGATATTTTGGAAAATTTTTTGGCCAAGCACTAGATATTTTGGAAAATTTTTTCGCCAAGCACTAGATATTCAAAATTTTTTCGCCAAGGACTAGATATTATGGAAAATTTTTTTGGCCAAAAAATGTCCCGGTTTTAGTCAGGACAAATATGGTCACCCTACATCAAAGGCTTCATGCAATTATGTAGGTTACAGTTCACCACATCGTCACCTCTGTCAATGACGGACCATGTTCCTACTCCTGGAATCGCCAAGCCTCGAATTCCATATGAAATCATGTTTGCAATTGGAGGATGGTAAATTTATGAATTATTTCTTCAATTTTCACTGTGTCAGCATTCTTTATTTTTAAAGCATCTAATAAATTTCATAGGTCTGGAGGTGCACCAACGAGTTACATTGAGACGTATGACACGAGGTACATATACATACAATACAATGCCCATAATTTGTTTTCTTTGTTTGCTACGTATGTAATTATATGCATATTGAATGCAATGGTTAATTTTCATTGTTTACTGGTTTCATTAGGGCTGACCGTTGGGTTCGAGTTGAAGAAGTTGATCCCACAGGTACGAAGCACAGCTCCTCCTCAGTTTAATTAGTTTTCTGCATCATCAAGCCACGTATTTATGTCTACTTCAGGACCAAGAGCCTACCACGGGACCGTTGCGATTGGATTTGAAATTTTTGTAATTGGTATGTGGGCTCATGTTGAAATGATACGGTCATTAAGTTATTCAACGAATAATTTATTCCGCAGGTGGGTTTGATGGAATCGACTACTTTAACTCGTGTCGTGCATTCAACGCTGTTACCAAACAATGGAGAAATGTTGCTGCAATGCATTGCAGAAGATGTTACGTTTCCGTCGCACTAATCCAAACTGACAAAATTTATGCAATGGGTAAACTGTGCAAGTTAATATTTGAAATGTACCTTCTAACTCTGACGAGTTGTATTATTTATGGGTCATCATTATTTTACACGCAGGAGGATACGATGGACACCACAGACAGAACACTTGCGAAAGATATGATCTGAGTCTTAACCAGTGGACGAACGTGTGTCCAATGAATTGTCAACGATCAGACGGTAAACGTACTCTTAATAATTATTTACAGATAGTATCCCACTTTTGATTTTACCAAAATTATTCGTATCAATGAAAAACATTGTGTGTATTAATATATAAATGTGTGTATTATTTGTAATATATTTTCATAGTGTAATACTCAAAGTGCTCAAGTTCGGTTAATAGGAGAGAAAACATTTTCTATATGTTTTTGACGATCGTAGACATGGCTCACGACTTGTTCAGCACTGACAAATTATGTTTGAATTTCCTATTGTCGGACGATTAATCCTTGTTTCGGGATTGTCGTGTCTAGAGGCATTTTGTCTCTTGCCCTGGGATAGGAAATATTCTCCCATTTCAAACTATTCGTATCAAGACTTGGTATTTCATTCGATACGGTATTTTTCCAGCTTCTGCCACTTCCATCAATGATAAGATCTACATATGTGGAGGATTCAATGGGATCGAGTGTCTCAACTCATGTGAGTGTTACAGTCCGGACACAAATCAGTGGACGACGATTGCTTCCATGCGACACAGGCGATCCGGAGTGGCTTGTGTTTCGTATCACAACTTTCTCTACGTCATTGGGGGATTTAACGGCATTTCCAGGATGGCCAGCGGAGAAAAATACAATCCGGAAAACAAGTCAGTTGACTCCATTGCTTATTATTTTTATAAAATGCGAGAAATTTTCGAAATTAGAACATTTAAATTTTTAAAAAAACAATAATCGTACAGCTCGTGGACAATAATTCCTGACATGTACAATCCCCGAAGGTAAGGTGCCCTTGTTATTCACCAAGTACGGTACATTAATGAGGAGTAAAGGTTGTGTTATATTAGTTTGAGTATGATAGTTTGATTTGTAGACTACAAATTGTAGATTTACTTTAGTAAACTAGTGAATAAACTCTAGTGAATAAACAGTTCCAGTGGTAATGGGAGGAGTTGTGTATAAAGTTGAGCAAAACGTGGTACAATTTTTGTTTGGAATTTCTGGAGGCAGTTAAAAATTGAAACGATTACAAATTGGGCTCATACATATTTGGAAAAGTATAATATACTTTTCCAATATACTTTCCATTATATTATAATGTTCATATGACCACTCACTCCTATAATAAATACCGGATACTTGGAAATCTGATTATTGACAGTTCTACCCTTTCAAACCTATTTAACACAACCTTTCTTCCTTTGCTGAATTAGTTGTGACAACTGACCTTTGTTTTTCTGTATGTGCAATCCCCAAAGTAACTTTGCTATCGAAGTAATTGATGAACTGCTGTTCTGTATTGGGGGTAATATGTCAATCAATCGAATATAAGGTGACATTTTCGTAGTTTGACCTTGTCCATGCTCAGGGTTCACTGGGACTTCCACGACATACAATGTGGAGTGCTATGACGAGAGAACGAATGAGTGGTACGAGGCTACAGATATGAATATTTTTCGCTCAGCTTTATCCGCTTGTGTAATGGTAATTAAGCCCGAATTTCAAGTGATATGTTCCGGATTACATATATTCAATGTGATATATAAGAATTGCACTGACTTCCTTCCAGACCGGACTCCCAAACATTTACGACTTTATTCATCAACACAGGGATCGTCTCATGGAAGAGAAACGCCAAAAGCTGATTGCAATGCAACAACCCCAACTCTCACCTATTGAAGTTGCAGTTGCGGTCACGCCGCCGCCATTCTAATAACCTTACTGAAAAATATAGGAGCCTTTGACTACTGGTCAAATTTCATTACGACCAGAACGAGGACCTACTTAATTGTGCAAAGTGATATCGCCCACCATCATCATTATCCTTGTCTTTCCAATAATTGCCTCAAAATTGTAAGTAACATTACCAAATCAAAAAGTAATATATGATGATAAAATCGGTCAATAGTAAAATTGCATATTAATTTATTATCTTACTCTCTCCGCTTGATCGTAAATTCCAAACAAGTACACATTCGTTTACCGATATTTCATTATAAAAATAGTTGCAAGGCAAATGAGACTAGAAATGACATCCTCTCCGTGAAAATGGACTAAATATTCTTATAAAACAATCTGCATAATAGATATATATGTATAGGTATATTATATTCGGTATTATGATGGCCAACAACAATCAGCTCCACAAATCGTTTGTTAAAAACGAATTGCTTATAATGTTAGCTGGTAAAATGTTGAGTTTCCTCACACTTTCTGCATAGTGCATCATTTCTGAAGTTACGACACTGTAAAGAGCAAAACCTTTCATGTAATTCAGGTTGAATTATTGCATTATTAAAGCTTTGCGCCGCGTCGAATTTATACATATGAAATTACCCTTGACGAGGACCCCCATCCTTACGAATTCCTAAATCTGCGATTCTTTCTTTTAGTTTTGTTCGGAAAACTTTATCAATTTTAATAAAGAGCTGAGAAATCTGAAAACAAAAACGAAGTACGAATAGAAAAAAAAACACTACAAGCCCTTGCAATTTATACAACCAGCAGTGACATACCTGTTTCTCATCTAAAACGGCTCCAATAGCTTCTCTAAATTTAACGATATTTCTGGAAACATTATTAATAGGTGTGGATGGTACAGGTGGACGAGCTTCCCATGCATTTAGTTCAGCATTAATGACATCTTCCATAATTGAAACCATTTTGTTTTCCACTGATTCTGCATGTCGACAATATTCTTGATGCACAGCACTAATTTGTTTTAACTGCAAAACATGGAATAAATAGTGTATAATTACAATTTTATTAATGCCGCAAAATAAAATAAATCATTTTTATTAACGTACGTACCACATGCTGGCTCTTGGCAGACACTAAATTTGAGTCAAATATGTCTTTGACTTCTGCCACGGACTCTGCGATTAAGTGAAGTCCTCTTAAAACTATTACAAGAATAGTGACCGTTATGGATTTGCAAACTTTTAGTTCCACAGCTCCAGCCCCCAGAATAAGATGATTAACTCGATTGTTGGCAACTCGAAGTAGTTCTACAACCCCAAGTACGACTTCCGCAGTTCCAGTTACCACAAAGAGTTGACAGTATTCAACTATTGCATCCAAAAGCAAATAGAATACTTCTGCCGTAAAAACTGTTCCTTCATCACATCCATTTATCACAGATTCTCTACCACCGTTGGGGACCAAATCAGCAACAGTATTAGCATTATTATTATTTGTCAGGGTCAAGGCAGCATCATCTTTACTTTGGGATTCCGAGAGGAGGGTTCTAGTTTCTAATATTCGCTTGATTTTTACACTTGGCCAAATTTTTTTCACTTTGTCTTCGTTGGCCACTTTCCACTTTTCACGATCCAGAGCTGCATTCATACTTTCGATTTGTTTTCCGTGAAAGTTTCTCACAAACTCTGTAATTTGTACTTTCATTTCCAATACACATTTAAACTTGAATGACTTTGTCACATTAGGATGCAAGGAGTTGGCAAATTTCTCCAACTGCGACGTAAATGTTTTGACAACCTACAGTGTTTAAAATTAGACATGTGAAATGTGAACTCTTTAATAGTAGTAGTACATAGCGCATAGTAATAAATACCTGCAAGGTGGGTAAAACTTCATTGCGAATTAAATAAGTTTTTCGATATCGTAGCATTCCAGTAAACTTTTCATCCGCATTATCGGTAGTCTTTTCCAATTGAGTTGCCAGTTCGGTGGAAAAATTATTATACAACTCTTCGGATATTAATGTCTCGTCATTATCGGACCTATAAATGTTGTAGATGGAATTATACTTCATGTGCACGCTATCTAACAATTTAATTTAATACATGAGTTTAGAATATTCGATTATTTTATATCATACATGTAAGTTCCAGCGACATCACTGGAAGACCTCCCAATGGCAGAGTCAGCACAGCTTTGGAATAATAAAATCACATCCTGAAAAGAAACCAATTCTATTTTGTAGATATTCCTGAAGAGGTGAGTTTGACAGCATGGTACACTTACACGCATATGTTCCATAAAAATCACCAAGCGATCACCAAGTTGAGTTATCATTTTGATCCATAGTTCGGAGGGTAAATGAACAATCCCTTGTAACATGGAGTTGCTATTTATAAGCGAATCAGATTTTGAGTCTGATTCCGAAATCTGAAAAAAAATAGTTTATCATACTTTTCAATCCTAGGAATAGTGATGTATTAGATAAAAAAAATATGCCAAGGGGCAAACTATGGTCTAACCTAAATTAAATTAAATCATAGTTTATCAATGTTTATTTATGTTAATAAATAAATATTAATAATAAAATCAAAGTTTACTTTCAACAATTAACTTTACCTTACCGCTTCAATTAAAGTTTGTTTGCAGGTTGTAGTCATCGCCGTACTCAATTCCTTTGCCAGCACGCTTACAATAGCAGCTGTATTTTTCGAAAAATTTTAATTAGATTAAAATAAAAACATACATGGTTTGGTTATGTAACGGTGTCAACGATCAAGTGTATACGGATAGAAATCTATCATTTTTCTATCGTCGTACTGCATTCAATCAATGCAGTACGACAGTCGGAAACTCAATCGGCACAGGCTTGGTTGGAGAAAAGGTAACTTTTGACTAATCCTAAGTTAACCTACATGAGGCTGTGGAATAACTACCCAAGAGATTTCACAAAGGAACAACCCATGAATCAAGGTCCCAGATAATATGATATCGTCCCTGATAATAAGTACTGTGTATGAGATTCTGCCGAGTACTTCCCAAGGAGATCGTAAATTCATGAGCATTCCTTACTGATTGTTGTAACCCCTTCCAATTGGTTAATACTTAATAATGAGTTTTATGCACACAAATTCTGAACATTCTTTAGCTTTCGTACATACATTACATATGTAACTGATGCTATTTTCTAATAATTATTTTGCTTACGTATGATATATATTTTCAGTAGGAACCTATCTATACCTTACCGATTTTTCCCAAGCGGAAATGACCGAAAATAATTGAGATGAGACGATCCTTAAATAGATAAGCAAGATTTTATAATAATTGTATGCTCAGTTTATGCTGCATAAAACCATATAGATCCGTACATACCTTATCACAAAAAACACTAACTTGTTCCACGGGTCTATTTAAGTCTGCAGATAAGTTTCTCTCAAGCTCAGCCCTTAACATTTTTTCAATTGCATTTCGTATTTCCACAAGCTGAGAATCCAAGTGTCTGAAAAATATAAAACAACCATCAGAAACTGAAGTAATAATTGGAACAAATGAAAAACGTGCTATACCTAAACGATATATATCCTTGAAGCTCCTTTATAAGATGATGAGAACATGAAAATAACATAAAGTCAACGTTAGTTTATGAGAAACATGTCTTTTCCTTATTTGTAGCGAGATTTAGGAAAATTAGGCATCAGCTCAGAATAAAGCGTCGCATCGTGATGCATCACAAATATTAAATAGTCTTTGGTTTTCATGCACCTAAGAGTACATTTCACTTGAATTTTTGATTAAAGAAACTTTTTGCACCTTTATCAGTACATCCTGGGTTGTTGATATGAGATCCAACGCACCCACATAATCTGAATTTCCTAGTAATGACTGAATCGCCCTTTGTGCTTGATGAACTGTCGACATTAGTTGCAACTATTGGAAAATATAACAAATTAACGAGAAACACTATCTTAATTTCATCGAAAAGAAGTTTAAGCGTCAAATCACCTTTTGATACAGAAGAGTGTAATTGTCTTTTCTTTTCTGAAGCTTGATGATCGTGAAGGGTGTGATAACGTTTTCATCCTTAATTTCTACCACATCGTTCCTAAAAAATAAATAATTACAATTTTAAATTTACACCCCAGCCACACGAATAATGAATATGATTTATATCATACTTTATCCTCTTCACAACTTCGATGGCATGTGTAACTTTTTCTGCAACTTTGTCTTGTGTAGAAACAGCAGAAAAGAAAGCGGAAGATTTTTTACTGATTTGTTGAGCTGGTGTGAGTGAGAACGACCAGTAGGACATTTTATTAGAAATTCATAGAGCAAAGCTAGATGAAACTCTAATTATAACAGGGGTTATCAAATTAAATGGTTGCTTACCAAGGCCTACCTCCACTAGGTCCAAATAATGACTAAGCTTGTCCTAAAATTCAAAGAATTTTCATGACCAATTTTTCTAACGTGGTGTACTGCATGATTTACCTGTATTAGTTTACTCGGAAGACCACTGCCATCAACGATGAACACTTCACGGAACGTTTCATTATTAGCCAACGAAAATATTTGGCTAAAAAATATTTTTGGAATTGGATTCGCTTCGGTTTTTAACAACTGTGCAGAGTCCTTGAGCCCGAATTGTGGAAATAAAATGTGAGAAGAGTCTTGGCGATGTACAACCGACCCTTGTCCAGTACCGGACGCCTTACGATCACGGTATTTTTTATTTCTCTAAAAGTAAATAGCTTATATGTGGTTTGACAATTGATGAATCAACAGCCAAATCAAGAAATGTTACAATAAATATAGCAAAAATAGGCATACCTTCAATAATTTTTTGTAGTATGTTGCAAAGTAAGAGTTTGGCACATCTTCAAGTAGAGGCGATGGGGGAATCACAGTCTGTTCTACAAAAGCCTCTCCCCACGTCTTTGTAAAGAAATCTTTCTATAAATACAAAATGATTAAAAAGTTAAATTGACAATCGACACCATACATACAACAAATATATTATTGGATTAAAAAATATTACTTGTTTTCCTCTGTTCGGATCGTTAAGAATTGCAGGGAGATTCTGAGAGCATGAGAACACTGACCAGTTGACCACTCCCTGCTCTGAATTCATTGTCGTCAGACGACTGGAGAAGGGACCAACAATAAGTCACCTTCCTCGTTTGCTGTTTGACTTTTGAGCAGCAGAAGGTTGACATCCACCCCTATTTTGTAATTTATTTATCAGGCACTGCACTGGACGACAAAGCCCATGTTTTCTTAGCTAGGCGGTACTGGACTAGTCCTTGAAGATAACTAATAATTTGCAATTATCAGCTTGTTACATATAAATTAATAAAGTGTATTAAAATGTGTCACGTCATATGTAGTCGTTATTGATTGAACGAGGAGAGATTGAGATGGACGGTACTTCAACATCTGCGAGGCTTGCTAATAGCAAATTGCTATCCAAATTAAATACGACCAAAAACTGATACAGAATTTAAGACGACTCCTGAAATCGGGCAGCTAATTCTAAAAGTTAATTAAAATATTTTCTAACAAGATTGGAATGTTTGTGCAAATACAGTAAGTATAGTAAGTCATCGCAGGTTGCAATTCCCGCATCGGTAAGGGTACTGTGAGACAACTTTCACCTACTTTCTCCGCATATTTGTGGCATATGGAGAAAGCCGGCAGTTATTTGATGTGATTTATCTTGATGGCTTATTCGTCGTTTATTCATCTTCTACTTTGTTCCGTCATTAATGATGTAAAAAATCAGTATAAAATTTACAAATACATCAAATCGAAAGCTATGCATTACTCGATAAGTTTCAAGGTCTGGTTTCTTATGCATGAGGTTACTTTTCTTTTGAGATTAAAAATAGCCAAGCATTAGCATAACAAGTAAGTACATTGATGGAGCTAGTGTTTTTCTTCTACTTCTCGTGGGTGGATCTGGCTGATGGGGAAGACGGATGGGGTAAGTCGGTTAAAACTGCATCTGGCAATTTAGAGAATGGGAGAAGGGTGGAATTCTTCCCTTTTTGTGAAGCTATGTGTGCGAAAGGAGAAGAAGACGGCAAGGAAGAAGGGGAGAAAGTAGCCAAAACGGTATTTAGCTCAACCTGACCAAGTGGTGAACCAAACAGTCAGCTCTGCTCCCTCAGTCTCTCTCCAAGTCCAGGCGGCGGTATATAAGCCCACTTTCTCTTCGCCTTGTCTCATCAATCCTACAGTTCTAGCAGACGCCAAGAGCATCCATTAATTTCAGAAACGAGGTTTAACATTATCCTACACCGCTAATATTCCATTCAGTCTCAAACTCATATAAAATTAAGTCAGCGAAAGTTGGCAAAAAAATAGCAAGGATCACTTTGCCCCAGGAGATTGAATTGATAAGGACTCCCCTTCTGCCCTTTTCGTATATATAAACTGTGACCAAAGGAACTCCAGCTCTCCAGAAGTAAGTCGAGGCTATCAGTAGTAAGTAGAAAAAACTTATACTCTTTATTAGCACAACTAATGCTGCACAAGTTTTATTCATATTCCAAGTTTTAAAATCTAATCCAGTCGCAGCTAATCCAACTTTGCAGTAAAAAATACTTGTGAATTGCTTACTACGAAATAAGAGTTTGATCAAAATTAAGAAAGTTAGGTATGCAAAGGTTGCTTAAAAGTTATTTTTGTAATTGTGAAATATTAGCCACGTAGAAAAGTCTCGAGAAAAAGTTTGACATAAGCATCGAGGATGTAATTGGACAATTAGATTGTGTGCAATTCGACCAAAATTATTGGGTAATTATAAGTTTGTCGCAATGACATGTAGTAATTTTCACACCCCGTCCCCGTCTGCGGAGAAACTATACTGATTGCCTGCGACGTAGAAATGCTACAAACATTTTTAGACCGACCAACAAATCAGGTCAGGCCTTTGCTCATGTAAAAGTTGTTGATCTCACTCTTAAAAGCTGTGGCTAATTGGACCTCAAACTGGTTTTGGGCTGTTGTCAAATGTGCACTTAATTCACCCCTTCTGCGTCTCTCGCTCCGAGAGAATCAAGGAAAGTAATGAGTGAGATGGGGAATGACAAAGTGTTGGAATTGATTCTATACATGCATACGTGCACAAGTTCCTCTTTCTCTCTGTATTACACGCGAAACGTAGTTAATAAATCAATTTATTTTGGTTCATTTTACTCTCTGATGTAGAATACGGCATTATTTATTAGTCTGGCTGGGTTCGAGTGATTGCCTCATCTTGCCATTAATGATCCTGGTGAACAATCTCGACTTTATCTGAACAAATAAAATAAATCCGACTAGATATTTACATCTTTGCAACTTTGTACAGCCTAATATATAATTCTCAATGTGCCCCCGACCCAACGTCTCACTTTATCTAAGGTTGAGGTTCTCCTATGAATGAGTTTAACTAACTAACTAAACTAACCAAAACAATTTTAATTTTTTTAACTCACTTGCATCTTTTGTGAGCTCTATATTAATTTACACATTGGAACGAACTTATCTGCTATATTTCATAACCTTCGAAGGTTGTGAGATTGTTGAAGAAGCTTTTTTTGTAATTCTCGCTAGGCTTTGTTTATAAAGGGATGAAAAACTTTGTTCATCAACATAAATTGAAACAAATGTTGCGTAGGCTTGAATCTCACCATTGATTTCACAAATAAGCGTGGGCTCTTTGTCAAATACGGCATAACAAGTAGTTTGGTGTCGACGATGCCACAAACTATGATTCATTGTGAACCTTGCAAACTGTTGCTTGCTTAAAGTGAATTTGAGATTGCGTCTCTTTCACATGTCTCATCCATCCATCCGTCGTTGGTGGTTATTACTATTTTACTATCCCACTTCATATTTATTGAAGTGTTGGTTAGGTTAAACTTTCCTTCTATTTGTACTAAAGTAGCCTTCAAACTGGCAATTTAGCACGTACGGTATTCACATTTGGTCCAACTCTCAAGCTCGAACAGTGTGTAATTGAATAGGGAGAAACTGTAGTCGTCAGAAATATCAGAATTGGAACAGAAGTTTATGATGAATTTGGGCTTAAAAGCTTATCGAAACAAGCGAATCAACAAGAAGCTTATTCAGTTCTTACTTTATCTTTCATGACGCTATTTCTATCAAATTGCTCTTTTTATGCAAGCTGTAAAATCATTTCTCGTTAAATACGAGCAAGTACATATGCCAACAACTTTCTCAGCACACGTCTTCAAGTGCGATCTTGAATTGTCCTAGTTCTCCAGAATCTCAAGAGGACTACAAATTTGGGCTGCACAGAGTTGTAAAAGGAAGGTGAATACATAATGTGGAACCTCCCTCATTAAATTTTAGGATTAAATATTTCAAGTACAAAATACATTGACACTTTCAATGAAGGCTCTTTTAACTAAAGGCGAGAAGGAAAGCGGAAGAGTTCGTTGGTCGCTAAAACTTGAGTTCTTTTTCTTCATCCGACATAATCCTGAAGAAATACTGTTTTCTTTCAATTCAAATCCAATTATAATTTTCTCGTCTCCAACCAAGAAGCACGTATTGCATTGCTAGTCACCAAGAAGTAAAAGTATAAGCAACAGCAGAATATACGTAGGAAGGAGACGTCAATTGCTATATCTCATTCTTTGTACCAACCTGATCGGCGTTCATTGAAGTTGGTTCAACAACTTGAGATGTGCTGTTTCATAAATTAAAATCCGATTTTCATCATCTGCTTTCATTTTCGAGAGCAGTTTTTAATTACTTCTCAAAATTCTCTTTTTCTACCGTTTTCCAGCTCGTAAACTCATAAAATGAGAATAAATGAATTTGACAGCCTTGTCTCACTCAAAAGCTACTTGGTCAACAAGTTACGTAGTATAGTATAGTAATTGCCTTTTGAAAACGTATCCTGACAGAAAAAGGCATTTTCCGGTGTCAGGTTTGTTCTTATACGATATTAATACCTGTTGTTATTAAGTAAATACATACGTCAAGACCTACTATTTAAATATTACTTAGCAAGATTACCTTGTGACATCCGTGGTGGACGGCTGCGAATAAATGTATGTAATCTACTCTGAGACGTAGTTTTCACATTTGAAACTATTCCCCCAAATCATTAATCGAATGACAAAGTTAGAAAGTTAAGGAGCAAAATTAGCAAGCCTCATTATTCATGTCATCATATCTACCCCGTCTTTGGTGCTCCTAATTGATTGCGACAAACAAAGTAAGAATGTGTTTAGGATAATGGTGGTTTGGTGAGCGTGGTGGGTGACGCGTTTTGTCTAATGTAATCAGTTCACGAGTGAGTGAGGGAAAATCACATAATCGAGTCAATTAATTCCACAGGAACGACGACTAGGCGATGGCAGAACAAAATATGGCCACAATGCAGAAGGGACAGTTGTGCTGGTGGGCGACTCTAGTGGTGACGATGGCAGTTTTTGCCTTCATCTCCTCCGCAAATGCAGATCTGGGAGGTCGTCACACGTGGGAGCGGCCTGGATGTCATCTTTTGGGTATGTGCTCATCATACATATGTAGCAGTCCATACTATTAGTTCTGGACTATGCGTTTCCTGATATTATTTACTATGCCTGGATGTTTTATTTGGCAATGTTTAGTACTGATTCGCGTCTTGATTTGTACATATTTGCGAATTGCAAGACTTTCACCTGAAAAGATGAAATGAGAATGGGGCTACTTGATACATTCAAGTGTATTTGGATTGGAGAAATCACAAGCAATTAATTTTAGGTATTTATACTGAACTAAACATAATAAAGAGCAGCCAGCCGCAGGGATTGCACATTGCAACATTTCATTGTCTCTGTTCAATTGAAAGTAGATGATTGGCCTAATCTCGTTTCCTTCATTCCGTTTAAAGTGACTTTCAATCACATTTTATATACTTTGCACTCAACCGGGATTAGTTTTCCCAACAGCAGCTCATCACAAATTCATGGAAGTTCACATCTATACTTACATACGATGTCTGCGCTAGAAATTTCTCCTTAATCCTCTCTCCCATGAGTCTCATTTCGTTGAGACGCAAATTCTTTCTCGAGCACGAGTTTACTAAAATTCCAAATTCTGACGACACGATCACAACTTTCATAAAACATTACCCGTCTCCACCTCCTCGCCTCGTCGTGTAGTGGGTGAGAGTGAAGGATCATTGATTCTAGTGTAGTAAGTAGTTTCTCATCACATCCCATTAGCACATGTATCACTTCCCAGACAGCTTTATAACATGAGCATCATAAGATGATCATCTCTCAAACTCTCTTGGTGAATATTTTCACATACGTATTTTACTTAATACTGTGATCTCCGCGATGCAATATTTGCCTTCCTTTTTACATAGCATACAGTGTCAGTATTATGCATACATACATGCATCTCATTGTCAGCTCACAGTAGTGCTCGGCCAGTAGCACGTTTCAAGAACTTTATTCCTTTATCCTGAATAATGTTGAGCGATTTCTTGTCAAAATGTTCTCCTCTTGTCTTGAACCTTCTCGTCGTGATTTATATCAAAAACTGAGGGGCTTGGATGAACCCGCTTCGAATGAAATGTTAGTTCAAACGAAGCTTTCAAAGGTTTGATTAGAATGTTGTAAAGAACATTTATTAGTCTTGAAGTTTAACTTCGTTTGAAGACAAGGAGAAGAGCATAGCATTGTGAGATTATTCCTAGCATATGGAATGTACAAACGTATGTATGTAAGTATGTCTCAAGCTGTAGGAGATGCTGCTATGAAATTCTATGATGTTTTATTCTTCTTGACTACTAATGAAAGCAATGTGCGTGAAAAGTTGAAAGTTGACCTCGCGTAATACATATGTCAAGGTGGGCGTGATAAAATTGTGAATACTATTAAAAGTCTCAATTTGCGTTTGAACACAAATCTCGCTAAACCGTTGGTCAGATCATCACTTGCAAAAGATAATGAATTCTGACATGTTTCATGATATTTCGTTGAGAATGATACTAATCCGTTTGCCCTTCACTAACCAATTCTCATTTCAGGACATACGAGGAAAGTAACAATCCCGGAATGTGTGGATTTTACAATTACAACTAATGTACATATAATTCCAAATTAAACACAATTTAATCCAACGCTACATATCGTCGCTGTTCGTGTAACAGTTATCGCCCTTAAAACCAACTGGAAAGAAAAGTTGTCCGATGAAAATGGGGGAAATAAAAGACGTGTCTCGTGACAGGTTATGTTCAGTTATGGAGTCGCACATATCCCCTAAATTGATTTGATAACTTTTGAACATACAGTGACGATATGTGCTTTTACATTTGAGCATGTTAATTAAATACATGTATGTATATACGTATTACAGGCCTGTCGGGGTTACTGTGAATCATTCGCAGGTAATTGATCAGTTCAAACGACGATAGAAAATTACTCGATTCTAACTCTCCAGCTAATAAAAAATATGTATTTTACTTTTCGCCTGTTTCATAACTGCAGTCCCTTCAGCATGGTATCGCCTCCAAAACAACCCTTCCCAATCAATTACGTCGGTTGGACAATGCTGTTCAATCATGGTTTGTAAACTTATTTATTATTAGAAGAAAATAGCTAACTTGACTAATCCTAAGATCTCATCTTACGCCGTGTATGTGTGACGTGAAATCAACGTATTCAGTCAGTACTGACAACCGCAATGATATATGTAAAGACCAGTGTATGTATTTACATAGTATCAAAGTCATGAGTTGTGCAGATACAAGAATAAAAATATCTTGGTTTACATCTAAAATTGATTTTCTTCATAAATACGTACATATTTTTGATACTTTGCTCCTCGTGACTGAGTTACACGTCACATATAAGTCGAATATTTGCACATGTGGAGCGCAAAGTAAAATTGAGAGAACTAAAATTCAATGCTTGCTTTGATTTCAGGAAACCGAGGATGTCACCGTGAACGTGATTTGTGTTGACGGACCTCGAGAGCTGGTCTTTAAATCAGCCAAATCTTGCTCCTGTTATCATTGTAAAAAGGACTAGGTGCTGATGGTGACACAATGGACTAGGAAGGTTATTAGCACGCTTAATTGGAAAGTTATTGGCACTCTAAATTGGAAATATATTGCACATTACTGTTCTTGCGGTCGTTTAATTATTGCTGATTCCTTCACCTTTCACAATTATCTACGCCAAATTACAGAAAAAACTCAATTTAAAAAATCGTACAGAGTTTGACTCGGAACTAAATTATAATCAAGTAGCAGTATATTCAAGGCAAATTATTTGATGTTGATAAATTATTCGAAATAAGGACGCTTCAATTGAAATACTAGATATTTTGTGTCATATTCTTGCATTGTCATTTTCAGGTTTAAATGTTGATTTTGCTCTCCGAAAACGTTTGGAAATAAGTAAACTTATGTTTTGCGCTTTCACTTTCACTTTCAGCTTTACCAGGTTTATCGTAAAGCCATCCTATTATGTATATAGTTTACTAAATATGTAGTATGTGTGTATTTACTTCTCTTCCTCTGTCTGCCAATCAAAGTTTTGGCTGTCTAAATCCTGTTCTGATAAACCCGCAGGTACATAATACATAGGCATGTCTTATCACTTTCACTCCAGCACCGAAGTGGTGGCGAGTGAGTCTGCAGAGTGCTTATTTATATACGCATTTTCATGTGATTGTCTTGTTTCAGTAGATGTATTTAAATGTCGTCATTACATTGTATCTACCAGTTCTCTTATCCATGTACCTTGAACATTAGTCAACACTTTGGTGTGTGTATACGTGTATGTAGTAGTGTCGTAGGTAAGACTCACATAATTATTATTGATGAATTCGTCACCCAATCCGTGCGTTTAGCAGCAGGAGCAAGTACTATTTCAAATCATTTGGCATTACACCCACGCGCATATGTAAATATATTGGTACTAAACCTGTCATAAATTATTTACTCAAATGCGTTAGTATTCTCAACAACGATATTAATGTAAAACGGCTAGTGTAATGTATGTAAATATAAATCCAAATTAAAAATTTTAATGTATTTACTCTACATGAAAATGTACTCCCACATATTAAACATGTATATGTATATGTCTATATGTATTGCAGGTACTGTTTTATTTAGTGAAATAAAATTTGTTTTTGACGGAAACTTTCAGCATCCCAAATATGTGCATAGCATTGTTTTACTACAAATGAGATTGTGCTAATTGTTATTGAAATCATACGTATATTGATAGACGTCCATGTTCTTTTTCCCTTCGCAATATCCCATTGCTTCAGATTCAAACCCCCAAGGTTCCTCATGACGAAGGGAAGTCACATATTAATATTTTTCCATTAAAACGTCCAATCCAGAGAACATCCCATGTACATAACTCGTTGGAAAGAGTGAAAGCTCCGTACACATTGTGAGAACTGAGGAGAAATGAAACTGCCGTGGGGGGTGAAAGTTCATCAACGTGGTGGATGGAATGCGGAAGGTGAATACATATTTCACATTTAATTATTTCGATTCAACCCACTTATCACCTCTCCCCGATTTTTGAAGGAGGTATGAAGGTTGTCTAATTGAGTCTGCTTCACTTCCTACTGGCAGAACAGTACACATTTCTACTCTGTTCGCATTCCATGGGGTAACGAAATGTCAGCGGATAAAATCCGTTTCTCGTGGGCGTCAAACCCGGATTACCCATACATGGCATTTCTCTGAGGGGGCTTTGTTTAAGCCGGACAGGGTTGTGCTCAACAAGGCAAAATCGCAGTTGAAAGAACATAAAAGGATTGTGATTTTAAATAAGTTGGTTAATAATTCGAGAAACAGAGCTATTTCATGACGTACTAATGCATACATACCTAAGTATGGTCGCTTACGTATAAGTATGCAATACATTTTTTCAGGATTGGGGGAAGTTGAGACTTTCTGAAAGAAGAAACATACATAGCTTAGCCTTGAAGAAACTATAATCTTGTGCATGAATGCAGAAAGAAAAATGCATTGTGTTGGAAGAAAGCAAATATGTGTGCACTGAAATATATATAAAACGACCATGATGGATGAATCATAGAGACGGAGGAGGAGTGAAGAAAGTCTGTATCACAGAGTAAAGTAGAAGGCCATGCAAAAATGAGACGTGTGACTTGGAATAAAATTGTGTGAATTTACCAATGTTTGGAGCATTTTTTTATTAAAAGTTTCTCATTAAATAGGTTACATATATTTCGTCACTATTCATATCTGGAAATATAACAATTTGCTGATCCAATCCCACAACAAGTAATAAAATTATATTGTATTTCTATTACGTTTGTGCCTCAATTGTGCCACGAAAGGAATGCATTTGACCGAGGATAGCCATCTACAACATTTATTAAGTCAAGCATTCTAAATATCCCATAGTTTGGAATGCACATACTACAGATGAAGCGGCCTAACAATAGCAATGTCGTATTAATATTTCCATTGATTAAACCGTGTAAATGGTTTTAAAAGTGGGCAAGGATGACAGATTTTGAAATTTTTCTATTACTGGGATGAGAAGCACTAAGCTATTTAGTACATACTTCACATATACATAAGTACACAGGTATATATGTAGACAAGGAGTACGATAGAGAGGAGAACAAATTCCAATAATAATTTTGTCAACAGTGATTTAATTGTCGTCATTACATAAATTCACACCTAAATTTCTGCAGCACCATTATGATGTCATATAATAATGAGATTACATGTATCGAGGACAGCTTATGGTGCTGGACCACCAGACCCAGATCGAACTCCACGATATCTCAACCCCTCACAACTAGCCACAGAAGATTTGCACACCGAGCAGAGACAAGTTTCAGCTTCTTCATAGTCATATCTGTGGAGAGAAAGTGGGTAATTTTCCATCTTTCAAATACCTACTTAACAAAGATTGGGAACTAATCCTAAATATGTATGTGTGCAAATACCGTTCAGTTCCAGGTTGCACATCAGCATCGCAATTCTTCAAAATTGCAGAGTTTGGTTTCCGAGAGCCGTAGAGGCAAACTGGGTGGTGACTCTTTTTGTAAGGAAACCGAAAATCTGGAATCTAAATAGAAACAAAAGATAAATGGAGAACAAAGTTGGTAAAGTGGCACTTGTTCAATTAGGGAGCACTCCACAAAACTTGTACATTAAAGCTCTGACCAATTTTGTTCGCCGTTGGGGGCGAGAGAGATGATGAAGGGAAAGAAAAGACAAAGCCTTATTACCTCATTGGAATCGCATCGACCCCAGCTGTAAATATAGTGCAATACAAAAGAATGACGTAGCCTGAATGTTCTGTAAAAATCAGCCCCAATTTATGTATATATTACCATGCAAAAAGTTTGACGTTGTCCCAACACGTTTTCCCGTTGGCGTCCGTTTTTGTAACCTGCACACATAAATGCACAGTTGACAGTTGTTGTAATATGACAATTTCAAATGAACGAATAATAATATCAACGAAAAGGAGTGCACACCTTGTATGAGTACAATCGTCGGTGACAGTTCAAAGTTGTTGCAGGGTCCACGGATCCTGTTCCAAGAATGGTCAAACCATCTTCTTCGCTCAAGGGTGGGCTCATATCATCCCCCAAGGAACCCAAGGACAAGGACGCCAACAGGTCATCCTGGTCAGCAGTCGCCTGTAGCTCCCAAATTAGTGAGATGATAAGCAGTGACGTAACCCCAGGCCAGATCATTGTGTCGTAGTGATCTTTTAATTCTTTGGTTGCACGTTGAGCAAGTTAAAGGTGAAAGGGGAAATTGAGACAGAGAAAGCTATTCTGGAGCCGGAACTGTCTCTCTACTCTGGGCTCAACAAGTGGAGAATAGCTCTTTGGCGTCCACTTTCCCTGCCTTTTATATTTTCTTTGAAACTGGAACGGGTACCCCTGCCTATTTACTCCCTTCTCCTGCATGCCCAGCCAGACAGACCAAACTATCGGGGATTTCAAGTCTGCTGCTGCTTGCTCCAAAGAAACGCGAATGACGCAGGTCGAACTGGTTCTGGTTTGCTCTTGTTGCAAATCGCACAAAAAATAACAATTTCAGCTAATACGATGAGAAATAGGGAAAGTTTTTCTCCACCAACACCCTCGCACAGTTTATGCTAAATATTTATTTAGGAAATTGATGTTGTGGAGAAACTCAGTAATGCAGTATCGAGTTGTTCTGATTCAAGAGTAGGTCCAGCAAGGCAAACTTCCAACAATTTCCGAAATGTATTTCACTTTATTATGACCTATTATTATAAGTATAGTATTATAGTTTAGGAAATTATAAGTGGTAAAATAAGACTATGTCAATAAATAAAGTAATTCTTGAACATCATGGAGGAGATACATAATCCGACTACACTAATGCATTGCAAATTCGGAAAACTATTTGCAAAAAATATGTATCTTATCTGACTAAAATTATCTAATATGTATGTATACAAAGTTTGTACTCAAGTGTAAAATTATATCAATATTTGAAAATATATAGTTGCATCACATACTCGTCACACTAGTACAAACGCATATGGTCAGTCTTAAAATATTGTTGAAATTAATCATTTCGCACCAAGGTCTCACTTGAGGGTTTCATTTGAGCTTGAGATTTATCGTTGAGCATCATTTCCTCAATTTGTTTGCTACTCCAGTAACAAAGACCGCAAGAATCACAAATGTAAAGAAATTCGTCAATATAGGAATCCAAAAGATGAGGATTGATTCGATTGATTTCAATTTGTTTTCCTGTAGTATGACGTGCAAAAAATTGCAACACAACAAAATTCAGATAGCGATACTTAATTATAATATTGCAAATTGTGAAATACTGAAAAATGAATACCTGACGGAGTAAATGCAATAGGCGTCATCCTGTTTTCGGATCCTTTGATGACAATGTCTTTCTCAGGACGTAGACACCATCTCCTCAATGCATCGTCTACACAAATAATCATTTCCAATGGAGGTCTATGAACTACAGACGACAAGGCATCGTCCGTTAACATCTTTGATTTTTTATAACCCCGACGCTGAACAAGTTTATGTATGAATTCTTTTGACGCTTTGATGAACACGTTATTATTGCAGAACTAACCAAATGAATAAATTCAATTAATCAAGTACTTGAGACTCTAATATTGTACTCTCCACTTACAAAGCATATTCTGTGACAATCGCTTGGGTGAATAGCAATTTTAAAGTAATCCAAGACTTCGATAATTTGGTCCGTGTAAAGATTTGAATTTACATAAGTAACTTGGTCAGTCGATAACACCGAAAGCAACTGAGATCATACCAAAATACATTCATTAAATAATTGATCAATTATAAGTGCAGCCTTTATTATTGAAAATGATATTACGTCATTGTACTGGTTTTTGCCTCGAGTAATTACAACTGTCCCAGTAGATTTAGAAAGTCGACTGGGATATAATGCATCCACAGAATTCCTCTCTTTGATGAAAGTTTTCAATCCGAAACTCCGCAACAATTTTCCAAGACCTTAATATTAAGAATATTTAATAGATACATACCTAAATGCTGTATAGCCCCGTATCTGTAATAGTGACGGAACTTGGAACATATATATGTATGCATGTTTACCCTCTAGCATGGTATCACACACGATTTCAACAGTCTCAACTGTCCTCGTAGCAGGATTGTTCGTTGACTCATTCGCATCAGTCGACCACGCTCTGGACCAATTTTGCATTTTATTAGAAAATACTGAATGAATGATTTCAATGGGGGCCCGTAATTTTCGACATTTTTGGGCATCCAAAGTCTGAGTTTGAGTGGCTTTGATAAAATCATTCAGTCCAATTGGGGTTATTTTATCTCCTTCGGTGATGACATTAACTGTATTGTATATAAATTAATTCATAAAATACTTAGAAATAATCCTATTCACAGTAATCCAATTCAAATTGTAACATACAAATCTCTAAAAGACAATAAGCGTCCGTAGCAGCATAGGAAATCTGAGATTGTCGCAAGGGTCTTCTTTCCCAGTTAGAAAACTGCTCACCCTTATTCAAACTCTTTGCAAGACATATCTGCACCAACTATATTTTGCATTATCAAAAATTGCGCTAATCCATCGAAAAGTCATGCACCTTATGCTATCGTTAACATCATATTTAATACCTCACTTAATCCACGATCTGTAGATCGAGCATTTGAAAAGGGGAAAAAATTTGAGCGTCGTCTAAGAATATCCATTTGTAAAGTCTTCAAATCGAGGATGCCTTTCGACATTGATTTCAGATTACACCAGTGTTCAGACACTGGGCTTAACATTTTGAAATCGTTATTGATGTCGTATCCAAGTTTTATGATTTTCTAAACCAATGGATTAATAATAATTTATGTACTTTTAATTAATTATTAGAAAAAATACTAACCTCACAAGCGAAAAAATCAGATAACATAGTTTCAAAAGGATTTGGAGTGCTGGTAACTTGAATAGTCGTTCTCAATGTAAATAGATCGATGAGAAATATTTGCCTTTCAAATGCAAGTTGAAGCACTGCAGCAGTCGTCGATCGGCACGGGTGCCATTCTGAATCCACACCTACTAACACGGGATTTTTACTCGCCAATTCTTGTTTGATGTGTTGCATGAATAAGTTGAAATCATCCAAGCAAGACACAATTTTGATGTGAATTTGCGACGGAATAGAGTAGTTCAAATTGCTTGTATTATTTGTGGAAATAGTGTCAGCAGTATGTTGGTTTTCATCGTTCGATGGTCCTGCAATACGGCTGCTGTCAGTGTGCTGAGTTGGTGTACCTGTGATACAAAAAAGTGCATGTATTTTTATGTCACAAAAATTGTTTTTTTTCGTATTTAACCTTACGAAAGATAGATTGCGTTGAGCTAGATGTCTCGACTTCCCAATCTTCATCTATTATCGTCATTTGTGGTCCATTTTTAAGCCATCGTTGAACATCCGATGGTAGCCAATCTTCAGGAATATTATGCGTCTTGGCAAAGCCAACTCCAAATTCAACACCCGCATGTACGTTCATGAGATGCATTGCCTCCTTAGTCAAGTCAAAATCGTCGTTGATTAGAGTCGCGACAACTTCTTGAAAGTTTTCATCGCCTGAAATATTAAATAGTTTAAATGATAAATCAATTGTAAATATACAATATACATATAGCTGAAATAGCTTTAGATGCAATAAAGTATGACGGACTCATGTCAGAACTGGCTTCGGTGAATTTTTTATAAAATAAGTGTCGCATCTCCGCAAATCTTTGGCCTTTGGTGATATTTGGGAACGCTGCTGGAGCAATGTTGTATTTATTGGCAAAGCGTTCCACTAATTTTGCCAATGTTCGCGAAGTAAATTTAGCTTGAACTTTAGTAGCTGGAATGTTGTATTTTCTATATTAATATAAATAACAGCATTAACACAACATGTAATATTGTATGAATAGCTATTATTATAGGTATTTAGGACATTTGGGTTATGAGTATTTTGAGCTCACCGTGCATACGTCGACCACCAGTTTCCAATATTCCGATTTGAAGCAATCTGATCAATAAACCCAATCACGCTCAGTAATAGCTGTCTTGCACCCTTGTGATTGAAGTATTCTTCCACATAATTGAATTGATCTTGTAAAATCATGGCCATTAAAAAGTCATGAATGTCAAAGGAAAATAACTCCAAGGCAAGTGAACCCCACAATGCCTGCAAACAACCACAAATTTGTATATAACAACAGTACATCATACCTGAGATATATAAATTAATCACAACAGGCAACTCACCTGTTTAAATAAACCTCGTTTCGATAATAGTTTGATCTCTTCAAACAGCTCATCTTGGATTTCTTTAAGTTTAAAGACCTCAACTATCAAGTTTTTGAGATCCATTTTCCTGTAAGTTAAAACGAGATGAAAAGCCAATTTCTGAGTATCTTTGGTCAGTTGTGATTCCCACGAGGTAGTGCCACTTAGATACGTTTTCAATTCACAAATCACTGTAATTACATCAAGAGATCAATGTGATATCCGTGTACTTTGCATAATTATAAAATGCATCATATCATCTTGTTTTAAGAAATGTATTGTATACCTTCGCAGCACAGAATTTTTTCGGGTTTGTACGAATGAACAAAATCAAAACTTCGCATCATAAGAAACAACCCCAAGCAGAGTGGGTTGGTGGACTTTACATACGCATTTTTGCATTCTTGTGATATACTTTTGTTAGCTAAAAAAATAATTCGATAGAAAACATATCTCAGTAAACAGATTAATATTGAAAATTAAAACTCAAATTACAATTCCAAGCCGATCGTATGTGAGAAAATGAAATTCCAGCCATTATTGGATCAATGTGCGGTATGAATTCCATCTGTTCACTCTTGGAAAGTGAGTGCATCAAAAAATAATCAGTCTTCATTCCAGGTGGACATTCATTTTTCGAATCTGGAATGTTTTGTGCAAGGCGTCTTGAGACTGACTGTGAATCTGGAAGTTTCAAAAACTTTAGCACTTTTTGACATGTTAAATTAGAGAGTTGTGAGCTAAACAAACACATACCTTTACCCGAAGTGGCATTATTTCTTTCTGACTGATACTGATACATTGATTTTACAGTCGTTTTCCTTTTGGGATAATTCTGAGGGCATTTGTCAGTATCAAATTGTGTATTAATTGCCACGCCGATCGTGAGTGGAGACGTTTCTGCCTGTTTGTCCTCCATCGATGATTGTCCAGCCATGGAGTAACCATGACCTATATTCGGGTGACGGTTGGAATTTTGCATTTCTGCATCATCAAAATCCCTTACATCTTGTCGGAGTATCCCTCGTCCAATTCCATAGCGTCTCACGGAGGTCATGGGTGGATTCGCCATGTCAAATTCCTGTACCGGTGACATAACAAAAGCATTTTACACTGATTTCTTAATGTGTTAGTACATAATAGCCATGCGTGACGTAGTGAATGTAGCCCAATTATTAGTTATTTCGATATTACCGAGTCTGGAATAAAGAAGGAAGATTCACAACTTCGCAACTTTTTTCTCAGAGGTGAGTGACTGTCAAAATCGTCGTCCGAGTCGTCAGAGTCACTTGCTCCAGCAGCGCGGTAGGTTGTCATCCCCTCCTCACAGGGGGGCCCAAGACATTAAATTTACTTTCGAAAGATGAAAGTGTGATATGAAGTAAACACGACTGACTGAATTTCATGTGCGAGTGAGACATGAGCACCACCGTCTCCCGCCCACCTGCTCCTGCTTATGCATCGACTAATCCTAAGGGATATATTATGCCGTTCACGATGCAAAAGGGGCAACCGGAGTTTGTCCGCTGCATGTTACTCTCCATGTTGAACCTGTAGGAAATTTTTATTTTCTGTATTTTTGCGTAAAATATAATGACAGTCCAGATGGTTTGGCGAAGTGACGATATGACGAAGCAAGCAGTTAATTGATGGCCTGACACCATATTTGAGATAAGAAAGAATTAAACTCTGCTGAGACGAAAGAGTTTTGAGGCAACTTGAGACGAGTGAAAGTTGCCTTTTTTGTAATGATATGATTAATACGCATTTTGCACTTTCAAATTGGAATAAGTGACAACATATTATACGTTTTTTTACACTTTTTACAAAATAAATTAGTAACAGTAATTTTTATTCAAAATGGTAACCACATTTTGTTTCGGATGGAACATTGTGTGTGCTACATACATTTTACTCTCGGTTAACTTTTATCATGTATGATAGTAACATTATTTTGTTTGTCCTGTCCACAAAAAAACTACTCACTTTTAAAACTATAATGTTTTTCACTATCTAGTTTTAACGCGGTTGTAACAACCCTTTAATACAATCTATTTGGCGTTGATTGTTTGTAGTTTGAAGGTTGAAAACAGATATATGAATGGATTTAACTAAATGATTCAAATTTAACCTTCATACTATGTAGAACGCCTAAAATAACATTTTCTTTCTTCTGTACAACACAAAGATTGCAATATGTAAATTACGCGTATATACATATAATCACAACTAGAAACAAAATTAAATTTGCGATGTACACAAAAGTTTTGTGACAAAACTTCAAGTTACAATTAATTTAGAACTACTTTTTTTCGCTAAACACGGGAAGCGAATATATATATTTCATGTGTTAAAAACTTCTTATTAATAATACAAGTTTAGCCGACGTTATTATACCGACGTTATTATATAGTAATAATAATATTGCTTTATAGAATTCGTAAATTCATCTTGTTGACGGTCAACTGAGACATTATCAAATCGCTGTTGATTTTATTTTGCTTCATTGAATTATGTCAAATTGTTTAAATACTACCCTTTACCATCAAGGTTTTGGACTTGGACGTTGAATGAATGTTGGTTGTACGATGCAGTTTGGCTTCATTTCAGAATACAGTAAGTTGATTATTATATATGAACATTTTTTTAGTCACGAGAATCCATCAACTAGTACAAATACATGTGTACATGTTTTAAACATTGTTGGATTCGCCATTTCCTGTACTCATAACGGGCGGTGTGCTATAATTTTTAATACTTTTTGGGACATATTTCTTTATTTATCGAGAATAATTGTATGCAAACCAACACTGTATCACATTGTTTAGCAGATAGTCCTACTCTAAATACTCTTTATATTGACACATTCATATTGATTCGAGTTACTTTAAAGTCTGTAAAAACTCCTTAGATTATATGCATAAGCGTTCCAGGTATGTAACATAATCCACACTGGATTAACCTTTTTGACTCTTTTTAAAACCACGTAATATATCCCATACCATTCCTCAAAGTCATTGTTGTAATGTCAAAACTACAACAAACCGATCCTGATTGCACTGCAGTCCGGAATACTTAATTGTCACTGTGTAGCTGTAAAGACGATCTATTTATTTAATTCAAGTATGTAAGTAAGTGCATGCGAGACTCTTTCTCGCACGTGGCCTCTAAACATTTAAATAATTCAAAGATTATGGAACCTATTTATGTAGATAATTTACTCGTCGTCAATCTTGCATACTCGGAAGACTCTTAAATATTACCCAGGTTGTCGTTCGCATAAATACAGCACAAAATAATAAATAGGCTCCCTACTTGCATAACAGTGTTATTTTCTTCCGTGAATTATGGTGAAAAAGAAATCGCTATTATTAGTATCTGAACCGAAGTTACACAACATTCGAGTACGTAACACTGATTACGGTAGTAGTTGTAATTTTTTGAAAACTCCTGAATTGTTCATTTGTACCGGATCATTGAGTAAGTTGGAGTTTTGTTAGTTTTAGTCCTATTCATTTGATATGGTTTTGGTATATATGCAGTCTAATATCTTCGGAACTGCATTGCAATCGGAACTTCAGAGTCGGAAATACATACGTAAATAACTAATATTTTTAACCCGTATAAGTCAACAAATGCAAATATAATAAAATCTAACTCAGTCGTTCGCAAATTTTTTCTTGTAAAAAAGATCTAATAAATTGCTATAAATATTTATCATAAATATGGTGCATAGCCATGTGAGATCAATTCGTTCATTGTTCGATGCTATTGTAGTATAACTGATTGCTGACAACAAAGAAAAGGAAGAAACCTATAAAATATTAGTAACGTTGTAATGGTTCCCCCTCCTCTATTTAGGTAAGTACTAAATGTTTAAAAATACTACATACTTAATCACACAACTCCGTGCCCCTCATTTAACTTGCAGTTCACGAAAATAACTTGAGTAATACTATTTTACACTTTATACGTGTTGGCGACTCGTCGTAATAAATTCATTTTTCTAAATATTCTCTGTAGTTTTAAAATCAATCAAGTCAAGTCAATGCATAATGCAGATTTCCTATGTACATTTAATTGACTACGTAGATCGAAGACTGGACTAACAAGCATCTACCTCGAAAAACCCACTCCGCTATTTTCTATTATTATTGAATTTAATTGAAAGTAGTTTTAATGTCCGTAGCTCTGTTTTTATTGGTTTCCTTTGTCCTGACTGACGGAAGCAATTTGCCGAACGGAACGTGAAGAAATAAGTCTGTAATTCGGTGTAATTTGTTCTCATCTCGTTAATCTCGTCCGACTTTCCCACGACCACCCACCTTCGTCCCATCACCACCGAGTTCACCACCTTTCAGTGAAAGGCTTTCACTCCCGCACCACTGCACTGGGCTGCCAGAGCCAAGCACTTTTTTCCTATTCCTATTACTCCACAAGAAACTTCCTCTCCAGAGAAAGTGACTGACTGCCTGCCTATTCTTTCAGTCAGAGCGAGGTAGATGTACAAGTAATGTAAAGCTATGCATACATATAATTTGGTAATATTAGATGAACGAGTAATTATTCTCTTCTACCCCTGCGCCTCAAATATCCTTTAGTTTGGCTTCTACTCACGTATTTATAGTAAAACTGCTAACAACACACGCTAAAAGGCATTGGATTATACAGTAGTGTGAGAACCTGGAATCCTCTAGACATCGTCAGCAGTGGCAATGTCACGATTGTCAGAACACAGTCGAAAAAACGAGTGCTTAACAAAGGTTGGAATTAATGATAGAAATCTCACTCCAACCCGGTCCCGGTGTAGTCAATCACCGTGCTGAAGTAGTCGACTTTTTGCTCGACAGCACAAAGACAGACAAAACACTCGCAGGTGAAACCGGAAATTTTTGTTGACCGTCACGTAAATGAATAGCTTCCAGAATGAATTGCACAAGCCCTGAAAACAATAAATTAATCGCAAAAATTAGGCCATTGCTTGCGTCTCACCTATTAAATTTCTTACCATCCAAAATACTGTGAAATGGAGGAAAGGAACCTGGAATGGAATAAATGCCAATTTAATTTCGTTAAAACAGAGTTGATTACACGCGAATAGGAAATGCACGATTTCGTGGAAATGGGTCGTTCCTGGGCAGATACGGCCTTTCAGAATTGATGGGAACAGATCACGTCATGGATATCATGGTATATCTGACAAGATAAGATGTCTACAAATTGAACCGGCCCAACTATAGTTATATAATTTTATCTATGTATGGCAGAGTAACTATATATTTGGTTGGGCAAGCTGTGCAAATTTAATCTACCTTCTAGAATTTTGCTCCACTATTATACTTTTGCTATCCTGGATTCTTGGAAAATAAATTCCACAATAGTAATTTTGTAATAAATAAATTTTAAAAAACAAACTTAGGTGAAGGACGCGCTTAAAATATTAAAACAAGTTGCGTTAAAAAATGTCATAATATCGTTTAATATTTATTAATTTTTTCTTCACCGTGGGCCGAACTACTTTATTTTCACAGCAAGGATAATTAACATTAAATGTAACTAAAACAACGACTTGATTAACCGATAAGTGTACCTGTTTCAGGGGGAATTATTAAAATACGCCAGAACATGAGCAAATTTCCTCTATAAGAGGTGTCACTATTTATTGAAAGATAACCATTCAAATCTCTTTGATAACTTTGAATCAAATTTAAAGTTTATTATACAAAAATTACGTATTTCGTGCAATTGTTTCAAATGCTTGAAAGTATATTTTTCTACTATGTTAGTTGGGCCCACGGTGAAGAAAACATTAATAAATATTAAACGATATTATGACATTTTTTAACGCAACTTGTTTTAATATTTTAAGCGCGTCCTTCACCTAAGTTTGTTTTTTAAAATTTATTTATTTAATTATTTTTAGTGATTTGTGAACTTCAATGCATAAAATCATAATTATCAAATCTTAAACGTTGTTAATTCTCCTTTGGATGGATGCGTGGTATACCAATTTAATCCCCAGTGGGTGTGGAAGCGTGGCACACAAAATTAATCCCCCACTGCGTACGGATGCGTTATATTTATATTTCATGGAATTTGATCAATCCCGAGTGTTTCAGAATTTTTAGGATTGTTATGTTGTGGTAGTGCTAAATAAACTTTGCATTGCTGGCACACGTTAGCAACCAGTAACCTAGCACGTATATTTACGCATACGTAAATAGGTCGCTTAATGGCAATATTTCAAAAAGCTCTAATTCCTTGAGTTTTCATCCGATTAAGTCGAACAAAGGCTTAAAATGTGCGTATTATCCAGGAGAATGATAAAAATGGCAAGCCCCCGGTCGGAAACCCTTTCTTGACGCCAGGAAATAGATTCGAAACTTTAAACATCGGACTTTCTGCCTAAAGGAATTAGAATTTTGGAAAAATAAGAAAAATGACTCTGTAAAACAGAATTCTCTAGTTTTTTGTTTCAACATGTTTTCCATGCAACGAGCGGTTTGGGCGAAATCTCAGTGGGACCTTTTCAAAGTTGCAGCTGAATGCATACTTAGGCTTCGCCGTAACCATGGTGATCTTTCAACATGATCACCTTATGGTTACTTTTCCTTCACCTAAGAAAAACAACTGGCAGTAATAATCTATCAGCAGTAAATCTTTTAGAGGGGAGCTCTTTGTTATTTGTAGTGTTATGTAAGACCATATACCGTAAATACTCTATTTATAGCCGGGGCTAAAATCCAAAACTGGGTGTCACAGACCGGCTACAATTAGAGACCCGGCTAAATTTTGTTCCGCGCTAATTTTTAATATCATAAAATGACTTTTTGTCATGATTAAATTCATTTTTGGTCAAATAAAATTAAAAGTTTTGTACATTTTGACCTCATTCGTGCATCAACCGAATGTACAGCATTTTCTTTAATGGGCTATGAACGGGGACACGGTGGATAGGAGTAGAGGACATAATTAGAGACCCGGGACCCGGCTATAATTAGAGACCCGGCTAAAATTTAGAAATCTTGGTCTCTAGACCCGGCTATATTTGGAGACCGGCTATAATTAGAATAGGGCTATAAATAGAGGTTTTACGGTATGTACATTTGTATGCACATATATACTTAGGTCACTATTTAAGTCTCGTAGTACTAAACCCACCTGAATTTTCCACTGGGTGAGGTATTCCAAAAATGTAATGACAAGGAATGGAAGCCATGAAATCCAAAAGAAGACGACCAGGATGAAGGAAGTTAAGTGAGCAGCTATAGATTAGAATTTCCGTAATTCCGTTAGCTTGCATTACATGTGCATACACTAAATCTTAATGTAAATAAATAATAAAAATCGAATCTTACGATTTGCTAATGTTTCGGTTAACGCAGAGACATATTCCTTATCCATGCCAGGCAAGTCGCTCTTGAGACGTTTCATGGCAGCAAAGATGAAGAAATACGTGTAAATCATCGTGGTGATTGTCGGACCTGTCGCACACAAGGTTAATGGATCAATGCTAATGAGCCATTTATGGGAAAATACAAAAGATAGCAAAGACATACTTATATGCACTGGCATGTCAAAAATCGATTTTTGTAATTAAGAATATATTAGAATAATGAACGAGAATTACCAAGAATGAGACTAGCGAGAGTAGCTGAAATGAAATTAAACAAAATATCGTATAATCATCAGTTGAAAAAGTGTTTAAATTAAGACGACAATTATTAATTCCTAAAATATCCGCACATCACATCATTATCCAAATCTTCCAAGTTCCCAGCATTTCAACGCTCGGCTTTGAAGTATCCCATCTTGTCTTAGATACATCAACAACCGCCTAAGCATGTACATATTTACCTGCATATGCCGGCATAACATTCCATTCCAAGAGACAAACGGCCGCTTGCTTATCATAGTCGGCTCCGCGAAACCCCATGAGCGGCGGACTGCACAACATCAGCGCCGAGACCCTGAAATGCAAATTGGCAGATTGCCCCAAATAATTTGTTTTCTCTGCAGAATTGCGAATGAATACTTCAAACATAGGTATTTGCTAGAAATAAAGTACCATGACACTGCCACCCAGCACTGCACACGCGTTCGGGTTTGGATCACCTCGTACCGAATGGGCTTTCTAACTGCGACATAGCTGTGCACAGAAATAATTGTGGTTTATTTATGCATACATAATCTGCTTACGCTTTCTCCAACTCCATTATGTAAATATGTGCTTACCGATCTACACTCATCCACTGTGCCACCATGAAAGCAATAGTCAATCCATGTAAATATAAGTTCGTCAACGAAAGCAACGAGTTAAATGGATACACATACTTACCATAAGGGTGTAAACAGAGGCTGACCATAAAACTGAACCCAGGTACGCCGATGCCTACATATAAGCATTACAATACAAGTTATAAATACAAATTGTGAGACTATTTGTAAGAATTCTGAAGCTTGACTAATTACAAGTTACATATTTGAACAAATCAAACAACATGTAATAATAATGTACATAAGTGATGCTGAATGCCTTCACCTTGCACAAGACATCACCGTACATCCAATATTTGATCAATGTAGGATAGACGGATAGTGGAACCACTAAAATCCCCCCCAGGAGATCAGCGACCGACAGCGACAGCAAGTAGTAGCTCAATACTTCTCGAGGACCTGAAAGCAAGATTCGTTTTAACCTCGGACTGTCCCCTTATGGAAAACTCTTACAAAGTGGATAAGGCCAAGCATTCAAGACGCAGACTTAAGCATGTTAATTATTACCTGGTGATGTTATGAAGGTTGCAATGATTATCACACTAAAAGATAAATAAAACGTGGGTTACAAATGACAGGACATTTTATTGATTTTGATGTTGATACAGTGGATTGAAAATGGATTTCATGTAAAAGTTATAATTATTAATTGCTTATAGAACCAAGTGTGGAAGATTTCGAGGAGAATTATAACCATTTCTTCCACTGTCAACAGTCATGTTTCAATTTTTGTGCTTCAACAACATATGAACAGTTTTGAAAACTTACTTTGTCACAATTATCAGTACTCCAATGGAGAGGACGACGATGGCTTGGATGAGACTGTCAAACGGAATCTCAATCCCACCCATTCCCTCGGAGAAAATAATAATGTTACCATCCTTGGTAAACATGGGCAAGTAATGGGGAACGGTAGCACACTTTGCACCTACGGATCCCACAATCCAATACCACTTTAATTATCCACAAGGTATAATAGTGCTGAGTATACAATTACACCATAAATTCAATTTACGTGTACGTACAGACATGCAATTTAGTTCAGTGCGTTGAATAAAATTTTACTATAAAAACAATGATGAGCGACAACGATACCAACATTTTACTAAACATTAAAATACTATCGATGTCAAACTACAGGGGAGTTTGGTATGGCAGGCATATCGAATTGAATAATGTTATGTTTATTACGAGCAAGTTGAAGGTCTCATGCACTACTTGTAACATTAATTTTAAACATTATTTAAAATACGGCGTGCGACTTACTCGTGTGGCTCCGCTCCTATCTGATTGTGTGGAAGCTTTCCACCGTAGATGAGACGATTAATCTTTCATGTTATTTTTACGACACGAAGAGTAATGCAGGAGGCTGACATGAAAGCGAGCTTCATCTATAAAATCACCCCACTCGACAGATTCGCCTCCCGTCACAACAACGGGATTCTACAAAAGTCACTCTTGAGGGGGAACTGAAGGAAAGCAAAATTTGTGACTGGGTCAGTGAGTGGTGCGAGGCGAGTAAAAATGACGAAGACCAGGCGAGGGTCAAGCTGGTTAGTGGTGACGGGTGCTAAATAGGAGCGAGTTAGTGTCCAAAATGACGGTGGTGGTGGTGAGCGAGTGGGATTGGGGGGAGGCGAAGGTGAAAGTTAAAAACGAGAGTGAAAGTGGTGAACTTGATTGAGTGGACGATGGGGAAATGTTCAAATGTGTGAGTGTGTGGAGGAGATGGATGGAGATGTGCAGGGATTAGTTATGACTTCAACACCACTTTCTCCAGTCGACAAACCACCTCTGGCACCACCACAACCAACAATACACACCACCAGCGGATGGATCGAAGTCTGTGATTCATGCGCCTTCCTTCCACCACTCCTCCCCGTCTTCCCGGCTCCAGAACATTACAGCTACCTAATTTTCATCAGTCCACCAACCACGTCACCCATATTTGCAAATTTCTCTATACTTAAAACACAAAAATCCTGACAAATGCATCCTTATGTAGCTCTTTGTTTGTCTTTAATGAATTTTCAAAAAATTCAGCATTGTGAAATCTACGAGACGTACAAACTACATACTTGTCCAAAGTTTGTATGTATTATTAGAGACGATAACACAAATAGAATGAGAAGCCTACATATATCTCAAGTTGAAGTATGATAAGCAATTAATACGGCCACAATAATTTGTGCATCACGTTTGCAGTGATTTCTCCACCCTTCCTACTTTTTACTTTCACCCGCGTTCTAGAGGCTGGTATTACAAATAGCTACAAACTGAAGTGGAGCTACTCTCATCTATACCCCAGTTTTCGTCTAAATCGCACTAGAAATCCAACCCATGCGCATATTTGTCAAGAAATAGTTGATTTGATAGCAGAGAAAATTGACTATAGAGCCCTTCTTGATTGCTTTCCTTTCTCCCTTCTCTCGCTCTTCCCAAATCTCTCTCAAGTGCTTCTGGCATGAGCTCAATCCATGCAAGTGTGGTGTCTCACCAGTGGGTTCCTCATAATAATGTAATGCTCGAGTGGATACCTCACCTCAGATTTAAATACTTCAACCCACTCCAAATTACTCTGGACTCGTCAGAACGCTCACATTCCTGATGGGAAACATTACCACGTCTTCAATTGACATTTACGTAAACGAGAATTTAGCGTAGTTTGAGTTTTCTTCTTCTGCATGAGGCATATGTCCCCTGATGAAGCAAATAAACCCAAACTCGTGTGAAGGGGATTCCACTGTGGGCTGCCTGCAACCCAGTTTTCTCCGCCGTCGTCTCTTCTGATGAAGTCCCACTGTTCGGAACAATCTGATGAATCGTGCCTAATAGGCAATTGAACAAGTTTAGTGCTGCGGGTTCGGGTGTATTTTTAGCGGCAGTTCCCTATGGTTGGCTGGCCAATATATATGTATCTAGGATGCTGTTGGTGCTGGAGAAAGTGGGCCTTTCCTCCTCTTTCTCTCTCTCTCTCTCTCTTTGGGTGAGTGAGTTATTTCCCAGCAGATTGGGGAGCCGCCGGTTTGGTTCACACAATTGTCCCACTGTGTTTCAGTGCCAGTAGTTGGATGGAGATAGGAGATGCATATGCACCAATGGGTTCCACTCTAGTCCGTTGGGGAAAACAAATCAAGTCGGCTAATAAGCAGTTTGACCTTTTGCTCAAAAGGATATCAGTTACAATCTGGGAGGAACTGGGGAGACGAAGAGGTGTAATCTTGTCACTCATATCTATGTTTGTATCTAGCCTTAAATTGCAAATCAATATTTCCTTCCCTGTCCCTCTATATCATGATATGTTTCCAATATTCTGCAATTTATCTAGTTTGCATATCATTCAGTATATGTCTGTCTGTACGTAGATATGTATGCATGAGGATGTGTAGTTATATGATTATGTTCATGGCATCCAAGTTTTCACATCATTTCCATTTCTCTATATTATATACGATCCTATGATTCCTATACATCTGTATGTATAGGAAGTGCTCTGGCATCAGCATGTCTTATTGACACTTTGACGCAATAAAAAAGCTATGCCATTTGTGATGAAATAATCTTATAAATCCAAACATGGCAAATGGGAATCGTACTAATAATCTATCTCTCTCTCTCTATGAGCATTTCAACGGCATAAGTAATCACAATTCTGCTGACGTTTTAGTCAATAAACTTTTATCTCATTTCTTAGGAAAGAATAAACTTTGGGAATACTTATTTGTCACAACTGTTGAAATATAGTTCTTGAGAAGGTTTCTGCAAAAAAAAAATAATCCACGACTAAACTGCTGCTGTAGTCGAGTCTGACGATGGTGGTTTTTCAGACGATGCTGGAGGAGACCGACAGAATGGACAGTGGCCTTTTTGTAGAACTTGGAGCACAAAGTCGTCCGTATGGAACATCTAAAAGTAGAGGAGGATGAAGCTAAAGTTTATTCAAAGGAAACTTTTGCAATGACTCTGCTTAAATATCTATATGATGAGAAATATTGCCCTGTCATGGCAGTATTAATCCAGTATTCTAAAGTTTTGGCTGTCAACTTTCTTTGGGACAGGAAAGAGAATAAAAGAAAGTAACCCCGTCATCTTCCCACTTGAACCAATTTCAATTTCTCGGTAAAACTTCCCGTCCCTGGCCTCAATTTAATTCCCTCCCGAATGACTCTTTTTAAATTACGTATTTACTTCAAATATAAATTGGAAAATATTTACTAGAAATAAATTAAACTTGTCGTGCCCCAAAAATGTCATTTTACCTTGAAACATTTGTGGCAGGTGGATATGCTCATTACTTCGGGCATGAGGTTTTTATGAAACTTGTACCGAAGAGGTGGTGGCCATTTACAAACAATGACTTCGGTGGGATCCAAAGAACGGAGCTCTGCTTTTCCAAGAACCACTTTGTTGAAATCCAACCTGTCACCCGAGGCAGCCCCACCCACTTGGCCAGCTTTAGAAAACGGGTCTGTGAGACTGGTGCCAAATTCTTCTTCTTCGTCGTTATCTTCGTTAAACTGAAGGACTTGGACATTTGAGTCCGTCTGAATTTCTTCTCTCCATTTTCCTCCGGCATTATCACCTACTTTGGATTTCAGTTTATGGGATTTTGCAGAATGGGAAGGTCTTGAGCCAATCAGTCCAATCGCCTCTTCATCGGTTATATCCGACGCAATTTCAAATTCAACAACTGGTAGAACCTCTGAACATAGTGAAAAGAAACCCAGTTTAATTCACATATCTACTTACGTGCATGCAATCATGTACCCATTACTGACAAAATTAATTATAGAATGTATGTGCATGGCCGGATCTCATTTTGATAGATCAGTCCTTCATAAGTACTTACCAAAGGAGACAAAGGAGAAGACGAACGAGTGATTACACGTGATGCAACTGTTTCCTCTCGGATTTAGGAGGGGATTAGTGGTCGAGCAACGATAGCACATTGGAAGCTGAAAACCAATAAAAGCTTCGCATAAATACATAAATTCCTGTAAATACAATTTACTTAAAGGATGAAAATGTGGGATTACTCCAAACTATTGTTGTTTAATTAATTAATTAATACCTGGTCTTCATTGTCACTAAACTTGTCTCCGTAAGAACTCAGGATCAAACTTTTCAGACCATCTCGCAAATTTCGTGGGATATTTATCCTTTTGAGGCGCTCAATAACGTGTCGAGCCTGGGAATAAAATTATGATCCATGCAGCTAATTAGTGCTTCAAAATAATATTATAAATATATCTATTTAAATACGTATTTAGTTTGAAGAATGGTAAATAGTTGAAATGACAATGTAGTTTGAAAGTTAAACATACCAGTTTGAATGCATTCAGCGTTCGAGCTTGTTTTGCAAGAGTGTACAGAACATGACTTTGACAAATAAATGAAATAGTTATTCTTTTGAAATATTCGAAAATATGTACATGCTCTAGTTTTGCATACTCTTACAATTTTGAAATTGGTAAATCTGTCTCTGTCATCAATTCGTGCATCAAAAACTTAGCAATATTGAACAACGCCTCAGGCATGAATGGAGTAAAAGGTTGGTCCTAAATGTGAATTGGGACAATACATTTACTTGTGAATTATGTACGATTACGATTTTTACGAGAATTATAATATGCTGAATACCGTGTAACGATGAATCGAATTGAAGGCGTAATACATTCCTGCTTTCTTTTGATGAATTTGGAAAGCTTCAAACTGCATCCTTTGCAAACGCTGGTCATCCCTACGAATAAGCACATCAAGTCCTTACTATGCTAAAAATTGGCAACGTCAATAAAAACGTGTATATGTGTACGTGTTTGCAGCAAGGTCTAGAAATTGCATGGAAAGCACCCAATGGCAATATCCCGCATCGTGATATCTATCCTCAAACACAGCGTTCTGAATTAGTTGGTCCAGTACGGAAAATGCTTCCTCTGGACAACCAGCCATATGAAATGCTACGAACACGAAACGAACAGCGTCATTTTCTTGCGTACAATTTTCTAAACTGAATACATTACCCTTTTGACATTCAGTGAATCTGTCGTTCTCAGCCAACCATTGGGCATATGGGAGATAAGCAGCCTTTTTTAGACTTGGATGTCTTTCCACTATTCGGTCAAATTGAATTTTAAATAAAATAAAACACGCAAGATTAAAATCAACGGTTTCCCCGCTATTGCACATGTACATATGTATCTATGTACCTTGGTGGAATACTTCTGTCCAATTCTTGGCATACACGTGCAACTCGATAACTTTCTCAACTGCACCAACCCTTCTGTTCATTGTAAGACATTTTGAGAATATATAGACATTTGGTGATCGTTCTCATTAAAGTTATATGCAGAATGGATTGTGTATACAGGGACGTTTTCTATATTAATTCCTTACCGATACATGTCTGCCGCTGCGGATGCCTGGAGCAACAAAATCATGCAACATATAAAATTTTAGCAAACAAAGACCTTCATCCACGTTGTAGAAATATATGCAGTAAAAGCCTAACTTCTCCAGACTTCATCAAGTACTCTCCACACAACGTTAAAGCTTCGCCATCACTTCTGTCCAACTTTCTCCCAGTCTCGAGCAACCTTGTAACAAAATTGCATCAAAGCATTTGTAATTGTAGAGAGGGAGCACAGTTTTCCTCGAACTCACATGTCGATCCATTGGTTTTCACCCATAATTTGTACTGCCCGAATTTTGTCTCCAGCAGCCCTGTTAAAACAGAATGTGGTTTACTCAACGTCAAGTATATTGATGGAAAATGGTGTTCACTGTACGGCAAGAAAAAATGAATAGCTTGTTAGCCTTCGCTTACCAGTACATTTCAGCAGCAGCTCTAGGCTCGTTAATCTTTTGAGCCCATTCCGCCTTCCGTTTAAGCAGCTGGTTTTTATTGGCCGATTCTCCCTCTGAAAGATAGTCTTGAGCTGTTGAAAAAATAAATAAACCAGATTTAGACTAATTTAATAAATATTTGTTTGCAATAAATTAATAAAAAATGCATCAAGCCACACCCTCCTTCAGTGAAAATATTTCATCTCCACCCATAAAATCGTATCTTACCCAGGTCAAACATTCGCAAGTCTGCATACATTGCCTGTGTCAATAACAATCTAATTAAATCAAAGCCAGTCTCTTCATTTTTTGCACATGGACATCGGCTCTGCCCTTACCACAGCTTTTTGGGCCTCGTTGTTTTCTCTGTATAGTCGAGCTGCCTCTGTAAATCTTCCTTGATGGGCCAAAACATCGGCGAGGAAACTCTTTCGCCCAGACTCCTCATTCACTTTATCCTGCGAACCAAGAACAAGTCACTTTCACCTCCTTCTCATTTTTGTCCACCCAAAACCCAACGTTGAACGTGGAGAGCTAGCATTTAGAAAGCACACACAGAGCTGCTCTCACAAGTGAGTTGTTACCTCGTATGTTTCGATCAGTCGAAGAAAATTGAGACTTTTTGTTCTAGCAAATGACTTCCGAGCCGTGTCAAAGTCCATGCCTTCCAGTGCAGACAAGCCCAATGCTTTAAAATCATTGATGGGGACGCCAAGAGCAGCAACCTTGTATGCTTCCCTGTACGAATTTTCAGATATTTTAACTCGTTTAAGCGTTTACAAATTGCTTTTTTGGTTGGTGAAAGTTGAATCATTGCCAACAACTCACTTGAACATCTTGTGCTGAATGTATTGTAATAATTTAAGATACCTCCCATTCATTTACTCAGCTGGAACAACAACTGCCCGCCACTCACTTCGACCGGTGCAATATCACAATTATTTCAGTATAACTGTTGTAGTTTTGTATAGATTAGTCGTAGTTTTAGGTAGTGACAAGGGTCATAGGTGAGAATGGCAGGCCGACTTTCTGAAGTGAAAGTCAAAGAAAAGAGAAAGTATAGAAAAAAGTCAGAACAGAAAATAATTAAGAAAAAGGGGGTGTTTTTCTGCATTGAGGACGAGGGGGATGGAACAGGGAAGTGTCGAACAGAGTACAAGAACATGATCAAAGGAAAAGTCCACAGCCACCAGGCACATGTCCATTACAAGTAAGTAAAATGTGATTAAAGTATAGTCAACTTTTACCATAAATCTAGTCATAGTTTCTAGTCATTAATTTTAGTTTTTATTATGCATATGCTTATCCATTACAATTAGTAATTGTAATTGTCAATTACATAATTAGCAAAGAGGCCCAGAAGGCATATAACCGAAAACTTGGACGGAAAAGGCTCGCAGAAAACAGTCTGACTTCATATTTGTCCCATAAAAAAGAACAAGGCCTTCTTCCTTTATTTCCCATTCAAGAGTACAACTCTGACTCAGATTGGGAGGACGACGTTCCATTACAATTCTTAATTGACAGGAAGACAATTGATGCAGCTGAAAAGAAGAAGTATGCAAAACACAACGCATCATACAATGCGTCCTTCTTCGTCTCATATGTCCCTGAGAAACCGGATATTGGACCAGAGGCGACATACGAAAAAAGAAACAAAGAATTGAAGAGGTTGAAGAAGAAAGCAGTCCAGAAACTGAGCAAGGAGGAGACAGCCAAATATACTTTCTCCCTCTACTATGGCACATCTCATGCACAAAAACTGACATGTGGCTATCTCAACGGCAGTTCCCTATCAAGTGGTGGTGCAAAACTCTTAAAATTAATGAAAGATGGTCAAGTGTGTCATAGACAAGTGAGTGAAAGTCAAATTATTATGATACATTATCCCATATTTTATATATGATTTATAAATAATAATAACATGGATTTTTATAGGATTTCACTTTCTCCGGGAGAACTGCAGATGAAAACAGGGATGACGCCATGGACTGGCAGCACTTTTATAAGGTAAACCATGTCTAGAGAAATGGTGGAAGATGATGAGACGTATTAAAATTATTATCACTATTTCCATTTTTTGCAGCATGTCAAGCTGGAGAAAGAGTTCGTGCCACAAGATCAGACGAAAGTCATCTTCGACATACTGAATGGAGGTCTCAAAGGTGGACTGCAAAGAAAGAATTCATACAAGCGGGTGCTGAGTGATGATGTAAAAGGGAAAGCAAAGAAGATCGGATGGCAGAATAGGCCACTCATTCCCCTTTCACCAGATCTGTTGCAACAAGACCCAGAAGACGTGCCATAGGATTCAGCACAGACTCAGCGTCAAACAAAAGAATTAAATGTTTTTATCGGTTCACTTTTTCCCAATTTATGAATTATTCTCATTAATTATAATTAATAAATATACATGTATAACGTACCTGAACATTCCATATCGAACGAATTGATACATTGGAGCAGAAAGTGGTACTTCTAGAGTAACCTGAGTGGGTAATTTACATTCATTGTTTTGATTAAGCATTGCTGGTTAATTAAATGTTAAGATAGATTATAACTAACCACTGAGGAGTTTTGCATCGAAAATAGCTTGTGTCCACAGAATCCAACTACGAAACCCTTCAAGATAAGCCATAAGTTTGTGAGCTATCAAGTGGGACTGCATGTATAATATAAAAAATCGCATCTCACAGCCATTTTCTGCTGATATATTGGGAAATTGGACGCCTTAATATTCAGCACACCAAAACCCGAGAAGCTAAGTAAATCATCGCAATATGCATTCCAAAAGACGGAAACAGCGCTTGGTTCTAAAAAAATGTTTTGTTATACATTTTGATAATAAAGAGTGGGAACCACATAAAAATGCAGTAAAACGCGTTTTCGTACGCTCCTTATACGTTTATCATTTCACAAGAATCACCTTGGAACAAAAGTTCTTTGCTGACCAAGTCATAAACAAAAAGGGTTGAGCTGCAAAGTTAAGCATCATCATCCAAATTTTAATGTTAATGTTACCCTTTAAAAGCAAAAGTTGTAGACTCCAAGGTGCTAAATTAAATCAAATTCGTCTATCTTCTAACCTTTCATCCACAACTGCAATCTTGGAGTGGAGCAAGTTGAGATCCACGCATCGCACACTCTGAGGAACTTTCACCATGTCAATGGGAAAGGGATTGTCCAAAAATATTTTCACCACCTAAACCCAAATTCACAAGAGAGATAATGACATCTAAGTTCTCGCATATTGCACCAATAAGTCATAGTTTCATTTTTTATACTTGTCCGTTTTTAAGCCCAGCCAAGAGAACCTCTTTTCCTCGCATCCCACCAACCGAGCGGATGTAGCGGATATGGGAATTCAAGACCCATTCCCTTTGTCTCATTCCGTGAAAGCTGTAGCACTGCAGTTTCTTCTCCTGGCACAAGATCACATTCTCGCTGCACATTACCAACAAACTACATTCAAAGCTTTGGGAAATCTTGTCCTTTAGAGTGTACTTGAACTCCTTGGCATCCCTCTGGTAGATTAGCACACGGTCCACAAACTGGATCTGTGCAATTAAAAATATGGCTATGATAATAACAGCAATAATAACAGTGTCGCTATTATAGGCATGTCCCTTGTTCAAATCAAAGCTACATATACATATATGTTTGAATTTAAAGAAGGATTCTTACTGCAAGAGAATCCTTGAATATTGCCAACTTCTTAATCACATCTCGGCATTTTATGCGAGTTCTTAGATCTTTAAGCAAGTTTTGGACCATCACATCAGTCATGTTCATCCTAAAAAAAGTGATGATTTATAATGCGGACAAGAAAGTGTGTGACAGGTTAATATTTATACTGCTGGACCGGTGCCCACTACCTAAATGCATATAAAGATTTGTATAATGCATGGACAACCAAAAGTTGTACTTCATAGGATGTCAAGACTCCGGCTTGTGTTCCAACAACCTGCAATGAAAGAGTTCATAAAAGCTCTCTCTGACCATTCCAAGTGTTATACTTATTGCTAAATGCATTTACCAGACATTGGGAATCTGGCTTCACTGAACACGCCCAAACCCAGGATTCTTGTTCTGTTATGGAGGTGACCTTAACGCCTTCTTGAGTAAAAATGGTACAAGCTTTGTTGGATCCAGCCACAATAATGTATTCACAGTCACGATGGGTCCGGGCGTAGACAACACGAACCGGGTCAAATCCTAAGGCCCGATCTTTCATTATCTGTATCATATAAGTTGACAGTTGCAAAAACTTTGAAGGGAGCATTAGCATACTGCACTTAAAGCAACATGATTGATACACAACCTGTTTTCCTTGGATGTCGTAAAATGAAAGAGTTTGTCCCCAATCTGCTACGCAAAGCATGTCATTTCCTTCCTCCACGGTTTTACCCCAAGCAAGACCCCATACGGGCGAAGACGACCCTCCTGGTCTCTCAAATCGGGCATATTCAGAACCCGACTACAAGAAAATCATTAACCAAAACCCAATTCTATAGCTTGTTAATTCTTGCCTTATTTCTAATTGTGACTGTTCCATTTCCTAATCCTAATGCTAAATGTAGACCATCCGAAGTCCAAGAACAAGCATTTATTTTGGCAGAAACTTTATGTTTGTCCACACTTTTCTTTTCTGAAGAGGAAATAAAGTCATATTAGTTTCTTTGTTAGCAGTTGATCTAACTCAAAATCGAGAATGTAAATAAGTCACAATACCGACTTAAAAAGTATTACAAATTTGTTAATCTCAATATATTTCTTATGTAAAAATCAAAATCTTGCTGCACATGGTGTGGCCTTTAAAGCGACATTACTAAACCCACTAGTCTCAATATCCCCATGACATGTATGTAACCGATTTGACTCTCTGAACTCCATTCCTCATTTGGACATACATATACAGCGTAAGTTTACAAAATTTAGATTCATTAAGAGTGATCTCATCATGCCAAACTTAGGGATTGTTTAAACCAGAGTAATCTGCTGCCTTTAATTTTCGCAAGTGCAAAAAAAAATCATTGGGTTTAGCGTATACGGCTTTGGTTGCTAACGTTGAGCCAGATAACAACAATCCTATGCAGTGCATGGGGGTTTTTAATTTACATATTCTGGCATTTAATCTATTTTTGTATAAGGAGATGCACAAATAAGGAGAAGCAATTCTTGCAGATAATAGCAACAAATCCTTCTCCAGTATTTACTAACCTGGGGTCCACAAACCAAAGTCGTTCACAGAACAACTTGCCAATTGTTGAGATTGTGGGTTATATGCCAAGCACTGAATCGAGTCTCCATGCCTGTAATAACAACAGCAGTAAGCATGCAACACTTTCACTTACGGAACAAACTCCTTATAAATAAACTATGGGGCAAGCTCATACACGTATTTTAAGCTTCCTTGAAGATTATCAGTCCAAATTATCACATTTTTATCGGCTCCACCGCTGGCAAATCGTTTCCCATCATTCGAATAAGCAACACAATATACTGCACTTTTGTGACCTACAAAAATATATTGTTTCAACGAGCGGATTATGTGAGATTTATGTAATTACACCTTTCAAAGTCTGTATAATCGAGCCGTCTGTAACGCTGATGACCAAGACCCTGAATCCCACTGCGGCCACTAAATTGCTCCCATCCGGAGAAAAGCATGCATCATATACGCTTCAGAAAAATTACAGCAGCATTTATGGCAAAATATCAGGTTTAATTTCTCATGTTTTCATCATCATGAAAAATTACCAGCTGTCTCCATTCTCCCCAGTTATTTTCTCCGTCCAAAGAGTTGAAGTTCTCATGGCTTAGCACACCTGAAATGAAATGTTGAACAAAATAATCAGTCTCAATTAATTGTGCAGGTATTTACTGAAGTAAATATTATGTAGTCATGTCTCTGTAAGGGAAGCGAAACTGCATTTGTACATACATACACATATTCAATTACATATATTTAGTATATACATATTCTGATGCTTTTTCAGGGATATCCACATTGCATACTATTTCTAAACATGGCATCTTATTTATTGCTGACGGATTGAACGGCGTACTATTTTTACTGGAAATATCTGCTGCACGAGCCATGAATTTAGGATTTCTGTCATAACAAAAATGAACAGTGTAGTAACTTATTTTAGCCTTTAAAGTAGTAGATATCATCTTCATCGGTCAGTATCAGCCACATGGTCTTCAAAAGAAACACCCGTTGAAAATTATATCGAGGCAACTGAACAACTGATCCTGAGAGAAGGAACAGTGAGAAGAATCGATTGAGAAGATTTGGAACTTCTCTAAGACGGTGTCGTAGAGAACAGAGGCAGCTGCGAGCCCCTCTGATCTCATCATCTCTTTCAATGTTTCTATAATTAACGAAGAAAATTGAGCATTGGGAAGGCAAGAGAAAAATATCGAGGCAGAAGCAGCATCAGGCCACTAGCTAAGAGGACTACCTGGAAAAGGATGATCTAAAATGTAAAAGATGCAAAAGAAAGGTTGCTCAGAGTGTTAGAAGCACGTGCCTTCGCCTGGCGAGATGGATGAAGATTTGGGTGTGCAGTATGCACAGTTAGTTCTGGTCTCATTGTTCGTATTTGGAAAATAATATCCGAAACAAGGGCCATCTGCAGAACCTGAACATTGTTGGAATATGCTGGACAAATGCTGCCTTTTAAATAATTTCTAGCCCAAAGTTGACTAGTATCGAAATAAATTGTCCATTAATTTATGAACTTATGGTGTTTTCTGTAATGTTAGTCCCATAAGTCACACGTTCTTCATTTGGAATTTATGTCCGGATCATCTATGTTCATCATGTTTCCGGTTACGTTAGATAAAAAATTCGGGAGAGTTATACATCCAGGAGAGTTTGTAGAAGAATAGTTTGTAGAAGAATAGGTGAAGGAAAAAGCATAATCGAGGCAAAATAATAGTTATTCATGTCGACGAAGAAAATGCAGCTGCACTCTAATGCTAGAAGCATCTTCGTGATTCAGTATTAACAACGCACTGCATGGTATAATTAATTGGGGTGTCGCTTGATTCATTGTATTATTCGGGATTAGCAAATCTTGTTGTGAAGGAATATCAAATCCTAAACCATTATCACACGTTTTTAAATCCGCCGTGCCGTGGTGAGAAGCTATGTGTTTGGATTATCTTGATATAATAAGCGTTTATTCTAACATGAGCCTCATTATTTTTTACATGTATTTTAAAACACGAATGCGAAAAATGCAAAGCTCATTTACATAAAATGTTAAGCTAACTACCATTTCACTACTGCCATGCGAACATTTATTTACTCCTTTATTGCATGCTAGTCAACAGCAGTTGAAAGTTTATCTGCCAACTATTTTATGGAGCCGATCTGTTATTACGAATCATCAAGTCCGTTTCTTGTTTTTATGACCTTCAAACCTTGGATTCAATCTGGCTCTCCAGACATTTACCAGAAATTATAGGAAATTATCACGATCCCATATCTTGAACAAAGATTGTCCTATTATGTAAATATATGTAAATACATGTAGTCTTTACTTCTTTATGGTTCCTCGTGCATAATTAGATCGCTATAAAAGTAAATCTACACAATTTTAACTTAAAACTTTATCATTTACCACGCGCATCTTATAGCACTCAATATTATATTCGAATCCAGACCTACCTGGTCTTCCCTACGCCTCACCAAAATAGATTAAACCCACACCTGCCGTTTTTTTTCTGTCGGCTCCCCCACCACCAATAATGTATGGATGGATTCAATACTTGGTGCTCAACAACGTAACCCAAAAAGCTTATCCGGTCGAAATGCAGACTTCTTCTTGCCATCCATGCACTTCATTTCATTTAAGCGTTATTGAGGGACTAGGAGTATCACAATAGGTTCTAAGCAAACCTGCCGTTTGTACACAACCATTACATTTACAACGCAATAGAGAAAGAAAGCACTAGTTTATTCATGGTCCCTTTATTTCTATCCCAAAACGCCAGGTGAATCACGAAACAGAGATGAAGTTGACGAGAAATAAACACTCATCATTTTCAACTGACGTGAACAACAGTAGAATTATTAAAAATAAAAGTACCATTAGACAGAAGGTAATGGTCATGCTACTTATTGCACAGCAAAATTGAGACCAAAAAATAAAATTTTGCAGTACGTAGGTTTAAAATCTATGTATATTCTGCTCAAGAGTTTCAGAAAAAACGAACACATACTCACAAGACTGGCCAGATGATGTTTGTGGAATACACCAGGAAGTAGTTTTCGAAAAATTTAAAGGAATAATGAAGGTTAGTAGTGGAGCATGTCATATGCATAATGAAATTCAGTCTGCATTTACCATCAACCAACTGCCTTTTACTAACAGCCAAAAAGAAGCCCTGTTAGCCGTCGAAGATCTTCTGAAAACTTGACATGTGGTGGAATTACTTTAATAACTTGGCAGGGTCGATTTGGACCGGAGACCCAATGAAGCGAACCAAAGCAGAAGAAGAGATGAAACTTGTGCCTCGTTTGCCGTCTGTCAATCCAACTATATACTCCAGAAAGAAGACGTTGGTTGCTTCACAAAATACAATGGCCAAACATTTACTGCCACTATTGCTAAGCTGCCCAAGTCCCACGTAATATGCCTCATTTCACAATTCAAAGACCTTTTCTCTGGGATGATGCTCTGGTAAAATACAGATGGGCATGAGATCTCCACCACCAATCTATTACTGCTACTGCATGAATCGACCTGAAGGGAGCATAAATAACATCCCTTCGTGTGGAGTAGGCCTTACGCCTACTCCCTTGAAGGGACTATCTTAAAGTGAAGGTGAGCCATAACATAGAGTAATATCCCCTATTTCGTTGTATACATTGTAGAGTTGCTCATCGCAATACATCACACGTGCCCTCAGGTCCCTGGCAGCTTTTAACCTTAGAAATGCATTAGGACAATCTTTGCTGCTGCTTCTGCCACAGAATGGCAGATGCATCTCAACAAAGACCGGTGTCGTAGTCTCATTCTTTCCAGTTGTAAACGGACGCTGGTCGATGCAGTTGCATTATGCTGACACATTGATACAATTATTTAAGACGCTTTGTGAGATAAATAAGAAATAGATTCTACACGTTATTTTCTCGTAACAAACTATGGCTAGAAATTTTGTATTCGTCGTCGTTCTCACGGTTATTGTCACACACATCGGTAAAAGTGTCTCGGTTCCACATGAAAGTAGAGTAAGAGAATCGTTGGATAATTGGAAAGATAAATTAAGTCAAGTTTTGGACACGGAGAGTCAAGAACTTCAAATTCTACATAATTTGATTGAACAAGGTGAAAGTGGACGTGACAAGAAGGATGGTGAAATTGATTCCAGTCATAAAGTTGTCACAAAGTCTTCATCAAATCCAGAGACAAAAAATACAACTCCTAATTCTGTAGCATATTTGCGTGAAGAAGGAATAATCTCAAAGTTGGAGGAGAATTCTCAGAGGATGGATAGCATGGTCGTGTTTTTGAGTGATCTGAAAAGTGTTTTATCCCAGGCAATATCCGCCCAAGACATGCAGATGCGGTTTGAAACCGAGGTTGTGGAACTGAGACAAGAAATTGACTTTCTTCGGTAACATATTTTTTATTTTTGTATTAAAATGCCACTCTTTCAGATGTCTTCAATGAATGACGGTCATAGTGTCTGATGTAAACTTGCTCATGATTTTAGGAAAGAAGTTCAACACTTGAAGCACGCACAAGTGTTGGAAGCGACGAACAAAGACCAACACTTTCTAGAGCATAAGGTTACAAATGATGAGGTTAGTGAAATCTTTGTTTTACATAAAATTACAAATTTCACTGCATTCCATTTGTATAAATTAACTATAACGTTATAAACGCTGAGAATATTTTTTAAATACAGACAACAATTCAATGGCTCAAAGATTCCAATAAGGAATTACAGAGTCAAATGAATGAAATGTCCAAAACTTGCAATGCCACATCTCTGCTGCATATTCGACAAGCTCTTGATCAACAAAGCCAACGCCAGGAAAATGACGTCCTCGTGATTCAGAGACAAATTGAGGGCATTAAGTTGCAACAAGTAAAGCTGGGAGAAAACGTTGTAGAAGCGAACGAGAATATTGGTGACTTGCGGTCATGGCAGACCAACATGGGACAAAAATTGGTCAATGGACAACTCCAACCTCCGGTAAGTTGCAATAAATCTGTCCAAATCAATACCCTCACCTTCTTATTCAACAATAAGTCCAATAAAATACTGTTGGACTGCACACCTTTCATATTTGACCCTCCTGACTTGTTGCCCCACAGGGAGACAACCTGGCAAACATAGTGGATGCTGAGGAACACTTTCTTACGGAAGCCTTAAAAGGTATGTAATACAGAAGCCCCTGTATGTCCGTGTCCTCTACTTTATTACGGTGCATTTTCTACAATTACTATTGTTATCATTTAATGAATTTATGCTTGAATTTTAGATGCAGCCAACTTTTCCCCAAAACAGGGACGGCATAGTAAAAGATTGAAAGCACAACTTCGAGAGATCCACAAGACCACCAAGCTCTTGGCAAAGGACCACTATCATATGAACAAGAGGTTGGAACTCTTGGAAAACGTGCAGCAAAAGGCACCAAGAACGAAAAGTGAAACTACAGAGTCAGAAACTGAGAATATGGAGAAGCGACTCCTTGGTCTGGAGGACACAATGAGACATTACACCCTCAGCCTGCAAAATGTGGGAGACAAAGTCAATGTGGTTAATGGATTGCAAGAATCAACTAACCAACTCTTTTCAGCGATGGAAGACTTGGAAATTAGATATGACGACAAGTTTTTGGATATGCATACGACTCTGGTTAAAGTGGAAACTTCAGTTAACGGGATTTCCAACTCCAATGAAGATCTCAAGGAACAACAGGTACGTAAAAACTAGTTTTAATTAGTCACCAAACAGAATTGTTCTCAAGCATATGGAGATCATTCTAACAATTGATTTCACTCAGACCTACCAGGTGGGAATTATTCAAAATGTGAAAAAGGAGCTGATGCAGACAAAGGACCACTTGCAAAAGAACAACTTCCGCCTTGCCCGTCTTCAAGCTCAACTCCTCAAGTGGTCTTCACAAAAGTGCTCAATGGAGGATTCCGAATCGGTTCAAAATATTAGAATTTCCTCGTTGGAATCTTTCCTCCTGAATACGCCAAAAGTTCCCCATAACACTTAGATCATCAACTGCTCTCCTATTGAAATGTGTATGTTACCCATTTGTATTATTATAATGTGAGGTCTGGTCAAAGTAACTTCTACTAAATATACGTTAATATTATATAATTGTAAGTGGTGGTTTTGCATCTTCTATACTGTGTTACGTCAAACTAAATATTTCAATTGGATATATTACATTTTGTCTTCCGTATTTCGCTAAAAATGGGAAAATTCCTAAAAGCCGGAATGTGCCTCAAATTCTCAGCACGAGATATTAAATGTAAACCGTTCGATATATCTAGTCTCATTTGTGTCCTATATGTACATACATATGATTATTATGCCCTGATGTTTAATAATATTTATTATTGTACATAAGAAGTTTTAAATAATACTTACTTTATACTGACGTGTATATTTTGAAATGGAAATAGTGCTTGACAAGCAATGACGCTGTATATGTTGCCTCCAGGATACTGGTATTCGTTTGTATTCATGAAGAATAAATCTTGATTTTTTATAAATACCTTCAAATTCAGTACAACCCGAAAAATCCGATTTTAAGAATCATCAGGTTAGGGATGCATGATCATGTTGTGTTTGCACCCTGGTTTCCCAGGATACTCGCCCCATGCATGAAACCTTCGAACTCAAAATGCGAAGAATGTTTACTGATATTAGTGATATTTATGCACTTGTAGGATGGCAAATTAAAGGATGGGCAAACTCAATGCATTTAAAAATCATCCACTCTTTATTTTTGTATTTTATTTTTGACCAATCCAATAATAAATCAATTAAGAATTTTAGTTATTTATTAGTTTGACAATGAGAATCATTCGTACGACAAAAAAATCCCCATTCATTCTTTCTGGCACGCCTTGGCCTTACATAATTCCAGGTACTTCTCAATTTCATCAAATTACAAGTATGGTCAAATTTCCAAATAGTAGTTTATGAATATTTATATATAATTTAGATTTAAGGTCAAATATGTTAATGATAGTTCGATTATCTTCCAAAAAATAATAAATAACAGAAGTATTTTGTAGCCCGAGTCAGGATGGAAAGACTTTAGACATATTCTCGAAACAATAATTTGATAGTTATCTTGATTCACTTCTCAAATATTCCTATATATTAGGCTTCTATGATAAATTTCACAAACCAGTGCCTTGTTGGGTGTTGTTCACTCTGGCAAAAATTATTGAAATTCCCTGCTTATTCTGTCGTTATAATCCACGATACTTTTGGACCAAATTTTACGCCCCTGTGACAATTTCTAAATTTGATGCTATTTACCACCCAAATGACCTCCACTGGTTAACCGCTGAACTGGTCGTGCTTATCTACGAAATCCAAGACCCTGTTGAGATACAATTTTAACACCAAGTTGGTCAAAATTGGTTCAGGGTTCGTCCCCCGAACACATGAATACACGTAGACATACCGGTTCCATAAGACCTGACTCGGGCTACAAAGAGTATTGTATAAGTACATAGTCATTCCTGCCGAGCCATTTGTAATACATAATTCATTCACTCCCATTCAAGCCTGGTATACAGATGTAAAATATCTGTATGATTGTCTGGTAAATAAATTTAAAATAGAGAATAATGGGTATTTTTAAAATAAATAGATATACGTATGGATAGCACCAATAATAATTTCGGAAGTTCAAGAATATATGTTTGATTAGAGCTACCCTTTCTTTCCAATATAGGTATAAATATGTACATATATGCGTAAATTAATAATACTGTCCAATTTGACTAGATTCATTCTCAAACAAATAACTCTCACACTTGACAAAATCGTGCACATCAAAAGTTACAACCATTCGATCATTCGTATATTTATCACATGTCGTGCTACTTACTAGCTCACCAAATTCTTCGTTCAAAATAATTTTAAATTTTGATTTTCCCATTTTGTCAATCACTCTTCCAATATATCTTCTCAGTCACACATTTTTATAGGAAATCACACATTAGGTTATCAGAAAAAATATGTATGCAATATCGATCCAGGAATATTTCGAATAAATAAAGATGTAATTTTGAATCATTGGACCAAAAGTTGGGATGAAATGCACATCAAATGTTAACAAAATATAGGTGACTTTCGTAATATTTGGAATTATAAACTCGAGATTAAAATAAATTATAGCATTTTATGTCCCGTATTTTCGTAAGGATTTACTTGTCATCCTCAGACTGATTGAGACTGGGCGTTGCAGGGGTTGCTTCATCTTGGAAGAGTGGATTTTTGACCTAGTGAAATGAAGATAAAAAGTTTTAAGCTAAGTGAGAATTTCAAAGGTTCAAAGTTAGAAGCTGTTCCTTGAACGACAAATCGTTGGGAATTGTCTGTGATTTTATGAAAAATGTGACGAGCCTCCGCTCCTTCTTCTACTTACCTCCATTTCACCAGCCTGTGACAAAAATAGAATAATTTTTCTAGGTAATAATTACTGAGGCACATATTTATATTTCATAATACTGTACACCCTTGACTTACAGGGGCAAGTCCAGGACATTCGTACACCTAATAAGTTATTCAATTAGGAGAATTATCTACTTAATTTAAATTGTATTTCGTAGACTTGTACCGTGTAGTCGTTGTCGTCCTCATTGTCGTCCTCTGACTCCACATCCGACCCAGCCGATCCTGGTCTGTCCTCCTGCAAAGCTCCTTTCTGCAAAGCAGCCATTTGCTGTTTGACCGGAATTGTAAACAAAAAGACACAAATTAAATTGATGAGACAGCGAGTGGAAATTACAGAGAGTAAAAGAGCAACTACTGATGTGAGATCATTAACAAGGGAGCTTATTTTAAATATTTATATGCATGTGGCATATCTCAAGTAATTGATTAGAAATAACAACGTTAACAAATATGTTACCCCCTTTTGATGCTGATAATGGTACATTTGTGCTGATGCTAATTTACGATCTCCACCACTTGGACTCACATCTTTACTGGGACCCGTTACGCCATAGGCGGGGTAGTCCACCTCTGCAGCTGCTTTCACCCTCTGATGAATCCTGCATTATTAATAAGATAACTCGGATGCATTAATGTACATATTATTAATGCACATACTTTTGTCTCAAGCGTTGAATTTCTATATATTATACGCCATAAGTACTATATACTTTGGCATGCATGCACTTGCACATGCACAAACCAGATAATACCTGTACCAAAATATTCCTGCTGCGACAATTCCGATCACGATAGCCGCACTACATCCCGCAATAAGTCCTGCGGAGTTCAAAAAATGAATAGTCAGTCAGTCAAGAATAGGTGTCCTTTTAATTACTCACCAATGTAGTAAATATCCGAGTATGAAAATGAGTCGTTTTCCACCGGGTACAAATTATTATACGGCTTCTCAACTGACTGAAAGCCGGAAGACATAATGTGACTCGGCCCTGCAATGATATTTTGGGCATGTTGAGCCGGTTCCGTATTCTTCATTTCATTTTTCTTCATAAAGTGGCTGTAGGATGCGTCGCTCACTGGTTCGAAATCATGGTGCAATTCAGTATGGGTTGCTGGTGCCACCTCAATACCAAGATTACTTTGTGGCTGGAGATTATTTCGTTCAAGCCCTTGTTCCACATTTTGCTTTGGTGCTCGGTACTTTGGAGTTTCAGAATCAGCCTTGGAACTCTCATCTTTGGACAAGTTTGGGGGGAATTGCTCCGGGGACATGTGAGGACAAAAAATATTATTTAAATTTATTTACATAGTACTCGTATGTTATTACATTCCTTCGGTCAACACAAACTCGAGTTTCAAATAGGAGTTTATGTGAAACACTCACTTTCACTAAGCTTTCTCTTTGATGCTGTATGTCCTTTTTTTGTGCACAAAATTAAGTGTCAACTGATAAAACTACAGTAAAATCAATCTACAACTTTGTGAAAAATATGAAAATAGACAGATGATATATTTCATCAGGTTGAAGTTCAACAAAATGATAGGAACTCTTATCTAGATATGCTTGTTTTCTAAACTTTTAAAACATATAAATATGTACCTGTTTTTAAAACTAGACTAAAATAGTAGTTTGCGTAATAATGACGCAAATCCGGCTCGAAGAACACCTATGTTAGAAGGGGTGGCATACATGCTAAGCCAAATTCTGTCGGGAACTTTTAGCCTAACGTTCATATTTGATGTTCTGAACTCATACTTGGAAATTTGAAACTAATAAAACTATATGATGCACTTTTAGATGTACATAAATTAATTAGCTAATTCAATTTAAGCTATTTTAAGATCACAACTACATAAACCTATGAAGCAGAATTTGCACTTCATCATCTAGATACAAGTCCTATTTCCTAGTCGTACCTAAATAGTACATAAATACCACCGTAATAATTATGGACTTACATATAATACCGCACATCATCCGGTCTGTAACCAAACTGCGGGGGAAGCTTTGCTAAATATTCCCGTGCGAGGTCATCATTAAAATCGCCAACATATCCTCCCAGTGGTGACGCGTCATAATTTGGGTAAATTTGATGTTTTGAGTACTGCTGTGATCCAGTCGATGCTGCGAGAGAGGCCAGTCGATCAATTAACGCTTCTTCATCCTCGTTTGAATCTGAAACCGTTAAGCAGTAAAAACCCTTGAGATCCATTAATACATAAATTATTTAAAATAACCATTAAAAGCGATATTAAAAAATAAAAATTAATTTGGTGTTCGTACGAATGCATAAAATGTATTTATTTATAAGCAGTACTGGCTGCGGGACGATGGCATTATTATGCGACTGACTTGAATACAAATGACTTAATTTCATCGCATGATAAGCTAATCGAGGGCTGGGGAAAATTCATACCTTGATAAATGTAGGGAGCGGACTGTGCGAGTGATGCCCTGATCAAGAGAAGAATTCCAAAGGTTAAGGATGACACCAAGTACATCCTGCGTCGCGGTGGTGGGGGACGATATCGGAGGAATGTTAACGGAATAAGGAGAACAAATAACGGCGACGAAACTATGTTTATTAGTCCGACTCAACCGCAGTAAAAATCGCGAGAGGCAGAGGTCCGGAATGCAATAATATTTTATTTTATTTTACTGCAAGTTGTCCATCCTCCCACACAGATCACACTTTCCTCCTTCATACGTACAGATTTGCTCAAATTCCAGCTTTCTCCCTGTGGGATGAATGAAGTGAGCGTATGGTGAGAAAGAAAGCTTCCCATGCCAGGCTTTCTCCTCCGCCAATCAATGGACAGCAGAGAGCGAAAGGTCTTCTGCACACCAAGCACGGTCGAGTCGGAGCAGTGGCGATGATCGATCCGTCCACTGACGTCAGCAAATACCAAAATACGCAACCAGCTCGCCCAGCCAAGCACACGCCGAAAGAAGCTCTTGTTGGTAACTGATGTGCATCCCATGTTATGAACTTTATATCGTGATGTCTTTGTCGTCCAAAGAACAAGCCAACAGCCACCACAAAATTGCACAACCTCCTCCTGTCGTAAGCAGCAGCAACACTTTCTCTCAAACTCGCAGGACCAGCTCTGGTTTTATTATGGTCACTGATTTTTAGTTTTTAGTGCATAATTACATACTCGACTCCTTGCTTGTTCATACCACGAAAGAGTAGTGCATTGTGGCAGCATGCGGATTTGCGTAGTCCATCTTATTTTTATCCATGTACATTACTAGCCTATGAATCCATCTTTTTAGATATTATTTATTAAACTTTTTAAAAACAGAATATGAGTTTATGTATGTAGAGTAGATGAATTATGATGGCGGAGTTTTCATTCCATTAGTAAATATTCCTGATAATTCGGATAATCGTTTTTGCATTTGTACTAATTATTTAAAAAAAAAAACATTTTGCATGAATGAGACATTTTGCAAACATACAGAACAAGATTATTAATAATTAAATATTCGTAAATACGGATTAATGCATAAACTACTTGTCACCACATTCCACAGTTGGAGCTACACATGTGCATATTCATATGGTTTTCAATTTAATTTAGCCTGTTTGATTCGTTGTATTACGGATTCGTCACTTCAGTTGTTTTATTATCTCCTCCAGTGCTTTGTGAAAATGAGCAATTGGTTTTGTCACTATATGTCTATATTGTGTACTTCATAATGATGATGAATACATACAACTTTGTTTTGTGGTTAGATGCACGCTGGCTGCACCATGAACATGAATCTGTAGATGCGGTCCACATCTGGTGCTGACGATACGGTCGCATTGTGCTTAACGTAATATGTTTTGGAAAGGAGTATTGACAGGGTGTTAATAAACTTGGGATTATATTCATCATGTCGAGAAAAGATGATAATGGGATTCAAGAGGACACAACAACTTTCATCATATTTAGGTACGCTCATCTGGCTTTATTTCAGCTCAATGATGTAGAATGAAAACAGTTTAAGTTAGCTGGACTTGCTTATAATTTATTGTTTTGCAAGAAGAGTATTTGTTGACAACTAATTAGTAAAAAGACTGGCACAACCATACAACGAACAAGTTTCTCCAATTTTGAACAACTGACTGACTGATTAGGATCTTTTTCATGGCATATACTTTTCTCGTGGAATTTCAAGTATATTAATTATTCTTGACAAAGCAAGTATAATATACTTATTAAATACATATTACTGGATATACATCTCAAAACACAGATTTTCATTCGAGGATTCTTATTAAACTGTGTATTTGACATGAGAAGGTCAAAATATAAAATTTATGACATTTAAGAAAACATACAATTTCGTTGCGTTGATCATTCATTCATTTAGCAAAATACAGGAAATACGTACCATAGGCGGGCGGCATGTCATTCGATTAATCTATTTTACTCAAAGTATTTATTTAGGTTTGCACATCAAATTAGAGTGAACAACTTCACACATTTATCAAAAATGATCACGAAAATACACGTCGGTAGGATCAGCATGGCCTGTCTCTGTATTACAATTAGTACATAATATCTTAATATTCTAGTGTTCTCGCTATACTATACATGATACTTCCAATAAAAGCTATGTATGTCTACATATTTACCTATATTTTTAATGCAGCTAGTTCAAGTAACCATATTTTTACTCACTGAGCTGGTTCGATTCGACATATTCTTAAATAATTATATTATTGTTAATATTATTGAATTATACGATACAAGTCGGACTGGATGCAAGTTTATGTTAAAAAGTAAATGAACACTAATTTGAGAGCGAAAGAAGTTTTAAAATAATAATTGAAATTATCCGAAACAGTCTGCTGGACTTTAGTTACATCTTTGTAGCACATTCGCATCAAGTTGCAACGAACCTTTATGCATACATACATTTACATCCTTAATTTAATTCAGAGGAGAATTTGAGTAATGTTGTAAAATAGTACGGTCAGAAATGTAATAAAAACAAAACACGGAGATATTCGTGATCAGTCCGTAATAGTTAAAAAAAGATTGAGGAACGATCTTTATGTGTAACGTAAATTAATTATTACATTTGCAAGCGACGATAGCGTTTATAGTTCAATTCAGCAGTATACAATCATTTTTATGTGATAGTAAGTAACAAAAGATTACTTATTATAGCTCAGTTCAGTTGCTCATTTTCGTCTGATTTTTTTAGCAATTTGTAAAGTGAAATAAGACTTCTGCTTATCAGAATTTCTCAGTCAAGTGTAGCGTCACAACCAAATCCAGCATGTATGAACGTAATGAAATGCTCTCTTCAATGTCCCCCGGTTAATTTAATTATGCTACCACGGTATACAAACAGGTACTTAAAATATACTTAAGATTTTTCCTAAGGCATCTTTGAGCAAAAGCCAAGACGAAAGTATCCGTGAGCTTCTTTATAACAGACAAAGACAAATGATACCACTACGTATAATAAAACAGACATGCTCAAGAAAGTCTCATTCCATAATAAAATACGGTTAAGCAAATTGTGTGTGCAATGCTAATAAATAATTTGGAATACAGTGATGACCAGATCAGCAATTTGAATATAACGTTATCCTCACATACGACGTAGGAACAAAGCCTTCTTCTAAAGAATTTTGACGCCGAACTCTTGTCCAGCCATCCCCTTGATCTAGCTCTACTACATACAATTGTTCCTGCAAAAATTCAGATAATATAAATACCATGAGACTTGACATCAAAAAGCTACTCGGAGAGTACTTGATTTTATGTTGGTTCACTTACCCCCAAGTACATGGGAATGCTCCCTTCTGAAGATGCTATATGTTCAAAGAAATTACACCTCGTTAATGAAAACTCAATATATGTAAGTAATACAAAATAAAAATAAAAGCTATTCAAACCTACTTTTACCTTCGAAGCTATACAATGCTTCGCAAGTTCCTAAAACAGGAAGTGGATCATCATATTCTCCATTTTCTGTATCATTCTGTTCAAAATCCGAGTCTGGTAAACTAGTGTGTGATGTGCTAATCCCAGATTCCGGACTATTTGAAGAACTGCAAGGTTTAGAAACATTGAATCCAAAGGAATGCATTTCAGAGAAACAAAATAATGTGCAAAATTGACTGACTGACCCATGAGAAGAAGGCAAAGGCGTTCCAGGTGCAGATGGTTTATTGTGGTGATGATTGTTTTGGCTTGTGAAAAAAGAACAGTCAAAACAGTTGAGTCAAAACAGTCAAAACAGTTTTGGCAACGAGGGAGTTGGATAATATTCACAAATGTAATAATAATACAGAATGCAATAGTGGGGAACACTGCAACCCAAGACTTACCTCAGGTCAGACGCACTTCTACTTAAAGATTCGTCTGAACCACTGCTTCTATTCTGTGAAGTTCTGGATCCATTTGAGGAACCATAGCCCCCATTTTGTGGCATGTCCATTTCATTTAGGTACGATTGATATTTGTGCATCTCTTGTTGCAGTTTTTGCAACCTGAAAGTAACAAATTCAAATTAAATTAATTGTGATTAAACAAGCAGTGAGTAAAGTTTCGGTGTAATTTTACCTTTGCACGCTTTCCCGAAGTTGTCCCTCTATCGCACTGGGATCACCTAAATTGCTAGAATATCAAAAATCCCTGAATTGAGTATATCATATTATATGTGTAACTACATACTACATACAAAACGAGTCAGTTTGAGTTTTTTTAATTTGTGTAATAATGTGTAATCTTAATGCCGTACAGCTACATATATTTATTTTTACTACTGACAACTGAGGTGACATTTGAAAGACAGGAGGAAGTACAGAAAACGCGTAGAAGCCCAAGGTTGAATTGGCGAATTAGAAATACTTACGGATTTGATTGATAGACGGACTGCATTTTTACTAAGCCATCCCTATAATTTGCATAATAGAATAAAAAGTAAGATTGACATATTCATAGATTGTCTAAATACGAGATGTACACTAATGCTTACCTCGCAGCAGTCTCTTGTTGAATTTTAGCAGAAAATTCATCAATTTTTTGTTGCAATTTTTTCCTTCTTTGGTTTGGAGGTAATTCGCTATAGTCATCCCGACCGTCCGTGTTATTTCCGGGCTATAAAGATAACCAGTCTTATTATAATCGAGCCAGTTTTAGGGACGCAAAAAATTTAGACGCATACCTTGGTGTTTCCAAAAATGCCAAAAATTCCTGTTCTTTTCTTAGACTTTCCAGCAGACATTGTGCCTTTATACGTTAGTGATTGACTTTCTGGTTTTAAGGAATTGCCATATCCATTTGGCTGGATGGGTGGAGCTTCACCATTTTTTATAGCACTAACAAACCAAAGTATGGTTCAAGCCAGGAGATAAGAAACCAAATTAAATTCCTATTGAATTTCAACATACCTTAGATCTTCTTCTTAGTTAGATTTAGATTAAATTGTGGTTCCAGGGTGAAATGAACATAGAATGAAAGAGACATTGTACATTGAGTAATCTATCGCATTTAGTCGTTTAAATTCTATGTAAAGTCAGTGAGATGTACATATTTGTCTCACTTAAACACATACGCCATACGCTACGTATGCATAAATACATCAATACTTACCAAAAGGTATATCTTCAGGTGGCTGGAAACCCGACTTGAACCTTACAAAACCGAGAAATATTAATTAAAAACTGTTAGTTACGCATCTCTTTTCTTCAAATGGCGAAACCTGGAGTTATGGTCGTTGAACGGAACACGACACTTGGGACATTCAATATTTTGTAAATACAAATCGGAATATTTTTGCTCACCTTTCAATTACAAGGTTGGAATCCTGAAACAATTTTCTCCATTAGAATCACTCAAATATAATATGCATCACTATGCCCAATAGGTTTAATTAAATTATTGGCAACTAACAGTTTCGTCATCTATTGCATCTGCAGATTTCAATATTCCATCGAAACATTTATTGATGATGGGATCTGTTATTAAACAAATGTATTAATTAGTAATTAATTTCTCACATTTTCTCATGCAAATATTTAAATAATTTATGCACGAGTGTATGTACATGTTTGTTAGTCGGTATTATTATTGTTTAGATTTTTAACTTACAGACTCGACATTCCATTTCTGTTGTTTGTTTCATATTTAATTTCATGCACTTTACTCTTCTCTGATCTACGTCTTGCAGTCCTTGGAAAACGGAAGGCATCAAAACTCGGTAGAAGCTGTTCACACCACAATTATTAAACCAATATGTATCACATTATTAATAACAGAAAACCCGGGTTTGGCTAACCTGTTTTGCATTTCATTTGCTTTATCCAACTGAAAAATAAATATAGCACGATTAATAATTATTCATAACATTCAATTGACATATAATTCAATTTTGTATAAAAGCTGGCAGGTTTTCTGCTATTTCGAGTCTCCTAACCTGGTTGGCATATTCCTTTTTTGTGTCTTCACATTGCTGCGATTTATACAAAGACTGAAGTCTCGTCTTTTCTACCTAAAATATTGATTTTTATTTGATTAAAAGATTTGTGCTTAGAGTTATTTTTTTATTTAAATATTAATTTTTTATTTAAAACCTTACCTCTGCTCGAGAAAGATTCAGGTCTGCATCTGCTCTTTGAAATGTTTCAAGCGCTGTTTCCGATGCACGGAAGGCTTTCTCATAATTTTTTTTGGCACGATCAAGATTTGCAAGTTGAGTTTGTAAATGGTTTTGATGGCGAACCCCTTCAACCAAGTTCCTTTTCTTCTCCTCCTTCAACTCCTTGGCTCGGGTTTGGACGTCTCGGGTGCAGATTTGATTTAGATTTTCAGAAATTATTTCATGCTGTAGTGGGAATTATATACACATGTTAATATACCTAACTCATTTCCTGAAACCTACCCAATTACATTACATCATTCTAACAGTATGTACAACAGAATTCAACTAGTTTCTTTAAGTTGCTATTAACCTACGGTACGTACCTGTCCAGCTAAGTCATTGATTTCATTCAGCATATCTCGAAAACTGGACATGCACGAAAACCTGTCAATCAGTAATAATTGCATTATAGATTAAGTTGCATACTTACAATAATCAAAAAGGAAATAAATTTAAATATAAACTTGAAGATTTATTTGCATATTATATTTATCCATACATATTGTCTGGTCATACTCAACGTATATGATGCACCATGTATTTATCCGGATCGACAACGATTATTATTAAAAATGCACTATAATAATGCACTATCTATGATTAGGACGTGTCGCTTTTTGTCCTTCGTTTCATTGAAATGCTTTTGTAATAAAATCAATGAAAACCGTTGGTTGATGTGAAAATTGTCAGATTAGTATGAATTAGAGCCCATTAGTAACTGTATGCAGTATGCCACTTGTTAGCCCGAACCAGGGTTTATGTAACCGGTATGTCCGTCAGTAAAGTGTGTGGAAACTAACTGTAGTAACCCTAGTCGTTGAATTTGGAACCACAATTAGGGAACGTAGTCGGATTCGTATGTATCTGACAAAATTTAAAAGAATACTCTGACTCGGACTCGGGCTTAATATCTAGTCAGAATTTTTTTCTGTTTACGATTTCACATAAATTATGTTACTTCATAAATCATACATCGTCTAAACCCTTTTGGCGTAACAAAAAGAGATCGGCTTTGGTATTCATATTTTTGTCAATTAAAAGGAAAAAAGATACATCCATACTAAATAGTATGGCACCAAACCATCCATTTACTTGAAGAGCAATCTACTAAATACAGAAATAAAATCCTTGAATCCTTAAAGCAAACTACACGTGCATTTACACTCTTAAAGACATAAGCAATGTTTAAAATGATTTTAGTTTGTTGTGTTAAATATATTAAAAGTATATATAATTTTCCTTTTGCTGAGTTACGCAGTCCCAAGATTGCTAGGAAGAGGTAGGAGGTTGGGTTGGACCCGACCATAATCGTGGATGCATTTCTATTTTTGGGGGTTGAAATTGTCGGACTTTATGAGAAAGGAAAAAACAGCAGCAGACATCACTTACTGTAAATCTTCCTCTTCCTTCTTCTTGGGGAGATAAGTTTTGACGAGTTTCCTGTTTAAAAAAAATTATCATTTAAATGTCAGCTTCAAATTCGTTCTGCTAAAGTCAAATTAGCATTTATGAATGAGCAGTTGTGTACATAAAGGAACCGGATTTATGAACAAAAAAGTACATGTCAGAAGAGACTTAATGCATGTTTAATCATTGTATTAAAGCATTTCTCCAACGCATTATAATTATCTATTTTAAACTGCCAAGTTTATTATCCAACACGCATTCCTACTAAATGTAATGCGGTTTAACATATCCGGCAAAGCAATAGCTTCGCGTATAATCTAACAAATATTATTGAACAGCTTATTCTCATAATAAAACTGATCTGATGAAAAGTTTTTTCAAGGAAATTTTATATTTATTTTACAATGCAAATTTGTAATTTATAAAATAATACCTCAACTTTCCGGCATACTCTACTTCAATATTGGCCCTATCACGTAGAAAATGGCCATATCGTTCCAAGAAATCCAACCCCTTTTGTGTGTGTTGGGACACATTGTCGTATTGATCCTGTTGAAAAATAAAACAAATTATAAGACCACGAACAGCAATTCATAGCGGTAGCATTATTTTATTAATAATTACACATGCGAAAAAACTATTGTTCAAAACCTGCGATTATATGAAAAGTGCATAATTTCAAAATGCACTCGGCCAATGATATGTATACAACTTGAATAATACAAGTTTACAGCTCCATACTATATTGTGTTGTGGATCTTTAATTATTATGTGCTAATTAGTAATACAAATATCATCAAAAGATGCGAAATACTACAAACATTAACAGCAAATGATTAGCACTGCAAAGATGTGCGTATTTTGCAGAGAGAGAAATCAGATAATTGGTACTGACTGGCCGCAATTGATTTGTTAATGGATACCTTAAAAAGTTGAAAGAAATCTCTCATGATAGTATTATCCTTGGATGAGACTGCTGAGACTAAAAAAACAAGTCTAATCTTGAAGTTCGAAACACGATTAATGTCAACCTGTCAACTAGTCACATAATATCATCACTGTTGCATATTATTACCAACGCCATTGCGTTAATTTGCCAGAAGGAGGGAATCATTAACCTCTTCTATAGAAAACTTCTTCCATTGGTAAACAATCGCATTGAATTGTAAATTGTAAACAATGACGATTTTATAATAGGGTCGCCACCCCAAGACAGTTTCAAACCAAATGTTGAAACTGTTCCCAATCCCCGAGACGGGAGTCACTTTTTTTGTTAAGGCATCACTCGCATAACGTCACACATTTTCGATATTTTAAAGGAAATCAAAAGATTGGAATGATTTTTACTGTCAAGTAACAGTGGTTGGATGTCACTCAATTAATTAATTAGCCGCCTGTGTTACATACACAGTAATACAGATTAACCACATCAAATACCCGACACATACATGCATACATATGTCGCATACTTGTAGTAACAACAGCTACATAGTAACAAGTAGGAAGTGAAGTAAGAGTTAGAAGATTACACAGGATTAATTTGCATAAACAACAGCACTGCTAAATACTCTTGCGTGTGAACTCTTTCCTTTTAATAAAGTAGCAAAACTAAACCCAACAAGCAAGTATTAAAACAATGCTTTTGTTTCCTTATCTTCATTCGTCTAGTCGCCATGCATATGTATGTGCGTAGTGTTATTTAGAAGTGTTTCCTCTTTAATATATACGTGCACAGTGGTGTGCACTCTTATCATCACATTTTAAATGCAATTTTTATTCACGAACCCTGCGATTCATGATCCCTAGAACTTTCCCTCAATCAGACTCTGCCGTATTGTTGAAAGTACAAATCAATGGGTTTCCTAATTTTTGCAAACCATCCGCCATTATTATTCTTCGTATATAGAATAATTTAAGATGTACGAGTTTTTACACACTTATTTGAATGAGGTTTTGGAATTTTGTGCGTACGTTATTTCGTGACTGTAATGACACTGATTGACATTTAGGTAAAACTGGATTTGCTACTACATTGTAGTAACCAGATTGTTGTCCCTCGTCTAGATTGTCGATTGGGGTGGAAATTAAATTGGTTCATTAAACAACAACTCTGAATTATATCCACTCTGATAACAAAATTACAAGTTTTAATTTTACTGTACATACTTGAGCAAACTTTGTAAATTAAAATGACGATGCATGGGGTTTCGCGTATACATATACCAATGTGTTAATTGAGGCGAATCGAGATGCATCGGAAAATTGGGATTAACAGCTTGAACCAACCAACCAACCAACCTTGTGCCTTGAATACAAATTAATGTTACAAAATACGCAAAGATTTCTGCGTTGCATTGTTCAATTGGCTTGGAAGAACCAGAACAAACCCATTTAGCCACAAATCTTTAATTTTGCTGCTTATTTCATGCAAAATGTAAGATTTCTAGAGCAGCAGGGTGTATGAATTAATTTAAAATCACTGTTGTGGTTAAACCCTTATGAGATTAGTGGAGACAAAAGATTTTGTACTGCTGTCTGGAATTAATGCGATCAAAGTTGCTAAATTGTTATTAAATTGTACAATGATCACTTACCCAGAGTTCTGTTCCCCAACTCATTTTTTAGCAGAGAGTCTCTCGTAACAAGCCACACATCCACATGAAATTCAATCCAACTTGTCCATACACAGGGGAGCAGTTGTCAACAAAATTAATATATTTGCATATGGTGGCGTGAACTATGATTAGCTCCAAAATGTCCTTTGCACGTACACATCACACAATCAGAGAAACTAAATGCAAAAACGATGTGGGACAAAATCAACCCCACAGGTTTACACCAGGGTGTTTAATTTGACATCCGCCCGTTGTTGTGTTATTATTATTCAAATGTCCAAAATTTGGGTGAAAACCAAGGACTCCTCCATCCGTGCAATGAATCAAGAGTATTTGGAATACTTGACGATATCCATATGCACTGGCAAAATCATCATAATGGTCTGATTTAATATTACTTTACACTTTCCTTTTCCTCGTAAATATTGAACTTGCAAAATGGTTTGAATGACTCAATCACCTATCCATTAACATATAAAGGTCGAATGTATCGACTCAATATTTGTACTGGACGACGTCACGTCAATTGATTTAGAGTAGCCACAAATGTCACAATAAATGTGTGTTGCACTTTTTCACGTAAATTAAAAGTCAAATGTCATGACGAGTGGGATTAAAATATAAAGAAACAGTGCACCCTTTCTTGTAAAATTACATCACATATGTACAATGTACACAGATATATATATATGATCGTACACTGATTTTTTTAGTTCTTCTCTATCTCTGCTTTCTTCCCACGCTTCTTTTTGCCAAGTTGCAGATCTTTTAGCTCATTATTGCAGAGTTGCGTTGTCCAATTTTGGAATCGAGTCAAGATCACTGTTATGTTGACTATTACTGCTCCGCCATGATAAAATGAGCACAAGCAACGACGACGATGATGATGATGGCAACACGCGAAAAATAGGAGAAATATCTGAAATTCGTACAATTTATTTATTATATTTAATCGGAAAGGGTATATTTCTTTCTGCAACTTGGTACGTCGATTTATGACTCAGCAGTAGCTCACTATCTCATCAATAATTAACGACAACAACGTGCTGATATAATAAATATGGTATCTATGTTTGGTTTTGTGGACCAATCGTTGTGTATTTAACATATCAAATACCCTGTGAGTGATAAATGTGATTTGTATTACAATAACGTGACGTAAATGCATCACTAACACTGAACAAAGTTACAGTACAAAACGCATTCGCTAAATAATAGTGACAATTTATTTCCTAGGATCGCATTTTGGTTTTGTCACATTACTGAAAGTGAGGTATCATCACTATTATCAGTACGTATGATTTAGACATGTCTGTTAATCCAAACTTTTCGTATTTTATAATAATGGTCAGCACTCAGCAGAAATAAAAGCTTGTGTGATATGTACATATATATGTACCCTCTTTATACATCTTGACATTAGTACAACACATTTTCTCAATGCCAAAAAGTAGAGATTACTAAGGAATGTCGTTGGTCATACATATCCACTAAATATTATTTAGGATGGTGGTGAGTAATTCCGGATCTCATTAAAATCTCACTAAAATGTGACCGGAATATGAGCTACTTCCACGTCGAAAATAAATAAATTCTCTCTCCCTTCACTTTCTCCAGGATTTCAACACTCTCACTCATAATGCAACCTTTCGACGAAATATTATTCCACTATAATACCATACATTTTCTAATGCTCCAACTATTTAAACAATGTTGCGACACACAATTTCGCCCCTTCATAAATATTTAGCACATTTACATATGTCGCACTTTTTACTTTGATAATCGTCATATTCGTCATTCAGCGTGTAAGCAAATACAAACTAAACTTACCAATTTAAAATAAATAAGACCTAATGCACGCTGGCGGGTTTATAGATTTTTGACGGGTTTAATATTTTTAATCAGCGAATTATCCGAGGCTTTTGAAATTTTGAATGTTACCGTAAAAATTACCCCTTTCTGATCCTATTAATATTTGTTAAAATTGTCTCCGTTATTTATTTATTTAGATGCAAAGTCGTTAACACTACTGCTGACTGCAATACCACACAACAGCACAAGTCGCACTTAACTTGAGTTGGTTACAAATCCATCCATAATTAAAATAATAGTTTGCAGCAAAGTGGTTGGTGGATGGATGTTATGTTGGGTATATGGTTTTATTTAGTAGTTTGTATTGTATTTGTAACGTAGTGAATCATGGTTCATTATGGTGAGCAGTTCACTTCAGTGCAGGGTGAGAATGAGAATATTATTATTGGGAAAGAATTTTGGTTGAGTGAGTCAGAGAAGATTTAGCGGAAGGGTGTCTCACAAATTGGCCCTTCAGGCCAAGGGACGTGCATAGACCACCCATTTTTTAAATATTTTTCAAAATTATCCTACCTCAATCTCCACTTTTTCAAGAATCAAGAAACGGATTCAGTTTGAGTGTTTATTTGGCCCTAAAATGAGTTGGTACGTGGAGAAAGCAGGTGGTGAAAGCAGACTTCAACGAGCTATCTACTTATGTGGACTAGTTAAAATCAAATATACCGTTAAAATAATATTCGCAGAAACTTATCTTGAATGTTTATGAAACTTTTTGACTTTCATGCGATGGGTTTTGTCTCCCTGTTTATTCTGGGGTGAAACTTGGTGGATATGAACCATCCTTTGGATTGAGAAACAGGCTTTTGCATTACATTGCTTTGCTGCTGTAAAGTATTTGGTGAATGGATGAAACAAACGGTTTCTTTTCCTTTCTTGATGCTCTCTGCAAGTATTACCATACAGTGTTACCATCCATCCCATATTAAAGTTATCTTTAATCTAGTTAGTTCAATCCACCCCCGTCTCTATGTATCTACCTCGGCCAGCTTCTGCCATCTCATGAAGATTGTGCTCAGTCAATTGCCAATTAACTTAATTGTAATGCAAATATTGCCGAATTAATACGCATGGGAAAAGAGTTTATTGCATTCTAGTTGCGGTATAGAGAAGTGAGCGTGACTTTCTCCGGAGAAAGGTTGCTTGGGGTGAAGTGAGAAACTCACCGTATTCGACAATCCAGTAATATTTCTATTAATTACTGCAGTTAACTAAGTACATGCTAAAAGTAAACTGTTTATATTGAATTAGAGGGTGTCGATTAGTAGAGATTTCAAAAATGTCGTCGTATGTCGAAGTCTTTATTTCATTAAATGTAAACAATGCTTAAGATCTCTATACAAAACATGACCAATGATGTACTGATCACATAAAACATGGTTACAATTTGAGAAAACAAAGAAACAATGACCGAGTTTTTTTGCATAACAAAATTTGGAATATCGCTGGCTACTTCACCTCAACCTTCTGGCTTCTCTTTCAGATTCCAGTAACGTGAGGATGTCCCCCTCTCGAACCGGGCCCTTGACGTTCCTGATAATTTGGCGGTTCTGCTCCCCAAGGAACTCCACTTTCACTTGGGTACACTGACCCTGAGATCCAGTTCGCCCTAGGATCTTGGTCACCTGTGTACAAACAACAGCAATTAATATAAGAATTGTATTAATGAACGAAAGTTATCTTGATTGCAACTTGAAACTACAATAATGAAAATTCAAAACAATCCGCAATATTTTAAGAAATTACGATTATTTTTGAGAAATTAAAAAAACACATATCAGGTTTTACAGATTATATTATGTTTGTTTCAAATTGTATGTGGAATAGAGAAAAGTTGAACCTACACGAGCCAAAACGACAGGTCTTTCCATTGTGAAAGTGTTCTAGACTTCCTTCAAAAGTTAGCTGGATTTTTCAGAAGTTGGAAGATTTCGAAAATTTTGGGCTGGGAGGACGATGTCAGAGAGAAGTCGGATTGTTGGTGCCGAATAACGTGGTGCATGCCTCAGAAATAATTTTGGATTTCTTCGCCGCAAACACCCGCGAGGCTTGAATTACAGGGGTTTAGTGACACATGAAAATCAAAACATTCTTCAGTGGAAATTTCTGTGATACCTTTTTAAAGGAATTTTAAGGGATTTTTTAAGGTATGTAAATCATAAATTTAGTCTATTCCCAAGTATTTTCTCATTTGTTTTTGTTTGCCTGACTGCTTTTGAAATGTAGGTGATAAGGTTTGTTGAAAGCCAGGCATTTATGCACTACTTTCTCAGAGTTTCAGAGTTAAAAAATTGCCTCTCTTCAAGTGAATGAAAACAAACCGAAGACTGTTGTACGACAAAGCGATTAGTTAATTCGCCATGGATCAGGATATAGAAAGTCTTAAAAGTCAGCTAAGCCAAATGCAGAGCCTTCTCCCATTAGTTACTGGAGAAGAGAAAGTGGAGATACAAAATGTTATCAGTCAGTTGGAAGAACTTATCTCAACAGTGTCTGCATCCACTAGCAGACCCAATGAGATTTCAATTCCAGATGATGACGAGTATGCAATGTTTTCGGTACGAGTTTACAATCATTATAACTGCGGTGTGCATATGCATTTATGTATAAATATGTGTGCATATAACATTTTGCAGGCTGAAATCGCGTCAATTGAGCAAGAGTTTAGCAATCTTAACAATGGAACTGAAAATAGCACTGCGACCACATCCAGCAAGATCTCTATAAATGACATTGGAACAGAACACGATGTAAAAGACGTACAAGAACAGGGGTCCACGATACAAGAAGAACTGTCAGCACTGGAGGGGATGAGAGTATGAAGAATTTATAAAAATAATAATTAATTGCTATTTTCCATAATTACATGACGGTTTGGCTATGTAGTGTATAGCCCCTCATGAAGAACAATGGGGTCAAATTGGCTATTATCCCGCAATGATCTCAGAAGTTATAAATTGTGACAAGAGTGGTACAAAGCAAATTTAACATATTGTTTCATAAGATTCTTAAAACGGAATGCAATGTTATTATTTTTTAAAGATTTAGATGGAAGTACTGATGAATTTAACTGTGTATCTGAAATCAAAGTACGAGTGATTTTCCTTCATCCGGTTGTAAAAAGTCAGCTTATGTGTCCATACTTGAAAGACAATTGCTGCAAGTTCTCAGAGTTTGAATGTCGATACTCACATGGAGAAATAGTACAATTTTCAAAGCTTCGTGACTATAGGTAGTTAATAAGAGATTAATTAAATTTGACAACAATTACTATTTCCATTCTTATAACTTGTATATCTATATTTCTTAGTGAACCCGATTACACCAAGGTTGTTCCCTCTGCCCGAGTCCTTGCTAAATATCATGATGGCCTTTGGTATAATGCTACAGTACTAAGTATAAGTTAAAAATGTTAACACCTTATTTCGTGGTCAGCGCTCGAAATAATCAGAACCTTTTTTTATTTATTCGCATTATCAGGGCTTACGAAGGATGGTAATTGTGAAGTTCAATTTGACAAAGACGATACATCTTCAAAAATTGGAGTTGATGAAACTGTCCCCTTGAACACTAGTGAGATTGAGTCGTCAGACGAAGAAGAGTATGAGGACGATGTCTGTACACTTTACGAGGATGTAGCTACACAGAATCTAGAATGCGACCTATTGAAGATAACTAGTGCTGACGTTTTGGGAGATTGGGAAAAGCACACAACGGTCTGTGGACCATGAACTATGTACACTTGTAAAAAAAACTCGTTAAATACATTAAATAATTTTAATTTCTATTTAGGGATTTGGATCACGGTTGATGATGAAAATGGGGTACGTAATGGGATCTGGATTAGGTAAGGAATCTGAAGGCCGTGTGCTTCCTGTGGATGCAATTATGGTACCCTTGGGCATGTCTCTAGACCAATTTATGAATTTAAAAGAGAACAAGAAAATAGGAAAAGAACGATTTAGTGTAGAAAAAAAGTTAAAACAGGCTCATAAACATCATGCACACAAAGAGAAGCAACTTTCTGAACGGAATAAGAAAATCACATCAGTCTTTGACTTTCTAAATAATAAACTTCACAAAAAGAAAACTGTAACAAGTATTTCAAGCTCTTTAGGGAATGTACAGAAAAAGAATTGTCTGTCACTAAAGCAGGACATGCTGAGCGTTGGCGAAGAAATGCGAAAAGTTAACAAAGATATTACAAAAATGCATCAATCACTTAAACGAATCGAAGGAAGGGACGCTGCAACAGAAAATTTGATGAAGAGTAAGTTAGGTGAGCTGGAAATTAGGCGAAATGAACTAGTCCGTATTGAAAACAGTATCATCAAAGAACAAAATAATAGATCAGATAAGAAAAAGTTGACAGAATTTTAACATGCGTTAAATTTAATTTTCTTAATCTGCAACATTATTTTATTTTCGTATATATTTCTTAAATTCGTTATTAGTGTGTTAACCAACTTTATGATTTACATCGTTAATTATGATACCTATTTAAGTGTGTGTCGCACAAAATATTGAATAATTATTTGTTAACCTTAACAATCGCATGCTAAGTAATAAAAACATTTCATCTTAAGTAAAATGATCGTGTTTACTTATTTATTCTTAGGTGAAGGGAAAGTAACCATAAAGTGATCATGTTAAAAGATCACCATGGTTACGGCGAAGCCTAGGTATGCATTCAGCTGCAACTTTGAGAAACTCCCACTGAGATTTCTCCCCAACCGTTCGTTGTACGGAAAACATGTTGAAACAAAATAGTTAGAGAATTCGGTTCTACAGTGACATTTTTCTTATTTTTTCCAAATTCTAATTCCTTCAGGTAGAAAGTCCGATGGGCAAATCGATTTCTTGGCATCAAGGAAGTATTTCCCACCGGGGGCTTGCCATTTTTACTATTCTCCTGGATAATACGCACATTTTAAGCCTTTATTCAACTTAATCGGATGAAAACTCAAGGGATTAGAGCTTTTTGAAATATTGTCATTAAGCAACCTATTTACGTATATATACAGGTGTTAGGTTACTGGTTGCTAACGTATGCTAATAATGTCAGCTTTATTTTTTATTAGCATTACTATTTCAACATATGTAACATTCCTTAAAATTCTGAAAAATTAAGCATTGATCAAATTCCATGAAATACAATGTTACTGATCCACCCACTCGGGATTAAATTAGTATGCCACGCATTCACCCATGGGAAAGTTCACAACGTTTAAGAATTGATATTATGATTTTATACATTTAAGTTCACACTTCACTAAAAATAATTAAATAAATAAATTTTAAAAAACAAACTTAGGTGAAGGACGCGCTTAAAATATTAAAACAAGAAGCATTACAAAATGTTACAATATCGTTTAATATTTTGTAACTTTTCTTCACCGTGGGCCCAACTAACGGAAAAAAATACTTTCAGGCATTTTGTGTAAACGAAATACGTAATTTTTATATAATAAACTTGCTAGATTTGAATTATTATCTTTCAATAAATAGTGACTTTGCACATGTGGTATAGAGAAAATTTGCCAACGTCTGACTCATTTTAATAACTATCCCTGAAGCAGATAGACTTATCGTTTTAATTGTCGCTCTTTTAGTTGCATTTAGTGTTAATTATCGCTGTGAAAATGAAATAGGTAGTTGGGCCCACGGTGAAGTAAAAGTTACTAAATATTAAACGATATTGTAACATTTTGTAATGCTTCTTGTTTTAATATTTTAAGCGCGTCCTTCACCTAAGTTTGTTTTTTAAAATTTATTTATTTAGTATGAAAACCAAGCAAGATAAAACAGTACGCCACGCCATAATAAATTAAATTTCAATTCTACTGTCATTGTGCGGCATTGGCATTTTCTCTTTATCGATGAAGGGTCACTATCTGCCTTGAGTCCATATATTGAATTCTGATAAGATAGGCAATCTTTGCCTATCCTATCTGCCCAAGAGGACGCAGCGCCATGGTGACTACTCTATGAATTGCATGTCAAATCGAAGCAATCGAGGTTGAATAATTCGGTCAGAAACGCTTTTCCTAGTCTGAGTAACTTTTAAAAAATTGAAGCATTTTCAAAGAATACAACGGAAGTTAAGTGAAGGCCATGGCTGACCCGCTGGAAAAACCTTTGAAATGGAATAAGAATTTCCAAGTTTACGTTGAAAAAAATAACCTGTATGATGTATTCCAGGTATGGAATAGAAGGAACCGTTTACAACTTATAACGTATAGTAATTAATTAGTAATATCATATCTCTACTAAATCGTCCTTAATCCTTCAAGGAAATATTGAAAGAAATCATCATAGCAAAACCAAAGGACCCTTTACTTTTCATAAAAAATCATGCGACTGGAATCGCGAAAGGGATTTACAATCCGCGTGCATTCATTGTTGGCCCGAAAAGTACAAGAATACAAGTATCTGAAATTGAAATAACATAAATAGTCTAAAATGTTTCCTGTACATCTACGTATTTAGTTGCTGAAATCATTGGGAAGCGTTTGGCGAACACGGTTGGAGCACAATTTCTGTCATTGGACCAAATAATTAAGGAAGCATCTTCAACTGGACAACCCGAATTGGATCTCTTTGCCAATGGGATTGATCGAGGAGATGAAGAATCCAGAAAAATACTGGTTTCTATTGTTCAGAGGCGAATTTTTGCGGATGATTGCGAGAAGAAAGGCTACCTCTTATATGGTCCGTGTGTCCTATATGCTATATAAAACATTTGAGCCTCTTCCAACCAAGCTTATAATAGATATAACGTTTTGCGAATTTTTATCTAGGTTTCCCTCAGAGTAAAGCTCAAGCAATTTGTGCTCAGAAAATGGGTCTTCTTCCACGTCAGGTTTTCGTCTTCCTGCCAGATACGCGACTCCGAACCGAGGATGATGACGAGCTTGAAGGCGAAATTGAAGGTCGCACAGTTGATAATATGGCACTAACAATGACTTTGTCAAGGAGCGCCATGAAAAACATAAGCCCCGAATTGCACGCCCTGCTACTGAAGGATATAAGTGCTTCTTACCATTATGACATTTGCAAAGTGAGTTTTCATTTTGTGTAGAATTTATAAAGATAATTTTATTGGTGTACCTTTGTGTTGAAAGGTCATTTCGTTTGACAAACTAGTGAAAACTTCTAAAGCTGATCTCGATTCAGAATTAACCGGAATTTTGATGACCTGGAAGCCTTTGGGAAGTCCTTTTATTCCAAGGGTAGTAATTATGGGGTGAGATATAACATATTACCTCAAAAATGCAGGGTTGCAAGGCATGCTAGCAATAAATGCATGTTTTACAGGCCTCCTGGAAGTGGAAAGTCATCAATTGCGGAATTTCTATGCAAAAAGTTTTCAATGGTGAACTTGGATTGGGTAGAATTAGTCAGAGGGGCAGAACGTTGGTATGTATTATGTACCAATTTGTGATTCTCATAAATAATACAAAGATTGCAAAGTGAAGCATTATTGGTGGTAAAATTATCTGGTTTTTAAGGAATGACGAAATTGCACTGGAAGCTAGAACTTACCTGACAAACCTCGTTCCAATGGCTGATGAAGTGGTGAAAACAATAATTTCGGTATAAAGCGAACATAAGAGGATATAATAGATATCTATGTACGATTATGTTTATAATATTTTAATTCCGAAAACTAGAGGAGACTTCAAAAACCAGATTGCGAAAAGAGGGGATGGATACTTCATGGATTTCCAGAGAACATTAAGCATTGTAAAATCCTCGAGACATTGTACTAAGAACACAAAATAAGAGAATGAACAGGAAATGGGGCAAGATGAGAAATTCAGACTTTTATTGTATTTTGTAGATACCTAGAACCTAATCGGATATTTATGCTGAGTTGTTCTCAAGAACTTTCTGCTGCCCGGATGCTAAAGAAAAAGAAGAACATTCTCAAACGCGAGCTGAACGGGGTGGCTGGAACATTGGGCAACATTGAGAAAGGAAATTACCTGATATTTCCATTTAGTGAAGCATCTGTGGAGAAACGATTTGAAAATTTTGCAAAGTCGTTGGACAGCATAATCCCACATTATGGTATGTCAATTGTGCATCGAAACCGATATTTTAATATTTTACTCCAATCCTATCATAATATAATGCAATTTGCTTAGGATCAAGGATCATTTACGTAGACGCAGCAATGAAGCCATCCGACGTGAAAAACTTTGTGGAGACTTCTATTCACCGACCACCAATTCCACACAATGCTTGAAATTAAATGATGCTAATCATTTCAATCCTCACCAACATTTCAGTCGACATAACTTGATTTGTATTTTATTGATTCGTAATAAGCTACTAGCATAATGTGGACATGGGATAAGAATAAAAATACCCATATTTTCTGCTGATAAAAACACGACTCTTGTTCTATTTAATTCGGTCGATATTTGCGTGTATAGTAAAAATTCGTTAAACTTAAATATAGTAATATTTTTAAAACAAAAGTTTGTAAACAACAATAATTATAATTGACATAATAAGTTAATATATGCATCATGTAAAAAAGTGTGGAGTGGATATATAAGTCTGCGCTTTTTGATACGCACGTCACTATGAAAAGTCTTTTTTTTATAAATATCTGTCATCGGGGGAGTTGCGACTTGGGAAAGTATTTATGGATTTATATATTTCTATGAAGCTAGCTAAATTTGAGAATAAGTAAACTAGACGAAACTAAATGTATATACCCTCCGGACCTCTACTGCTACTGTGTGAATGTTGCATTTGAATTTGAGGGTGAGCATTGTACATCACTTGAGTTGTCCCTGGAGGGCTGTGGATGCCTTCGGACCAGTCGGACGTGGAGTGGGGGGAGGATGACCATCCTGGGGATTCTGGGGACGGGGTGGGATAACTGTCCGGCCCATGGATGTGCTGAGGAGAGCCAGCAGAACTCTCTGAATGTTGAGATGGGGGTGTTGGATAATGGGCAATGCTGCTTCCCCCAGAATAAAACTGGTTCGCATTGCCGGTTGCACCAGATGGAGAATAGTCAAACGTGTTGTTCGACGAGGTGTTGCCATTAATGAGCTTCTGCTGCGTTGCAGCTCTTCTGTAACAAGAAAACATGCAACACATTGAAATATTTTAATATTTAAGAAATATCTAAAGAAGTATGAATACGAGAAGAGAGTTGTAGACTTACAGGGCAGCCATATGCGTGGGAGACGTTGGTAGGGATGGGCGCTTGTTGGGCGACGTGACTTGCGGGGGAGATCCGGCGTAGCTCGTTGGAGATGACGCTTGGAACTGGGACGCTACCGACTGGGGGCTAGGAAAGGGCGAGTTTTGTTGCAAGTACTGTTGCTGAGATCCATTATGCAAATTTCCACTCATGTTGTTTGAGTAGTTGGAAAATTGGAGGTTATGGAAAGAGACGGCCTTATTGTTGAAACAATCCTCGTACGGAGGGGGTGCCTTGTTGATTTGTAGTGTGCCATAAGTGTTGCCGTGCCCATGCTGATGGGGTTCAATTGATGATAGATTTGGCTGTGAGATGGCCATTGACGTTGGAGGAACATTAAACATGTTGTGGCTGCTGTGAAAGTCTGGCGGACTCATTGTGCTGCTGTCCCCACTGAGGGGGGATGAGTCTGTGGCATGGTTAATGACGCCCATACCACCACCACCTCCTCCTCCGTGCAAGAGAGAATCAGTCGACTTCTTCTTCCTGTTGGAGGGTCTTCGAGGTGGCTTTGGGCCTTGGCTGCTTTTACTATTGTCAACTAGATCTCCGCCCACATTATGGTCTGGCTTTATGGTGCGTTTCTTTGGTTTTGGTTGAGATGGATTCTGTACGCCTGGACTAAAATTGTCATTGTTCATCACTTGGGAGGGAGGAGAGTTAACATTGTTGTTCATGGATGACAAGTTGTTGGGAGCTTGGTGGTGAATTGTTTGAACGGCGGATGGACGAGGGACATGCTCATCCAAGAGACGAACAATGTCGTGGTGAAGCCGTTCTGCAGCAATATCTCGAGGCAATCGGTCCATATGGTCCGCAATGTCTCGGTTGGCCAAGTTGTCCAGAAGAATCCGACAAGTGTTGAAACTGCCTTCCCGAGCAGCGAGGAATAATGGTGTCTCGTCCTGAGAAAATATATCACCCGATTATGTTTAGGTATATTATTGAAAGGGCAAAATGAGACTGTCTGGACAACAAACCAGAAGCTGGGGCAATACGAGAAATTGAGACTTTCTTATGTTTTATACATAAAGACTTGAATTGAATAACAGTCTTGTAATCTCTATCTACTTTTGAACGGTTCAGCTTTTTCAATTCTACTTTTACTACACCCATTCGTTACGCCCCTTTAATCAGGTTGTTGGATTATGTACAAATGGTTATTATTCTTACCCTCTCATCCTGTGCATCTCGATTGGCCCCGTGACTCACAAGAATCTGAAGGGCTTCTACATTGTTCACGGCAGCAGCCCAGTGAAGGGCCGTTTTCCCACTGTTGTCTGCAGCGTTGATGTCGGCCTGGGCAGTGACAAGGTGGTCAACCATTCCGTCGATGGCGAGTCGAGCAGCCAAAATCAGCGGAGTTGTTCCATCATGCATTTTGGCGTTCAAGTTGGTGGCTCGGTTACGAAGAAGGATCTGATAGTTTCCACAAAAATATTTGTATACATAAAAATCGCATATCTTGCCAACTTACAACAACAAACTGCAGGGGGACATTCAAGTTACCTGGAAAACGCCCATGGCATCAGCAGCAATGGCGGCGTGGAGCGGTGTTCTGCCCGTGTGGTCAATGGGATTGGCATCTGCGCCCGCATCCAGCAGTCTCTTTGCTGCGTCCGCCCTTGCATAACGGGCTGCGAGATGAAGGGACGTTTCTCCCGTCTTGTCCATTGTTGCATTCAGTTGTGCGCCTTGTATTACGAGGTCTGCAATCACCTGCGCCGTGGCATCGTCGTCCTCCTCGTCGCACGCATCTAAGCCACCCCCCTTGAGAGATGCAACCTAAAAAAGTTGACAAGTATTTAGAGTTGAACGAAAATTTTGTGTATTTATGGACACACCAATAACTTTTGCAACAGTGGCAATAACTCTAAAACAACTTAATTCCAATCTTACCATCAATGGCGTTAGTCCACAGGGTCCACGAACATCCACATCAAAATTGGTTTTCAATGCTTCTGCTGGAGTTAGAGCGAGAAGGTCCGGGTGGCGAATGTCAGCTGCCTCCAAATGCTGATGAGTCCAAGGTCGAGGGTCAATCTCGTCATAGTCTGTGTTGGTGCAAATTGTGTGGTCGGAAGCATAACCTCCATCAGATCTCATGCGTTTGCTTGGAGGTCTATCAGAGTCGTCAGAGTATTGAGATGTGACATCGGTGATACCATCGTAGAATCCCATTGTGTGACCAGAGTCAAAATCAGGTTCTAATGGATGGATTTTGGACAAGTGTCTCATTTCCTGGCCATCTGGTCCTCGGCGTCGGGACCGTCTATGCTGGCTGGTTATTGTTGTACTACGGAGAAACCCTTCTGGAAACCACAAAACTCCACGAGCTGATTTCTTTCGAGTTGAAACAAGGACGCCAAACAAAAGGGCAAGCATAATGACGGTGAGAGCCCCAATTAAGACATAGGCTACCCACGATGCCTTGTCCTCTCCTCCAGGAGGCAAGTCATTTGATAATCCTCGAACTTGAATTATATCGAAATCCGAGTCCAACGTATGCCTTTGGGCAGATGCAGCAAGGAATTCAGCAGCCTCAAGGGCAGTTTGGAAGCAGTTTGTATCATTTAGGAATCCACCACACTTGCGATTATCAATTTCCAGATATACAAGGACCCCCACTGACCCAGTTCTGAACATTTGGTTGGGGTCTGAACCGTTTGTAAGGTAGGAGATTGCATCTACGGATGGATCCCAGGGGTAGACCATTAGATTTCCAAGAGGACTTTGCTTTATTCTTAACGTAGTTCGTAGTTGATGACCAAGATACCGCAAGAAGGCAGCTTTATTATTCAAAAGACTTTGGACATCCATATTTCTCACAACTATGGACATGACTCCAGATATTAGCAGTGGAGGGTTTGTCTCGCAATCCATTCCGTCCCAGTCACATTCTGCGTTATTGCATCCTTGGTCGCAGGATCCATCATTATAATGCCGCTCACAAAAATTATTGTCCACGGGATTACACTGCTTGAAACTTGGTTCACAGTCTCGCCCGTCAAAAAGACATTCCTTCGAGTTGCATTGCGGATCGCATATTCCGTTCGCTGAAATAAACAAGAGAGTAAGTAGAAAACAGGACGTTCACTCACAGTAGCTCATTCGGATACTCTGAGTTTTAACGGCGAGTTCTCTATATAATTTTCTTATTCACGGATATTTAAATAAAACAAAATATGAGCTAACCAAATGTGAGATGGCATTTCGGAGCGTTGCAGTTCTTCCATGGATTGAGACCCAGGGAGCAGTCGCCACCATCAAACTCACCTAAGAAAAAATATTTCGTCTTACAGGTTACTAATATTGATTATAATTAAGGCGTGAAATTGTCACACGCCAACACTGTATATGACATTTGTATAATACAAGAATACTTACAGGCGTAGTTATTGCATTCTTTGTCACAGGTGGCATCTCCGGATTTCTCACTGCATTTGTTCCTCACGCATTCTCTTCTCGCCTTATCAATATCGATTTCATCATAGTGGCGGTTCTGAGAGAAGAATCATACACCATTAATTCATAAAATTTATAAAATGTCATGCCATTGAGACGTACCTCATCTCGTTCTCGTTCACAATTCCTTCCACTTTTAGAATGGGGACATCTACAATGATATCCCTGATCATCGGGCAAAACTTCACACCGTCCATTGTTCAAGCACGGTCTTAAGCTGCAATCTGTTCTAAAATCATCTTGACAATAGTCTCCTTCCGTCCCTTGTGGGCATTTGCACATTGAACTGCCTCCTTTAACGATGCAAGTCCCCCCTGCCCGACATGGATTATTGTGACATGGAGTCCCGTTGAGGTCGCAGAGCTTCCCATGGTATCCTGCTTGGCATGTGCAAATCCTTACGTCCGCTCGATCCTTCCCACTTCCACGTGACTGAACGCTGCACACTCCACCGTTGTGACATGGGTTGTTGTGGCAGAGGTCAACTCGTCTTTCGCACAAGTGACCACTCCAACCTGGTTTGCAGTCGCATCGGTAATCGTTAACCAGTTGGACACATGCCAGCGTTCCGGGAGAAGAACATGGGTTAGAGAGACATTCTAAACAATTGAATAAACACAATAAATACATTTGCCATGTTATTGCACAGATTTCAATTCGTTTAAATTGATGCATACCATTTACGTCCCCTTCGCATTTTCCTCCAGTATAACTGTGTTGACGAAGGGATAAGTGTGAGCGTTTATTCTTGTATTTTATTAACATTACAAGTTTCAAGTACTTACCCAGGCATGCATTTGCATTCATATCCCCCGATTTTGTCAATACATGAACCTCCGTGGAAGCAAGCCCCGTCGAAACACTAAAATTACCACGAATATAATTTGTGAGACGTATATTTTAATGCTCGGTATACCAAATTATTATTTTTTAATTAATTGAAGATATATACAACCGTTAATAAATAAGCTTACATCATTTTCATTGATTTCACAAAGGCGCCCGAGTGTACCATGAGGACATGAACAAGTAAAAGAGTTGACCCCGTCCTGCAAAAAAATTAGAAAACGTTTAAGTACAGACAGAGTAATTTTAAATATTTTAAAAATTGTACGATTCACTTACATGACAAATGCCATTATTGAGACATGGATTATTCGCACAATCATCAATGTTAAGGGCACATGAATCACCCTACAAAGTACAATTCCAATACATGTCTTATAATATTTATACTTTCGTGTTTGTGAGTCAATATAGTCTTTAGTCTACCTGATAACCTCGTGCGCATTGACAAGAATAGCTTCCCAAGAAATTAATGCAAGTGCCCCCGTTCAAACATGGCTTTAAGTTTTCACATTCATTTCTGCAAAAAATAATTTGAGTTAATAACCATTTCATTTGTCACTGTCACATTCGCTGAATTTCGACTAACATTTCAATTTGGCAGTAGCTCCCCGTATATCCAGTCATGCATCGACAGATATGAGAATTTCCACTATCTTCACATGTCCCGTTGTTACAAAGCCTGCTCACTGGTACACCTAAATCAACGAAGCAAAGTACAGTTTTACCTTTGTTCAATCATCTTATTGCTTCATGCTATTTAAAAGCTAACCTTTACGCGATGCTGCGTCATTACACGAGACCATTTCCACATCACAAATTGACCCTTGGTAGCCCCTGGCACATTCGCAACTAAATGATCCATTCGTGTTGTGGCAAGCTGCACCATTATGACAAGGCGAACTGACAGCGCACTAATGCATACATGGAGTAATATATTAATAACAGGGGTAACTACTATTCGAAAACTACTACAATACTGTTTATAATTATAAATCACCTCATTGACATCGACATCACATAGGTCACCACTCCAGCCATATGGACAATGGCATCGGAAATGACCAATCCCATTTTCTTGACAAGTGGCACCATTCTTCAAATAAAGGAAGAAAATTATTATCTCCAGTAATCGTCATCACATATAAAGTTGTTCATATTTGTCTCAAAAGGCAATATTACCCGACATGGGCTGCTATCGCATTCCCTCCGTTCAAATTGGCAGTTAGAACCTAAATAAAAACATATAATTATGCATAATTTTCTGAAATTGTGGATTGCATTATATGATTTTCATATGAATCATACCTTCATAACCACTTCTACATAGGCACGTGTACGAATTGACCTGGTCCACACAAGTTCCTCCGTTAAGACAACTCGATTCGGTACAGTCCTCATCGTTTATGTGGCAGTGGTGCGAACTCCACCCACTTTCGCAGGTGCAAGAATACGAATTCACATAATCGGTGCACGTCCCATGAACGCATGGATTTGACAGGCATTCATTTCGCTCATTTTCGCAATCGAGACCTTCGAAACCGTCGACGCATAGACAGGTATAATTTCCTAGCCCGTCCAAACATGTTCCGCCTGCAGATTTACATTAGTTAAATACATGAGGAGTTGAAATTATTGTTACTGTCTAATTTTTGCACTTCCAAAATTCGTAACTATTAAGCTTACCATTCATGCATGGAGAAATGGCACAGTCGTCCTGATTTAGGGGAAATAGAAAGTAATTATAATAATTCTACTTCTTCTATATATTAAATTGACTGAGCTAATTGAAGCAATACCGTGTTAATGGTACAATCGCGTCCTTCATATCCAGGTGGACAATTACAATAATATGAACCGTTTGTGTTAACGCAAACTCCTTTGTTGCGACAAGGTGAAGAGACAGCGCACTAATATATAAATTTAAAATATCAGCTTACATGCTTCACATACGACAAGAAATATAAATATAATTCAAGTACTTCATTGATGTCTACGTCACATAATCTGGACGTGTATCCCAACTGACAACTACACGAGAAGTCCAAATAGTTGTTGGATGGAGAACAAATTCCATTTTTGCACTTGTTCGGAGAACAAGGATCTAATTTTTTCTCGCAGTTGATTCCACTCCATGGAAGTTCACAGACGCATTTATACCCATTTACAAGGTCCACACAAGAGCCTGTAACACATTATTAAATATTATCATCACATTTCTTTATAATCACATTTCAGATGTCCCAGAATAATATTCGTAAGTAATAACCTTTTGAGTTGCAGGGATTACTTTCACATTCCTGAAATAAATAATGTCCACATGTAAAATGTATTCATGAAGATCGCACTTTTCCATTTGCATACCTGAATATTGTGTTCGCAGTTCCTTCCTGAGTAGCCTGCTAGGCATTCACAGGTGTAGCCATTAAACTTGTTTTTGCAAACACCCGAATGTTGGCAAGGATTAGAGCTGCAGTGTTGACTGTTAAAATTTGAACTTATTAATCATAGTGCACACATTATTACGTTGTCTGTTTAATTTTTATCTCGCACTTACATTTCCACGTCACATCTTTTTCCCGTGTACCCACTGTCGCAATGACACAAATAGTTATTCACGAGGTCTTCGCAATGCCCGTGAACGCACGGCGAGCTTTTACATTCGTCCACATCACTCAGACATCTTGCGTCATAATATCCCCTCGGACAGTTGCATTTAAATCCATTTACAAGATCGATGCAAACGCCTCCATTGGCACATGGATTCGAAAGACATTCGTTGATCTCAATTTCGCATAACTGTAATATTAATAAGTGTTCAAAGGTATATTTAATCTGATTGCAGATCTTTAACTAGTCCTTATTGTAGTTCATTTAGCTTACCTTTCCAGCGTAACCTGGTTTACAGTCACAAGTATAACGGTTAATGCCATCCACACATTTCTCTGTTCCAATTCCGCATGGATTTGATAGACATTCATTTCTGCAGCACGTAATTGCACGATGAAATGCATTTCCGGTTATAAATTATGCATGTAGATTTACCAAATTGACTTACATATTATTTTCGCATCTAAGACCATTGGTGCCTGGGGGACAGGTACATCTGAATCCCCCGTTGGACAGAGACTCACAAGTTCCACCCCAAAGGCAAGGAGTTTGCAGGCATTCGTTGATTCTTGTCTGGCATACATGACCCGTGTAACCTGCAACGACGTGATGAGCTAGTTGACTTTATCTGTTATTGAATAGAAATCGTCAAAACTGTAGGACAGACCTGGAGAGCATTGACATTGGAATGAATTAATTCCATCGATGCATTTTCCATTGTGACAGGGGTTATCAATGCAGTCGTCTTTATTCACTTGACAATTTTCGCCTATAAACCCAAGTGGGCAGATGCAGTAGACCCCATTTCTGCCGTCCAGGCACGTTCCTCCATTTTTACATGGGTTGCCAATACATTCATCACTGTGAAATATACATACAAACGTTATTAATCCGTTGCTTGTAAAAGAATACAAGCTTTCACGACCGACTCACATGTTGATTTCACATTTTTGCCCAGAAAATCCAGGAAGGCATGAGCATCGATATCCGTTAATTTGCTATAAAATCATTCATATTTTGAAAAATTCTCGATTAATTAATTGATCAGTGTAATTTTAAAGCTCAAACATACATCATGGCATCGACCACCATTTAAGCACGGGTTATTGTAATTGCTACGGCATTCATCTCTGAAAAACGACCATATAAATTGATGTTATACAACACATAGCACTGCATGCATATTTATTACTGGGCTAAAAACTTTCACGACTGACTCACATGTTGATTTCGCACTGAGCTCCACTAAATCCTGTAATCAAGCCAATCAAACATTAATCTTCCAAGTACTTGCATTTATTTAACGAGGTTAAAATGAGATATTTTTCAAGTATTTCCTAAAGTAATGATACGCAACCTAACTCAGGATTATTTTAACACGGAAAGGGAGAGCTATACTGGAGCATATATGTTGGTATATTGGACTTAAGAAGCAACTCAAGCATGAATTACTAGGTGGTGGTCGTGGGGGAAGGAAGTTGTGAGACGCAGAAGGGTGTCCCTTCAAGGGTACTCAAATTCCTAGCTCCTTTCAGATCGTGTGCGACTCTATATGTGCGTCTGTCCCGACAGAAGACCAGAAGACCCTTTATTCCACCCTGGCTCTCACTCACTCCTCAACAACGTATCTCAGTAATTTTCTCACAAAGGAAATGGGACCAATTCCAATTCCTTACGTACTAGGAGCAAAGAAAGGGATCCACATTTACTTGAGATTTTTCCCTACTTTTTCCATTCAATTCCAAAATCTATTTATCAGACCAGGCCGGATTTATTCTTTTTATTTATAATTTTGAAGTTGGGAAATTTATGTGTGCGCTCACGGATGGCATTTCATTGACACGCACAACTTTATCTATAAATACAAAATAATGCATCATAATATGCTCTAAATTGAAACATTTATATAATGCCAATATTTTTTTTCATTTGACATCGTATTTTAAATGGAATCAGATTTTAATCAATCACAATAATATGAACGTGGCGATACCAGTTTATCGTATCTTTAGGTTAATTTTCTTATAAATACTACGTCGCTCTATGGCAGTGTTAGCACAGCCCTTTGTCATAGAAAAGTTGTTGATCTTGATGGCACGATAGAGTTCTATGATCTGCAGCATATGCACACATACCTAAAGCACGGCGAGACCAGAGACAAAGGAAATTAAATGATGAATCCTGCTATGATGACGGTACTTGCACTCTTCATCAAGTTTCAAACATGTTGTGCTATCTACCCTTTCCATTCTTGCCTCCTTTTCGTAGGATTAGTTCTATCTGATGAATTTGCATTTTCATGGTCACCATGTTTCATTTTGTCAATGAAGCCTTTTGGAAATACTCTTAAATTATTCGGGCTCATTTATGTATTACTCGTGACTGTTATTAAAAATTTACTGGAATTCGATACTGCAAACAATGCAAACAATTATTATTATTATTATTATACTTTTCTATTTAGTTTTAGGACAAAAATATTTTTGCTATAAAAAAGGGCAAACAAAGAATAGTAAATTGTGCAAGAAAGTGTACAGTGTTTGAATCATACAGTTTTTTTTACTTCGTTGTTCATAGATCAGTCTTTCTTCAAATCGTGATCACGACTGTAAAAAAATTGGACCGTTACAAAACAAGTCACTTTTTCAATAGCTTCATCTAAAATGCACTAATTACTTGATTTGCTGTTATTATATTTAGGACAGCATAATAAAGAAACCACTGGACATTTTTCCTGCATCTAAAGTAACGACGAGTAAGAAAGACGCAGGGTGTTTGTGGCACCATACCTCGTCCAGCTCTGTGCATTTATATGATGCGTCGTGAGTGATCTATTTGAATTGAATCTTCTCAAACCAAGGCAAATCATGGTCTGCTGGTCTAAAGAAGAAGTGCTTAGCTTATTATTTGAAGAAGTAACAACCCTGAGAAAGTTCCCATGGTCTTAACTGGAATGATTTTGTCATGCTTGGTGAAGAAGGTGCACGATCCATTTCACTCTCACCCACTCATCAATGAATTGTTACTTGCTCGTAACGTATGCATCTATGTATACATGTAAAAACGCTGTACAGTCCTCGTCACACGATGAAAACGAGATTTTGGAAAATAGCTTGAAACTTGGACCGTATTTTAAACAATCATGCTTGATTATGCCACTGAAATTTTTGGAACAGAAATTAATCCAAAAACGTTTCTGGTTTATCGTGTAATATTGCATTCTGAGAATATGCAGATAATATACAACTAGACACCAAAAATCTAAAAATTAAAATACTTGCCTGGCATACAGAGGCAGCGAAATCCACCCCTTTCATCCAAACAGGTGCCGTCATTTTGACAAGGCATAGAATCGCACTCATTGATGTTTGTCTCACATCTTAAAATAAAAGTCAATCATTACAAAAATTACGTTTACAGATAAACTATTTTGACTACTATTGACGAAAACGAACCTGGTGCCGGTAAATCCTATGGGGCAGTGACAGCGATAACTTCCAGGAACTAAAATTACGTGAACGTTCATTTAATTTTTAACGGTCTTAATAATTTAAACTGTTCCATGGGATCAGTTGGAAGTACTTACGATTAACGCAGGTCCCAAGGTGTTCACAAGGTGAGAGGCCCTCTAAACATTCGTCTGCACAATAATTAACACGCAATAATTAAATACCATTTTCATTTATGACGATTTAAAGGGTGGTCAAAAAGTGTCAAAAAGTGTAACCTATGTCTTGTGTGCAGTTCATTCCTTGAAATCCGGAAGGGCAGGAACACAAATAGGAGCCATCAATAGGACTCGTTTCACAAATTGCTCCCTGGTGGCAGGGATTCGATGTGCATGCATCGTTCAGATGACACAAGAGCCCAGTTTTCCCCGGAGGGCATTCACAGTAAAACGCAGCCACCTTGTCAATGCAGGTAGCCCCCTTGCGAATAAACAATGCAACAGTTAAAACAATGATGCAATGATAAGACACATAATATTGTATTCTGCGTAGAATATTAAAATTCTTGCCCCTCTCAGTCAGTGGGAATGGGAAATAATTTGCGAAAGGACGAGATGGGAAGGGGTAATTAAGGACCTACTGTACCTCTGTACCGAATATGCATGTATTAAGTATTAAGTGTACATATTAATATGATTGATTAGAAATCATGGGAGTTACAAATGGGATCATGTCATATTTGTATTTGCATTTATGTAAATAGGTACCAACAAGTTTCTTACCGATAAACATGCAGAATCTTTACAATCGTCCGTGTTTATGTTGCATAAGCGTCCTTCCCACCCATTGCTCTGTAGAACATGTATATAGGGCAAATTTTAATTAGTAAATCTGTAACTACGTACTTTACAAGCGAAGAAACTATTATTTATTTTTCTTACGCATATGCACGAGAAAGAGCCCACAGAGTTCTGAAACACGTTTAGAAATGCGTTTGTTATCATTGTTTGTTATGATTTTTTATCAATTGTTAAAAATAATAAACAAGAACGCTACCTGACAAGTAGCTCCGTTCTGACATAAAGTTGGGCGTAAAGCACATTCATCTGCCAAATTTATAGAACGATACTTGTTAATAATTATCAACCACTTTCACATTTCAATTAAGTCAGTCGATCAATTAATGTCAACTCATTACCGATATCGATTTGACAAAATTCGCCAGTAAAAGTTGGAGGGCACTGACAAGTGTATGCGTTGACTCCAGGAATGCACTTGCCCCCATTTTGACAATGATGTTTGTCACAACTTGTATTTTCCTCACAAAATTTCCCTCGGAATCCTGAAATGCAAGAGGTTAATTAGTCAAATTCATGCATTAGACATGTATCTACATGCTTAATGTGTAGATTTTCCATGAAAATATACACCATCTGCGTGTCAAAATTAGAAAAAACTCTACTAATTCCCGTCGAACATGTGTAATCGTATGCTAGATTAGTTTTATCGCAACTGAATTTTAAAAAATTATAAGGATATGTAAGTCCCTCCATCATAAGTGCGACCGAAGTAGAGATACCCATGCAATATGAATCAGATAAATAATAAAAGAAATGGAAAATGGGGAGGATGAGAAATTTTCGAAAGAAGAACACGGACTTGGTTTTATTAAGACAAAGTAAAATAGGAGAAAAAAATGCTGTGTGTGTGCGTAATAGTTTTAAAAGTCTCATAAAATAATAGGCGATATTTTACATTATCAAACGGGAAGCACGCCTCGCCGGTTTTTGTTCGTTTTCTGCTGGAGATGTTGGGGAGACGAAGAAGGGCAAATCTTATGCAACACAAAAGTCACTTGTTTCGTCAAGTTGGCTTTTCTTTTAACGAAGGAAAGAAAGAGTGACTGACACTGACTCATCACCAACATTCTCACCAGAAGGAAGGAGCACACGAATATTGGAGTCATGAAACTTGTGTTTGCCGTGTTATGAAATGTGCTGCTGCTGTTGGTATTAAGCAAATTAATAGTTTCACCAACAAAGAAAGGCGGCTCATTAATTTAAAACAGAACAATAATCCTTCGTTAGCTAAAAACGTAAATAATTTTTGATTGAATAAGGAGGTTCTCTAAACAAACCATAACTCTGGTCTTATCTATTTGTCAGAGTATTTATGCCTCGGCACACCTTAAACATCAGACAAATGAAGCTGCGGCGGTTCTCCCAGTATGGAAATTATTTATGTATGTGTGCATTGAATCTCCACTTGCTTATCTCTCTTATGGGAAGAAGACTTTATTTTGTTTGCTTTAAATAGAAATCACAGCATGCACGACTTTGCTGTATCTAAAAGTACGTGTAGTACCTCAACCAAATTTAAACTTTGAACTGACACCCTTTCTAATCTTTTATGATAGCAAATATTCAATTTGCATCAAGTCAACCTCCCCTGTGCTAAATTACATTATTATAGAAATGCAATCTTTCCGACATCGGCATCAACCTCATCATCAATGAAAATTGAAAGGTTAATAAACGAAAACTACTCGTATGCGAGACAATATTTCTGGAAAATTTACCCTCAAACTAAAAAAAATATATTTCTAAAAGAATCTTCGATGGTACATATTTAGGATTTGTATTTCGTGATTTTGATCAAAGCTCACAGATCAAGAAATATTAAACCATTCAGTTTTCAGGAAACATATATTACGAGTTTACAAGCAGATTATCATTCTTTCTAAACATCGTCAGTCATCATATTTAAGTCCATAGGCAGCGGGTATCATTTGAGACCAGAGTACATTCCTCAGCAGCTATTGTGAAGGCCAATAATGACATCAGCAGAATTTACTTATGTATGTATTGAGCAAAGGATTCTATCACATAAAAAACTTATCTTTTTCCTTTCCTTCATTATTTTTCAACCGACCATAATTCACTCGCCGGATTGTGTATGATTACTTATGTCGTTTTGGGATATATTAGTTCGATAATCAAATTATAAATTTTGTGGATAGTACTTATTGCTTAGAAGATACATACCTGGCTTGCACAGACATGTGTATGAAAGATTTCCAGTCACTCGGCAAACTCCATCATTTTGACCTGGGATAAATTATTACAAGTTGTTGAAAATTATTTTTAATTTCTCATTGTCAACTTTCTCTAAGAAGCCGTAATCAAACTGCTTACAAAGTGATGGCACACAAGGGATGAATTTAGTGTCGCATTTTGGTTCGGACCATCCTTCATGACATTTGCATCTAAAAATAGAAAAACATTATGCGTGAACATTGCAAATCACAATCTGCACAGTATAAATAAACTGGTTTGAAACGTGTTGAAACGTGTCGAAACGTGTCGAAACATGTTCCAAGTTATCAACACAGTCAAGTTTGTAATGACCCAAAACAATTACTTCCAAATGATAAGGCTTATCATCGGAACCGTATTGTGTGGTCTAGTTTGCAGTTTATGCTTGTACTACATCTACTATTTACGAAGTATGCAGCTCATGCTGCTCTCGTTGCACACAACTCGTATCATCCCCACAGTTTTATCCAGGAAGTGTGTGGCTCAAGAAATTGTTGTAGTATTTATTACCAGTATGATTGATAAACATAAATTATTGGTGGACGCAAAATCTGACATTATTATTTAACTGCTAAAGTCTCCGTTTTCTAATGGACATAGCCAACTGCATACATACATATATTGGAATTGAAAATTACGGATGCAAGGGTCAGACTTATGTGTAACTTAAATTGTGTGCTTAAATGCAGTAATACTCGAAATGGGATTGGACTTACTTATACGATCCATAAGTATTCTGGCAAGTTCCATGAATGCAAGAGTTTTTGTCAGTGCATTCGTTAACGTCCAGGAGACAATTTGGGCCTGTGAACCCAGGATCACAAACACATCGATAGCCTGGTGCTGTATCTTCGGGAATACATTTCCCAGCATTTTTGCATGGATTTGATCCATTGATGGTGCAATGGTCCGTATGTTCGCAATTATCGCCGCGCGTCCCAGTTGAACAATTGCAAACGTAGCTTTCCAACGTTTTCAATCGGCAAACTCCGCTACAAATGTCAAGCCATTGCATTAGACTGTTTATTATGCACATGTTGTTAAGTAAAATCATTACCTTCCGCAGGGGCTAGATTGACATGCGTTGGCCAATTCCAGCTCACAGAATGAGGAGGTATAGCCGACAGGGCAGTCACAGGCAAACGAAGGTGCAACATTTGGTTTCAAAACGGCGTGACACCGTCCCCCATTTTCACATCTTTGGGAAGTGTGATGGCAGGGATTAGGATATTGGCAGTATTCCCCCACAAACGACGAGCTGCATCTGTAAATTTTGTAGTTCAATATTTAGTAAGATTATGACTTGCGGATAATTGCAAGATAAATCCGAGGTAATATAAATATGGAGAAGATCGATGAGATACTTAAATGCAGTATAGGCAATAGGCAGCGTCAGCACAGATATATTTTATATTCCGCCTCGCGAGTCATTAAACTTGACACTTTTGAAACGATTGCATTCTTGTTTTTCAATCCGTATGCAATAATTGTATGTATGCAACAACTGAATAAATTGACCACCATCATTCGCCTCGCATCAGGCCGTGCTCATGATTTGCTTGTGCTATGGTCGGAATGCGAGTAGAGCCATTTTTCTGCATAAGTCAGTGATAAGGAGAGAATTCTTTGAAATTGGAGAAGTTGGGAGAGCGTGGGAAACGTGGACAGATTGAAGAAGAGTGAGTCGTAGTCGTCGTCGTCGGGGTGGATAATCGCACATATGGGTCGGGATTGATCTTCTGCGTCCGGTCCGGTCGTTTGTGGTTACACTTTTGACTCTCTCTCTCTCTCTCGAGCATAAACTATATGTGAACCGTTGATGTGACCACATGACACTTGTTATGATTACGAAAGGAGTGAATGGGTGAACGGGAGTGATGCGAGTGTATGTCTGTCTGTACGTCGTCGTGGTGGTGAGAACGGGTTCTCTCAAACAAATCTCTAATGAATTCGCAATTGAGGTCCTAACTAAAGACCTTGCTCTTCCTAATAAATCTATCATCAGCAGCCAACTCATCATCTATTTTATTTCCTTCTTGTGGTTTTGTTTTGTCTCTTTGTGAGACTAAATTATTTCGTTATTAGAATATATTTTTTCTCTCTTGATCGTAACGAATCATTATTTCTACGAAAAATGCACTGTGCATTTTGCTAGTAAAAAATATAATGTAAAATTTTCATCTATGAAGTAAAGTTTAATACAATTTTGGACAGTTCCATGCGGTAAATTGTAATATGCAATGTCATTGGTGTATAGTCAATTTTTTATCATAATCAACCACAGACCAGACCATACCGGAAAGTTAATTAGTGATTAGCACTTTGTTGCAAATTACATTTTGTATGAGATTAAAACAAACAAGAATAAGGTTTCATACACCAATTTAACGCAGTGTAACCACTAGTTAGCTCTTGGAATGTTGCATCTCTATACGGTTTGATGGGTGACACTCTTGACTGCTCTTGGGTAACATCTCACATTATCTTCTTTCTCCACCAAAAATAGTACCAAGTAAGTATGTACATGCATGGATATAGTTGTAACGTGTCGTGCCTATTCTGCTCACTGCATGACAAAGGCACGGCCATTATAGTTTTGTTATCTTTGTTTTCCACACAAAACTCATGATTCTTTTACTTGATGGGCTGGCAGAAAGTGAGTGGAATATTATATTACTTATGTAGTAATATGACGTTATTATTACATGCACACCTGAAGAATGATGAGTCAGAACCAGAAGTCAACAGACACGCTGGATAAACAGTGCAATATCCATTTTTCTCAGTGTGATTTCCATAAACAAAGGGTTCATGTTGTGAATTATGTACATTGCGTAAGCACATTGGACGCAATTATAAAAACCATTGATGTATAATTAATAATAATTCATCTTTGGCTATGTTCTGCTCTATCTTGACATTCAACAAGTGATGCACATGAATATTTTGACAAAGTGGACAACACCTTGATTGATTGATAAATGAAAGATTGTCATTTTAAAGACACAGGTAGTTGATTGACTCTTGGAAATATCAACAATTTCTTTCCTCAGTGCTCACAGACTACTTTCACGCAGCAGGAGATTTTGCCATTTTTGAAATAAGAGGTTGTCGAACGAAGTGCATCGTGTTGTAGTATCAGATCAGAATTGTTTATTGAATAAACGATTACTTTGTTATAATTATACCCGCATTTCATAACAGCTGAGACAGATGCAAAGAGTTACTATCTCAAAGTAGTTCACATGATAAATAAATGCAAATACTACTCGATTTTATGGATAACATTTTTGCAACCGATACTTTGATCATTTTTTTGTTGTGACTAAACACCGAAGTAGTAGCCTATATAATTTTAGGCTGGATTTGTGTTAATTAGTATTGTTGAACATATATCTACGAAAATCCAAAAATCGTCGTAATAAAAGATGGTTGGATTATTAAATGTGTGTCTCAGGAGCAGAAGCAGGGAATTGGACGACGACACGAGCACACCTGCCCAGCAAGTATTTCAGCAACAGGTGGTGAGTGGAGGGCGATGCCAAGACAAATGTTCCGAAGCATCCAAAGTCACAACCTCGTCGCAATACCCACCAACCTAACCTAACTTCAGACATGGACGAAATCATGCCCAGCCCAAGAGCACTGAGAAATCACGCCTCCGGCAACTCCATCGCTTACCAAAGTCTATATTATCGTTTATCGTAAATACATGTCCTCCAGGATTATCCACCATTTTGCAAATAACAGCAATTAGATCTTAGATTTATAAATGCCTGACGTCGGACCCACGCCACCATGGGTAGAGGCACACTCATAAACATTCGTCTTGGGTTATATATTGACTATTGATAATAGTTGTAATGTTTATTACAACTACGAAATGGAGCCGTTGAAGTGAAAATTGAGAAATTTACCAATTCAGGACAAAGCGACACTTTTATGGCTTATTTATGGTTTGACTTGTATGTTTGGTATAAACAGAAGTCGCACGACTAGTTGTAAATCAACGCTGACAAATGTCAAAATAAATTATTGTCACCTGAAATGTCATAAAACTGGCTCGGTTCATTTTGTTGTTGTAATTTAGAATTTTTTTTAATTCGATCGAAATTCAGGTTCCTCATGATTTTAACATGACAATCATGATCATGACACAACTACATTTCATTCAGATGATTTTTAAAGTCACACTGAATATTTGCTAAGGGCGAACATTCTTTTTTGCCAAGAATTTCTGTGTAATCTGCATGCCAGCAGACCAATAGCATATGCATAGTAAATAGATGAGGAAGATTGAGAATGCGTGTGGAAGATAACATGTATGCATTTTTGATTTGTGCAGATGAGTAGCAAAACAGATTTTCGAGTTGAAGAAAGAAACCTTTTTAGTTGTCGGAGAGTAGCCTTGGTGGAAGTTTGGTGATGGTGGTGGAACAATTACGAGATGATGAACCGTGCAGCACAGTTCAGTGTCGAAATGATCGGACGGCGATGGTGGTTAAGGTATGTATGTACATATGACGCTGCAGCATTGATGATGCGAAAGGGTTACATATACAAGAGCTTGGATATCACGGATATCATTATTTTCGAATTTTCGAGTTTGGACTACTCGACTGGAGCCAGTCGAACAATGCATCATCCCCTCCAGCCAAACAACCACCAAACTCTCGGTTAACTCGGGATGGGAAGGGGCACAAACGTATAAACGAATGCGATACGGACAAACGCGGGGTTGTTCTCCTATCCTTCTTGTGTCCAATTCCAGTTTGGTCACCCCCAATTCTGATTTTTTTATCTCAGAACTTACCCTCGTCCTACCAAACCAAGCAACTTGCCTTGCCAGTTACTCGCTCGTCGTCGTCGCTACCATCCAAACCGTGGGAAAGAGGGACCCAAAACTTCTTCTTGTCTGACAACCACTGCCACTGCCACCATCATCATCATCACTTGTAGGCATGCCCGCATAACATCTTTTAACTGTTCTATTCACTCTCCTTCTTAATGTTGAAGACATGCTAGATTTCAACTTTTCTTCAACCATCATCATATCAAGTACCATACGTAAAACTCACTCTCTGCACTCCATTTGGCTTTAGCATCTCAACTTTAAATGTTGCTGACTTAAAAAACAACCGGCCATGTTGTCTTCCGAAAGATCGTGTATCCTATCCTGCACACTTATTACCACATCCACCACCAACAAAGGAAAGATACTGCTCTGCGTGGATGTACTTGTTCAACCTTCTCATATTGCTCTTCGTCAAATTTTCTTCCTGACTCTTTTTATGGTCCAGAAGACGAAGAGCACAAGGAACATTTCGGATGTCATCCTATTTTGTCTCATAATTCATAATGTGAATGTCGACTTTTCCCGACGACTGTTTGGTATGCATTCGGTACAAATAATGCTACATAATTAAGAAATTGTTTTAAAAGCATGGCATTTGAGTAGAGATCGCATAATGCATTGAGAGTGGCATGAAGTTATTTCGAATAAAATCGGCAAACCAAGTGTTACGAATTATATAAGCGTAAAAAAACCAGAAATGAATGACACTTACTCGCAATAAGCTTCTCCTATCCTATTTCCTTGGACGCACCTTGCTCCGTTTTTGCACGGGTTAGGATGGCATGAAAGACCTGCAAAAAATAATTCAATTTTAAAAGTCAAGTCATCGAAATAAATTTAGAGGTTTAAATCAGAATGGATTCCCATCTATTTATCTACGTACGTATGACATGGGGTTGACTTTAATTCAAAGAGTCACTGACAGAATTCTAACTGTATATTACATATATCCAATCCAAACCCCACTATCGCACCATATATTCAAAAGGGATTTGTCCTCAAGTGGTGCATGTTTCCTTTCCGAGGGTCGGCCATGGTGAAAAAACCGGAAATCAGTATCCCTACAAGTCCATTATACTTTTTCGTGTCAACCTTCGCCCTCCATCCTTCTGTTCGTAAACATTGTACCGGATTTTGGACAATTTTGAAACAGATACTATAGATTGGAAGCAAACAAGTGGCACAAGAAAAGGGCTTACAAACATCCCATTTAGTAGTATGTAGCACCTTACATGTATGCATTTAAATCAACGCAACAATTCCAGATTTTGAGTCACAAATAAACAAATTCTTTAATGCATATCTTTTAACAAATCATAACTCAGACGTCATTTCATAGTCATACTTATTATCATGAAATTACTTAAATTGTGTGTAGCTTCTCGTGTCAGTAATTAACATAGTCCAGATATTTTTATTTATTTATCAATCCCTACCCACCAATGTCAAATGTTGTGGCTCAACACGAGCAGGGATTGATAAATGAATAAATATGTATTCGCTCTCTGGCACTTAATGTCGTCTTGTAATGTTAATGTCTACCGTGAATCAGTTATGAGAATGTGTCATACTAAATTATTTAATTGTCACAAAGTCCAAATAGTGATACGAAGAAGCCTGTCTGATACATCATCATTTGTGGACACAGATATCTTTCATGCGTGCATGCATGCATGTGTAAACAGGATGGAAATAAAGCTATCGTTCAAGTTGATATGAACTCCCCAGTCACCAGTGTGCAACTCCCCACTGAATATTATATGAGGTCGTGTACCAATTTATTATATGGGATTAAATAGGATTAGCTGACATATGGATAAAATAATGCACTCATTTCAGACACATTATGTTACTAGACCGATTCCAGGATCAGCTCAAGTACGACCCGATCCCACGCTCCCAATATGTTTATTATCTTTTGTTTATTTTTTAAATCACCGAACCGATCGGTATTTGTCCATTTTGCATATTTCACTTGTATGCAGGCCTATTATCGTACATACAATTCTTTCTGCTTTTGATTATCCATCATGTTTATTATCACTGACACAGTCAAATAATCAAATCATCAAAGTTCATAGCTCTCTGTCCGGGTAAACGTTAAATATGACAAAGTTTGTAAAGGTCGACTTTAAGGAGACTCAAGTAAAGTAAACAATTACAATTTTTAGGTTAGTCCTCGTAAGATTATGATCAAATATTGGTTAAGGAATTGGAAAAAGTTTTCAAACCAGCCGTGAAATACCATCAATACGACACGACATTTGATACCCTACTCCATATAAAAATGCCTCATAAAATCTCATCGGAATAACACCAGAACAAATTCGGGAGAGAATCTTCCACATGGATGAATCTGTATTCATAAAGATGATCTCTCTCTCTCTCTTATGCAGACAGGGAGGACTGCTTTAGGTCGAATATCAACTCATATAATATGGAAAGAAAGCAGTATGTACAAGCTTTGAAAATTCCGTTCCAAGGTCTTTGGGCAAACACTGAAAGGATCCACTTATGTTCATATCTGATCGTTCTGATGAAAATGAGGAGCAGCTGCAGCCGAGCAGCCAGACTTTGTTCAGCCTGCAACGGTTTTTTAGGTCCAACACCACGTCGACGAAGAACGAAGGAAGGAAGAAGGGACTACCTTTTACACATCCAAAAGTCTCTTCATGAAAACATGATCAGCTCCGAACGCATAAGGATAAAGTGGTCATGGTAGGCAGGCGGTAGTAGTCGGTAGTTGGACACTTGTGGCTTTTCAACATTCGTACCTACATACTTCTTTTACTAGGATATGCCCGAGTGGGTCGTGTAATAACAGCTTCCACTTTCAAACGTTCTACCCTGAACAAAATGGAAGTAGGACCGCAATGAAAGTTCTAATCCAACTCCATCACCACCATCCTTCTGCATCGTACCACTTTTTCATGGGAGGGCAAAAAAGGGAACTTTGTGCGTACATTTGTGCTCTGTTCTGTGTATTATTCAAGGCTCCCACGACCCTTCCGATCTCCAATCTACACAAACATATGCACTGGAACATTCAACATCGCTCTGTGCTCTCTTTTGCCACATCGCCTTAAAGTCCTGTGACACGGCTTAGTTTTGCATGCATGCTATGTACAATGGAGTATAGGTAGGGAAGCAGAAATGCACCTCAATAATACCAACAGTCACTGCCATGTCAAATAATAAGCCAATCTGCTTCCATTTACGGGCCCTTTCATTTTCACAGTCAATGGTGGTGATGGTGCAAGTACGACGCACCCCCTTTATCCAAGAGCGAAACGAAGGATTCCTAACAATCGGGTAAATTATGTTACCCTCCCGTGTCGTGTTTTGTTATTGCATTTTCATCATCATGAAACAGATCAACGGTCAACGGACAACGGGCTGTCCTGGACAGGAAGACTTAAAATGTTGCAATGCAATGCAAATTTTTCATAAATCTATCAATTGATATTAACATGCAATTTAATTGCCATTCTATATGCAAAATGCATATTTTGATTAAATGTTTACCACAATGACAATTAAGCAAATACAAATAATGACGTATGACGTGCGTACCTTCAGTTACGTTAATCCATCCACTAAATATAATTGCTATTAATATATATCCGGTTCTTGAGCAGATAATTTGTGGCATTTTGACTCCCGTTTGAGCTGCTAGCAGCACTATTTTTATCACCACAAAGTTATACAACTGAACACAAATTGGCGTTTAAGCCATTTTCATATCACTTTCAGACCAACACTGCTGTCACCGGTGAAATGCATGCAAGAGAGGAAGGAGAGACTGTTTTGTAGTCTTGTTGCTCCTCTGTTCTCGTTCCAGTTTACTTTGTCAACTCAATTGCACAATAAACAGATAAAGACGAGATATGGATATCTTGAGCAAATTTACACAAATAAATTATTGCTGTCCAACGTGTGTGGAATCCGTCCATGTTACTTCCATCCTTATTTCCGTATGTTGATCCTCTCTCGCACCAATTTGTCACTCATGCTCCTGACAAATGCGTATGCGTGTATCCACTGATGATAGCTCCTCTTTGATTGTAATTTTCTAAAACTAAACTGTTTTATCGAATTCCATGGATGACAAGGAGAGTCTCGTGGAACACTTGTGGACGACTCACATGCATCGGATGTAAGTCCTTTCTTCGGCATCCACTGGAATAATACTGGTCGGTTGGCTTAGGATTAGACCCTAACCCCTATAAAACTGCCCTGTTGATAACAATGCAACTCTCAATACTGGCACCGTGTACATCGCATAGTGGGCAAAAGCCACCCCATCAACTAAACTCGCAACTTATTACAAGCATGAACTGCCTGGGTAAAGAGTGAGTGGTTATGTATGTACATCCCTTGGTAAAGGAAATAGAGGTCTAAGGTAGTTATTACAATACATCTGCATCTCTCTCTACCAGCATATAACAAAAAGTGGTGGTGTATGTAGATGCTGCTAAAGTTTGGTAAAATCATGTTGGAGCAGTTTGGTCTTTCCAACATAGTTCAAAGATTGGTTCTTGCTGGCCTTCTTCACCGTCTTCTTGGCGTGCCTATAGTCCTTCTACCCGCAATGCAATGTCTTTAATCCCTGTTCACATGCATGCATCTCGTTACAAGCAAGCTTTTCTCTTAAAGAACCAACCCTGTGCTGCAGTAGATTGTTAGATGAGATGGAACATTGGGAAAAGTGTTGCATGATTACAGCAGCACACAACGGGGAACAGTATATCGAATGTAATCTTAGGCGTGCGATGGTTCGTATTTCTTTGTAAGATTCGAGATTCCTCTTCGTCTTTGGTTTGGAGTGGCCTGGGGCCGATAGCACGAATGATGGGTGATGGTGGTCGTCCGTGTCAGAGGTAACAAACAGTAGGAGCAATTATGCAACAACCCACCAACCACTGCTCTTTATCGCAATATCCAGTGATACATATACAACAACAAGAAGAGAACCAGGGTCTGTTTCATAATGATCTTATTTAGAATTTGTCTCCATCTTACAGAAGGATCAGGAATATGTACCTTTTATGGTTACCGAAAAGAAATAAATCAACATATTTATATGGAACCAATAAATGGAATTTTGTGGAGACTATATAGACTTTTTTATTATTAATAATGCATGGATTTATCTCACTCGTCAGGCAAACTGTAATTGAAAGGGATTTTTGTATAAGAAAATATTTGCCAAACATAATAAACAACAACACTCAGATTTGAGAGCCAATTACTTTGTCCATATTCATGTCACATTATGTCACGATTCACGATAAAAGTCTGCAAGTCACACGCCGTTTTATTCATCACGAGTCAACCGAGTTTTTCCACTCAAAATAGCTTTTCCCATACATGTACGTACATACAGTCCGCCGGAAGCGTTGATTTTGTTCTGATTAAAGGAATACATTGCTCAGAAATATGGAAGTGCTTGAGGCAGTAACACACGACAACCACAAGGGAGATTGACTACACTATTAGCATACGTTGATTTTGATGCTTATTTATTATTTTGGGTGTGATTCTATACAAAATGAAGTCATAAAACTCTATCATCAAGCCATCACTCCCCACAAATCACGAGAGTGGATGAGATTTGTCGGTTGAGCATGCGGAAGTCGTTCACTCATCTTTTTCACTCAAGTGGCTGACGAGGAGGAGTTTCTACTACTGATGACAACAACGAATGCACAAATTGGTGAAAATCACCGAAATATTTATTCAAGGAGCTTTCTATCCCTTTCTGCCTGTGAGGATTGTTGATTTGGAATAATTTGACTAGAATGAGAGTCATTAGTGGAACAGAGTCGAAGGAATAATTTTTGGCTGGCTGGCTTTTTATAATGATAATCTCTTTTTAACTCTTTCACTGACGGGAATAATGTGGAGAGCCAAAGGCCAAAATAAATTGGAGCTGGCGTCATAACACATGACCGTAGTGTACTCGTGTTCAAAGGGAAATAAAGACATCATTCCACATGCCAAATTAACCACGAATGGCTCCCATCACAAATAAAACATTTCTCAAACACACTTTCACCAATTCCTCGTAGACACCGCTCTTTATCTAACAAACACTTATTGAGACCACGACGACTTACAACTAACAAATATGTAACTTGTCTGGGGAGTTTTGATTCATTTAATCTACTGGATCATAATTTGCATGCTTTCTTTTTTGTTACAGAGGACGATGCTACATATTTATTATTACGTGGTTTTGCTGCTTTCTCTTTCATTTCGCATTTTCTCTTTTTACATTTGACTTGCTCTCTCATCAGCGTTCAATCACGATTGACAATTTACAATCCGAGTCCCACAAAAGACTACGAACATTTACAAAGTTTAACCCCTTTGTGTACGACAGACTGCTGAGACGACTAGACGACATAATGATATACTTACTACAAGAGAGTTCAAATCTCCAGACGTTCACTACTCCATAAATAGATATTCAAGCAAAAGTGGAGTTATACAATTTTCAAACGAATTGTCAAGAGGAGAGAATCTTTTTTTTTACAAATTGGGATCATGGCCGTTGGTGCAGCCACTACTGGAGTGAGACATGTTCGAGTGGGGAAGTTGAGAAAAGTGGAATTCTGGAACCATTGACTGGAACATTATGCAGGCGAGGGTGGGGTTGGTTTGCATGACTTTGTACAGATGTGAGAAGTATGTGGAGCTGTCAACGGGGGAAATTGGGGGAGACAATGGAGGAGCCGCCTTTGTCGTCGTCGTCGTCGTCGTCGTGGTGGAGTACAAGTGGAAATTGGATCCTGGGGACGGGTGGGGAGAGTCGTCCTCCTTGCATCTCGGAGAGGGGGAGGAGTAAGTCAACGCTTTCGGGTCCCCAGACAGAAGTTGCTGGCTCTGGTTCTGTCGTTTCCACTTTGTCCTGCGGTGACAAATTCAAATTCTTTATCATGACTATATTAACTAATACATGTGTGATTACATCTGTATATGCATAGCACAGCGTACGTAATGTCTCACCACTCACCTGCGATTTTGATACCAAGTTTTTACTTGAGTTTCTGACAACTGGAGTAATTCTGCAACTTCCGATCTATCCGCTACACTCAAGTACTTTTGTAGTCTGAAGCGCCTTTCGAGGAACGCTAATTGAGAATGGGTGAAAGCTGTTCTTCTCCTTCGAGACTTTTTCACTCCGCCCGATCCTTGATCTTCGCTAAGGTCACAGTCACTTGGACCTCGTCTCAAAATCTCAACTCGATCACTTGCAATGAGATCTTTGATAAGAAATGATGATTTGACAGACATTGTGCCCTTTAAATATCTCACAAGAGTACTTCCAACTCTGATGATATGCAAATCGTGAAAAATAGCAAAGTGTTTGACAAAATGAGAAACAATTTTAGCAGAAACCTTGAAAATGCTGATTGATGTACAGAGTGATGGATCGTTTGAGTGAAAGTGAGACGCTCTCCTAAAAGTGTGTCTTTATTTATGGAAATGCTGAAAATGATCGTCAATTGTCTGGTGATGGGGTTGGTGGTGATGGCATAAGTGGCATTTTATTCAGGGAAATGGAAAATATCCTAGTTTCATGCAATCTCTTCCAATTTTGGGTATTTGCTTTCACTCGGGGTGTAGCTTAGGTGGAGGAGGTTAGTTGGTGAGCAGGCAAGCGCTGCAAGCCCAACTCCCCGCCTTTCTCCACCACTCCCAGAGCCATTCACGTCAGTTTAGAGGGGAAACACATTAGGAAAATCGTTTTCACTCACGCCTCGCACCGCAGAAATCCACGTCCTCCAATTATTGAGAGCAAAACAGTGAAAGTCGTGTCATTTCTTTCCCAAAGAAGGAAGAACCCTTCACCACAAATATGCAGATGCTCAATTTATATCAGCAATTGTAGATAGCATCAACCCGTATTATAGTGTACATAATATTTTTACTTGCACCATTACAAATAACGTGTTATTAACCCAGATTGGGAAATTTGAGACGGAATTTGAAAAATGATCACCCAAAAATTACAGAATGTGATTTTTACATGTTATAGGCATATCTCGATGTAACGTCACTCATTTTTAACCGAGCTTGTGTCCGTCTTGTACCGGTGGGGGTTATTTAAGCGTATTTATTTAATTGAAGGATCCCATTTTGCCACACTGGTTTTACAAATCAGCAGAAAAAGCTTATATAGATCAAAAGTTATGGTTCTTACGGATGTACAAAACCATCCCAACTTACGACTCATTCTTATATTCAATTCAAACGCAACAATAACAGCATAGCATAAAACTTTCTCCATACACTATGGATATCTGCTTCCAAAATTGATTTAATCCACAATATAGTGGAAAAGTACCTAATTGACCTTGGCTTATTATGCACAGTCGATTTTTCTATTATTATCACGAATTACACGTTTCAAAATATTAAATTAAAATCTCGTCTCTCGTCATCTCTCATTTGCCATCTCTGTACATGGACGAGGACAAAATGAGACTTCGCTGCCTATGTATTCTGGAGAACCCGGCATCAGTTGGAATGTTGTTGTTCTGGAACATTACAGATGGATTGCAGCAGCCAGATTACTTTTTTCCCAGCAGCCAAGAATCAACATTCTTATGGCCACCATTATCTTTTCAGTCTCACGTATAATTCAGAATAGGCCATTGTTATTTGCAAGATCGGGAGTAATCAGTTTACTCCAACAACCTGGTAGTTCAAGAAACAATTTGTCGACTACGCAACAAAAACCACGCACACCATTTCAGCAGATTGAGCGACAGTTTGACAAGGTAAACTTTTAAAAATATCAAGCAATTATTACTTCCCCATTGTCACAATTTCTTTGCTTACTTTCCTACAATGTCAATCTACTACCACTTGACTCACTGTTCATTATGCTATACATACATCCAATCTACAAATTTAGCTTTTGTGAAGAATGTGGATTGCAATTGTGGCAATAAGATTCGAAGAGTCGAAGAACGAACAACATATGCGAAGCTCTCTCGTTGCTGAGTTATCAAATTGTTGTCTAATATTGGAAGAAAGTGAAACTATTAACCGTATTTCTGCTGTTCGGCCTTTACATAAAACTGCTGTATCAGTTTAATAATTTTTAGCAGACTATTGCAAAGCACTTACAATGGTTATTAATAAGTTTTATTGGAAAATCTTTCTGGTTTGCAATGTAAGATTAATGTATCGTGTTGCATTTAGTTAGTAGTACCAAATAGTAGCTATAAATGAAATGATATGAATACTTTGCAGGTTGCTTCTTTTGCTACTGCAACTAAAGTAAAACTCGTTGGCGAAATGGAGAAAGAAAAAATTGTACCGGAAGTTGTAGGTAAGTTAATTTAGTTATATACCTTTCATACATCATGACATGAATTATGTATAAATATACATAGAAATTAAAATAACCCTAATTTTTAGATCAAGTCCCGAAATCCGTTTTGGTTGTTAAATATGGAAGCAATGAGGTCAAGTTGGGTAATGTGCTTACGCCGACCCAGGTGCAGAATCCACCCACAGCTATTGACTGGGAGGCTGACTCGAACAAGTTTTACGTTCTCTGCATGACGGGTATATACATTTGTTTTGATACCTAATTCAGACGATTTGCATTCATGCTAAATAGTTTCCTTTATTTACAGATCCGGATGCTCCCAGCCGAAAAGACCCCAAGTTCAGGGAATGGCATCATTGGCTTGTTGGAAACATACCTGGTAAAGACATCTCCAAGGGCGAAGTGCTCAGCGAATATGTGGGCTCGGGCCCGCCTGAAGGTAAACTAATAGTGCCAAAAATTGTTAATACTAACAAGTATTAGGAAGACCTTGGTTTACTTTACTGTGTTTGATAAATAGGGACAGGACTGCATCGCTACATTTTTTTGGTTTATGAACAACCCAAAACATTGACATTTGATGAAAAGCGACTTACCAACCGATCCGGAGATCATCGTGGAAAGTTTTCTATTCGAAATTTTGCAAAAAAGTATGCGTTGGGGGAACCCGTTGCTGGAAACTTTTACCAGGCAGAATGGGACAGCTATGTCCCCAAGCTATATCAGCAATTGAGCGGAGAATAGACTCGTTCCAAACGTCTGACCTATATTTGAAACTCTTTCACTATTATGAAGTAGCATGTAGTCCTACGCATGTCGAAAAGGTATCAAAGCTACATATGCCAATTATCAATAATTGTCGAATTATATCATTCAGAATAAAAGTAATAAATAATATTGGCAACTAATTGAACCAGCATTTAGAAAAGAAAATACTTTATTTATAGAGTTCGCAGAATTGAAGAGTAGAGTATTTTTTTACATAGGATGAGAGAGTATTTAGATAGGTGACAAATTTAATATAACAGATGACAGAGTGTAGAAAGATCAGGCTGTAGGTAGAAGAGGAGGAAAAATGAAACGGAAAAGTCAGAGTAGTAGTCGTAATACAGGTCATCGCGCTTATCCTTGGTATCCTCCGGCTTGATATCCTCCCGCTCCGTAGCCTAATCCAGGATCAAAATTTAATTTAAATTTCGTTGAAAACAAAATATTTTTAGCACTTTTGTTCTAACCCGCTTGATGTGCAGCTGAGCCCCCAGCAGCGCCGTATTGCCCAGCGTTAACGCTAAAAATTTATATCTTTGTTTTTATATGAAAATTTAAGGAATATGAGTAGCCACACTTACGCTCCGTAGCTTCCTTGGCTTCCCTGGGCAGCGTTAAGGCTGTTACTGTTACCGAATTGACCAGAAGACTAAAAAATGTATAATATTAAATTAGATACCAAGAAGAAAGAATGACTTTTTACATAGCTGGAATCTAGCAGGCTTATTTCTTACCCCTTGACCACCGGCAGATCCTTGTGAGTTATCGAAAGAGTTGGCATTTCCGAAAGACTCGCCGTACGTGTTGGAGGATCCAAATTTGTTGCCGTATGCAGAGTTGCTGCCAGCATTTCGGGATCCCTGCGCACCGTATGAACCTTGGGCAGCAGCTCCGTAGTTATTGGAGGCAGCGTTGAGGGCACTCCCTTGGCTACCTTGAGCTTGAACGGCGTTCAAATTGGACGCACCAACGGCGCCGTATTGTGAAGCACCAGCATCATACCCACCAGCCCCATATCCAGAAGCACCATATCCAGCAGCTGGGGCACCATACCCTCCTGGGGCTCCATACCCTCCGGGGGCACCATATCCCCCACCACCAGCAGCAGCAGCAGCACCAGCAGCTATTTATAAATATTTAAAAAATTAGTATTCGGTTGATGGACTACGATGATGAAGACGACTTGCCTGCACCACCACCAAGTCCTCCCATGCCCCCTGCGGCACCCGCAGCAGCAGCAGCACCTGCGCCTCCGCCTCCCCACTGGGGTTTAGCGACAACAGCGCCGAAGAGAGCGAACAAAGCAATCCACTTCATCATCTTGTGGCTAGCCTGAAATAGAAATTTTGAGTCGGTCCATTAGTTAAAATTCTTAATCTGACTGAACCACCCATCATGGGGTGTGTGGGTTGGGTGGAGTCCCTTACTTTTAGTTTGCAGGAGTTTGATAGAAAAGGGGTGGTGGTGTTATTGCTGCGAAAGCTGACGGAATAAGTCGGATGGTTTATCACAACTTGTGCAGCCTTTTTATACGGGAAGCCATTCCCTGTTTCATTTTATGAGGCTCATTAAACTTTCGAAAAGACACGTTTCAAATGCGGAGAAATTTGGAACAAACAATAGAGTTCCGTAATTCAATGTAAAAAAAATGCCTGCAGAATAATGGGCAATCCGTTTATCGGGAGAAATTACGTCTCATATGAGGCCATATTCTTGGGTTATGTCATGTATCAATAGGCAATAAAACGTATTGGACCGCAGGTTAGTAAAAATATCGTAGCCATTTGTGTAACCCCAAGTTTCGAGATTACGAAACTCGAGTAATGGAATTATTCTTATTCCAATTACATGGTCATACGTATTCCACTACCACTTTTTTGCAGAACAATTACTGAAGGTTTTTTTAAAAATTAATTGTAGTAATAACCTTATGAAATTACAACGTCATGCAGTAAAACAATGAGAACGGACGTCACCCAGACGTGCGTATTATCAACTAAATTTTCCTTATGAAATCGATTAAATAAGGCAGTAACGTAACGTAATGTAATGCCGTCATGGTCATTCCGCGGATGTCCATTGTCATTAGCATCCCGGTCAAATCGGTCATAAGCTTTTTCTGGTGCCGTCTTAAACTAATCATGCAGAGTCCTATTTATGTTACATATTATATCCATCCTATTGTTATCTCACGAATTTGCTAGCTTTGGTTCTTGATGAAATCATCCATAATAAACCTAAAGCACTACGGAAGGGAACATGGAACGGATGGACAACTGGAAATAACTTTCATGAATTATTCAAGCATCACCATCAAACGCAGATATATGATTGTGATTCACAATTTGTGAAGGCTGGTGAGGAATTTGTGAGGAGGTTCAAGTTGAGTAATGATGAATCATTTATTCCTGCTGACCGTATACTTAAAATAACGGATAGGAATTGCGTGAATTATGCATAATTGATGCGAATCCTAAGGATAAATATAATGCGAGTGGACGATGACGAGTTGATGACATCCGACAAACTTTCTTGCAACGCCCCTCCGACTGAATATTTGTGAATTCCAGCCTGCTGGTTGTAATGGAACGCAAAACGTGGAATTGATCCACTATTTTGACAGCCTCTGCTCCTTCTTCCTTCCTGCCTGCACTGGACGAAATTCATCACAACAAATACAAACTAATCTATTTAGCTTTACTATAATCTGTTCTTCGTTGCCCATCCATCCCTACACCAATTAAGTAATACTCGTATGATGATCCTTCCTTGATGGGCTTCAAGTCACGACAATAATATTATCAGAGGGGAAGACTCAAGTAAGTTGGTTATCTGCTAAGCAGATTCTGCTTTGTTATTTAAATAATACGCCCTGTATTTTTTTAATCGATACTTAATTGTGTACATAAAGATCCAAGTTAAGGTAATTGTTAAAGTAACCTAGCTGTGTCGTAAATTACTAGACTGGTAGACTATATTGGGAAAAGGTGTAAAGGCAGGTATTAATAACCATTATTGATTCTTAATTAATTATTTAAAAATTCGCACTTGTATTATCTGTATAACTATTGGTGGGTTGGGAAATGAATAAAACGGTGCTAGGTCTTTAGGGTTTGAAAATTAAAGAACCGGAGATTGATGACTTAAAATGGATAGAAAAGTGCGATTGTAGCATGAGTTTTGATGATGACTCATTCCTTTTACTCGATATATTTATTTTATTCGCTTTTTAATCCGTCGTGCAATCCTTGATTGGCAAGTGTCGACTTTGATTCAACGTTTTTTTGATAGGGATTAGCATCATAGGAAATGTCAGTGGTGTGGTACATGTAACTTTGTATGAATAACATGTGATGAAGGATTGTGGTTATTCGATTATAGATTAACAGGGATGGATGGTGCTGCGACCACCAGGACGGGTGATGACGAGAAAGATGATTGCCATACAGTTCCAATTAATGACACAAGGAAAGTCCTGCAAGTTGATGCAGATCTTAAATTGCCAATACAGGACAAAGAGCTTCTAGTTGAATTAAGTGGTAATTCGCAACCGGTGCTGCAAGCCAATAATCAACAAGTAATACCTGTGAGAGAGGAAGAAGACTTTATCATATTCCATGGTGTCTCTTATCTTGGTGCATCCAAAATCCATGTAAACTAATATTTTTATAATATTCGCATTCGCCTCAATCTAATATGAGTAAAAACATTTAATGAGTTTGGAACTTTTCTTATTTTAGGAAGCTAACAATGAGCTCGAAATTCAGAAAATAATTTCATTTCTAAATGAAGCAAGTGATTCCTGTATTCAAGTTTCAGTAGCAGTACCGTTCTACTCGGATGGGGAAGTTGTGTAAATATACATAATTGCAAATTTGTTAATTCATTATAATTGTCATTAAAACCGGCAACTACTATGATTATATTTTTGTATTTTGTAGGGTATACGAAGAGGAGGATCAATCTGAAATCTCACGGTTTAAAATCAATCAAATTATATTTTTTGCAAGAGGCGACAATTCAAACAGTGACAGCAGTTGCTTTGCATTTACCTGTTCTCATGGGAAAACTCTCAATGAAGCCATTTTCCAATGCCATGCATTCCGATCTGATGTAAAAGATGCGGTAATATAATAAAACATGAAAAAATATGTTACACATTATTGAATTATTAAGGCATGCATAAATCTATATTTATTTTGTTGTGCAACTACTTATTATTTAGGTTGGAAGAGTATATCAGAGCTTTTCGAATGCTTTCTCAGGCCCCAAACGCGTCGCAGAAAACCTAGTGACGACAATGAGCGCTGTTTCAGATGACACGCCAACTACGGGATCTCATGAATGTTCAATATTTGAGGTTTCTCTTGAAATGAAAGAGGACGATGGAAAAGTAAGTAAAATCAAATTCAGTACAATACGTGCATATTTCAAGATTTGTTGTTCAATATTATTTAATGTTTTTTCCTTATTAGGGAAATTTCCACTTGGTTCCTCGCTCCTCTTATTTCAAGTTGAAGAGTTTTGTCTCAAAGCAAATTGTCCTAACCATTCAACAGATCTCCCACAGTTCACCAGAACAGGAGTTAATTGTTGAGAGATGCTTTGGAATTTTGTTCTGCTGTGGAAGATTTCTGAGACCTTCGGACTTACAGCTTTGTGAAATGCTGTCATATTCTCGCGGTGTCGACAAAAAGTCATACGTTGTTACTGGTCAGTGGGATTGCAATGATCCTGCATTTCAGCCCCTTAATCAAGAGACGCCCAAAGAATCATGCATTTTCTTCAGCGTAGCAGTTGATATTGTCTTAAAGGTTCTCTTCATGGATAAAAATAATAGCCTAGATTTAATGGTCTCACTTAAAAAATTGATACTTTGATGTTTAGAATGTACAAGAACCTGTCAGATTTACAGTAAGTGTAAACATTAGTAACAATCAATTACCATTTGTAATGCTCATTATAATCAACATTTACTCTCTTATCAGATTGAAAGTAAAGCAAGAGTATATCCACCAACAGAAAAGTTTTGGGTATTATCTCGAAAACATCATGTTACACAACAATTTCAACTGACATTAGAAAGAGTAAGTGAATTTGACATTTAAAGAATTTAAAGAATTTTTTAATGAAACATAAATTCAACAATTATGTTGTTAGGTCCAGGATAGCACAAAACTTGTCTACAAAGTTAAAAACTGCACTGCTATGGGCGAAGTTGAAAAGAGCAAACTAAACTTGAATTTGAATTTCACTTCATTCATTCGGTCTTCGAGTATTGGTTCAATTGAGTTAGAAACACCGACGAGTAAAGACGAAGAGGACTCTGGTTAGTTGATTAAGCAAAATTTATTTATCATTGTTAGATACATAATTACTTTGAAAACATGATTATCTTCAGCAGATGATGATGATGAAGCACTTCCAAGTGGGCAAATTTTTGGAAGTACTGAAATTTCTGACGAACAAATTGCTGTGTGGAGTGATATTCTAAAAATCTGGCCAGTGGATTCGCCACGTCCGAAGCAGGTTGAAATTCACGTGAGATCGGGAATTCCAGACACAATGAGAGGAAACATGTGGATGAGACTTGCTAATTGTGATGAAATGGAAATGCTCGAGTTGTATAAGACATTGATAAGCAAAGAGTGTTCCAGTGATGATGTAATTAGAAGAGACATTCACCGCACTTTTCCTGCAAATGAATTCTTCCAGTCGGGAAATGGCCAGGAACTTTTATTCAAAATTTGTCATGCTTATGCAATTTACGACGTGGATGTAGGATACCTACAAGGAATCAGCTTCATTACAGCAGCACTGCTTTTGCAAGTATGTATGTATGTATATGCTGTAATTGTACAATGTCGTATTTTTTACAAAATTATATTTAAATTATTGACAGATGCCGGAAGAACAAGCCTTCTGTTTGTTGGTGAAGATAATGTTTGGCCATATAAATCTTCGCAATTTGTATTTGAATGAGTTTGATAATTTGCACCAACACTTGTATCAACTCGAAAAACTTATCCAAGTAATACGCTTTCCTGTCATTATACTTTTATCTAACATTGTAAAACTTATCAAATGTATTTTCCAGGACCAGATACCAGAACTATCTGTACATTTTCGTGAAAGCGGAATTGAACCACACATGTTTGCCTCACAATGGTTTCTTACGCTGTTTTGTGGAAAATTCCCATTGGATTTTGTGTTTCGAGTGATTGACATTATATTGCTCGACGGGTTTAACACTGTTTTTCAAATAGCAATTGCATTACTGATGGTAACCTTACATTTTTGCTAATGTTAATAATTAATCCCGTATATTTAATACGCTGTTGTAAATCGCAGGCTGCAAGGAGAGACTTACTAACCTTGGATTTTGAAGGAATATTGCGTTATTTTAGAGTCATTTTGCCAAAGAAATACAGATCCGCAGACGCTACAAACTTGTTAATTCAAAGTGTTTATAGCGTGAAAGTAAAGAAATCTAAATTGAAGAGGTATAAGAGAGAATTTGACACCATGAAAGAACACGCCAGAAATTCTGTGGACTCAATCTCAAGATTATCAACGGAAAATAAGCTGCAGAAAGAAGACATAATGAGATTTGAGTATCTCGTAACAAACTTGGTTCTTTCAAAAACAAGTACAGATGAACGTTGTTTTCATCTTGAACAAGAGCTTCATAAGATTAAATTAGATCTAAAAGAGAAGGAAGAAATCAATTTGAAATTAGAAGAAGAAACAAACTCGGTAATATTACTTATACATGACTTCAATAATTGTGTAATTAATCCTTATAAATTTGGGTTTTCTTTATAGGTAAAGGACTTGTTTCAACGAGAATTGAAACGAAGTGAGGACGATATTTGCAAGAAGGACAGCATAATTTCTGAATACAAACAGGTAAATCTTACATATGTAATTCTTCGTCAATTATTGAAAATGGAATACATGAAAAGCAATGAAAAAAATCTCTTCATTTTTTCATGTATAGATCTGTTCGAAACTTAGCTCTCAAATAGCTACGGAGCAAAAATTGTCTAGAGAAAGAATGTTGTTTTTTCAAACAAATCTTTGTCCTCCATGCTTCCAATTCGCATCCTGTGCAATCAACATTGCCTCAAGTGGTAAAACAAATGGAGATTCTACTGAATCAGGTGCTGGTGACAGGCCACTTGAAGATATAGTTAAACCTTTAGAAAATGAGCTAGCCAAGACAAAAATTGCACTTGCTGCAAGTGAGTGTGACAATGATGATACCAAACATAAGCTAAGTTTGGCTCTTGCAGAATTAGAAACTTATAGAAATAGTGGTGCAGCATCGACATGGTTATGGAAGAATTTGTCTAACAAAAAATGATGCCCTGACCGTGATTGAATCTCCGTCCAACAAAAGGTGGGAATTACGTAACTTTGTAATCGTGCAAACTTTTAGAAACTTTTTAAGAACTAAAAACATGCCCTCGAGATTCATTTTACAAATGTTTATAACTGTATATATAAGTTTGTAAAAGTTTACAAATTTTTAAAGTTACGGAAGTTTCCTATACTAATCTTGATTTTTTTGTGTAAACTATCGACAAATAAATTCGGTAGAAAAATTACTTCTTTCTAACCATTCTGACCATTAAAAGGTTTCTAACAATAGTTGTTGATACTTTCTCATTACTATATACATGCTACCGCATACGAAGACTGTATGTATGTAGTTTAGATATGGTATCATTCCACTAAATATATTTTATTTATTGATCTTGTATCCTGATTCCATATTTACAATATGTATACATAAAATTCCACTAATTTAAGACAAAAATGTTAAAAAATTGTTGTTAGAAAACAAACCAAGAACAAATAAACCCTAACCCTTCATATAAGTAGTCGATAACTCCAATTTATTGTTATATTTAAGCATTTACTGGTTTTCATGTTCTTTACCGACTTCATACGACGTACTTAATGCCAGAGTCAAGTGCAGAACTTTATTATTATCTGTTTCAAGCATGTTGTTTTTAGTATTTTGTCAAATTGGCTTGCACGCCAGCGTGAGAACGAGGATGGAGAGGTATCAAATTCGAAGCATGTAAACTACTCATTCATTTATGTTTGATTTTAGTAAATGGAGCTGAAATTGGAGTATGGATATTTTGCCAACCAACATTTTTATTACTCTCTCAACTATTGTCACTCGACTCGATTATATAAAATGAAATTTAGATACTTGTTCTTTCAGCCACTGAGTAATGGATACCCTCGCTTTGCTGAAAGTCGAAACGAATTCAAATTGCCACTTATATTGACGACATCATTATATGCATGGCGTCTTACCAAACTATTCATGTATTTCCAGGAAGATTTATGTACTTTGTGTTTCAGTCATCTCTCCATTATTCCTCATATCCAAACTGCGTGTCATTTGTTCATCGGTGCTTAATACAAGTAGTAATACCATTTTTTAAAAGATTTTATCAAGTTCACCTCCACCAACACTTCCGCTCCAATGCCAAAAACTAGTGAGCAACGAATCCTTACATATGTACCTATATTCCTCCTCATGAAATTCAAATTCGATCGAATAGCCTTGTCCCGTCACTCGAGATGGAAAAGAATTGAAACATGGATCTGTCGTTTATATTCCAAAGTCACTACATGAAATGTGGAGACCGTCCATCTTAAATTTCATCTTGTATTCCTTAGCATATTTTGACATCAGACTTCTCCGTCATATGTACATACATACCCAACGGATCATTTCAAAGTAAAATCGTCCCTACATAGCACCAACCATCCTCATCCTGTTCCTTCCTACTACATCATATGTTAATTATCTTATAGTTTTTATTCAATTGGATAGTGCAATATTTTATTTTTCCCATTTGTCTACCAAACATTTTTGGGAACCGGGAACATTGACTGGTATGAATAAAACCAGGGAAATCCTCCAAGGAAACGGGAAAAGGGAAAGGCATTTGCCTGAGGGAAAGTCTCTCAGGTCAAGGCTATTGCCCCTTTTCGTATGAATAAACTTTTGCCTTTCTCGCCAGGCAAATCCCCCTGGTTTCGGGCAATTCCCCTAACTTTAATTACTTGTAATTAAAATAATACCATCGCAACTAAGACAAATGCATTTTCCAAAATTTCTGACCATGTTTTTGATCAAATTCTTAAAGAAATGTACCCCTAGTGACCCCCACTGGTTTGTGATGTTGGTTAAAAAAGCTGAAATTCGGTATGGTACAGGCTAATCTCAGAATTGCAAAAATTAAATAAATTTCAGTGTTGTATATGAGTGTAGGTATTTGATTTCATGTGTTTGAAAATGTATTTGATTTTTTGAACACCCTCCAAACTCAATCAGAGTATTCCGAAAAAACCATCTTCAAATACTAGCCAAAAAATCCAGTTTTCTCGGAATTTACAAACTCTTGTACGATTTTAGTCCCAGTTGTCGTACAGTTGACAGTTGTTTTATAATATCCAACATCAAACTTATTTTTGAATTTTTATAGATTTTCGAAATTTTCCTAACCAGGAAAAAAATTAAAATTCTAACCTCCTAACTTTGTATAGACCTAAAAATCATCTAATTTTTGTAAGAAAAACCTACGGCGATGAACAGGTTTCAAAATCGCCTTTAAATGGAAGAAGGGAAAGTTGAGACACGAAAATTCGAGTTTAAAACCCGCACGCAATAGACCCTTAAAAGATTAATAAATGAGCGAAAGCGGAATTTTTCAAAAAAAAAAATTTTGGAAAATTTTCAACATTTGCAATTACATAAGTGCATTTAATATGCAATTTGGGAGATACCGGTAGCTTGACCAGTTGGATATCGAGCCCGAAATTTGAATTTAAAAAAGTTTCAGAAAACATTTTCAGGTTTTTAATGAAAATATAAAGTACATTTTTTCGATGTCGATAGCAAATAAAAATCTGCATATTTTTGTCGATAAATCTTGTTTTGTAAGTTTTAAGGCCCTAACATGTCCAACTAGTGTCCAACGTTCATAAAAGGTGCAGCAGATGCTTAAAAACTAAGTTTTACTGGTAATTCCGTTAGTTAGGGTCAGCATAATAGCTGATCGGTAATTTTTGGGGAGATTGCCTGAAGGAAAGGCTTTCACCTTGGTTTTATTCATACAAAAGTCCCCGTCTCCAGGGAAAATCTTGAGGTTGAGGGAAAGGCTATTCCCTTTTTCCTTTCCCTCGGGGAAAAGCAAATGCCTAAATTTTTATTCATATAATTACGGGCATTTCCCCGATTTTTTCCGGAAAAAGGATTTCCCTGGTTTTATTCATATCACCCATTCTCTGTTACCTGCGTCTTTTGTCAATGTGGAGGTTTACATGGCATGAATTTAAGAAATTCGTCGCATTTTGCATTGTTTAATGAACGAGCATTATTCAATGAAATTATATTTTCCAAGGTCCTGAATTTTACTTAGTTACGTGTATATATAAGGTTAACTCATTTGATGGTAAATTTTGTGACCGAGAGCTTGGGACGAGTTTGGGATTATTTTAGGAGAAAAATACGTTGTTACGTGAAGTTAGGGCAATTTTGAACGTAAATTTATGAAATAATGACGATTATCACTGCCGGTGGTGGTGGTCAAAATTGATTATTTCTTGAGTACATTTCTTGAGCAATATGAATTTGGATGAAGATGAGGAAGAAATTCAGAGGGATAGCGAATAAGAATTTGAGCTTCCTCCCGACCAGCGGAAGCTGATCTGGAAACGATCAGTTCCATTTTAAACTCTCACCAATTTGACACCAAGGGGACGTTCGTAAACTTCGTAACGCAAGGAGGGGTGGGTGGGGGTAAGGGCCCAATGATATCGTGCCTATGTAAAACATGTTAAAGGGGGTGGGTGGGTGTCCAGAAAACCAAAAATTTGCGTTATGAAGTTTACTAACGTCCCCCAATTTGACGATATTTACATTTGAAATCTATTAATTATGCTGGCTACAAATGTGTAGGTAAATTTTTTTTCCCACAAAATGGAAAATTATTTATTAACATAAACATTGATAAAGTATGAAATACACTTAGTTGGCTTGGGGAGTAGAGGAAAAACCCGATGTTGGTGGGTTGGGAAAACCTTTACTTGATCCGGATAGGCGTCCGAGATCACCATTCGGCCCCTTACAGGATTTTTGTAAATAAAACGACCTATCATTTAAAATATAAAATAATTCTTCTAATCCTCGTTGACTGGGGACAGCTCCCATGATTGATGCCGCATTCCCGCGTTGAACTGCCAAACTGATCCGTTGAATGAGAAATGTTGTTGACATTGGTCCAGTGACATCCTTCATCCTCCTCCCAACATCTTGGATGAACTTCAACCCTTCCATCCCCCATACTCCTGATGTCTCGACAGCCACCGGAACAAAGATATATTGTTTTTCAAGTTCAGAGTAAAGTTTGTGTTTTTTGGTCTCGGCTAGTTTTGCTGCTGTGCCAGCATGTCTAAGTGTGTGAGAGAGATAAGAGGGGGCAAAAGTGTCTGTACATGTAAAGTCCCATATTAGTGAGCGTCCCTGTTTGTAAGGTATTAGTGTTAGACCATCCGGTCTTTTTCCATCTGTCCTACAACACCCTAATGGTTCCCTAATGCTTGGTATGTCTGCAGAAATTAAGGCTCTCTTTATTATGTCGTTACATTGTGTATGTCGAGAGTGCCTGCCAGCACTTTTTTTACATGAAAGGCCATGTAATCCTAGTTCATCTATTTGTGTACCACAAACACATTTATGGGGGAAACACAATTTTAAACCTAACCTCAAACCAATTGCAATCCTAAAGGAATTATCGTCTAAAAGTGTGCCTAAATTCCTGGATGGTAAAGCTTGCAACCATGCACCTGACTCTTTTGACCGAGATGCCAAAATCCTAGCGGTATTAATTGGGGTGGTGGATGAATCCAGGATACGTGAACATACTTGATTAAAAATTGGGATTTCCCATGATGATTGAATAGAGGAAATTGTACTGCGAGGTAGTTCATCACAACTAATCGACTTCCACAAGTCTTGCGCCTCGGTCACAAGTGAATCGGACAAAGCAGTGACATATGAGGGCAAAATTAAAGAAACCAAATCTGTAGTGGCAAATGAAGATGCAAGGAAGCATGGAGTTGCTAAAGTTTTCGATTGTTTAATTCCCAAACCTCCTAATTTAACCGGCAAAGCTATTTCTTCTAGAGATAGAGGATTAATTTGGCAGTTTGTAATCTGTTCTAAAGTATCATGGAGCAAAGAATCGAACTCTTCTAGCAAGTGAGGAGATTTAAAAATTGGGGCTGCCCTCAGTAGGTATACTAATCGTGGAATCGCTAAAGAATGTTTCAAGAGATAATACGCAATATGGTTGGGAATGGAGTTTAATCGACCTGCCATATTAGAAAAAGCGTTAATCTTTTTGCGAAAAACGTGCTCAATTGATTCATACGTTAAAGGTGCACCTAAAAGTTCAGCATTTTCCTGAGTCATACATGAAATACCTGGTGCAGCTGATTGGAAAGATTCTAGTATACATTGCGTGTTGGTTTGTAGACCTAAAACTGAAACCTCACATTTATCAAAGTTTAATTCTAAACCTACTTCATTTGCACACGAGATAATATGTTTGAAATCGTCTAAAACTGTAGTAGGATCGCCACCTAATGTACCATCATCCAAGTACCACATATTAAATTCTGACCCTAAATTTGAAACGACTGGATGTAGAATCAAACAAAAAAGTGGTGGACCTAACGGATCTCCTTGTTGAACACCTCTACATGATTCAATTAAAGAAGAATTCCAGACAAGGCTGGATGAGAATCTATAGCACTGATTAATATAAGGATACAAGGTTGGTACAAGTTCGTGAACGGATGAAAGCAATTTCCCTCTATCCACCATATTAAAAGCATTTTTGAAATCTAATTTTTGAAATCTGTAGGTAAATGTAAATTGTATAGTAGTTGCATGCATAAATTTGTTTTTCTAAAATTTGCCCTCTCGTTATCATTACCATAACCGACTGTGCTCAAGAAATAATCAATTTTGACCACCACCACCGGCAGTGATAATCGTCATTATTTCATAAATTTACGTTCAAAATTGCCCTAACTTCACGTAACAACGTATTTTTCTCCTAAAATAATCCCAAACTCGTCCCAAGCTCTCGGTCACAAAATTTACCATCAAATGAGTTAACCTTATATATACACGTAACTAAGTAAAATTCAGGACCTTGATATTTTCTGAATTTCTAAACAATACAGGGTGGTTTAAATGTCAGGTTACAATGGAAAATTTGTCAATGGAAAAAATTCGCAAATCTCCATTAGTTACCGAAATTTTGCCTCTGAAATTCAATATTTTAAGAATTTGTCATCAGTGTTTTGATAAAAATTAATAAAAATAAAATTAATGAATTAATTAATTAAAATTAATTAATTAAAATTAATTTGTTAACAAAAGACTCAAACTAAAAGCTATAACCTTGTGCTTTTAGCAACTTGTGCTAAAAGCACAAGGTTACAAAAAAAAATAAATAAAAATGTCAATCCCAAATCCGTAACTAATGGAAATTTACGAATTTTTCCCATTGAAAAATTTTCCATTGTAATCTGACATTTAAACCACCCTGTATTTAAAACGAAACTAATTCTATGAATTGGAAGGAATGCTAGCTCACCAGAGCAGTCCCTGAGGATCGCAATTATGTATCTCCGCGATGATTGGATGCATTAAACCATTCATGTTTCATATTTTATGTGACATTTGATTTTATCGTTATTTGTGTTTTTGTTATTTCCAAACAGACAGAGACGAAATCTGAAAGCCTCAACTCAAATTGTACACACTACTCAAAGGGAGCATTTGAGAGCATGCATTCAGCGTTCACACACTGATGTAAATTGTAAAAATGTCGTTATTCACCTACTGAACTGTCAACTGAGTCAAACATTTGACAATAAAATGGTATGATCGAATTTCCATCTTACAACGCATATATTTAACGACCAATCTTCAGGCTCCGCATAACTTGATTACCGTATTTTAATACTAAATCCAATCACACTCAGTTTAATTTCTTTACGTCAACCAAAGAAATCTTAACTTGTGCTTTACTCCAATCATCAGCGTTTCATTTCTAAAATGCAATAGTTCGTTTCCTTCCATCATCACGCCCAGCGTTTTAAAGACCAATGACACCTTCCAAAGTCAAACAGTCAAGGTTGAACGTCTGCGTATATTTTACAGAATGGTTCGTACCAATGACCAAACTGACTCGATGAGCCGCACAATTCACTTAACGTTAATTCATCCTTGTGTCCGTAACATCCATCTTTTATACAATAATTAGCTTGTAGGTACATTAATGCGTATGTATGCATGCATATGTTTATGTCCATTTATACATTTCATACACACATTGAGAGAACCAAATGAATTAAGCTGAATTTTTCTAAATACTTATGTATGTTGTAATATTCAAGATATTTTCTTAAAAAACAGGATGTAGTATTCGATAAGATGTTATGCTTGAGTATGTATGTGTATGGATGCATGTATATTATCTATATGATCATCATTCATTGATGATTAATTGTCTACGGTGGTTAGTATGTATGTCCTCCTGTCCTTGTGACGTGTAGTTTTCATAAGTCGTGGACATGGACAGAGGTAATAGTAATGTCTGAACGTTTTTTAGAATCCCCACCCTGATTTCTTCAGTCTAAATATTATTGAGTGACATCATGTAATTTGCACATGTTCAATAATATTTCGTGTGACTGGCGTATCCACCACCAAATACGCAAGTTGTAAATAATTATTCAAAGGATGATAAGAAGTCAGACTATATTAATAATTTAAACCAGACTAAATCAGGACAAACATAAAAAAAGGAATCAAGTCGGCAGACAAAATTTGCTTGGTTTATTCCTTATCTGTCTCCGTCGGTAAGAAATAATAGCGATATTCACATGAGCATCATAATTAGAGTGATAATCTTATTTCAACAGCCGTGAAATTTGCAGTTATCATGTTTAGTTCATCCAAATATAATGACACGTCTCACAAGAAACCCTAATTAAATAGTAAAATACTCAGGCAGAAAAGGACAATGAATTGTTTGGCTTTTGTAAATACAAATGGAAAAACTGAAACTAAGAATAATAATACGTATGAAATATATTAATTGATTATTTATGTCATTTAATGATCTTGGAGTTCTGTCATTGTAGATAGTATTAGTGTGGACTTTTTCAGTCATAACTACGCTACTATCATAATAGATGGGCACAAGCTTGAATAAGAAAATGCGTACAAATATGACAACTTTTTCCCCATACACAAGAGTCCTGTCACATTCATGGGCATGATAATACTATAAAGCTTAACAGGCAGAATGAACTCATTACGTGTTTTGATGAGTTTGAGTGCAAAGGCTAATACTGTATTAGTAATACATATTTGGCTGGGATGCAATGCATATATTAATACATACTTTTAGAAGGAAAATTTCGCACATTCGTGACTTCCAAGAGTGAAACTTGAGTCAATCTGTCAAATTCCCTGACGAAATCATCGTCTCTCGATCCTGTTGTTGCTTTTGCTCCGTCGTCGCCGTCGTCGTGATCCTTGGAGAAGCAGTTGAGACGAGGTTGCAAGTCTGCTGCTGGAACTCCGTACTTTTTGTCTCACTTTCATCTCACTCACTTCCAGAGTCCCAGACAGTTCAGTAGTTCGCACCATAGCAAGTACATAGCATGTAGTCTTCAGCTCTACACAATTCCACGTGTATTTAATATTTAATCCATCAGTTAAAAAAGTGTCCTGGTGGTAATAATAGTAGTAATAATTATTGTCTAGTTACATAGCAAAGTAAATAGTCCGTACAGTCTCAAGATACAAGCAATTCTCGAAAGTGTAGTACCAATCATAATAATTAACTCACTTACGATTAGCCAGTGGTCTCCATATCAGTCTATTTTCCCGTTGAACTCATCTAGCTAGATTTCAATGGACGCTTTAACACGTAAAAGTCTGATATATAACACAATCAACCTTTCGTACCTGAAATAACTTTACCTGAAGTAAATGAAACTCTTCCTACTTGTGGTTTTGCAATGAAGGGGAGGAAAAATATGAATATTCATTGTTGCTCATTAGAATTTCCATTTACGTGGCAGCTGAATTAATAAATGCGCCAGAAATAAGCATAATAAATTAACGAACCTGAATGGTGGAGGAAGAATAACATTAATGTCATCGTGGGTGAAAGCATGCTCAAGGTTGAAATAGCCAGCACTTGAGTGTGAAGTGGTAGTGGACGAATAGGCCGACGATGAACAAAAGTACCGTGCTCAACATGAGGACCACTTGTTGGAGATGGTCGTTGAAGAGCAACTACGATTTCCTCATTCTTTCCCTCGTCATACTCTTCAGCCTCGGTCACATTGCAACCAGTTCGAAATTTGAACGAGAGCAGGTCAATGGCGACAAGAGTCTGTTCCAAGAAGACTTCAACTTTCACCCGGAATACTGGACGCATGTTGAGAGAGCCCAGAGATATGCTAAATGCGTGGTAAGTGTGCAAATGCACGTTCCGTCCTAGATAATACAGTTAAGTGCTTCTCCAGTTTTTATTGGCAATTAGTAAAGTCTATGTATGCATGCAGGCAGGCATGTTTTATGTTCAACTTGTTGCCGTGTGTGTGAAAGAGAGGAGAAAAGTGAAAGCCACGAGCAAATAATGGCATGGTGTAATCTATCTGAACTAACAACCATCAATTTTCGATATCACACCACCACCTTGACCACTCCGATAATAAATATAACGTGCTAATGCAAAAATGGGCCATGGATGAACGCCATATTGGGTGAAATTGTAATCAATTAAGGGGCGGATTGAAACCATGAGCCAACCACATTCGCTACTGAAACCTGAATACAAAAATCTGTAATTCATTTGTATGTGTGTCGTGTGTCCACATGATGTGCAGCACAATCAAGATTTATTATTTATAGCATTATATTATCTGTACGTGTCATGTGACACAATAAGTTTTGATTTCTGTGACAAAGGAAAAGACTGCTCTTTTTTTAAGAAAATCGGTATTCTTTAGTCATTCCCCACTCTTTTAGAAGTTTACGTTGTAACACTCTACCAACTCTACCGTAAAAAGAGCCAGAAAGTAAAGGTGCAGCCAAGTACCAAAAAATTAAATGTAAGACGCACATGTCTAAGAATTTAACATACATTTACATATATTCGTTATATTTGTTTTTCTGAAAAAGGATTGTTTGGCTGCTTTTCCCTAATTAAATTTCAAAAACATCCGTTCCATAACCGTGAATTATTCAGTGTTTCCACTCTTTTCACCCACTCACTGTATGGAATTAGGTTGATGTTGATGTTTACCTGACACGGATGTCGTGTTTAATTTCGCAATTCAACATGTTTTCTACATACGTATGTAGAAGACGGAAGAGGATACAGTTGTACATATGTTTGGTTAAACAATTCTTGCACAACGTCTTATCATAATTCTTGGAGAACATGAGACATTATTAACTGATAAGCATTGTACTTTTGACAAAGTAAACTTTCCCATTAAACTGACTAATAAATAACGTGTAATGTACGGAGATTTGTGCATAAAAAGGGACCTAACTGAGATTATGGATGACCTTCTACAAAAGATTCTGAAGAGTATCGAGACTGCTAGACATGCCATATCTTGAAGTAGTAGATGAAATGCTCAACACATTATCTGAGCAACTTCAAACTTAAAAAAACCTACAGTGCAGACTCCATATAGCCCGAGTCAGGGACATAGTCCCTGACTCAATAAGTCAGAGCCCGCTTCTATTTTTTTCCGAATTGACCGACATAGTATCACCAACTTCCGTGTTGTGGATGGTTAAAAGTTTGTTAGATATAGTTTCTACCATTTGGTACCAAATTTTTGAATTAGTTACAAATCATGTGCCTTGACCACCATGACCAGTGGGCTTCTTTAACATCCTGAAGTTCTAAGCTGTATCCATGTGCTATCCAGCAGTGGTTTTCACTTTTGCAGTCTCCATATCAAATTTCAGCTCGATATAACGATTTGGAAAAATCAGTATGGGTCACCCCATAGGGTCACTCTGGTTGCACTTTGCTCACTTTTAACTTCATATTCTTTAATTATAAGCCATTAAGTATCATCGTGCCGGATTTCATCTTTTTAAATCAATTTCTAAAAATCGGTATGGATCACCCCATAGGGTCTCTCCAGATGACTCTACCAATATCATATCATATTCTTTCATTAAAACCCATAAGCAACCTCTCCACCAAATTTCAGTTCGATATGATTATTTTTAAAAATCGGAATGGGTCACCCCCTAGGGTCGCTCAAGATGAAAATTTTTCCAACTTGAAGTCATTTTTATCTATTACGAGCCATTAGCTACCTCTGTAAAAAATTTCAACTCTCTACAACAATTTTGAAACTTTGGTGCATACTACCCCACCTACTCCTATGACCCCCACCGGTCAACCACTGGACCAATTTCGCCCATCTTCGAACTCGTTTCCTAACTTTGTCCAATATGCATATGGTAAAAATTTCACGTCAATCGGTTCAGCCGTTTTGGCTCTATCGTGCCGGACAGACAGACAGACGGACGGACGGACATGACGGTTCCATAAGCCCTGACTCGGGCTAAAAATGCAATAAATATGCACTAAATGATGTTATTTCACTGTTCACTGTTCACGTCCGTCTGAAGGGACAGCATAAATTTGTGCTTAATTTACAACTATCAAAAATAACTGGACATAAATATCAAGATGTTTGGGTGGTCAGTGTGCTTACTTATATCGTTAAAATTAATTATAAACACTGACAGTGTATACATATATCGAATGAATGAATTTCAAACCATGTACATATTTACGTTATTTGCGAGCAATTTATTCCCACGCTGGCCAATCTTTTTAGGTGCGTCACAGCAAACCAGAACACATTACATTACATAAAAGCTTTCAACTAACCTCACGTAATCTTTGTCTTTGACCACATAACAGTAATTACTCAAAGCATATTCATTCATAGCTTAAACTTATGTTTGTTTTCAATCTCATCTCAGCCCCACGGCCAACAAGATTTCTTGACAGTTTTCTAATATAATTTAAAATACTTTGTTCTTAGGAAAAAGAAGTACAGCCCGTGTTGGACGAGTACAATTTAATCATGCGACCAGCCTCCTGTGGAAGCAGTCTAATATGCGACGAGTGCATCCAGGTAGTACACAAGTTGAACACTATAAATACATACATTTGTAGATAAATGCCGTAGTAATGCCAATGTCTCTCATGTGCGCATTGGTCATTTAATTACATCCAATTGTCTCCGAGCGTTTACGTTATGTTCTTAGCAGAAAGCAGATCCGGTTGCAAATAGAATTTAGCACTCAATTCGCCAACTGCTCTTCATGGAGATGTGGCAGGTGTACATATTGCATATGCATTCATTCTCGTGTGAGACTATTGAAATGTTATTCAAGACCAAGTTCAGGGAAAACTAATTACATGGAGAAATAAATTCTTAAAATGAACTTGGGATATGCTTGGCTTATATAATCAGGCAAACAAGAACCATTTATTTTATGTTAAGAATTTTTCAACGCTATATATACTACAGTGGGTATGTTACATACATGGTACACTGCATACTTGGTCTTCATTCCCTCAGGGGATGGTAAATAATGGATTTTTCCACTTTCCACGTGTGCACGAAGACATACCACCATCTTACCACCACCACCACATAGCACTTTCACTCCTCCTGGGAGTGCGAAATTAGTCTAGCTCTTAGATTTTCACCAACAGCTCGTTCTGATTTTCTTTTTTGACGAACCTGATAAGAAGAACTTGCAAAACTGTAAACCTCTGTGTCTTTCTACCTTATTTTCCTCTTGATTGCAAGGGCAAAGTCTGTCTCAAGTCCTAAGGGTTCCTTTTATTGTCTGAACTTTGCTCGTTCTACGCTTCGGTAAACGTGGTGATTTGCAAATCTTCTCCTGAAATCTTATTATGCTCAACGTCTAATTGCAACCGACTGATGACGAACAAAGCTACCTACGTCAATAATAGTCAGTTGTTGTAGCTATGTAGATGTGTAAGTTTTGAGACAAGTTCATTCGAGTTTATTCCAATTACAATTGCATAGAGTAGTATCTCAAGTAATTAATAGGGAAAAACAATGTATACAGGCTTACCTGTTGGCTCTAATTGAAACTACTTAAAGGATATACTCAGTCCATCTAGTTTTTCATGAAAATTATAGAAAATGGATGACAGTCACTGAGAATTTACATATTATGTGTGATTCGTCGATCACAGACAAACGTATTGAACTTATGTATGTATACACATGTGTAAATTCGTGTTGACACATTTAGCAATAAACAGGGCATTGCAGATATATAGTCAACACGTTATGTACTTTCTCACTTGCAGGAAATTACATTTCAGCTCATATGTGTTCTGCCTTATGTGTATAGGACTATTTGCTGATATACAAACTGATCAAAATGGAAATATTGAGGACAGAATCCTCATGGGAAATTTAAAATGTGCTTATCATATAAAACTCAAGCTAGAATTCATATCCGTACAAGGCCAAGAAAAAAACAATTTGATATATTATTTATTTGTATTACAAATATTCGTACATGTGCATTATACGAAAAATTTCGAATCGATTTATCCAAATTGAATTGCTAAGTTGGCTGCATTATAATTATCAATAAACTTGATTAACATGCATGCATTCCTCTAATGGTTGTAACGATGTGTGTTGTGCTAATTACTTTATGTATATCTTAATAGGCCGTGAACCAAACAAAAGTACAATTTTCTGGATTTAAGAAAAATGTGGACTCTCCAATTCCATTGTTACACTGCACTTCCCACGTTGGCGTCTCCGTTGGCAGTAGCCAAAAAGACTTTAAGACATATTTTCGTATTGAGTATCCAACTCCAAATCACCCTAATGCATCAGCACTGAGGTAAATGACTAAATATCTCAAGCATCTGGACTGAGGAGACGTAATGAGCTGTGTATGCGTCACCGCTTGTTGAAATGCCGGATTCTTGATAATATCTGATAACCAGAATGTTTCATTCACTGCTACCCTGTTCCTTGCGAATTAAATGATTCATTAAAAAACAATAGCAGCAGATTGTTCGATATTGTTTCGGTCTTTCGGCAAAAGCTGTGCTATTAGTCAATGCAATCTTGAGTAAGGTGTAGTGTGAACAAATTATCCCCGAGTGAGTAATTAGGCAAACCAGTTTGTAGAGGAAAGTTGTGCATGCTTTCCACGATAGAATTTTTAGATGCCTCACAATAAGATCGAATCAATTTAAGCCCAGAGATTATGAAAATAAAGCTCTATTACCGTTTTCAAGCAATTTTTCATGCGACAATAAATCACGATGCTCTAGATTTACTGCGATGTTACTCCCAGAAAATCCGATTAAAGTTAAAAAGTCGGTCACTTATTGTATGTAATTTATACTGGGCGAGTATATGTTAAAGTTCGCGAACAAGCTTCTCTCTCGTCCTTTGATTTCAAGAGAGATATCAGATTTCCAAAAGTATGAGACAATACTCTCGTCTCGAGGCTTCCATAATCCATTTTCCTTATGCACATGACCAGATTGTAAAAAAAGCATGCAGGGGTATCAAGCTCACTTTCTCCCACTGATCGTCAGAGATATTTATGAAATGTCTACTTTCTCCTTGCAGGATGGCAGACCCTCCTCGAATATTCGTCGTGGAGAAGCAAGTGGATGGAAAGTGGGAAGCGGTGATTCTCCAACTTTTTTGGCTTTTTCCGTTAGAAACCAAAGCTCACAGCACTTATCGCGTTCGAGTCACAGCCGTGTCGGCAAACCATGTTTATTATCCACAGCTATCAGAGCCCATTACACTTTATGGTAAATTCATATGCTTTTAAGAGGAGCACTCAATCCGCGACAATAAGCGAAACGAACTTTGACAAGAACAACAACTTGTATGCATTTTCACGTATGAACGTTTTAATTTCAGACGCCAACACGCAAACAATTGGAACACCAAAAAATTTTCGAGTGGTGGACACCTTGGTCAACACTAAAGCAGGTAAAGGTTAAATTTACAACTTTTTTCATCCTTTGCCAAACTGCCCAATGTGCCTCCACATTCGATACGAATTCGTTGTAAAGTCGTCGCCCAAATTCGGAACGCACTCCGGATTTGTCGCCCTAGTTGTGCCTGGTACGAATTCGAAATCCGAATTCGAATCGCCTGCGTAGGCTCGAACTCGGAACGAATTCGAAATGCTAATTCTGATCGTCATCGTGGCTTCGAACTCAGTACGAATTCGGAAGCCGACTCCATTCCGATGCTCTTCGGATTAGTGAATTCTATATCTTAAAATATGCTTTATGACGAATTTAATAAAATATAAAGTCAGTGCACACGTTAATGAATATATTTATTTTTATTGAATGTAACAATGGAACTAACAAGAACTCGCTGTTATAAGGTAATCTAATATATTTAAACAAGAAATCTTCTGGTTCAAGTACCATATTAACCGGTTCTAATAAACCGGATGAAAAGTAAATTTTTAAATTAGAACTATCGAAGGGATAATATTGGACAGAGTGTAGATTTAAAATCTGTTGACATGTATATTCGACAGAATCATTCTTTTTATAAGTATAATTTTGTAAAATTACAATTCCACCAGACTTAAGCATGAAGCAGTTATTACCATTCTTACAGCTAGATTTAGGGGAGAATGTTTTATTCTCAGATATTTTTTGTATCGTATTCATATCTTGTCGTACCAAATCCATTTCTATAATCCGTTTAACTACTTGTTCTAATTGGAAATTATGTGAGCTCAAGAGAATTTTAATTTTCTGCATGTAGTTCTCAAAAGGAAAGCAACTCGCATTGTCTAAACTACCGAACAATAATGCATCATCGTTAATATGCAATAACCCATGCACATTGTAAACCATAAATTCATTCCCATATAGATTCATGCACCCTTTAACGAACTTCTTTAACAAAGCCGCTGCCTGAAGGTTCCATTCACTATTATCAGCTCTTGGCGACAGAAGAATATAAATTGCTGCATGAAATCTCAAATAATTTCTATACTCTCTTGGCTTAATAATATCTCGAAGTGCAACTATTCCTGTATAAAGTAGTAAGGTTCGGAACTCAGTACCCTTAAAATGGTCAATTTGCAATAATGATCGAGGTTTTCTTGGAATATCCGAAGGAAAATGTTCACGAAAATTACATAGGCGTTCAGAAATTAATAAGATTTTTCCAGCTGGAAGTTTAAAAGGAATACGACCTTTCACCCACATTCGGAAAAGTTTCCTTGTCACACCTAGACATACTAAATGTAAGTAATCCAACGGAACTTGAGAAACGAGATCTATACATAATTTTGTGAGGGGGGAGATTTCCTTATGATGCTGTGTGTCAGTTTGAAGTACAAAATTTTCATTTGTTCGTTTTCTAAACTCTGTATTCAAGAACGTAACTCGCCCATTCCATTCGCCCTCCTCATGACACCTTTCACAGGAAAAATAACTATTGTGATTTTTATTCCTTTAATGTAACTGCGTGCAGGTGCATCTGCAAGAATTCTAGAAATTCTAAAAGTGTATAGTATCCCTGAAATTATAATCCCATCCTGCTCTAAAGCTTTACATTCTTCCACAAATGGTTGTAACAAATCTAAATTTGTCGGCTTGTGTTCTGCATAGTAGAGTGCAATTACAAAAGGCGTGCGATCACACGATTGATCCACGATACCCAAAATTGGCCAAAACTGCTTATTCGAACTCTTGGAAATTGGAATACCGTCAATACCTACAGTTATGCTTATTATTGGGTTAGAACTATTTGCCCTTAAACTATTATAAATTGCTGTTTTGGCTGTCTGTTGTAGACCATATTTGACGTGGATTACAAGGTGGGAGACAACGCCAAAATAATAAAAATCACCACCGCTAACAACTGAAATGTTCAATTTTCTAGGAGTTTTCATCAAAGTCCGTGGATCAATAGGTAAACTAAATGAGTGGGTTTTATTTAAAATGGATAACAAATCCCTGAGAGCTGAGTGCTTAATGTTATGACGAACTGTCCATTCACGCAGCTGTATGTCTATTGGTTCGATTTCTAAACTAACTGTATTATCCTGGGAAATATTATTACTAACCCACGTGTCGCAAGAGAATTCATTTGGGACACAATTTGTCTGGGGTGGTGACAAATTATTACTATTACTGCTATTACTACTAGTAACTACGTTATTATTGTCTGGGCAATTACTTATACGTATGGAGCTATTTACATTGCGGTCACCCAGTCTTGGTTCTCGTATTTGTTGTAGCAGGGCCTGCGAAATTGCTACTCGATACCGTTGTCTTAACCGCTGTCTTGAACGTTGCGAGATGTTGGACATGTTTTGTTGGCAATTTTCCTCGGGTCCTTCTGGTTTTTCAGCCAAGTTCGGATTTTCACGTCGATGGTTGTACTTGCTTCAGCTGAGTTATGCCGCACACTTTCTATAAATATATTTATACTGTACGAGTTAAGAATGTAAGAATGTAATGTAGCGGCACTAAAAGTTAAATGCTCCCTTACTATACACAAGATCCAAAAATACACCAATAAGGCCAAATTCAGACTTCTTTCCTTTCCCACTGTGACTGCAGGTCTGTGCTAATTCTGTAGAAATTAGGCCAGATAAAAGTCTCGCGATGATGTCGTCTAAACCTCGTCCCCCAACATAACTAAGTTGAATACTCTGAAAGTAATGACACTTATGTAAGTAATAAAATTAGGGTTGTATTCATAAATTGCCTATGATTCACCTACCAATTCTTCAATGTTCGACTGATCCCGCTTAAGCCAGTCACTCAATTTGTAAAAATCCTCTTTATTACAAACCAGTAGTTTTGGATGATCCAGCTGAAGGTACACGTGGAGCAAGTGTTGAAGTTCGACGAAGCAACTCGACCAATGTTTCGTTAATTTTTACTAACTCCTTCACCACCACGGCCTGTAAGTCTACGAACACAGACGGCATAGATTGTACTCATTATTCAATGACACTGTTTAGGAAAAATTAGTACAAACGAGTAGTAGAAATAATTACTTACTTTGAGATTCAGTCTTCAGATCTCGAACCAGTGTCACAAGTTCTGCAACAGTTTCTGGATTCGTAATCTCAACATAGGAGAATGTCGTTTCGTTATTGCCTGATTGATCAAACAAATTCTCCTCCGCCTGGGAAGAATTATGAGATTGTGGGAGGGCCAACAAAGGCTTAACTTGAGAATTTGTGCTGAGACTAATGCTGAGTGCTGGAACATTACCACAATGTTATTACATAAATTTATCCCAATTTAATGTGCACTGAAACAGAATAAAAATTGCTCACTGTTCGGGATAAATGATGTGACCGGTAATGTTTCACATTCGTCAGACGACAAGCTGCTCTCGTCAGAACTGGTCGACTCGGAATATTTTGTAGAGGGAGTAGATTTAGCTGCGGATTGCCCTTTTCGCGTATTTCTCTGTTTTTTATGAGTTGTTTCCTCAAATTCTGATGGAGGTATCTTGTCGGTAGATTTAGCCGCAATACATCCTTTCCTTGCTGACTTAAGAGAATCTGCGAACCGACAAATGTTTAAATAATTGAAATTATATCTCTAAAGGTTAATATAAAAATATTGAATCCCCAAATCTGCTCACAAAGCCAAATGCATGCTTATTGTATTATTGTGTAATCTATAGTTTTTTTTCTCATTACAATTGATATTCGATATTAAATTGTTATCAAATTACTTACTATAAGACATGAGCCACTGACAAGGGAATTTTGGCGCATCTAAATCTGCTGGAAGATTCTTACGCAATTTGTCCCCTGCGTTTGGCCCAATTGGCCACGAACAGATGGATTTGTCTTCATTTAACCACGATGAGCACACGGCCACAACTGTATTTTCGTCATGGAAATTGACAACGGAGTACTTTTTAATTTCGCTGCTCATTATAAAATTAAATTTATCGACAAAAAATAAGACTACAGCCAAGGGAAGAATGGAGGAAGAATCAAAGTGATATGCCACTAATGCACGTGTTCTCTTCTCTCCTGGGGAACATGATACAGAGTCGGATCGGATTCAGCGACGAGGATTCTGATGTAAAGCGTGCAGCCGAATTCGTTCCGGCTTCTCATGTCCGATGTCAAAACGCATATGAATATCTCGAATCGATTCAGAATCTGAAAGGAAACCTTAAGCGAATTCGATATGAATGCGATACTACGCATTTAATCCTAATTCTGTTTTATGTCATTACTAAGTCGGCGAATTCTGCTCCCCAAATCAGCATTTGGCTCGAATTCGTTATTAAGAGTCGTATCAACTTCGGGATTTCGAATTAAATTTGAATTCTGATGTTGGATCGGAATGAAGTCGGCGAATTCTCACGAACTAAATACGACGATTCCGACCTGAAACAGAATTCGTGGCGAATGCGGAGGCACATTGGGTGGTGCTCAAAATAATGTAGAAATAGTTTATTGTTTCATACGTTCTTCCGTCTCATATGTTGAAAACCTACGGCTGTTTTTTCATAAAGTTATAAAGCCAATACATTATAACTAAATAAATGCCTTATTTTTTCAGCCAGAACCGCTCCCACTCTCATTCTGAGATGGGAAAGTGGGTCCGGAATGAACGCATCGTGCGATTGGCGAGTACAAATATAATTAATCATTTTACAGAAATTTTTGCGGAATAAAGAAGGATTGTTTTTACGCAACTGTCTTCGCTTTTAGGGATATTTACTATTTGGAGGAAGTACAGAAAAAGATTGAACAATCCAAGGTACGCTTCGACCTCTCATAATTTCCACCTTCGTAAATTACCCTCCTTTAAAATATGAGTGAACGACTAATTCATAGAATAAATATTTTCTTTGCAGCCAGAACAAGCATTTTGGGCCGTTCTCGATAAAATTCAGTTCGAGAAAACGTACACGATCAACATAATGGAAAAATTCGGCTTTGGTCGGGAGTCAGGACCGGCTCATATTATTGTCAACGTTGAATCGTGCTTGACACTTGCGAATTTTAACCTTAGTCTTTGTCGTAAGTCTTTAGACGTGCTCAAAGATATTGATGTCCTTATGGAACAAATTATAATTATTTTTACAGCACCTCCACCACCAGCCAACGTACGCGTAGAAAATGAGACCGCATCTTCCTTTTGGATTGCGTGGGATGGTTTTTACGACCAGAATTCTATTAGCCAAATATCCTACTACAACATAACGGTTGACAGATACCTGAACGTGAACAATCCTGGAATCTATAGAGCATCAAAACCCCTTTTCAAAAGTTCAGTTCCTGGGAATCAAACACGAATAGAAGTGAAAAACATAACTGGTCCTCAGTCCATTAAAATCTTAGTTGTGGCCAAGAGCATTGGGGGAATGTCAGAGCCGTCAGAGGGACGAGCAGTAGTTCATTTCTTGAAAGGTATTTATTATCTTGCCAAAAATTTGTTATTAAAAAAATATTCATATTTATTAATTTAGCGAGTAATATGATACATATTTGATTGAGGCATTTTTATGTAACCGCTCCATTTCACTCTTAACTATAACTATATATCTTTGGCTCATTAGATGATGTCCCATGGACAAAAAGTTTGGAGAAGTTTTGGATGGTGATTGTCATTGTGGTTATTTTGTTGATGACAATCGTGGTAATTTTGTATTTGAAAAGTTTCCGCGACCGATTACATCGAAATAAAGAAAAGAAGGAAATGTGGAAGGTATAGAAAAATAATTGTGCTATAAATACGTAACAATAAACGAGTGCTTGTAAAGTCTTGTTTATTTTCCCGATTAAAATAGACATGACTTCAAATGAGCGTCATTTGCTTTTCAGAAATGGGATGAAGAGACGCCTACTCCACACGTCGATCGCTATCCAACAAAATGGGAAATAGACTTTGGAAACCTAGTTTTGCATGACGTTGTGGGCAAAGGACAATTTGGAGGTGAAAACCTTTGTCAATTCTTACATGATTAGTACATAATTAATTTGAAGGGTAATTTAGAGGTTAGAAAGGCTACCTTGTATCGCAAAGGGGGTAAAACAACCGTGGCAGTCAAAACTCTTCGGGGTAAGTTTCATTAATACTTTTGCCATATTCACTACTTTACAAATAAACGGAAAGATTTATTTCAATGGGTACCCAATTACTGGGGATTTATACCTCAAAATAAATTCATATGCTGCAATACATAAAGTTTGCTTATATATTTATAGTCAATATTAATCATGAAATTATGAGCGTCATTCTTCTTGGAATCTGATCATTTTACAAATACTTTTTGACAAGCTAATTCCACTCAATGAATAATACGACGTAGAACATCATGAGAAACATGTATTTTGGGTAAACCTGCATGGTTTCCAAATATGATCTACCCTGTATTTATATTAACAAGAACTCTTATTTCCGTATTTTTAACACAATATTTTATTAGTATTATTAATATTGCTGTCAAATCCTTTTATTCAGTTTGTCAGTGGGGGGACTACCCACAAGCAATTAAAAATATTACCTCATAAACCGCCCATTTCAATAGATATGTGCCATTTACAATTAATTTGTACAGTGAAAGTTTTGCAACTAATGTTCTTGTCACCTGTATAACTTTGGCAAATTAATTTCGCAGTGCAACCCGACACGACGTCTGATGATGATGAGACAGAAGGTACAAATTAACCTTGGCTGAAAGTCACTTTTATTACATAAAACTGAATGTCGCTATACTTTTGGCTTCACTTTGTTTTTCACTTCTTTGTGGAGAAAGCTGTTGTTACGTCGGCTTTGAACTCTGAGTGCTTCTCATTATTAACTTTTGCTATTTGCTTTTACCTTTCAGATGGATCATTGGCGAAGGACATAATCGACAAGTTTTTTCGTGAGGAGTTTGAGATTTTGATGGGGATCGAGCCACATCAAGTTTGTTTTTTGTTACCTAATACGTAATTTACGTAACGTAAATGCAGTTAGAAAACACGAGTGCCTAAATATTGAAAGGATTACTGGTTGATGAGCAAACCTTCGTTTCTTCTTATAAATATTCACATTCCTTATGACATGACAGCATTGGAAAGAACAATTCAATTACCAAACTCTTTTTTCAGCATGTGGTTGGCCTTGTCGGTCTTGTACGAGAGCCAACTCCGGCACTAGTTGTGCAATTTTGTGACGGTGGAGATTTACAAACTCATTTGAGGAAGGTAAATATATAGCTATTCTGCTATTCTCTAAAGTGAAGTCGGTTTTTATTCTGTCGATCGATGCCATTTTCGGACAGTTTATTATGTATTTATTAGCCCTCTAAAAATCAAGTCACATTTGTAGAAATCCAAGAAAGACAAATAATAAATTTAATGACTATTTAATGACAAGAACACACAACTTTGTATTAAAATAAATATTTGAAATGCATAGGCTGCTCCAGTAAAAGTGGACAGAAAGCGATCATCTCCCGTTCCATCCATGATGGGGTCCATGGTCCAACTTCAGTCAAATGGTAACTCATAATTTGTACATACCCTTTCTTTTTAAGAGATTATTGAAAAAAATTAGGATGGCATTGACGTCGAATTACCTTTTGAATTGATTTTGTAAATAGCGGAGGTTCGTGTACAACTGAGCATGGTTACAAACGAAGCTTACTTTATTAAGACGAACGACGATATTGGGTGTAGCGTCAGTCCTCTAGATTTACTGTCGTATGCTCGACAAGTGGCGTGTGGAATGGTAATTGGCTCAGACTTGAATAAAAATAGAAAATATGTATGTACCACTCACGACTTATCTTTCACAGGAATTCCTTTCCAACAATAAAATTATCCATCGAGACCTTGCAGCCAGAAATATCTTAATTAAATTCGACGGACCGGAAAAGAACCGTGTTTTAAAAATTGCAGACTTCGGACTGAGTCGCGACGTTTATGAGCAGAATTGGTATAAGAAAAGATCCAAAGGCAAAATTCCAGTCAAATGGCTGGCCATCGAATGTCTTTTGAAAGAAGTATACACCATAAAATCGGACGTGTGAGTGATCAGTCTAACGTTATATTTTACTCTAATTTGTGCAGGCAGTGTAAAAAGGAAAGCAATAATGATGTTGAATTGAATTTCAGTTGGTCGTACGGTGTCCTTCTCTGGGAGATTGTCACGTTCGGAGGTGCTACAAATAATATTTGTTGTTTATGCATACGCAAGTACGCATTTATTTGTAAAATGATGAACTGTTTTATGCTTAGCTACTCCGTACCCTGGGATTGATAACGTCAGAATGTATGATGTACTAAAGGACGGATATCGAATGACGAAACCAGAAAATTGCTCTAAAGAGTTGTTTGATTTGATGACACAATGTTGGGATGAAGACCCAGATGCTCGACCAGATTTCACCACCATTCGCAGAAAAATTGAAGAACTAATTGGAAATTGCGGTGATGCAGCTAATTATTTAAACCTTGATTCAACAGGAACTATTCAATATTCCGAGTTGATGGAACCCTTGCGCATTGATGCATTAATCTAAAACAAAGTAAAAACGGGCAAATGGACAAACCTTCAACAAATAAAGTGGTCTAAAAGTTCTTGAAACAAACAAACAACGAGTTTCAAACAAATCATGATTGCAAATCATTATTATTCATGTGACGCAAAAAATTTACATAAATGAATCTCTCTCAACTTGGCAAGTTTCGTACATACGTATTTGTCAGTACTTATTATTCTTGGACTTATGTTGAATTACTTACTAGTGTATTTAGCTAAGGATAAGTATCGATGCACAGCCAACAGCTTTATTTATTTAATAATTGTACTTGAGGTGTTTTTGAGAAATTTGACTGTATAACATCATAAAACAATAATGTTGAGAATAGCTGTAGTAAAACCTCTAACTAAGCAATTTTTAGTACAATGTAAGCCTAGTATTAGTTCTAAAATATGTTGGCATATATATATATTCAAATGTAATATGCAATATTTATATCGCGATAGCCTTTTAATTCCAACTGATTTTATTGCAGTAAAAACGTACAAAAAAATTATTTTTATGAGAGAGATGTGTATTTTGTGTGTGGAAATATATATTGGCATTCTTGGCAATGAAATGATGTACTTACAACCATTTTGTATTTTTAACAGTCGTTATACGACAAGGAGTAAATTGTTTATTTTGGAAAATAGGTTACCTCCAAAAAGAGACGGTTTAAATGCCCACATGTGTAATGCGAATAAATAAATAATTTTGAGCAGTGCATTGGAACTTTTTTTATTCGGTGCTCGTTTATCATCATAAAACGAATGACAAAAGCAGGCAGACAAACTGCTACAAGTATTTCCCAAGAGAGAGAAAGAGACAACCAGAGTTGCCGACTTTTCATCCCGGTCTCGACTTGGTGGTTGTGACTAGTGTTTGCTCTCGGGTGTTATTATTACGGATTATGAAACAATATTCGAGTTAACCATTTTGTTTGCAAAAGGTTTCTGAATTTCGGATATTTAGGACAGAATAATAGTTATGCGAATTGTCCAGGTTCACCACATATGTGCATAGAAATTGGTAATATTTGTAATAGGGAAGCGATTACACAATTACAGCAAACAGGTTTTTTAATAAGAAATAAAAAGGCCATTGTGTCATAAAGTCCGAAATTTTAACACAAAGAAACGAACACAATGGAAAGAAGCAAAAATACAATGTGAAAGGAGCTTGTAAGTTGTTCCTTTCATTCGTGTCGTGTAACTTTGCTAGTCGCAAAGAATGTGAAAGCGAGTATAATTTGATGTATGTACGTACATGATGTAGTGCATACATCGTATTCATTGTATCACTACATACATGCACATAAGTACATATACCACCAATGCACCTAATCTTAATGGGCTTAATTAAATTCGTCTACATATTTCGTTTATTTTTTACCGTCTGCATTCATCCCCCTTGTTTTGCAAAAATTAGAAATCGATTGGCAGCAAGCTAGCATTTAATAGTACGCACACATTTAGTGGATATGAAAGGATATTTTAAACTTCAGAACTAATTGTGGTTTGAAGCAATGCCAGGAATAAATAATGTAAAAATACTGAGTTATTGATGCGAATTACTACAATCAGGTCAACCCTCTTGCGATGATTCTAATCTTTTTCCGTTTGGGGTAACCACCACTGCGGCTCTTTTCCTGTGTCACTCCTCCATTCCTCTCCTATATTTCTTGCGATGAGATAAATGATGCAGTGGTAAAATGAGACTGTGGTCTGAGAAAACAAAATCCAGCAGCATAACGTGTATTCCTTAAGAATGGTGGCACATTTTCTGGCGACTACCCGAGGAAGCATGCTATTTGAGCCACAAAATATGCACTATCGTACTATATACACTATGAGTACACACTGTTGCGGGTTACTCTTGGGAGTGGAAAGTGAAAGTGGAATTTAAATGTGGATGAAAAATGGAGTATTGACAAAATCTGAACGTAGAGTCAGGAGAGAGCTGAATGGAGAGTGGTGAAGAACTATTAGTTGAGCTATGAGGAAAGTGCGAGGAGACGGAGAAATTCGTTTTCATGTGTATTCACGGTGGTGTGGGTACTCGAATATATAGGGCAACAGTGGGAGAAATTGTGGTGCATGCATGTGTGAAGAGGGTATCGATTGGAGTTCCATGCCAGCCAGAAACCGGGTAAGATGCCCGTATGCACGCCACAATGGTCCTTTCTCTCTCTCTCATCCCCCTCAAAGGCTGGTGTAGCCGTGCAACCCGCGGACGAGGATCAATACTACGGAAACCATGGCTGGAATAGCAGCTCGGCCAGTTTTCTCCGCTGCTGCTTCGCCTCTACCATGAAACAATTCCCCATTTACCAAGTGTTTTTTTGTGCCATTCACTTGGTGGACTCCGACCAAGTGTGTCATGTCTGATGGCTACTCACCACCAAGGGAAGGACAGCGATTTGCGAGAATTGTCCACCTCTGAGGAGAAAGTAGTGGCAGCAGGCAGACCAACCAAGAGAGTTTTGTTGATTACACTGAGATGAAGTTCGACCCGGACTTGCTGACTGGTGTTTATTGTGTAATGTGTTTAGATAGCATAGTGGTGCGGGTTGTTTGGGTACTCGTGGTGCTTTCTCCGCGGCCACAAACCAAGACGCATTGCACTACATGTGTTGTTTCCCTCGACACTCGTTCCTCCATTCATGCCTCTTAACACAGCATCACCACACACAAAACCTTCTTCCGACCAATCACTCAATTAATAGATTACTTACGATATCGTAGTAACTGTGTAAATCGTAAAGTTTGGCATTCTTGCACATGTGCTCACGTAAGACGTACCTGCATACAAGCAAAAGTCTAGCGCCCTGGTCTCGCAGAGTAAAACTGCTCCTGAACTTTCCTCGTTAAACAAAGGGTTTTATGAGGTGAAAGCACATATGTATTTTTAAGAAGCCATCAGGGCGTGATATCTTCATGTGATGTAGTAGATTGACATATGAACTCCTTTTTTCTTCATAAAAAGGAAAGGTGTATAAATCCCAGGAAAAGCAACAGTGGTTGAGCGAGGAATATAAATGTCGCTTGTGTGTCCAGTGGCAGGAAATCTATAATCCATTGTGGAAACAAGGAGGGAGTGATTTCTCTCCTCAACGTCTGATCACGACACAAATCCTTTCAATAAAAGTGTTGTAGCCTAGCCAATCAATCCATATCCATGTGAGTGAGCCGGATCAGGACACCACCACCACGATCGCCCGAGGTGTGGGTGGGAGCAAAATTGTGATGAAGAGGATGGACATCGAATCAGGAGGTAGCCGGAGGAACACTTTGTATGATACTGATGACGAGGAGAAAGCATTTTTGAAAAAATCAGCTTCAGTCCTTACTCGCCGACTTCATCGACCACGTCGAAGTTTGGCAGCATTCAGTGAGCTCAGTTTGAGTCGATCCTCGTTCCGATTGGAACAGGAGGATGACAGGTAAGAAATTGTCATGAAAATGTATGTGGACCCCCCGATATCGGTGTCAACAATTTAACTCGCATCAATTGTCATCGATGAAATTGCCCACTTTTGTATATCATTAAGTCTATGCATCGTGTGTGCAAAGGAAAATAGTGCATGAGTTGAACACAGCTATTATTAACTGTCAAATAAGAATTGATGATTCGTGAGAGGATAGTTTTTGCCAGGCATTTATTCCATTCTTTTGTGTTTATTTAGAGTATTCACAGAGTTGAAATTGGAGAGAAAATGTTTATGTAAACTGGAAATACGAGATAAGTCGTATATTTATGACACCCAGGTGGCCTATCTTTTAAAATATAACCTATATATGCTAACAACCTCCAGCTTCACCCGTGATTCCATACACACACACCGACAATTTGTATTCTCCGGGATGCAAAATGCTAGGATAAATGCATGCATATTACAATTTCGCCCGTTCTAATGTTTGTAAAGAGCTTACCTTGCTCGTGATTTGTGTGTTTCATAAATATGTGACATCTTCGCGTCCTGAGCTAAACGTACAATTTACACGAGCTTTTCTACACGTTCTCGTTTCATCCAAAGTGAACTGCTTTATGGCACACTTTCACTTCTGAAACTAAATGCATCTTATGAAAGAAACCTCGGCACTATTGCAGCTTTAGTGTGACGCAATAGTTTTAAGGAGGGCTTTTATCTATTTATATGATTCAATTCTGATATGCGAAAATCTTATTTCTGTCATTCCAAAGAGGTTAGTTACACCTGAGGTGTCACCTACATAACATTATGAAAATGCCCAACTACAACCTATTCTACTTTAATAATAAAGTAGAAAAAGTTGTATCCATTCACAATATTGTTACGACAAGTTATAATTATTTACTCCAAATACAAACCTCACTCCTAACCAAACTTGACTTGATTAAATATTTCAGAGTTCGTGTGGAGTATTATGTAAATGAAAACACGCTGAAAGAACGACTTCACTTTTACTTCTTTAAAAACCAACGCTCTTCTCTGCGAATTCGTGTGGCAAGATTCAGTCTGAAACTTCTCACATGCCTTTTGTACATCATCCGAGTGGTTTTAGATAAGGACCCAACCAACGCGGCATGGTGAGTGTCAAAACCACTTTATTCATATTTTCCTTAGTTGTATTTTCTTTTTTCTTGGTTTCCTATCGAGCAATTACTCAAATCGTGTCTTATTAGCTACGATCAATAGCAAAAACCTGAAAACTGCTTAATCTAACCATACTATAGTCTATACTTACTCTACTGCTGACCCTCTACATATGTAGAACTGCAGACCTATCGTTCCTACTGCAGGCAAATTATGCTTTCTGCTCCTTATTTTTCTGCGGTGGAGACGAAACTATTTCCCTCAATAAATCCACATTATGCTTTTATTGTATTTACTCACGCCACTCTGCATTATGTTTGTATATCCAATTGCACACGAAGCTGCGTGGTATCCGGTTTCATTGTTTTCTACTTTCACCACGCTTTCACCGCGTTTCCTATTCAAAATTAGTATATAAACTCTGATTTGCATTACAGGGTACACTTTTTCTGTTGTTTGAAAAGGGTTAAAACCGTGGCATGATTATATATTTTTATTCCTTGGCCTTAGTTTTTTATGAATTTATAGGTATTTAGATCGTCGATTATTTATTCAACAATATATATAGTTAATCTTATTTTGGGCTATACTTATTTTACTGAATTACGTATATATTGTTAGCTATGGATGCACGCCGTCAAATAAAACGCAGTACCTCATGGCCTTGGGTAAGCTACCGGCTAGACACTTTTCGACCGTTTCTCTTATGCATGATGTTTCAAATATTTATAGATAAGACGGAGGAAGAATTTCTGGAAGATCCAATCATAAATTGGGACGCCATATCTTGGGTTGACAGACCACTGGAGTTGTGGATTATCCATGTCGTCTTGGCCCTAATCAGCTTCATTGAAACAATATTACTTCTTTATCTGAATTACAAGGCAAGCTCATGTCCTCTGATTGCTTCTCATTTGTCTCCTCATTGATTCCATCTGTCGCACAATATTTAACGAGTGATCATGCAAGTGAAAGTATGTCGCGTTCATTCGCTCTTATGTCGCACACATCATTACAAGCACATAAAATATACACATACCTCCAACAATACTCTTGGTCAGATGCAATGGAAGAAGGCCAACATCGTTTCACATTAGTATTCATTAAAAGACGCGAGGCTCATGGGTGGGCAGGTCGCGGACATGTGGCAGTGGCCGGAAGCAGGTTTATAAAACTCTGTATAACCATAATTAGGAAAGGCCATTAGCGATGGCCCACTGGTTTAGTGGAACTACTCCGTCCGTAGAAAGCATCTGTCGGCACGAATCTGGTCTACTTCATGAGTCCCTCGCACACTAGCACAAATGGGCAATGGTTATTTCCAACCAAGTATTTGCCATTTATTTTTACATAGCCAATTCTTGTTCCACTGGGCTCCTACATTTGTGCTCACTTAATTTAGGGTGAAAGCACGGGGGAAAGTCGTGCATCTGATCTAATATTGTGCACACACACAATAATTTGAGCGACACATGCATGCATACGGGTCATGGGGGAAGAGGCAGTGGTGTTGAGAGCATTGAATAAAGATAAAAGCAGAACAAGTGACTCCTGTCACACAACATTTAATCGTCAGCTACAGTCCATTTATTTACCATACGACCCTCGACGTCACTATTGCAATGCTATTAGTAATGAGAGTGATGACGTCGAGGATCGTATGGTAAATAAAACAAGAGTATGTATGCAATTTGGTTTAATCACCAGACTCTTGTTCTTGTTCCATCCAGGGCAATGTTTGCCAGCAACTCTTGACTCGTCGTTTTGGACTTGAGCTCCTCGCCACAGTCCCCTTCATCATCACGATATTTCATCGTAAGTACCACCCCTTGATCTTGATGCCTGTCTTGATATTGGAGTACGGTCATATTTGCATACGTATTGAGACTTACGTATTGACAATGAATTTCATAAGCTAAATCGGATTATGCCATCTCTTTCAGCACCCCTGCGAAATCTCTTTGTTCCCGTATTTCTTAATTGCTGGCTGGGTAAGTCATTAGAACGTAACTGGTTATTGACAATATTATTTCATTCATTTATTAAACAAGCGGTAGCAATTAAAGAGTGTAGATGTATACTGTGCTCAAACAGTATAAATAATGGATTTAGCCATAACAGAAAATCAATGATATGTCGTAAAATATCGGACAATGACAAGAGTAAAAAATATTATATATTCCTTGTCATTTCGCTTTCATTCCTTATTCTTTACTGATATTTCATTGATAATCTTTGGACAAATCTTAAATTAAAATCTGTTTCATCATGTTCACTATATAGTTATGTACTAATTTTGGTATGATTCATATTTTCAGCGAAGTACGCCCTCGAGAACATGTTCCACGATTTAAATCGGTAATTATCGGATTTAGATCGGCATGCTTATCATAAATTTAGCATGCGGCAAAAAATTTATAATTAATTATTTTAATTTATATTCATTAAATTAATTAAACTTTTTAAATTTGTCATTTATTCATTACACTCATAATATCTGTAATAATAAATATTAATTAACTCTATGAAAAATATTTGGTTAGAGTCATGCAAAGAAGTCAAAGTGCTTTATCACACCAGTTGACAATTCTGATGGCCACTCTCCTATGCCTCGTGTTTACCAGCGTTTGCGGAGGTAAGGCAGAACTAATTGTATTTATTTAGATATAAACTTCTATTGTGTTTTACTGCTCAACCTCATGACTACAAATGAGTAGAATTAAACTTCATTGGCAAATCATTGGCACACAGGTCCTTCATTGCCTCCCATAATGAGAAAATGTGATGTCCAAATTGGATAAATTTTCGCACTAGGTTTTTCATAGTTGCTCTATTTTTCGTATTTACATTTTTGCTAGAGTGAACAAAAATAACCCGTGAGCAAAAAAATATGATAGTAGAGCATCAAAAGATTTCTAAGGACAACCCCGAAGGGATCACACCCACCGGTTTTGAAATTCAATCAAGAATATGTAACTCTCTGCTAGTTATGCAAAATAACCGAATAAAAAATTTAATGAAATAGGCAAAGCCCAAAGCTCTGACCAACTACTTTATGGATTACATTGCCACAATATTTTTTAACGATTTAACAGTGCAGCATTTTCAAAGAGCTGGACATCGGAGACTGAACTTATTCCAATCGAGTTATTTCGTCGTGGTGACTTTCTCCACAGTCGGGTAACTACAATAAGCAGTGATGGCACTTTATTCTGCATTGACAGCTCCAGCTAAAAGGCAATCAATGTTAATGTTGCTCTATTTCATTCGAACGCGTAACAAATGTGAGCCAAGTATTGAATTTTTCTCCATAAATTGTGGATAATGGTTACCCATTAAAAATATTATCGTGTGATTTGTGGTGTGCCAATAAGGACTGAATGTATGTACTAGAATGCGCAGAATTTACAATGCCCCCTGGAGCTGTGTAATGCAGTGTAGAGTGTACACACCAAAATAACTAGCATCAAATAAATGTTTTTTTCTGGTATGTTACAGATATGGAGACTTTGTAAGTATACTATACACCACCACTTTATGCAGATTCACACCGTTTTATTTTCACTCATACATACTTGTTTCACTTTCCATTTGAACTCCTTTGGTACATATATTTGTTTGACTCGTTGTAATACTGATCTGATAGAAAAAATTAATAAAATGGCATAAAGGATAAAACTGAACTAAACGTGAGAACACTCGAATACGAGAATTCAGGGTTTGCATATACATGCAATTTGTAAAATTAAATGGTTTCGTATAACATGAGACGAGTTCGAAACTAGACCAGCAACTCCAATTTTCCCAAGTTCTATTAAAACTGATTACGGATTGTGCACAAATAGGTTCCGGATATTTGGCCTTCTCAATTGTTTATGGTTGCGATGATATGGTGAGTATGGGATAACTATGCATGTACATACCAGCTGCTAAGCCATGCTTTCTCTACCTCATTTCAGCATCGCACTGATAGTGCTTCCTACGCAATTCGAACAATTGGCGTTCACATGGATGGAAAGACAAAAATTGGGTGGCTCGTACTCGTCGCATCGTGCGCAGCACGAGCGGCACGTCGTTGTCTGCTCCACAACCCTTCTCGCGGATACCATCATCGAGTCAGTTCTCGTACTCTATGAAATTGAAGTTTAATTTCACAAGTCAAATTACTTTTTCTAGCTTCCTCAACGAGTTCTATGCACATCCCCTTCTCCAGGTGAGCGTTAATTTGACTGAATTTCGAATAAAATAAGGTCATCGTTCCAATTCGGGAAGCGCATTCTCGCAGACTCTAGTATTTATTTATACATAAATATTCAGTTGCAAGGCATATCTCAGTTTATGCAAATCAGCCAAGAGGCGTGTGGTGACCCACGACTAGCGTATAATATAAGCATTTTAATGTTAGGAATAAAAAATGAATTTATGTCAGGCGAATGAGTTCTTGCTTTCACTTTTTCTCCGAAAGCGAATCATTCATCCTAATTCCTAAGAGCCTGAAGCTACATTTCCCATTTGACAGTCAATTAAATGCCATTACACATTTGGTTATGAAACAACCAAAAGGTTTGACAAAATCAATCTACTTTTATGGTTACTTTCCAGGATTATTTCGTGGTGCTGCTATCACCAATGGAGCTCGATCCCACAATGAGGTGAGCTACTTATGTAACCACATCGCATGTGCTTAACTGCTAGACGAGACCATATTTATGTTCAAATTGCATCTTAAAGCCAATCACTTTGCTTTTCTTCTGTTGAATTGAAAGTGGAATATTTTCATGGCATTATTTTGTTCCTTTTTAAAGAATGATACTCCAAGTTCCGATGTGGGCTCAACGTGTGATATACATTCAAGGCTCTTGCTTAAAAGATGCAGATTTGACTAGAACCCGTATGGGTGAGGCTGAGGCTTGTTTTATTCTGGCTGCAAGAAATTATCAAGACAAAACCGCAGCAGGTATGTCATTATTTCCTTCCTCGTTCTGCGTAAGGTGCATCAAACCAAAGTGCTGGCAGTAAATAGAAGTGCTAAGCTGTACATTTATTTTGATTTTAGATGAACACACCATATTAAGGTCTTGGGCAGTGAGAGATTTTGCACCTGCTGTCCCCCAATACGTGCAGATCCTCAGACCAGAAAATGTATAAAATTTATAAAGCAAATCATGAAGCTACAAGTAAACTTTCTATTCAAAGCATAAATTTCTTTCTATATTTTAACTATTTTTAAGAAACTGCACGTCCGATTCGCTGAGCACATCGTGTGTGAAGATGAATTTAAATACGCTCTCCTCTCAAATAATTGCTTGTTTCCTGGGACCTCTACTCTCGTGACCCTTCTTCTCCACACCTCACGTGGCCAGTAAGAAACGTCCTCAACTACTAATCCCGATATTTAGTCACAAATTCACGATGTTAGTTTAACTTTAACCAATCTCCACCAATTTGAGTTACGTGATTTATGAACGGCCAATGAGAAACTTCATCAATATTTTCCCCATGAAAAAAGAAACCACGTCTTCATTATAAAAGTGCTCTTTCTTTGTCATTGAAAGTGGGGCGGAACGTTGTCTAATTAAATTTTAAAGTTTGTCGTACCCGAAATTTAGAGTTAAACTCATTATGCTTTGAGAATTTCATGGTTGAGTATTTTGGCCTTTCAACATTAAATTCTAAAGTCGTTTCCTGCACAAGGGACTTGTCTGCATCAGCATGAGCGCAGCAGTCGCAGTGGTTCTAAGAAAAAGAAAGCGAGGTTGTGTATAGTCATCCACGTTCACTAACGTCCTGCCTTTCACTTGAAGCAACAACAGCTGCGTGTTCTTATTTCCCCTCTTTTCTGTGAAGGCAAAACGACAAAAGTGAAAGCCGTTGTAGGGAAAAAGTGTGTAAAATTCGCATTCATTTTCCACAGGGAAGGGCAGACCTCGAAGGAGCAGTGGCACAGATTGTATGGGAAGTGTTCTGGAAACGAGATATATCACATTGTAAGCAAACTAAGCAGAAATACATACGATACCAGCACCGATCTTTAGAAAAGTGTGACCACTCATTCCAAGTGAAAGCTTTCAAGTTTAATGCATGATATATTCTGTAGTCTCCAACACCCACTTTACATTATTATTCCAGTTTGTCTAATTGATGATTTTGCTCTGAAAGAGACTTGGAGACTCGCGAATTTTTGGAGAATACGAAGGAAAAAGCTTCACCTACGCATCCTTCCATGGCAAGTTTAATTATTTTTCTCTGTCTGTAGCTTGTTTAAAGCTATTGTAGCTAAATCTTTTTGGGCACACAATCAGTATTCTTGTTTTCATTTCATGCTACTTTCTCTAAATCAGCTCATAGAAAATATGGCGTATCTTTGGTTGGTGTGAGACCCTCTCAGCTTCCTGAGTTTTATGAGGACACAATTCTCCTAAATCCAGGCAATTCATTTATTTATTCAACAAATTAGTTTAGTATGAAAGAACTTTTTTAGTGTTTACTCGTCATTTTAAATGTAAATTGGCTGATTTCCCAAATAGGTCCTCGACATATAATGAGGAAGTCTGATTTATGCTTTTACCTAAGTATTACCAAAGAAGTAAGAAAATGTCCAAAATAAACCACTAAACACATGTATGTATTTAGTTGTTATCAATGGCTAAGATTAACATATATATATAGGAAAATTCTGCCTTTTTAACCGGAAACAATGCTCCTCCGCCCGTTCCTAACCAAAATCCCGATAGTCCCGATAATACGAGAACTAATGGCGATGACGATGATATTAATCAAGATGACCCTACTTCTCCAACCGAAGCGAGGTCAATTGATAATCAGAATCACGGGGATAGTCAACAAGCAATGCCAAATTTTCTTGTTACTTCGGAGGGCATTCAACTTCAAACGATTCAAATCAGCGTGGACCATATTAGTGAAGAGGAGAGGAGAAAGTCTATCAGCCCGTGTCCCAGTCCTGGACCAAATTCCAACTTCAACCTTCTCACTCTTCCCACAAACGTGGATCAAAGATCCAGTAATTTAACTTTCAAGGATTTTAATTAAGATTTTAAATGGAGATTTATAAATATATGCTGTATAATCATGTACCATTCATAAAAGCCAATTTTTGACAGATTGCAGACGAGTTTCTATTCTTCCGGTGCCCGACAGGCTGCCTGACAATTACGAAACACCAAAGGAAGGGAGCACTACAGAGCTTGAGATTGAACCGACTAGCAACGCAGGAGCTGATGGTGGGGCGACCAGTGACGAAGGAGACGACGACGTTCCTTGGATCGGTCCTACAGAGAAAATGCCGCAGTTTGTGAAAGGCTTCCCACCGGTGTCCCCATACATCGGAGTTACACCCACATTGTGCTACCTACTCAAGGAGAAGAAACCACTCTGCTGTTTACAGCTGGCTCAGGTAACAACAAATGAGGAATTCTTTCACCGTGGCAAAAATGTATTTCCCATTGTGAAGTGAAGCATAGCGAGTGAACAGATACCTAAGTGCATTATAAATGAGAAAGTAGAGAGTGAAACACGTAATGACAAACAAAACGAAGAGCGAGTGCAAATCCACTTTTGATCCTATTCATATTATCAATCTTTAATGCAAAGCATGCTTCTTTTCACACGATCAGCTCGCAGAGAAGCGAGCTTTTGCTTTTGTTTCTCCTTTCCGAACCAGGGAGAACTATCCGTCAATCCGTCCAGTCCACCAGTGAAACACAAGCAGAACCAACTAAACGCGTTATTTGGATACTCTGCTTGTGCTTCGTTATAGCGTTAACTGTTAACGTCAAGTCAACTCATGGCAGGCAGCAGCTCTGGCACAACTTCAATACTTTTGCTTTGTTTGGATTGGTTAGTCTGCACTTTTGCCCTTTATTCCCGTGTCCTGGTCCTGGCACTTTCTCCGTTCTGTTCCACTCAAGTGAAGGCAGCTTCAAACGCAATTATATGCTTTCCTCCACAATAATAAGCATTTCTCGTCCTCGTACAATCCACGGGAAATCAAGTCAGAGTTATGGCTTTCACTCTCTTGATTTGCTTCAATTGCTATTCCAAGGAGAATTCTTCTGTAAACGCTCAACTTGCCCCCTGCATACATAGGCTTATAGATCTGTATACATATACAGTTTTATAACACGTTTCAGCAAAATATTTCGTTTTCAAATGCTGTTATTAAAGTTGAATTAAGAATATCCTTAATCTTTGACGGTTTAATATGTTATTTTAAAATTGCCACAAAATAAAAAGTTAAATGTATGTCTAAATTCAGCAAAGACAATATAGTGGGAAAACTTACACAATTTACTATCCATTCCTAAAGCGTAGATCATTTTGGTAGCCAATTCGATATATTATATTGGACGGTATACAAATATATGGCATTATTTTATTTTTCGATATACCAGCGCTTGAGAATTGGAAAACCAATGAAGTTTTTCCATTTTATTTTGTCTTATTGAATTTGTACATTTATTCAATTTTGCATATAAATTTAGAGTATTTAAAAAATATTTAAAACTGCCATCTCTAATGATTAAGGAAATTGAACGCTTATGAAATCTGTGAATATTTTATGCCATAATTAATTTCTGATTATTTTGCATCACTGATTATGCTATACGAGTATGAAGGCCTATGCTCCAGTGAGAAATCAGAGTGAAAATTAATGCGAGGAGAATAGAGTGGAATTGAAGTTTGCTTTCTCCGCCAGATAAAAATCGCCAATTTTTACTACTTTGATCTAAAATATGTTGACAAATTCCAACCATCGCACAAACTGCCTTAACAAACGTTGGTTGTACTGACTTGAACTTCGTAATTCCAAAATTTCAACAAAATCGGAGTGTTACACTTCACACGATCACATTGTTAATATTTCCTTTGGTATGTCCGTAGGCTTGTGAACATTGTCCCAACCGAACAGCTTACGACTACAAATGGAGAAACAAGACTATTATTCTGGCCGCTGATTATGCGTCGACAGCGATTTACAATTTTATCGTACCTCTGAGAGCGCATTTTAGACCTAAGGCGAAGCTAAATCCAATTATACTGCTGTTGGAGAGAAGACCGGTAAGATTTATTTCCTGTAATCAACAAAAGTGGCGAAATCAGATACACTGAACAACTTGTCGTACTCAATCAAGATTTTCTATGAGAATGAAAGGATTTAATGCACACTCGATGTGATTGCTGGTTCGAATTTAGAAACTGAGCCATGTTTATTTTGCCTATCAACTAGACGAGTAGACATGTCTTCGATATGTAAATATGTAGAAAGTCTGATTATATGCCAGGACAGGCTTTTCGTGATTACGTTATACAATTATGCAATGCAGCAGATAATAGTGAGTTTGATTCACAGGATTCTGCATTCTTAGACACAATTTCCTATTTTCCCATGATCTACTGGTTTGGAGGCAGTATTGACTGTCTTGATGATCTTCTCAGAGCTGGCATTACTCTAGCCGAAAGCGTCGTAGTTGTGAACAAGGAGCTATCAAATTCTGCAGAGGAAGGTATGCATCCTGTCAACAGAAACTGATTTCCTTAAATAAACTCTAATTTAAAATTCAACAAACGTATGATTTTTTTTAAAAATTTGAAGTACTACAACTAAATCTGTATTTATCAAATTGTTGATTTTTGATTCCAGACTCGCTAAGTGATTGCAATACCATTTGTGCAGGTAAATTGATTACCAAGTTTTCACATTTGAGCCACAAAGCAGTCTACTTATGAATGTTCCATATCAACTCGTGCTTTCTGGTTCTTACAGTGCAAACAATGTTCCGATTCTTTCCCCATATTAAAATCGTGACGGAACTGTCCACCTCAAGTAATATGAGATTCATGCAGTTTAGAGCACACGATACCTATTCGCTGCATCTTAGCAGGATGGAGAAGGTGAGTGAGTGCGGGGCTTCAATATCAAAATATCATGAGAATTATTATAATAAGAAAGTAACGAGTCGCGGGTAGGTGGAATTAATATAATCCCAGCGTGATGAATTTATTGCCACTGTCATTCAGTCAAAGAAAGACTCCTTAATTCAATAATGATTCATTTAAGAAATACCATTGGGGGCCATTAACTTTCACCTTTGAACTTCAGATTTATTGAGAGAGTTATATAACTTGTTCATATATTAGCAAACCTTACACAGCAATTCGCTTTACAGCCGGGAAACCAAACGACTATAATGTTGCATCCGTATAGGACCTGTCTTTTGCCCCACTTATTGTTCATGAAGAGGAAGAAAAAAAACTTTCTCCTGCGACTACACACTCTCCCTGTTCCGAATGAGCGACTTCTTGCTCCTTTCTAGTAGTGCATGGGACTAATAGTCCTGCGGCAGAGGAACATCATCTTCGTTTTGCAGACTTATTGCGTAGTTTCACTCACTCCTTCACTTTGCTGAAGAAAGGATACACGGAAAATGGAGAGATATGAAACGTTTCTTTTGGACCATACACAATTTGTTTCCTCGCAACTTTTTTTCACTTTTTCCACCCATCACAAATATTAAATCCTTTCCTCCTCTGCCCATATGTACATACAGCAGTGTGCACTATCGTAGTTTCCCAGTGTAAAGGAAATCAGTGGAGATGAAGGATGGAAGAGATGTGAATGTACACACAAGAAACGGATGGGTTCAACATTCTCTCACGACAACTAATCCTTCCTCCGTGTTTATATATTTTATGTATTTGTTTTATTCATTGATTTGGCAGAGGGAGAAGGAGCGTGGGTCTCACATTTCATACATGTTTCGTCTTCCATTTGCTGCTGGAAGCGTGTTTTCGGGTAAGAGATCCCTAGCAATGGTTCGTACATATATTACTGGAATTCGTACCTAGCATGTTAAACAAGTTGTGGGGAACAATTAAATATGCGCAAATAAAAAAAACACTGATGCCATTATGTATTTTCCTTTGTATTTTCGCAGCATCCATGCTGGACACTCTATTGTACCAAGCGTTCGTTAAAGAGTATTTAATAACTTTTGTTCGCCTCTTGTTGGGTAAGATATTTGAGTCATGTTTTCCGTTCATATGAAAAAAAGTTTTAACAAAATGTTGCTTAATTCATTAGGGATCGATCAGGCTCCAGGATCTGGTTTTTTGACATCCGTAAGAAATTCCAAACAAGAATAACAAATTGCACTTGTGTAGAAAAGCATGTACACACATTTTCAAATTATATTCGAATCATTTGAGTGCGATGGATTGCATTCCTGGATGTTCTCCAACATCCAAGTACACCTAAGTACATCCACTCAGCTCCAAATAAGGAATTCAATTCCCACCATCCACTTAAGTTTATCTGATAGGATTGGAAATTCTGAGAGTTTCTTGATACATCCAACATTTGTGATAAAAGATAAAATTCCTTCCGATCCGATAATGTGGGATCGACTTGGTTATCATATATTATAAATATCTATAGGCCATGCAATCTTGTGGTGTGTTTGTGAGCTACAAGATGGGTGAAAGGATTTAGTCAAGTATTTGCTTGTAGTGAATAGCAGTGAAAGCGAGTGTAGCCCGAGTGAGAGATTGGGACGACTACGTTTAATTAGGTTTAGGTTTTTTGTGGTGCGATGTCTCGTGTGCTTTCACCAGTTTCATCCATGTTACGTATTTAAGTGCTCAGTGTATTTTTTCATGCGTTACACCTCTGACAACTAGAATTGCACCTAGTTGGCAAAACAAGACGCTGATGGCCTTAATTCTCGGCGCCAGAGATATACGTATTTACACAATTAAATCAAGTATGCCCTTTGATCTACTGCTTTATTGATCAAAGCTTCTTCCTTTTGTTTCAATGAGAACATCTTTCAGGCGTGTGAACAAATTCAACAATCAGATACAAGGGGTATCATACAATGCAATTAGGTACAAAGCTAATTGCCCCCCCACATCAAAATATTGGATTTAAATACGTACTATAAACATGACTTTTATTTATTTATTGAATTAAATGTAGAAACACAGTAGTGACAATAATTTAATCTAGCGAACAGAGTCTTCGTATATACAACAGTAAAAATGCTTATTAGTACAGTACTTACTTAAGGATGACACGTACTTCAATGACACACATTAAACACATTTATGGAACTACTTCAATATCTAATTTTCTTCGTCTTCAAACCATACATATTTACAAACGCATGCCGCCAGTTCGCCCCTTATTCAACCAAAGGGAAAAATATGTATGGCAAATGCATCATTAAATTTCAGACGCAGATAACAAAAGATGATTTGTGGATTCGTACCTACGGTCGTCTATATCAAAAATTGTGCTCAACCACTTGCGAAGGTTAGTAGAAAACCATGCCCAAAGGTAGTTGCAAGAATGTTTTGTATGTAGGAATTGCTTCCAAGTGTCGATAGAATGGATTCAAAATCTTTGTCAGCAAAATGAGCATTGCTACATCTGATTTTATACACTCGATTATTGTACATTCATGGATGTATAGGAACATATGTACATGTGTAAATTACATTCATGTATTTTTCAGTTCCACTTGGAATTTATCGCACTCAGGATTCGCAGACAGAGACGGAAGAAGACTACTACGAGGAAGGTGTTGGAGGAGGGACGGATACACCGTTTTCCACAGAAAGCTCATGCATACAAAAGGACATCTCGGGTCCCGGGGATACCTCTTCAGCTGATGACAAGACTACTAATTATCGGCGATGTCTTCGAGGGGCTTGTGGATCATCGGAGAGCTCCTTCACGTCGGCTGCCCTTACAGTCAATGATGAGACGAGAGATTCCGACTCTCACGCCCAGCTCATCGAACGAGCTGGTTAGCACCTATTATACATTTCTGATTATCCATAATTCACCCAGTCAGCGAAGTACTTGGAAAATTTCAAAGTCTCGCAACGTGCCTTGGTAGTGACGCACAACACAAAAAAGTGTTCATGAAAGTGAAACTAATGTTCGAATATTTACGCTTGTGTGCATTCTGTGAAGTGATTTGGAAATTTTCAGTATGCCGGAAATAAATATGTTTATGAAGCCCAACATTGCTTATACTCGAACAACAAACTCAATAAATGATTTCACTGATTGCTTTTTTTTGCAGAGATTGCAAACCTCGTTAGAAGTCGTATGCAAAGTCTTGGATTACCGTGCAACGAATCTGATTTACAGTTCTCAGAAAAACGAAATTCATTATCTTACGTAGTGATAAACCCATCTTGTGATCTCAGGTCTTGAAAATGATTTAATACATTCTATAAAATATAAACTACATATTTAAACATTGAAAATGTTTTGTTTTATTTTCTCAGATTGAAAGAAGGTGATGTTATTTATCTAATTCGGTAAGTTGTGAAAACGTACCATTATAATTTGACAACTAATGTTTATGGAAATAATTCCAGTTAATTGAATGCGTTAGTAATGCGTTGGCATTAATTTTTTAATGTTAGGTCATCCAGGGTATTGTATATAAAAAAATTCAAGAAAAATAATTCTGACTTTCTCTCGTCAGCATTTCTAATTGTGTGTAGCATGTGGTGATATATAGATATTTAAACTATGATTTCATAAAATATCTTTTAAATCTCTCTCAATTTAACTCAATTTGTACTTTTATGTTTATTCCATATCGACCGTTAGCCCGAGTCCTTTCTCTGCAACAAAGACATTCGAGAGACACAAGTAAGCAGCAATATGGAGTATAGTAATCCGTTCATTATTTACTTTAGTTCATTTTGGCAAGCAAATTGTATTAGAAAACTGTGTAAATATGATTGGAATTCTTCTCACTATAGCCTTTAATCTTTTTTTTACTATATTTTCAGTTCTAGGAGAAAGTCTACACTAAATCCTTCGGCGACAAATGCGGGCGGTGTGAGATCAAATACTGAGGACCTGCATAAAGCAGCTCTAACACTTTTTCAAGACACAAAAGGAACTGGGACAAGTTCTTCTTCTGGACCTCCAAGTACATCGAGGAGAAGATCATCCTCCGGTACAGAAGTGAAAATGCATACATTTTATAAATGAAAAAAAACGAAGCAAAAAAAGCAACACAAAACTGTCTCATGCTCAGTTTCAGTGTTTCATTATTTTTTGTTTGCATTATTGTATTGCACAGATTCTCCTCGGCTTCGAGCAAATTCCTTAAGAGTGTGTCCATCAGATGATATTCTTCTCAGAAGGTCAAATTCCCTCCGACAAGGTTTGGGGCATAGAAGGTTGCACGATGAAATTGGACTTCCTAGTGTCACTAAATCTGCATGTCCCGTACAAAGAACATCTAGCTTGGGGTTAGGAGGAGCAATTAATGTGGAAGTAACGCCACCCTCAGATAATGAATCTGACCCTCCAAAAACATCTGCAAAAAGCTCTTCTTTGCAAGGGACCATTGTGTAGATTACATTATTATATACCTAATATCTGCGTTATGTTTGTTGCGTTAATTTATGAGAATTCCTTGCAGTTATTATTCAGGAAACTGTGGATCAATTTCTTGAGAGAGACATTATTAATACATAGTAAATGTAAATGTTACTGTAAAATATTCGGTTCAAGTTTGCCAAAGTCTAAAAATAACGAAATTTCAGTCATATTACGTTTCTTGGCAAAATTTGCATAAAAAGATATCCCCTCATCGATAAGTACAGAATATTTATTACATAATAAAAGGGCCAACAACTTTTAAATTTATTTTAGTCTGAAAATTAAATGGTTTAAAAATTGCATACCGTAAACACATGGATTTACATATGTGGGTTGTTTTTAGTACATATTTACAACAAAACGTAACGATAATATGAAAATATCTTGAGCTACATAAAATCTCCATTGAAGGTGCTGGCTGCTTCTGAAATTGGAGTGATACTTTTTAACCCTTTCTGTGACCTTCCTCACCATCACCACCCATCCCAAATCAATAAGTCACTCGTACTACTTACATAAAAAACTTTATTGTGATCTTATAAAATATTCCGTTAAATTTTGACTGTCAAAAAGACTAGGACTGTCAAAACTTTGGCCTTTTTTACCTTTAACTACTTAAATATCACTCATTTAAACTTATATGTAAAGCGTTAAATATCATAATTTATTATATAAATATGTATCTATCTATCTGGGATTCGTATATGGGCTTGGAGAGGATTGGATTATACCAAATCTGTGAGATCGTTTTTCTACGTGTGATTTTCTTTAATATTTATATGTACACGCATACATTATACATAAATGGACATTAGACATGTAGATTAACTTGGTGACAACAACACTATTAAAAGACAATTCAACATTTTACTATCAGTAAATATAAATATATTATTATTAATTGTGGAACATTATATGGTACGGTCTTATTAAGTAGTTTACATTAGTCAAGTAACTATTTATAATGATTATAAATATCAGCCAAAATTGAAATGAGCATTAATTACGTAATGGAGGAAATTACATTTATCATCGCGAATCATCTCTTCTTCCTATTTATAATTATTAATATTAAGCAAGTATCCACATCCTCCTGGCTCAACCTTCACATATGCATACATATATTCCATACATAGTTGATATAAAAATGACAAGCAAATGTTACAATTCGCACAAATAACGTTATTATGTAATATTCTAGTAATGTAGGACATTGTATTATTGTTGGATCAGTAATAGCTGGATCAACTCCATTCTTGTATTCCTTGACCAAGTAACCGTTGGATAATGCATGGATGGATTATCGGAACCAGATAAACTGTGTACAATCCATCACCAACAATACGTATTGTTATAAAACGTGTATACAACATGAGAGTAAAACGAAATTTATAACTTCCCGAGACTTTGACGCATTCATTGGTTGTTATTAATATGCATACAAATGCTCATATAACAAAACTGTGATCATTGAACAATATTGAAGCTGTACTAACAGCAAGATCATCTGCCGAATAACAATCACCACTATGTACGTACCTTCGAAATAAAATTTAAATATATAAATCTAGATCACCATGAAGTAGTACAAATAAAAATGCTGCATGCATTATTATTATTCTGCATTGAGGTTTTAACAAACGAGACAAAGTCATGCACGATACGAGAGCGAACTGTGTGAAAACTCGGTGCGAATGTGAAAAATGTGCCATCATGACTTCATCATTTGCACGACATTCTGCACTCGAGTGATTCACTACTTTCTGATCAGAGTGATTGATTGATCACATACTTTTTGTTTTGTTATTGGTCTGCTGATAAATACAAACAAACGTGAAGCAATAATTGTTTTACATTTTAAAACCTCTTCATTCTAATAATAAAAAATGTGTACTCATCAGTAATGCAGGTGAGTTAGCTGGCAATTTAATTTTATAGATTTTGTTAAGACCTATGTCTGCCGTGTTGCGTGTTTTATAAATAATGCATTGGTAACAAACAATATTGTTCTTACGAACTCGTTCTTTCATATTATTTAAATACGAACAATAAATTGGACCGGTACGGTAGCACGACGTATTGAAGTGTATGCGCTTTACTTTTACACTCGATCGTGCATGTTATCAAGTGTAAACAATTCATGTGTAAGATTTATGACTTATTGACGACTTGCTTTGTTAGTGGTGTGACGGCAGACGGAGAATTAAATTCAATAAACTTTGCTTGTATAAACATTTGTGTGTTACAGTTGCTGGATTAGTTCTTTATTATATCTATATGGTTCCGTCTTAATATTTTTACAGAACCCAGCTGCCGATTTCTCCAACTGAAATTCAGTTACTGAATAGCATTATTAATAAATATAGTTCGTATTTGAAGAAATTGAGAAACATGAAGGACATGGAGTCATATTTCTGGTTTGGAGAAGTTTTGGACAATTTTTTATTCGAGGGCCTCAATACTAAATCTTGGAGAGGTATTAGTGCTAAAAATATGAATACTTCATATTATACACAATTAATCCTAAACCATGGTTGGATTAATATGGATTTGACATATGTACAGGTCTTCTTGGAGTGTGCACCGTCTTGTCCTGCTTAGCATTGGTTTACGAAGGACTTCATGTACTTAAACTATTCTTCATGAATCGATTCTTACTGACTAGAAAAGCCCTTCGTAGAGAATCAAATGACTCTTCAAACAATGACGGTGCCGCATCAGGTCAACCATCTGCATCTCTACTGTCAAGAACCTTCATGTACAGGCGACAGCACGCTCCTGAGACCGGAAGTGGAGAGCCAGCTCCTCGAAGTCTGCTCGAAGAATCTGACCATCATCCTCCAGGAAGTGAGACCACGACCAATCTGCACAATCTTACCACACCTGGAAGGGGCTTCCTCGATTTGCTGATATCAGCCGTTTTCCACAGCATCTACGTTTTCTTGGGCTTCACCCTCATGAATGCTGTAATGACTTTTAATGTTTGGGTTCTTGTTGCGATATCCATAGGAGTCGCTTTCGGATATTTTTGCTTTGGGAACTATCGTAGAGCAGAAAATTTAATTCATCCACTCAGCACCGAGAATACCAGCTTGAACGATGACACGACTCCACCACCACCATTGGATGGGGGAGGAGATCGTTTCGTTAACCAGTCTCGAACCCCTTATACAGTAAAGAATGGTGAAACTGAAGAGGACCCTGGAGAATCATCTAGACTTATTGTTGGAGCACAAGTTCATATTCCTAGGATCATGTCATCTTCTACAGCGTCGACTTGAAGCGGATATTCATTATATTGATATTGATAAGTATGAATGAACGAACTCCATTTCACTCATAGTCAGCACGTAAATATGTGGTGCAATCTTATCCTTGTTTGTATTTATAGTTACCATTTACCAACGAATGTGTATGTATTTAAGACTTGATGATGTGTGAGAAATAAAAAGTATTTAATGACTAAGCTGGGTTGTGTATGTAAATCTCATACAAAATAACCCATAAGTATTGTACATATATAAGCAATATATTATCGTTTTGTTTTATTTCTTAGTAAACTTGAACCAATTTGTTGTATCTCTAAAAGCTGATATTTTGGAAATGATTCGTTCGTCGGAAATAAACGAATGTTATGAATTTTGAGTGTGTTTCTGAATTATTTATGGGTGCATGAGTAACTGACGCTGAGGAGGAGAGTACGCCAACCTGATAATGACAGATCTTGATGTCCTTTGGATATATGGTAGTACCCCCTCTGAAAGCAAAAAGTGTGAAGCGGTTTGATGCCATGGCCCAATTTACGCCCGTCACACCCCTTTGAAGGCGCGCCCGATGCCAAACTAGCTGCACTAAAAAATTCGCCAAAAATCCAATTTTGTTCGGATTTTCATAATAATTATGTATTTGTGATCCCAGATAGTCCCTTTATCATATTCAGTTGCAAAATTAACTTTTCAGAAATTTTCAATATTTTCGAATATTTCCTGAAAAGGGCATGGCTTGAAAAAATTCAAAATTCCAAAAAAATTCAGATTGATATCTGATATGATAAAGCAACTATGTGGGATCATAAATATGTAACTATTATGAAAATCCGAACAAAATTGGATTTTTGGCGAATTTTTTAGTGCAGCTAGTTTGGCATCCGGCGCGCCTTCAAAGGGGTGTGACGGGCGTAAATTGGGCCATGGCATCAAACCGCTTCACACTTTTTGCTTTCAGAGGGGGTACTACCATATATCCAAAGGACATCAAGATCTGTCATTATCAGGTTGGCGTACTCTCCTCCTGAGATGGCTGAGATTGAGATGCTATACACAGCGCAATGTCAATATTTTTGATGATGCTGCTGAACTGCCGGCTAAGTAAATCTCCAACATTTTACGGTAAATCTAGTATTTGTAAAACTGTTACAAAAATTCCTTGTTTTAAAAATTTTACGAAATTATCATTACGCGGAAAGTCGGCTCCACTGAAACCCTTGACCAGAATTAGTAAAATAGTAAGCAATAATGACAGAGGCGGAAGGATCATGGTGTCTCATGGAATCCGATCCAGCAGTGTTTACGGAGCTTATTAAAGAGTTTGGTAAGGATACTTCAGTTGACATGTCTATCGTAACTAAATTTAATAAGTCGTAAGAATCAAATATAATTGAATATTTACGCTGATATAAGGAGTCAAAGGTCTTCAAGTGGAAGAATTGTGGAGCTTGGATGCGGAACATTTCGAACGATTGCAGTAATACACTAAAAAGATTTATTATTACTATTATTGAGTAATTCATTTTGTAATTTATTATGCAGACCTGTTCACGGACTAATCTTTTTATTCAAATGGATTGGCCCCTCTGTGGACAGCTCGGACAGCGAAGCGATTGTGACAGACGACAAAATATTTTTTGCAAGACAAGTTAGTGGCAATATTAAAATTCATTTCATTCGTATAAAGCATGAATTATTTTTTGTTTGCAGGTTATCCGAAATGCTTGTGCTACCCAGGTACGTGCTACCCATAAAATTATGTGCTGTGAGAATCTCATAACACAACTTGTGTTGCACAAGTTAGATTCATGTGATGTAAAGTCGAATAGACGTTTCAATAATTTTGTGGGTAATTTTTAACCAGGCTATAGTGCAAATATTGATGAATTTGGAATCTTCTGAATTGGAGTTGGGCGAAACTTTGCGTGATTTTAAAGAATTTACAAAAACATTCGATTCCTCCATGAAAGGTAACTAACTATATTCCTCCTCCTTCACATTTCATTATATTGTTCATGTGTCTATAAGGTGTAGTAGTGTGTATGTGGTGGACCATGTAGAGTGATTTAAATATCAAAATTAAAGTTAATTATTTAGATGAGAAATTAGATAAACAACAAACATGACACCAAATGAAAAATGTACTCGCACAATGGGATGTTTTTAAATCGAACAACATGTGTCCAGGCCATTTCAATATCCTTCATAGCAAGGACGCATTTCATTTGGCAGGCTCGGTTTGCGCATGCAGTCAATTCTTACAACGGATAAAATTATACGTAGGGACGCCAAGTGCAAGTTTTATGTACAGCTAGGAAACAGACACATTGCACTTGCACTAGACGAATATCGGATAAGTTTTACACTGCAAAATACGAAGACAATAACATGTTTACTAATTTCATGATTGATAGGTCTCGCTCTGTCTAATTCTGACACCATAAGAAACGTGCACAACAGTTTTAGTCGTCAGCAAATTTTTGAATTTGACAACAAATCTGCTCCCAAGGACGATGATGTTTTCCATTTTGTCAGCTATATTCCGATTGCTGGAAGGCTCTATGAGTTGGACGGATTAAAGGAAGGACCTCTTGATCATGGACAAATTCCAGAAGGAAAAGATTGGACAGACATTGTTACGGTAGTACTGCAAGATCGAATTAACAAGTAATAGAAGTATTGTAATGAAATATGTAGTATAATTACGACTTCCATCTTGCATTTCCTAATAATTTTTCGTTGTTTCGTCAGATACAGTGAAAACGAGATCCATTTTAATCTCCTAGCGATTGTGAACGATAGAAAAGTTGAATGTGAAAAGAAAATCGCAGCGTTAGAAGCAACTGGCAGGGCCACGCCAGAAAAAATTCTGGAACTAAAACAATTAATCGAAGACGAAGAATCAAAGAGGCACAAATTCAGAATGGAAAATGTTCGAAGAAAGCATAACTATTTACCACTGATTGTTGAATTCTTGAAAGAACTTGCCCAACAAAAGCAACTAATTCCTCTGTACGAAAAAGCAAAAGAGAAATGCGAGACCAAGAAAAAATCGAAATCAAAGTCAAGTACTTGATTTGAATGCATTGCAAATTTTGAAATTTCAGACATAAAAATCACATGTATTCCTCCATAAACTCTGAAATTATAAAATAAACTCGTGCATTAAGAATAAAACAGTTACCTATAAATTTCAACAATTTACATTGTGATTAATATTATGCATATACAGCAATTTTAATTTTTAAAACTATTCCATGTCTTAGTTTGTAGGATTAGTAAATACATCAGCAAAATTTCATGGAAAAAGCGTACGAGGGCACAACTTTCTTAACCTTGAGGAAACAAAGAATGTTTTAAGATCATGCGTCTATCCCAAATATTCTTGCTGGAATACAGAGTAAGAGTATGAAGGGGATATGAAAAAAGGGTCTACATAAGTATCGAAGATGCTCTACCCTTAGGGCTACATGCACTATTTGAATATGTTTTTATACATATTCGGCTTCAGATATGATATTTCTTAAGGTCTAAAAGCTTGGGTTAACGAATCCCAGTCTCACTCAACTCAATGCTACATCGTCATGCACATGCCCATATAAAGCTGGTCAATTGTATGTATTAAGCAATATGACGGAGATGAGATTTTACACTCCCTCGTGAACTGGCCAATGTTATAACTGCAAAGTCATTATTATTATAAACTCTCACTGATTTTTTACCCTGTCTATGCCTCTCTCCTGTGCAAGCACAAAGTAGTTTTCAATACTTGCATGTAGACATACTTAGCACTAGGACATTGCATAGGAAGTAATGTTAAGTAATGAAGTGGAGATTGTTTATAGAGAAACATGGACTTCTTTTATGAATGGAAGTTTATCCACCCACCCACTCCTTGTGAATGCTTTGCATGAATCCATCGCATCCCTCCGTCCGATATATCCCAATAATAATGCGTGCTGGGGTCGAATCATTGCATCCATTCTGTACTCTCATTTCTTATTCTCTGTAGGATTGTATTACAAGAAAAAATCATCCTGAAAAGGCATCTGGTTCTGAAATTGTGTTTACAAGAGTAAAACACTTTTGGTTTCACAAAGTGTTGAGTGGTGTGTTCAGTTTAGTGTCGCTCTCTTGCCTCGTCTAGATCGCCAGAGACATTCACCTAAGCAGCAAGTACTTAATTACTCAAATTTACTAATTCGGTCCAGAAAGCTTAAATTATTGTATCGTGTTTTGTAGTATAGAAAGACAAACGTGAGACGGCGAGTGAGAGCCAGCAGAAAACGAAAGGGATAAGACGCTCGCGTTATCTCACCGAGTTTGACTAGCTGGAGACCCCAACAAAACGACGTAACGCAACGAAGCGAATTTGATCATCGCATTCATTCTCTCCTTCATCAGAATGTGCATATGTGTACCAACGCCAAAGGCAACGGAAACATGAGCAACTTGTCTCATGATAAGTGGAGACACAGTTAGTTCTTCATCCTAAAAAAGCCGTATAGATTTCTCAGCTTAGTCAACTAAAGTACATACATTCCATACTTATGTGTGTATGTATGTGCATGCACGGAGAGTCATAAACCCGTAAACTCTACGATTTATCAATTCTTTTGCCAATACACATTTACTTATCACCACTGAAGAAGATGTGAATGGGAAGTGAGTGTACTTAAGCACAGAAGAATGAATGGAGAATAACAATTTCATTTATTACAATACCTGCATAATAAAGCCCTGTTTTGTAACCTGAAACGACAGGTTTTCCAATAGTGTGGGTGAAAATGTGGAAGTTATTACAATTGTGTACCTGCAGTGTTTTAGTACTGTTAATAGAAAAGACTGATTCCCAACAAGAATCAACGAGATGTTATGACGAGTTTGGGAAACCACAGGTATGAATAATCGTTGTGCATAAGCCTAAAATGTACAGCACTTGCATATTACATATGTCCTATCTCTGCATATATGCATAAAGGAAGGACGCACAGATGTGTAAAGAAAAATGCACAAAAATTAAATACTTTTCAATAACAACTATTTTCAGCGCTGCTACCCTGAGTTTGTGAATGCTGCTTTTAATAAACATGTCGAAGCTACCAACACCTGTGGTGTAGAAGGTCCTTCCGAGTTTTGCATACAAAGTACTGTAAATGGGAATCGGAGACCATGCGACATTTGCGATGCAAGAAATCCCAGGACTGCACATCCTCCAGAATACTTGACTGATTTAAACAACAATGACGATGAAACGTGGTGGCAGTCCGGTTAGATTTGGTTACAGACATGACATAGTTTACCATTGCCACTCTCGAAGAAAAGCGTGCTTAATTGTGCTGTCAATTATTTTAGGGACCATGTTTGAAGACGTTGAATGGCCAGTTCGAGTAAATCTGACGCTCAACTTGAGGAAAAGCTTTGACATTACATACATTCGCTTAAAATTTCACTCTCCACGCCCGGAGAGCTTTGCCATATATAAGAGAACAACAGAAGACAATGAATGGGTGCCTTACCAATTTTACAGTGCAAACTGCAGAGGTTAGTTATCCAGTAAAAATACATACATTACATTACTAAAATGTAAAAGTAAAATATTTCTGTTTTTTTCTGTTTAGGTTTTTACGGGGTTCCTGATCTGGGCTACATCGAGAGTGGGGGAGAAGAAACACGGGCATTGTGCACCTCAGAATTCTCAGACATTTCTCCACTGACGGGGGGCAATGTAGCTTTCTCCACGTTGGAAGGACGGTCATCCGCCTACAATTATGATAAATCCAGAGAACTTCAAGTAAGTAGAGTTAAATATCTTTTTTGCCAGCTCAAATTCAAATTAATATCCGTTTCCGACATAAATAACTTTAAGCTGGCTATTCATTTTTAACTGAAGAATAAGTTGTACCATACTTTCTCATTTTTCAATCCCACTTTTAGGAATGGGTTACAGCCACGGACATTCGAATTACTTTGGACCGACACAACACTTTTGGAGACGAATTGTTTTCTGATATCAAAGTACTCAAGTCTTACTTTTATGCCATCACTGACCTAGCCGTGGGAGGAAGGTGGGTGCTCATTTCTATTATCAAGGAAAAAAATTAATGTAATTAAACTCTAATTGCTTGTCTAATTTCTAACTACTGCTAGATGCAAATGTAATGGACACGCTTCTGAATGCACGCACAGCAGTAGCCAGACACATGAACAACGATTAGTTTGCAAGTGTGAGCATAATACGAATGGACCAGGTCAGTTTGTTAAAATTTTAAATTAAATTAAAACTACATCCATCGAAAGTTATTCTAAGTTTTAAATGAAAAATTAACATATTTTATTTTTAGATTGCAATGAATGCCTTCCATTTTATAATGACAAGCCATGGGGAAGGGCAACGCATGAGGATCCTCATGAATGCAGAGGCGAGTATCCATTTCATACTCGACTCAAGTGCAAAATTTGCAAATTCAAAACATTGTTTGCTTTACTATTATATTTATCTCATTTACACACATTATATGCTTAGCTTGCAACTGTAATGGGTTTTCGGATCGCTGCTTTTTCGACCAAAAGTTATACGAAGAGTCTGGTCATGGGGGCCACTGTTCGGATTGTAGAGGAAATCGTAAGGCAACTATATTTATCATTATCTACTATTAAAAGCTTAAATAGAAAAGTAAAGATTTCTCTTTGCATGATGTTGCTAAATAACCTTAGGGGATGGACCCAACTGCGAACGATGTCGGATAAATTATTATCAAAGATCGGACGGATACTGCATTCCGTGTCACTGCAATGACATTGGTACATATTCCCTTTAATTTCTGTGCCTGGACATTGCTAAGCTATATTTCATGTGTATGTTTAATATCCCAGGGTCAAGAAGTCTTCAGTGTAATAGCGAAGGAAAATGTCAGTGTAAACCAGGAGTATCAGGAGACAAGTGCGACATGTGTCAGGCCAATTTTTACGATTTTAGCCCCCAAGGATGCAAGTCGTGTTCATGTAGTTTGTCTGGAAGTTATGGGAATGAGCCTAATTGTGACACCATTAGCGGTCTCTGTCGCTGCAAGGAAAATGTAGAAGGTCAACAGTGTGGAAACTGCAAGCCTGGTAAGGTCTAATGCCTCTCATTGCTCTATTTGTATTTTTGAAATAAAGGGTTGCAATGCCCTTAAATTTATTTTAACGCAAAATAAATCTAACCAAATATCTGTATGTATTTAGGTTTCTTCAATCTTGACCTCTCAAATGATTTCGGTAAGATCTTTTCAAACATATTCAAAATTTTAGTCTTAAAAAAATTGCTGTGATCGAACTGAGTATTCCTGAGTTGCCAGAATTTCGTAATTTCTTGTTGAGTCAAAGTGAGAGCAGTGCTCTCAGAGCACTACGTATTTCTGATACACAAAACCTAAGTCGATTATACAGGATTATCAATTTCACGTATTGTTCCGTAGGATGTACGCCATGCTTCTGCTTTGGACATGCTGCAGTTTGCAGGTAGGTGAAATATTTTGTTACCAAGAATATCAGAGATGCATACCTACATTTGGATCATTTTTGTATGTAGGTCTGCTCCAGGATATGGACAAGGTCAGTATTTTACTTAAATATAAATTCACGTGTGTCAGTTAATTGTATCTAAGTTTACAAACTAAACGTAGTGCTCTTGGAAAGTCTTTTCACACGAAACAATGAACGATGGACTGCTGAAGAAGGTTTTGGTCGAACCGTTTCAACGCAATATAACGCTGTAACTCAAAATCTCGGAGTTAGTTCTATTGGTCGAGAAGCAGTATATTTTGTCGCCCCAGGTTGGTAATGAGTTATTTGTAAAACGCAAGATAATTTACTCGTATTATTGTAAAATCTTTATTCTACTTTAGATCGCTTTTTGGGTGACCAGGTAAGGTTATATTTATTTATAACTTTCAAAAGAGGTGACACGCGGAATAATTTTTTGGTATATGTAATCTCGAAATTTCGATATCAATGCTAGTAAGTTACTCCAATCTAGAAATCTCCCAATGATAAAATGTCCGAGATAACATGCTCTACTTACAATTAGTCTTTAAGACCTTACCCGTCAAAGTCTCTCTAATACACTTGAAATCTTTCCAGCGAGGAAGCTACAATCAAGAATTAAACTTTACCCTCAGAATTGGAGAGCATAGCCCAAAACCATCCGCAGATGATGTCATTCTAGAAGGTGCCGGCCTTCGGGTGTCAAGACCTATTTTTGGACAAAGGAATGCATTGCCGTCTATTCAAAATCAGGACTACTCGTTCCGGTTACATGAACACCCTGACTTTGGTTGGAACCCTCGACTCCCGAGTCGGGATTTTATGAGCATTTTATCCAATCTCACAGCAATTAAAATTCGAGGAACTTTCACCTCACGAGGAGTTGGATTTTTGGATAATGTAAAACTGGAAACAGCTCGACGAGGGGCTGCTGGATCTCCGGCACCTTGGATTGAGATGTGCTCATGTCCAGAAGGGTATTTTTACGACATAAATACTATCAAATCTGCTTCAAAATACATCAACAAATCTAATAATACGGGCAACTACATTTTTGAAAAGGTACATTGGTCAATTCTGCGAATCCTGTGCTCCAGGATATACACATGAGCCTAGAAATGGTGGCCCTTTCGCCCGTTGTGTCCCCTGCTCGTGCAATGGTCATGCAGAAATTTGTGATCCTGAATCAGGCCAATGCATTTGTCAGCACAACACTGGAGGCGATAACTGGTGTGTATCTACTTTGTGTTACCTATTTTAGTATTTTTGATAAATTACAAGTCAAAATTGATTCTTAGTGAGAGATGTGCCCGTGGATTTTATGGAAATGCATTGAAAGGAACGCCGAATGACTGCAAACCTTGTCCTTGTCCGAACAAGGGAGCTTGCATCCAACTCCAAGACGAACAGATTGTGTGTCTTGAATGTCCCACAGGTTATGCAGGTCCGCAATGTGAGGTATATTAATAATTTCATCTACCTATAATTATTTGACTACATAATTCCATTAACAAATTATGGGAAACTTGTATTTTATCTGTCAAGTTTTGTGGAGATGGCTATTTTGGTAATCCAATGGGACAAGTTGGTCCAAAAACTGAGTGTCAACCTTGTCAGTGTAATGAGAACATAGATCCTAATGCTGTCGGGAATTGTAACAGGACGACCGGCGAATGTCTCAAGTGTATTTATAATACGGATGGACCCAGGTAATTAAAGTAGTCCCTATCACACTCAATGCAGCTTTCAGTGATTGCTCTTTCTGATCAATTATATACTTGATTAATTAATAAATGAATTAAAGGTGCGAAGAATGCGCTGCAGGATTTTACGGAGATGCTCTAGCCATGCCCAAAGGAGATTGCAAACATTGTGAATGTAACGCCTTGGGAGCGATTCCGAGCCCAGATAATGGTTTTGTTTGTGAACAACCCACGGGACAATGTCCTTGTAAAGACAATGTTATTGGGCGACAATGTGACCTATGTGAGGACGGATTTTTCAATCTCGCAAGTGGGCTGGGATGCAAAGAATGTCAGTGTGACCCCGTCGGAGCCATCAATGCCACTTGCAATATGCGAACTGGTCAATGTTTTGGTAGAGAAGGAGTTGTTGGGCTTCGGTAAGAGTTTCTGGAACCGCTTAGTAATCTAGTTACTTTGTTAGGACGCATTGGAACTAAAATTTATAATTATTTATAATTTGCAAATTTAAAGGTCTAACGAATGTGCTCCAAATCACTTTGGATTCTCTGACGATGGTTGTGAGCCTTGCGACTGTGATCCAATTGGTACGTTTTTTTTCATAATTTGTGTGTTCTAATTGGACGACAATCACAAATGCCAACAAAGCCTACTAGAATTTTGGTGTCACATCTCAGCTAATTCTAATCATTCTTCCAATAGGGTCCTTGGCTCTGCAGTGCGATCCATTAGGACAATGTCCGGTAATAATCTCGTCACTAGTTATTTAAGTCACGATTTGCAAATCATTTCACAATCATTGTAAATGTGAATTAGTGTCGGGACAATGTGGAAGGCCAACATTGCGAGCGGTGCAAAGAAAACAAATTTAATCGACAAGCAGGATGCGTCAACTGTCCGGGTATATTATAAAATTTAGTTTCCTTCTTCCTCTTGCCCTTACTTAAATCATGCCCAATCACGTATGCATTAAAACTATTTACTAAAATGAATAATAATTCAATAGCGTGCTACAATCTCGTTCAAGAAGCAGTCAATTCACAAAGACAAAAGTTAATGGAAATGGAGAAACTACTGGACGACATAGCAAATACGCCGACTGTAATTGATGATTTGGACTTTGAAAGAAAGTTGGAACAAGTCAAAGATCGAGTAAATCAATTGTGGACGGATGCAAGATCAGCCACGGGAGGTGATGATAAAAGTTTACTGGAGAAAGTTAATGAACTAAAAGATAAAATCAATTCAATGGACTCTACTGTAAAGCAAATTCGGTAAATTGGAATTTCATTTTATTATCAAGTTTTTCATTTAATTAGAAATGCCATTTTTAGTACAATTAGTTTGCAGTTTGCACATCTCTTTTGACACTATTTTTGCAGTGACTCGGTGAAACAATGTAAAACAAATGCGAGAGAAAGTTCGTCCAACTTGACAGCCACTGAGGAAACAATAGAGCGAGCTCAAGAGGCCTTGAAAATTGCACAGAGATTTTTGGACAGTGATGGAAAGGAAGCGTTGGAGCGAGGTGAGTCAGGTCTTGATATTTGAGTGGCATATGAAAGAAAATAAATGCAATGCCTTTATTTATATCTCACCATTAAAACTCATATTATCGGTATGCTTGACTGAAACAGTAAGGGACCTTCCCGTTAAAAGTTTAAAAACTGCCTGTACAAAAGCTCTGTCACCTCTCTCAATAGTATCTACATGTTCGTATTTCTGATTGTCCCTTCGAATGAGGATGCCATTGTACGATTGACCCTTCATTTCTGCAAGAATAAGAGCTGCATGACCCAGTCCCTCCTTCCTTGTGCAATCTTTTTTCACCAAATCGAACACATCCCTCTGCTGATCCGTCCACTGCTTAAAAGATTTGGATGTGTCAATGTTGTTTGCAATCGCTAGCTGCTCATCCGACAGGGGGGTTTGGTAGATGGGCCCTGATTTGAATTGGTCACTACTGCAGTAGAGAAAATTGTATGTTAGCATGTCAACGTGATTTAAACAAGTACGTGTATCTAAACTAACTGGATGTAAGCAGAATGATCCTCTTCCCCAGTCTTGGACGTTTTCAAACCAACGTTGATTTTGTTGTCGGTTTCGACTCCACAGTAGATTCTGGGCAATTTCTTGCAATATCGATCCTTGTCGATTAGTGGGGAGCTGACCGAACTGGTATTATCATTATCCCCTACGGAGGAGGTCACTCCATTCTCTTCCAAAATCTTCTCCACCACTGCCAAATTAGCCTTGAATATATTAAACTGTTTATGAAGGAACGAATGTGGTTTGATGGGGGCGCCTGTCTCTATTTTTTCCATGTTTCTGAACAGTGTGATGAGCGCGACTGACAACTGCAAATAAAAATATAATTGTTATTAATTTTTTAAACACTTGATTAGGTAACTTACTGTCATGGAATGCGTGGCAGGAAGTCGTTCCGGGGAGGAGAGTAGAAAAGAATTTTCACAAATAGGGGAGAACTTGGCAGCAGGGTGCGTAGAGAGATGGGCCATTACTTGTGTCATGTTGTGAGCATACGTTTGAACTACCTGCTTCGTCCATTCTTTTTTAAGCACACTCAAATTTAACACAGCATGATAATGGATGGCGTTCTCATTAGTGTCATGCAACACGACAATATGTTGCAATCGGTTTGTTGAATGGAGATTACACAAATAGCCCTCCGATGTTGACTGAGACCAACATTGTTTGCATTTTTTTAGGTGAGGGAAGCCCTGGTGCATACTGCCGTAACACAGCGTTGATCCATTCCAATATAAAGGAATGAATTCATCCCACTTGTTTTCTTCTGGGTTCTTGACATCGTCTTTTTGGGGGGTTTTCGCACCTTTGCTTGGGGTTTTCGCACATTTGGTTGGAGTTTTTGTGGGTGTCGCTGATTTGCTCCGAGCACGAACTTTGGCAGGGAAAAACTTTTCCATTCCTCCTGTTTTGTGGGTCTCATAGTGAGTCCTCCATTCCCCCATTAGCGCAAAAAATAAGGGATGGTTGTCGACCTCTTCGTCTTTTCCAGTAAAACCTCTTTGAACAAGAACACTTTTAACGTAATCAAAAATTGTTCGGTTATTACTTTTTCTCGGTAACTTGAATTTGGGGACACTATTCCCCTCGTCGTCCAACTCTCCATCATCTATATCCACATCGGACGAGTCGGACGAGTCTGTTGTTGAGGGTGACGGAGACGCTGTGGAGGGTAAAGGAGTTGATGCTTTGGGCGATGGGGTTGGTCGGTTTAATGGAGAGACGGGTGATTGAGGTTGAGCGAAGAACGGTGGAATGTATTTCTAAAAAATAGAAATGCAGCATTAAATGAAAAGTACATCTTAAGTTATGCATTTAATATCTATCCACTCACATAGCCAACTAATTTTGCAACAAGTTCCGTCGCCAACTTGTTAACGTTATTGCCACTCCGTTGTAGATGGACATCAGGATTTGGTGGTGGTTCGTAGTCTGATTCAATCGGATTTAGTACTACAGAAATGGAGAGTAAAAATGAGACACAATCATAGCTTATTGTCATCCAGTTCTGTAAAATAATGCATATTATACGAATTTTACCGTTTCGATCTAGACCAGTTTTACACTCTTTGCTTGATCTATCCACAAAAACCTCGACGAAATTCAATCCGTCTTTATTATGTGATTGTTTTGCTGTCTCCCTGTCCTATAAATGTGCATAGAATTAGCAACCTAAGCATACAATATTATATTCTTTCATATCTCACTGCTTGTAACGGAGCCACAATGGAAATGATGGACACGAATCCCTCTTCCGTGAATGTTTTGGCAAGTTCTGAAGCCAAATGAACAAATTCCGACCGATCCTTCGTGTTGTCCAAATCCAGATTTTTGCAGAGACCGGCTCTCAAACACTTTCCATCTATTTGTTTCACTAAAATCCCGTTAGATTTTAGCTTTTGAGTGAGGGCATTAGAAATGGTAGTCTTCCCCGACTTAGCTAGACCTATTCAAACAATAATGATTATCAGTGGGAAATTTACATACATACACAAAAATTAAGCCCCATTCAATAATGACGTTACATAATTTCATAAGCAATATACAAAACATACCGGTCATAAGAATAGTGCACCCTTCCGTCACTTCAATTCCACTTTGGTGTTTCACCCTTTTACTACTTGGTGGGGAGGGGGATGGTGACCCAACCTGGGTAATTTTACTGGTGGGAGTGGACGGATTCATTTTCACTAATTAGTAATAATACAAATAAACAGTTGTATGAGCCACTTGTTACAAAGAGAACCCGGCAATTGTTTCTTGGATGGTGTGGAGTGCGTAGGGGCATATCGATACAACACACGCCAACTGATTAATAACTATTTGGTTTTCGTTTCAAGCCCAAGAGAAATCTCGACAACATGGACAACAACGCACGTTAATGAGCGGTCTCGCCCGGGATGCACGTCTCCTTGCTGAAGTCCACGAGGATGAGGCACTAAAACTGGAGAAAATTGGAGCCATGGCATTGAATACATCAAAGGAGGCTCATGACATAGCATGGAACTCTATTCATCAACAGCGCAATGCGAGTGAAGAGTCAAGGATTTTGGTTCAAGCCGTGCAACAACTTGAGGATGAGGTGAAAGTAACGCATATGAAGGCAAAGAATGCTCTGGATGTTGCCCAAGAGGCGTATAACAACGCCCTTAATCTCTTCAAGGATGCATACTCCCTAACTCTGCCTGATATTGATTTTAATGCTATAAAAGATCAAGCAAAGAGAGCAAAGGATGAGGCACAGTCGCTGAAAGACTCCGTGGATAAACTACTAAAAGATCGGGAGCAACTTTTGGCTGATGCTCATCAAGAATCTCTACAAGCCAAAGATCTCCTCACAAACACGTATGAACATCAACAAAGGGCGGAAGAACTTTTAGCGGATTTGGACAAGGCAAAAGCGTCGGCGGATAGAGCGAGAAACCAATCAGAAAATACTTATAAGGTAAAACTGGGTTATAATACCCAACGGCTTGCAATTTAGAATTGTCTACTTTTTTTTACAAATTATGACGAGTCCTTCAGCCCCAAATTGTGGAAATATGCAATTTCCTTACCCAAGTGACGGGGGGACAGGAATCGATGTGTAAAGAGCATCGTCTTCCTCGTCTCACTTTCCCTGTCCTTCTGTCATCAAACCACAAACATCAACAAGAATCTTATTTTATTTTATTGCCAATTTCATGTATCCGGATGACCCGTAGGAGGCTCAAAAAATTTACAATACGCTTCAAGGTCAGATGCCAACCAACCAACAATAACAATTTTATAGATTATAATTAATGACTGTATGGTTTTTTACCCACACATTTTTTTCATTTGCACAGATTTTACCAAAAATGTAGAGAATAGTAAAGTTGAAGCTGAGCTGGCGAAGGCTAACATTCCCGAAATTCGTAACATAATTTATGCTGCTGAAAAACAAACTCGAGAAAACAAGGGTTCGTTTTGTGATTCCCAATTGTACAAATACATAAAATGGAACGCAGGAATAATGTTATTACTTATTTCTCATTTTCTTATTTCAGCCGCATTACATGGAGCAAAGGATGCAGCTTCCAGATCATTATTGGATGCAGACGAAGCAAAAACTATTGCAGAGAAAGCCAGCAATGTATTTTTGTGCGTGTTACTAATTACCATGCTATTACTAATTTGTTTGGGTTTACACAGGAAGCAGACGCCGTAGTCAAAGAGTGCGCTGACACGAAAGAGAAAGCCAACGAGTTGAAAGATGCAGCTGAAGTAAGTCTGAGAAAAATTGCAGTGCTTATTTTGATGATTGCGAAAAAATAGTTCATTTTAACTACACCAATTGTTCTTTACAAATAGGTTATTGTTTTATTATCCTCAGTGTTTGTTTCTTTTTTTTTACATAATAATGACTAGAAATGGTTGCATATCACAGAAATTGACTAGAAATGGGTATTTATTATGCATGTCTGGACATGAGTGGAAAATGCCTAATTTTGCTTAAACGTCACCGTATTTTTTTAACATAAGCGATGCTTGTGTCCAATTCTTAATTATACTGATTACCACAATATGCATCCACTCATCGGTCTTTTATGCTTCAAGAAATTGCCAATGTTTGATACTCCAATGTGTAATTTTTGCTCACATTGAGGCAAATTGATTCAAACCAATGTCATCGAACATTTTGTTAAAAATTTGTGATGTAAGTATCCACGAATTAAGTATGTATTTAAATCCTTTATTTGTTTTTTACAGCGTCTCAGCACAGAAGTTACCAACACAATGGCAAAATTAACCGACTCTGAGAGGAAAGTGGGGGATGAGGATTCTCAGGTGAAAACGGCTTTAGACAAGGCGTCGGAGGCCCAAACCAGGTCCAAGGAAGGATATGAAAAAGTGCAGAGAGCTTTAAGCACTGTTCGGGACATTTCACTGGCCCTGAATAATTTGGATCAAATCAGTAAGTTTTAAAATAATATTTGATTGATGTTAAACATAAATATTGCTTTTTAGATGAAGAAGGCTTGTCCAGCTTAACTCGAAAGATCAATGAAGTTGAGGATGAGTTGGAGAAAGCAGGATTGGACGCAACTATCCAAACGTTACGATCAGCTCGGAACAAACAGGCCTTATGGATCAAGAATTATGAAGACGAATTGGAAATTTTAAGAAAGGAAGTAGAAAATGTACAGGTGAGGTCGGAGTACACATATATTTATTCAATCAGTTTGAATTAATTGTATCACTAATCCCAATACAGGAAATTCGTAATGCACTTCCACCTGACCAGGTAAATTTTCATACAATGGGAATGTGTACATCAAAATATTGAAAATAAGAATAAATAAACACATCACATGCAACTTTTATGATGTTTCAGGGCATTAATTCCAAGTGTTGGAAGAGGATTAGACTCGAGCCGTAATTAAGTAAATAAGGACACTGCCAAAAGAGATGGATAGAAAGATCTCTCTCCTACAACAACCTAATATTAACTGTTAAATACATAAATACCTTATCCTCTGCCTCAACCCATACTGCCGACCAATTTAAATTATTGACTAGTTTAAGGACATTACATATACGTACATATGCACAATCAATACTATTTATTATAGTATTATATTATATACTTATACATATAGTAAATAAATGCGTGCCATTAGAATAATACGTGTACACATGCATTGTCGATTTCCACTCATTGCTTACTATGGTTGTGCGGCCTTATGTCCTGTCATCATCAATCCAGGAGGCTGAGAGCTGCTGAACTGCGTGCGTGTAGTTTACCCATAAGTGAGGATAAGGTTAATTTTCTATGTGCTTTGATGATGGGTACTTAGTGTGTAATCGAATTTGGTCTGACTAAATGGGAGCGAAGTGAGTGGTAATACGAGTGAATAAAGGGAAGTAATGGAGATGTTTGAGTGGTGTGTGGTGGTGAAATTCGGGTCTTTTTCCTCCCTGGTTCGGAATAGCCTGGCGTCGGAGAGTGTGTCTAATAGGCGAGTAGAGGAGGATAAAGGCGAGGCATAAAGATTTCAGAGGAGCGTCCGAATCGAATTTGTGAACGCAATGGGTCGTGAATTTGCTGCTGCTTTCCTACTGAGCACAGAGATACATAGGCTGTGAGTCTCTGCCACGAGGATGGAGATATGCATATATGGATGTACATACGTACTTGTGTATGAAAGGGCTGCCTTAATGGATCAACAATTTCGAGAGATAAATTTTCTCTTTTACAGAAGAATTCTCCGAGACCGACCATAATTGCATTACTTATTTGCGACACACAAGACCGGATACTTTTTCTGCATTTGAGGAAATGGCTTAAGTTAATTTATGATTATGGAGTAGGCTTAGGAAACTTGTTCACAAAGGATGGAAAAACCAACTTTGTGACGCTTTTACCCAAACTTTTAACGGCTATAAATCTCTCCTTCCCCTCCATCTTCTTCGTCGTCGTCTCGTTTTCTCTTCTCCGCTCTCCTTGCCTCACCACAGTTTAGCAACTCGGACTTGATTTCTCCAACCAAAACTTTATGTCTGCATAATAATTTATCACCAACCCCACTCTCGGAGGATACGCCACGGTTTACAAGTCAATGCTTCTCCAACTTTCCCATAGAATAAATGTAGGCTCCCTCCGTATTCTTCAACATTTAAATTCCGCCACTAAAAGTCCACTTTCTCCGAGCCAGTAATGTCTCCACATTTACCTCTTTTCTTTGCTCGTCACTTCCCCACTTTATTCAGCTTATTTCTCACATCTGGAAACTAACCACGAAAGCTTTGCCAACAATCCGGCCTGCAACCCAGACCCAAACTTCGTCCTCATGGCTCCCCTTCTCACAATGCTTTCTCCTCAAATCTCACCAAAGTCATCCGTTTGACTAATTATTACAACTTTGAAATTAGTGGCTACGTATCATTCGAGACTGAATGTATTCAACTTGGTTCAGTGAATATGCATCACAGTTATTGCCTATGTAGGTACATACGTCTCATGTTGATCTTGCTTATACATAGTCCAATGAAACTACAGTTTGGTCATTTGAATTAGAGACTCTTTTGGTAAATTTTCAAATTTTCTGGTAACTAAGAAAAATATTTAAAAAATTTAAAAAGAGCTGTTCACAAATTGTATGTATGTAGTCATTTGCAAAACAAAATTTCAATCGTCAACAATTTCAGAGTGGAACTTGTATGGATTAACTTTTTGGATTATTTTACTACTTAATGGCACTGACTCTTTCCAAAGTAAAACGAGATTTCAGTTTCTTGATCCGATTAAAGGATTACAACTGGATGGGAAGAAAATGTGAGAATTGGTATTTGATTTAGGATTAACAACTTTTAAAAATCAACTATTTGAAGGGGGCATATGTATGAATGAAGTAGCTGATATGCACATAGTCGGCATATGCATTATGTTGATGGGACAGTTCCACTCCCTTCTCGTTTTCAGTGGCAAAAGTGTCAACAGCTTCGGCATTAAATGCATTGTTCGATCGGAGTGGTCGTGATTGACAGTTCAAAAGAGTAATTCCGTTGGTCTCATTGATCCCGTGTGTGTCGGTTTTGCACCCTGACGACTTGTTGTCGTCCTCCCAATCGGTTATTGAATAAATACTGCGGGCATATGTCTGCCTGGTATGGTCCAAAACTTTTTTGACTTTTTTCAATGTATCGCGTACCTCTGCATCGCATCACTGGCTAAACCAGGAGTATCATCATTATTAGAAGCGAGGACGCACATACATATTTTGTCCAGGAAAAGTTTCCCAACAGCCCGTTTGTAGTTTTTGGATTGGTTTGCGTGTCCGTCAGCATTATAATAAACAACATTTGCTAAATAAAGCCAAAAAGCAATAAAAGCTGTTTCGAATTCCGCCTCTGCCTGTCGGATTCTGCTTTATCCTCACAAATAGCCCACTTTTCCATCAAAATGCATACATGGCCATAATGTTTCCCAAGTTCTGGGGATTTCATTTATTCCTCAAAGAAGCAAATAAAGCTATGCAGCAATAAACCATTTATCCTCAAACTAGAGCTCACCCCACTTCACTTTGCTCACATTATTATTGACAAAACGGAAACTGATCTTTTAATCTCATAATTTTATTTTACTACTTTCTCTCTACACATACATATTTACAAACTGCAAAAATACAAACCGAACTGAACCACGACTCGACTCTGAAATTTATTCCTCCCAAGTTTAAGATAGGGAAACGAGAAAAATGCATTTACACAACTTTTAAAACTTTTAGCATCTCAACGAGGTTTCAGGAATATAAAATGTATTAAATAAGTAAATGTATTTACTAAAGGATATTTAGTCAAGTATTTCATGTATTTCGTATATGTGTAGGAAATCATTGGTCCTCTTAATTATCTTGTTGGTGAAGGACACATAATTTTATTTCATAACATGAGCCTTGGATCGAATTGTTATTGATGTGACTGAATATTGAGCTGCCACATTGCGGTATATGATTTTCAAATGAAGCGTAAAAGATGGATTGTCCTCTGCGTGGCGGATGAGCGTACTCAAACAATAAAAAACATTATGACTGAAGTGACCATTAAAACCTAGTTCCGGAGCTCAATCATCCAACTCTTTCAGCCCATAACTTCATGCTCATCATCGTCCCCGTCTTTTCGTAAGGCGAGGGGCTGGCTGGCTGGAGGGTCCTTCGTTTTCTGGTCGATGAGGCTCTCACTACTGACTTCACTACCGAATTTGCTCTCCTCCATTAATGAGAATGTCAGCTCAATCATCAATCAATTTCCCCTTTTCCTACATTTTTTTCACGCTCGACTTCCCCATATAATTGATCTCTTCTTGCTTATACGGGGAAAAGGCCACTCTCCGCTTCATTAAGTCACCTTCTCCTCAAGATTAATGCTCATATGATCGTCCCAAGCATGTGGAATATGGATTCCTGTGACGACTTTTACTCCCACATCAACGCATCCCCAAGAACGGATGAGAAAAAAACATGCACCTATACCATAACGTTTCCTATTTTAAGCATATAAAAATGTGACTCCACGTATGTACATATCCATAATTACATTTCCCCATATGTACTTTGCATCTAAATATCTAATCTGCGCAATCGTGTGGGCAGGTGTGCAAATTAGTAATATTAAAATAATAAAATCTGTGCCCTATTGAAATAATATTAAATTTTACCTTTTATCAGTAATTATGGAGCTACACCACACCTGACCATCACATCTGCGAAACTGGCTCTCCACAGGAATTTATGCTGCGTCCTTTATTAATGGCACTCAAATTACAAGCTAAACATCCTAAGGGGTCTAAAAATGTAATAAAACTGTCATGAAAATTATTCTGTAAAAAGACTTCATTAAAATATGAACTCGTGTTGTATAATACTTCTCATTAGAGGCAAGTATATTATACAAATGAGCTATAATGGCCATTGAACAAGGTATGATGTTGACCAATAAATGTGCTTCTTTTCAGGCAAATATACAAAGACGCAGTGTAGTAGGCGTTTATACGTATGTGCCTTGGACGGAAAAGGAAAACGTACAAATCATGGCTTACACAGACAAAGCAAAAGTAGAATATTTCAAAATAATATGTACGTTTAATATTATTATTTTTTGCTGGATGAAAAATTATTTTGGCTAAAAAGTCACAAAGCGAGAAGCAGCATTAGACTATTGTCTCAATTTTTAGAGACTATGTACATACATACACTAGTTGATGGTAAATGTATGCTCGCACTACATAATGGGGAAAATTTGAGAAAATTAGTGAGCCATTAGGGTGTCATGAAAGACGCAAGTTGTGGATCTTTTTGCAGAGTAGTCGTAGATTGGCTCTTATGTACTTATATTGCATTTGATTGGTGTGGGTAAAAGGGCAACAGCAGGGAAACATAGATATGCATTACGTATGTTATTGTGCCTATTATGCGGAATATAAGCATCTCAGCTCTTTGTCTCTCGAGTACTGATGAAGCACGTTACAACGAAGCCTACTGATTCGAATAGTCCTTCTTTTATGAGGTGTGTACGCTAGATATGCGTTAGATTTATGAGCAATGTAATCAGAGTGTGCCCATCTCTAATTAGACATTTGAGCACCTTGGCTCGAGTGGGTTGTAGGTTGTCTGCTTGGCAAATAAATTCCCTCACAATATACTTGTTAGTTTTACAGATTGGTCCATTTCGTTGAATTCTTTGCCACCCAATTGTGCATTTTTTTCACATTCCATTAAAATAAATGTACAATTTCAGGAATTTTGTATTTGAAATGAATTTTCACACAATTTTTTTTCCGACAAGTAAAAGCAGATATCAATTTATAAAATATGAGGAAAGATTAATTCACGGTGGAAATCAAGGATCTCTTGAATTACTCAGACAGGGGTCGGCCTAAGAGCTCCTGCTGGCGTTACAACAACAGATCTCTGCCCAACCTGGAAAGTTTTTGGTGTTTCTCTTGAAATATAATTAAGACCACCACCAGGAATCCCGCATCTGCATAAACCAAGAGGACCCCTAACACCGCCTCGTCTTGTATTCCTCTGTTTTTATAAGAAGGAGACTTCGGAGGCACAGGTCGTCTCCGATTATTACCATATCACTTTACCCCGCCGTGCGTAAAGTTTCTGCTTTTCGGCAGCAATCCTGTC